CTATGATCGACGTGTTCGCCCACAATCGTTCGAAGTAGGATCAAGGGTTTACATGTTCAATTTGGATTTCGTCACAGGCTTTGGACGCAAGCTGGAGCCGCGTTGGTTAGGTCCATTTGAAGTAGTCTGGGCGAATGAAAAGGGATCATATGGGATCAAGACGGGTCGAACGCATTATGGCACAAAGGATGGGGTAGAAACAATTAATGGAGACTTCCTCAAGCTCGCAACTCAAAGGCAACGATTATGGGAAGATGATTTTATTGAGAACCTACAGAGAGCTACTGAGAAGAATCCCCACTACGCCGACACCGAACAACCTCTCGCGCCAGATCAATTACACCAGCCAAGTCTGGGTCGGGGGCGGGAGGACACAGCAAACGAAGGCACTCCAATCCAATCTCCACATCCCTTGTCGCCAAGGACAGGTCAAGCTCAATCTCGTGACGCTCCTCAGGCGCAAGTTGCACCTTCCGTGAACGAAGCCTCTCGCGAAGACGCGACTGGTCAGCCAAGCCTCTGGAGAATGCCACCTCGCCGTGAAGAAGATACTTCGCCCGTACGCGTTTCTCAATTGGCTCGTCTATGTCTTGAAAGGCCTCAGCTGACCGCTTATTTAGCTCTCGAGCGGGGGGGGAACTGTCTGGGACTGAGGAGATTCTGGAGAAGACTTCTCCGCTGCAAATGGCGAAACAGAGGAAGGGCCAACCTCGTGGTCAGTAAGGGCAACCACCTCAGGAGAAGCAGAAGAAGGGGGAGTGACAACGACGGCAGGAGCAGGAACAACGGCAGGAGTAGAAGAAGAAGCAGAAGCAGGAGGAGTGGTAGGGGTCGAAGGAGTGATAGGAGAGTGAGAAGTGACAGCAGGACGCGACTCTGGAGACGTGCCCAAAGACAGACTTAAGCTCTTGTCTGAAGAGGGAAGCATTGTCTTGGTGGAAGTGGTTGGTCTTGGGCAAGGAGGAACCTCGTCTTTCTTAATAACAGTGCGGGCCATGATGACGATGAAGTAGTTCAAGCAGGGCAAGGAGGAAGGAGTTGCGAATGAAAAAAAAAAAAAGAAAAAAAAAAAAAAAAAAAAAAAAAAAAAAAAGGGAATGGAGGAATGAACCAACATTTATGTCCATGGCAACATCATCATGTGGAAGTAATGGCGTGATCACGGATCAAAATGATTGGCCGAAGAAAGAAAATTTTCCTTGGTCGATGCCAAGGCGAACCAAAGGGTGACAAGAACAATGATGCAATGACCAAAATGCGGGGTAGCAAGAGTCAAGGTGGTAGAAGCGCAAACAGCACAATGAGTTTCTTTCTTTTTGAGCTGCGGCTTGGCGGAGCCGAACTTCGCAGCTGGTGGGGGTGTTGGTTTTAGTTTTAGTCACGTGTAGAGGGTTCGCCACCAACTATTTAACGAGCAACAGCTCAGGAAAATCTGGCTCCTTGTTCCTTATTTTTACACAAGAGCCATTTGAGTACTGACTGTTCTCGTCCAGGTAAAGAGCCCTCACAACGTTCGTCGTTAGTAGCCATAGATCATTAAAGGTTCCTTATTTTTACACAAGAGCCATTTGAGTACTGACTGTTCTCGTCCAGTCTTTGAGTAGTGTGTGTGTTCTTTTATTGTGTTAGAATTATTTATCTATCTGCAGCTGGAAGTGACCGGCTTCATAATCCACCAAAACGACCTAAATCTCCTACCACATCTGCCCCTAAATTTTGCAACAGTATCAAGGCTATCATCATCACATGACTGATTGAAAAAAAAAAAAAAAAAAATTATTATTTTGTCTAGTCTTCACGTACAACCATATGACTATGATAGAGGCTGCCTTTACCTGAGAAGCAGGAGGGAATAGGTCGATTGAGGAGGAGGGCGAAAGTATTGTCTAAAAGAACGATACCAAATTCTCCTTAGTGTTAGTCAATTATAGCTCTGATCCTCTGTTGATATCCAAGACTCAAAGTTTAATAGAAACTTACTTCACTGGTATTTGGGGTCAATAGAGGTGCTTTTATAGAGACCGTCTGACGACCTTGAGAAGTCTTGGTGATGGTGGAGGTAGAAGACATAATGTATGAATGTACGTGTGTGAGAGCGAATGAGTGTGTGTGGTGTGTGAATTTTTTTTTGTGTGTCATTTTGTAAAACGTGGTAGAATAAATTTAGAGACCAAAGACCTCATGGTACACAATATTCCTCGTGTTTGTACAAAAATTATTTGAATCATTTTTGATGCGAATCTTCAGCTGCTTGGGGTCTGAGCAGCGTGAGAGAGCCACATAAAGCTGCCCATGACCATGGCCAAAAACGGGTCGTGGAAGGTATACGCCAACATTCTGAAGAGTCTGCCCCTGAGCCTTGGCGAAGGCAGGTCTTAGGGGAAACTGGCGCCGCTGAAATATGACGGGAGATGATCCATCATCAGTTGCACCGATATTGAGCCGTGGGATGTAGTGGCGTATGCTCTTAAATTTTCCCGCCATTATTTCAGCTTCGATGACTTTGTTCCCAAGTTTACGCACAATGAGGCGCGTACCGTTACAGAGACCCTCCATTGGACTCATATTCCTCAAGAGGACGACGGGCTGCCTGACCTTTAGCTTCAGAATGTTAGAGGGCATTCCAGGAGGGTTTAGGGAATTAAGGGATTCCGTAGTATAAGTAGCTGCTGTTGGGTCCTCAGCATCGGGGATAGAATCCTGTCCATAGTAGACTCTTGGGTCATCACCTGGAAACATTTCTGTTGCTAAAGCATTCAGTTTGTCGACATCCTCATTAAGCGCAGATAAAATGGCACGACTTTCCCAGTAGCTCAGAGAGAAATTAGGATAAGTTCCCAACTGCGGATATATGCTCGCAATGAGCTGCTTCTCCTCGGAATCAAGGCCTGTAGTTCTGAAGATACACTGCTCAGGCAGCTTGATGTAATCGTTTTCAAGCCCAATCTGTATCGTGCCCTCTGTACCGCTTCCTACTTGAAGCAAATAGTCGACGAAAGCTTGAGCCTCTGGATCTGAGGAGCCTCGTAATACCCTCATGTTCATAGTGAGCCTGAGCATTGTTACATGCTCCCAAAGCGCTGATCTTTTTAAGCAAGCATGTACAATGTCCCCTCTTGACCCATTTTTCACAACAGGAAGTCTCCTCCAAACACAACAATTTTCCCGCCAAATGGCTCATTGATCTTTGTGAGGTCCTTTATAGTCCTATCAACAGCTTCAAAAACATGGCGGTGTTGCATAGGACCTTCATCCCAAAAAATCACATCTGTATTTATAATCCTGTTTGCGATACTTTGCCCATGCTTGAGGTTGCAAGTCGAATTCGAATAGATTGGGATCGGTATTTTAAAAACAGAGTGCGCAGTGCTTCCCGAATTCAAAATCAGTGCAGCTATTGCTGAGGAAGCTACCACGATGACTTCCTTTTTAAGGGTGCCACGGATGTAATCAATTGCTGTATTGAAGAGAAAAGACTTTCCTGTCCCTCCTGACCCATCAATGAAAAACAATCGCCTTGTATCCTCGCCTTTGGTAGCCACAGGATCGAGGAAGTAAATTTGAGCGAACTTGGCTGATTGATCATCTGGAGGCAGTAGAGACCCGATCCTGTGTACCACTGCCCCGTTGATTCGGAATGTGTACAGCCATCCCTGGCGTTGGCAAGTTCACGATCGTAGTTGGCACCCAATGAGACATAAGAGAGTGAAGAATTGTATTGCCTTATATGAGTCCGAAAGTCACAGCTTTCTTCAGAATTACCACTGATAAGATCGATTAGCTGGGGAATTGGACGAAGTTCGGGCAGCCTAATTTTTCCTTGTCCACAACAGAGCGAGAAAACCGGCGAATGGATGGTAGAAGCTTTTAGGCGCTCTTCAAGCCAAACGAACGCCTTACAGTGTCTGCACTGGACCATCTCGCCGATCGAATGCCTGTGAGATATAGAACTGATGCCTGTCGCCAGCTACGATCTCTTCACGAAATTCTTCTATCGTGACACGGGCAATGCTCCCTGGATTGACTCTGGCACCAGCTCTATATCGGCATAAAGATATTAAAATATGCATTTATGCATTTATGCAGTAATTGACGCATTAATTTTTTTTTTTTTTTTTTTTTTTTGCACCTTATCAGTAATAGCCTTAATCTCTTAAAAGGTTTACCGAACGTCTGCCTCAATTTCTGCCTCTTGTCGCGAAGCTCGATCCCGGCGTTGCATGGTTTCGCGGACATTCAAAGCTTCTAAAGCTTGGCCCTCAGGTATGACAGCCCTATTCAAGATGTAATATTTCACCAAAAAATGTGCATAGTCAACACCCAACAGTGACAGTCTCATATCCATATCAGTTTGTGAACAGCTTCCATTTATCCATTTACCTGTTTTCAGGCAGAGTAGTTTGAATAATTAGTGGATTGCGAGGGCATGATGTGTGTGTACTCCTTGAGTGCAAAATGCTCCCACATGCGCATGGCCTTTTTGCTGATCTGGGACTGGTATGGGGCATACATGTATTTTAGGTGACATAGTAGGCTTATTAGCATTTTCATTAGACAGGTTTTCTTTCTCTTCAGGAACACACTATCCTGATTTGGTTTCAGCGCATAGTGCTAGCTTGGGTATTTTACCGATAGTTTGGGCAAGCCGCGTTCGAGGCTCTGAAGTGTTCAGTACTCCCACAGCTTCTGCAGGCACGCATGGTTGTATGAGATGACATGATATTTCAATGCCTTTTTGTATAAGATGCGTTGTCCTTATTGATCAACATCGTGTTAATTTATAATATCATTTTGAGCCCTTCATAACAGTGAGGGATAAAGGATACATTCCTTCGTTGCTACCTAGGGAAGCTTTGAAAATAAAGGACGTTTGTGAATTAAAATGTCAGGGTTCTGTACCGATTCCATATTTGGTAAGGCCGTGTATATCTTCAAAAACTGCGCCTGAAACATGGGTAGATCGGAGTTGTTTATTTAAAAAATTCTCACAAAATGCAAACTTAATTCCTTGAGACACCTTTCTCAATGGGCGCGAATGCCCTCTCGACATCATCGACGTTCAAGTCACTAAAGTTTTCCCATTTCTCCAATAATGAAAACGCCTGCTCAACTTCTTCTGGATCCAAATCACCAAGCTTCACCCACTCCTGCTCATATGGATCTTGTAGGTGCACATAAGGCTCTCGATTGTCTGCTTGGGTTAGTTTCCAAGTCATACACCGGGCGTTGGAGCCCGATGGCTTTTTTTGACAAAGGGAGCAGTCTAACGACTCGGCAGCTTCTGTGTTCAAGCACATAAGGGATGATGTGGAAGGAAAAGCGTTCGCGGAGGGCAAAGGATCCATGAAGGAAGCCGAAAGAGAAGTGATGGTAGCCTTCTTTCCTATGTTGTTCCTGGCTATACGTTGAGTATGAGAAGGAAGAGCTTGAGGCGAGGTGGCGGATTCACTTTTTCTCTCTTAATTTCCTTCATAGTGAATGAGGTCGCTTCGCTCTCCTGCTTTCTTTTGCTTCCTCTCGCAGGAGATGGGGCATAGGGAGAAGAAAGAAGAATTTTGTTTTGCCCTCAGAGTTTGACTCCTTGTCGAATGAATCTTTGGAGTGGGCCAATGAGAATTGCGAGCTTCTTTCATGGTGTTGCTTTTTTATAATAAAAGTGAGGGTTAAGTGTAGAAGAAAGCAAGTATGATATGGACGGTTTGAGGTAGAAGACCTTTTTTTTTGCCTTTTATACACTCCTGTAACCTAATGTTTATTGGAACGCACAGACTTGCAGAGATGAATATGAACACACACATCGAAATATGTATAAACGTGGTTTATTAATAGGCTCGGTGCCATCCTGTCTGCAAAGCGGCAAGCCACCAATCACCGTTCCATAAATGGAAGGCGGGCTCTCTACTTTGCAGACAGGCTGGTCTCATACAGTGGAATCTCGATAATTGTACATTTTTGTACAAATTTCGAATTTGATATATTTCTAGGCCATTGGTTGGCTAAGAGCCTCTCAATTCAAAAATACTATTGTAAGCTGACCTCTCTATGTCAAACATGGCAGGAGGGCAGGTAAGTGACTGGCAAGTGAGGGAGATTGTAGCTAAAGGAAGGGATTGCAACTGAGGGAAGGTGATGGCGTAAGCTTGAAAAGATCTTGTGGTATTTTTTTTTTTTTCTTTTGTCAATCATCAAACACGACACAATCATAGCATCAGCCATCAAGCAAGTCCCTCTTCTCTAGTCCGTTCTATTCACGATGTCGGCTACTCTCTCGAGCAACAGACACAGCTGCAGCTGCATTGGTCCCTCTCTACCCTTAGGGCAGGGAGAGTTTAACAGCCATCTTCGCGGTGGCAAAATCCCACCATCTTCGCCATGGTGATGATTGTTAGTGACCAGCGCTGTCTCTGCAGTTGGTTTTCTGTCTGCTTCGAGATGGAGCAAGTCTTGATCCTTTTCACTGTCGCCTCTGTCATTCTCGCTGTCAATTGCCATAATAGTAACCACCTCAACATTTTTTCAGTCTACAGCTGATATAACATTTTGCCAGTACTCGATTCTAACTTTTTTTTTTTTTTTTTTTTTTTTTTAATAATATTAATAATCATATTATTACTATTATCAATATTATAACATACAAGACAAAAGAAGGAGGATCCGGAGCATCCGCAGCCGCACATGGACAAGAATGTTTGGCCTTTGTTGTTCACTCACCACTCACTCCCTCATACTTATTCGATATATAACATTTAATAAATCTACAGCTCGTCACTTTATTACTTTTTCCGGGGGGCTGGGAATGTGAAAAACCAAGTCTAAAAGTACTCCTCATGGATGGCACTTTGTGTGCATTGCATTACAGTACAGCGCAAAATTCTCAGCGTTGGGACGAGGGTATATCTGGAAATTTAGCCATAATCTTCGCATACGTTTCTTGTTGCTCTTGATGTTTAGCTTTTGCCTCTGCTTGGTCGGCCAAAAACTGCTTCTTATCATACTTGGTACTAGGATCTTCATAATCTGGGATCTCCGTTAGAAACAATTTGTCAGCATGCAACTGGATGATCTTTCGAGCATCGCCTTTTGCTATTGCTGCAGCAAGCATCATAACATCATGCCGTGCACCAGGAGACATATTCTGGACCCTCTCATCATAGTCTACTTGCTCTTCAGATCCATCAGTATCCATAGAAGAATCGTCATCTGAGGGTTGGATATGGACACGACTGACATAGGAGCCTCTCCTACTAGCTTTTGATATCGCGACATATTCGCCCAATTCCTCTGCATCACTGACATATACTTCGTGATCCTCGTCATCGTCATCATCATGCTCCTGCCAATCTACATCCATAAGTTCGGCGGCGCTTGGTCTTGGGGCGAGGTACGACAGAAGTTTCTCAGTAACTAAGCCTTCTTCTTCCAGCAATTCATTGATGGCATGGTATATGATGGGTGTCCCGTCAAGGATCCTCGCAAATGGTGCAACCGTATTCCTTAGTCTCGCTTCACGATCAGTGCGATTAAGGTCCCCGTAAGCTGCGCACACAAAAGGATCCTTAGAGCTTGGACTTGGTAGAGGGATGTTAGAACTTGGCACAGAAAGGTTAGGACTTGGTAGAAGAGGGTAATTGCGCCCCATGTCCGTTGTCGTGTTGCCAGTGTCGTTGGTTGCGGCTTCCTGTGCTTCATTATCGCACACTAGGGCCCAAAGCACATCTGGATCGTGCGCGACATTGCCTGAGAGCTCATTCTTTTGACGCCTACCAAAAATTGGGACATGACCAAAGCAGTTCCTGATACTCATACTTTTGACCTCGTCCCATGATCCAGCAATGATTCTCCATGCATCATAGTTAGAGACGGCATTCACCCGCCTACCATCTACATTGAAAGGGTCCAAACGCATGCTCAGAGTCTGATTCCTTACGTTGCTCTGATAGTATCGCTTAAAAACAGATATGATTCCTGCATCAAGCGGCTGCGTGACAGAAGTCGAGTTTTTTGGTAAAAAGATAACTCCGATGTTGGGGAAGCGCCGCCTGTCCTCATCCAGGAGCTTATGGCAGCCTGCATTATCAACAAGTAGCGCAACTTTTCGCTCATTATTTTGGGCAGCAATTGATTCTTGAAACCTCTCTAGCCAACTTAAAAACACGATTCTTGTCATGTAGTCAGGGCGATGGCGAGGCTTCTTTTGGCTTCTCGTATGAGTACTGCTCAGACTTTCGTCATGATCCTCAAAATCGCTGCCATGGCCCTGAGCAGCCTCGTTCCATGGATGAATCTCTATAAGTTCCTGAAGAATGCTATCATTATGGAAGCCTCGTGGAAGATATTTGCCTAGAAATACTCTGGTTATTACATACACTGTTTGAAATGCTTACACGCTTGAAAAATGAAAGGGGAAAAATATGAAAAATACTCTCAAACACTTACTGAGGACAAACGGCTTTCTTTTATCTGTCCCGGTAGCATTGGTACAAAGGAGTATAGAAACCCTTGTAGACGGAATCTTTATCCCTGCCAGCTTTTCAAAGTCCAAAGTCCATGAAGATAATGTCTGGAGAAACAAGCCAGTCTCATCGGCATTATAGATATCTTCAATGCGATACGCCTCCAAAGCAATCTTTATCTTTTCAACCTCCTCCGCAATAGCTTCCAGGTCAACTCCGCCCGCTTCTCCCATCATCTTATGGTATGTAATACCCCAATGGGCCTTGAATGAGTCGAACCACCCTGATGAAAATGAGGGCTTTGCAAATTCCAAAGGACCCAACTTTGTCACAAGCATATCATAAACATGGCCCGCCATTATCCTCATCAACGGTTGATTGACAGGCAGTCGGCGCTCGGACAAGAACTACTTCCACTGGATAAAAGGGCTGGCGCACAACTTTGAACTTATTGCCCCAATTGGCCCGCGGTTCGAGCTTGACTTTCTTTTCCCAATCGAGTAAGCGATTAATGGTATGTCGGCGAAGGTGATGCTCCTCTTCAAACGGTCCTTGCTTTGGGAAGGAATGCTTTCCGCCAAACAGCTGATGGTTGGCTACATGACTCTTCCACATTTGAAGGATATATTCCTTCACGTCAAAGCTATGTATTTCGTACTTTGAAGTGGATGGTTTGGGCATTAAAACCACAGGCTTATTGATGCGTCCCGCAGGCCCATGTTTAGAGCCGACAGATTGAAACCGTTGGGGGCTTTGTATAGGCTGTTGTCGGAACTGTTGTGGGGGCTGTGCCGCGGACAGCAGCGGATACTGTGGTGGTGGTGGTAGAAGGGGTGTTTGAAGCCGCTGTGTAAGTTGGGGCGCAGGAGATAGTTGATTCAGTGGTGTTGGGCGCTGCTGTTGAAGTTGTGGTGCGGGCGGCTGTAGATTGAGCGGTGGAGGGAGTTGATATGGAGTTTGCGGTGGAGGGAGGAGTGGATACTGTGCTAGTGGAAGCGGTGCAGGAAACTGTTCTGAAGATTGTGATGAAGGCAGCACGGAACTAAGCCATGGGGGATGTTGCTCTGACGAGTTTTGTTTTGATGAGCCTTGCATTGAGGAGTCTTTCTTTTGTGCATCAAGAATCTGCTGCCTATACTTCCATAAGTCCAAAGGAGCCTCTTGAGAACTCGTGGAAAGCTGTTGAGACTTTCTATGACTAGGCGAAGCTAGCAGATCGCTATGCATATTCGTCTCGTTGTAGTTCACAAATATCAAGCGCTGTTGAATGGGTGTTTGAGACTCCATTGTAAATAAATGCAAATGGTAAGAAGTAGGGAGATTATGAGTGGATGAGTGAAGCAGGAATAGTTTTGTTGTAGATTGAGGATTTTTATGCCAGTATTTATTCAAGGACTGTTGCCATGTTTAAGCGCTAAATGCTGAGTTGACTCTCTGCAAACTTTGATCAAGGTTAATTAGAGATGATTGTTATGATTATTATTGGCTCATGAGTTCCAAGGCCGATATTTTCGAGTCTTGAAGCCAAAGAGATTGTTGCCAGACAGAACTTTTTATTAAAGTCTCGCCTGACCGTCACACCATGTTCTAACCTAATGAATAAAAATGAAAGTGCCCCTGAGGTGCTTGCCTCGATACGCAACACACATCGCTTTCAGAGGCCAGGTGGCTCCATGGGGCTACTTAGAGTCACAATCATCCACAATCATCAATGATATTATTATAAATCTATCTGCGGATGGAGAGCGTGACAAAAATCGGAATTTCACGAACCTTTTTCAGCAAGTGGTGTTTGAAAGCTGTATCATTGGGCTTTATTGTGCATCTTTAGACCGGTGTCAATATTGCCAAAAGTTCCGACTTCTGAAAGGAATGTAAAAAAACAACCCGGGCAACCATTTGCCAGTGCTTCAGCCTTATTCGCGACGACGTATGAAATACGAAGGGCGAGTATATTTCAGATCTTGGGGTTCTTGGGGTGAAGGCCCAGGAGGCGAAGCCTGACGCCCACGAACCGCCTCTGCCACGCGCTGTACAAGCGGCTACGAGTAACAAGAAAACATTGAGCTGATTAATAATAGATCTAATTTATAATGCAATGTGGATCAAAGCTCGAACATGACAAGGGTACCTGCACGTCTTCCAGAATCCCAAGCCCACCACACATCCGTGAGAAAGTTGATCTATCGGTGGGCAAATGCATCCGACCAACTTCCTTCGGGATGTATAGTGCCTCGGACCTCAACTCCATCATGTAAAATCTCATTGCTGTACCTAAAACGCATTGGCTTTATAGTGTTAAAAAACATATATATGTGCATACGTAAAATACAGATATTTGAAACCTACTTTGGACAAGCACACCAACAACCACTGGGTTATTGATGTTACCCCAGACCATCTTGTTTAAAGACAGCTTCATCATGGAGAGCAGCTTGAGATAATCAAACGATAGGAGTTTCCCAGCCTTGATCCCAGGTTTTTTCACTTCCACGAGGAGAACTGGAAAGTCATCTACCCGTGCGATGATGTCGGGTCGGAATTCTTCCAGACTGGCATCCAGGGATGGCATCTCCTCGAGGCGAGAATCTCTAGCAGATGTTAAGACATAAATCGAGCGTTAAACGATTTTAGGGGAAACTTTGCCGGTTGGCAGATACTTATAAATGAATTCGTGATTACATGGCAATTGTTGCTCCCAATCCATGCAGGAGCGTCTCAATTACAGGAGTAACGAAGAAATGCTGGTATGTCGCTTCATTGAGCGATTGGCCTTTCTTGGTCCCCCATATTCGATCGGTACAGGTCATATTCTGGATTACCTTGAACGTGAGCGAATTTCTGACAGCATTTGGTGCCTTGGAAAGCTTATCCTGGAAATGCTGATAATCCTGGGTACCCGCAGTTCGGGTTCATCCTTTAAGGAAACTGCAATGTTCCTCGGGTATCCTGGTTACTTTCCTGGTCCCAAATATCTCTCCAAGAACCTGGTCACTAACCAGCGATTTAAGAATTGATTTCGAAAAGATAAAGTTGAGAGTTCTAGAGATATTACGGCAAGGGAGTTTTTAATATAAGTATCAACTCCGCATTCCACGCTCTACGAACACAGTTGCGAACACAGTTGCGAACACAGTGACATACAATAACTCATCAGCTTTTTTCAAAGTCGCTTCTTTCTTCACAAATATTTCCCGCGCCTCCATTGCCTTCAACGAAACATCTACGTTATTAATAATCAAGTGTTCATGGGAAAGGCGGCAAGATGTTGTTCCTCGGCCGACGAGATTCGTAACAATAGAGAGTCCCTATTAGTTGCATGTTAGTTGCATATTAGTTGGCAGTTCAATGTTTTTGGAATGCTATTTCAGCACTTGGCAATCTAATTGAAAGGGAGAGAACACACTTTTGAAGAGTTGCTCTTTTTCTTATTGGCAGTAATTTTATTGGCAGTAGTGAATTTAGGCATGTTGAAGAAAATGTTGATTGAGAGTGTTGGATAATTGGATAATGGGTGATTCAGCTCTTTTTATAAATAGTGCAGCGTTTATCTTTTGGAACGGTAAAGCACGGAGCTCTCGGGACAGCATAATGTAATGCAATGCACACAAAGTGCCATCCATGAGGAGTACTTTTAGACTTGGTTTTTCACATTCCCAGCCCCCCGGAAAAAGTAATAAAGTGACGAGCTGTAGATTTATTAAATGTTATATATCGAATAAGTATGAGGGAGTGAGTGGTGAGTGAACAACAAAGGCCAAACATTCTTGTCCATGTGCGGCTGCGGATGCTCCGGATCCTCCTTCTTTTGTCTTGTATGTTATAATATTGATAATAGTAATAATATGATTATTAATATTATTAAAAAAAAAAAAAAAAAAAAAAAGTTAGAATCGAGTACTGGCAAAATGTTATATCAGCTGTAGACTGAAAAAATGTTGAGGTGGTTACTATTATGGCAATTGACAGCGAGAATGACAGAGGCGACAGTGAAAAGGATCAAGACTTGCTCCATCTCGAAGCAGACAGAAAACCAACTGCAGAGACAGCGCTGGTCACTAACAATCATCACCATGGCGAAGATGGTGGGATTTTGCCACCGCGAAGATGGCTGTTAAACTCTCCCTGCCCTAAGGGTAGAGAGGGACCAATGCAGCTGCAGCTGTGTCTGTTGCTCGAGAGAGTAGCCGACATCGTGAATAGAACGGACTAGAGAAGAGGGACTTGCTTGATGGCTGATGCTATGATTGTGTCGTGTTTGATGATTGACAAAAGAAAAAAAAAAAAATACCACAAGATCTTTTCAAGCTTACGCCATCACCTTCCCTCAGTTGCAATCCCTTCCTTTAGCTACAATCTCCCTCACTTGCCAGTCACTTACCTGCCCTCCTGCCATGTTTGACATAGAGAGGTCAGCTTACAATAGTATTTTTGAATTGAGAGGCTCTTAGCCAACCAATGGCCTAGAAATATATCAAATTCGAAATTTGTACAAAAATGTACAATTATCGAGATTCCACTGTATGAGACCAGCCTGTCTGCAAAGTAGAGAGCCCGCCTTCCATTTATGGAACGGTGATTGGTGGCTTGCCGCTTTGCAGACAGGATGGCACCGAGCCTAGTTTATTAACTCAGCTTTATTACGGGTGAGGCCGGTTTTTTTGTGTGTAGTGTCTCGTGACCAAAAAGTTACTTAGCACACAGTCACAAACCCTTACGACTTTAGTATATAGATTGGCTTGAGGGCGTAAATTGACGCGTTTCTGTGTCACAACTGCAGTAAAAAAATAAAAATAAAAATAAAAATGGCGGTGCAAATAACCCGCATGTCAAGCCTACTGGGGGCTCAGTAGTTTTTTCCTGGCAACACTTATGGACTTTCTTCTTTCTTTCTTCTCTCACTTCCTTCTGCTCAGGACGTAGAAGGAGAATCATCTGAATCCTTTATTCATTCATTCACTCATTCAGCTAATTCTTTTTCTCCGTGAATCCACCTTCATCAATGGTTGCTGCCAAAGACGTGCCACAGGCACCTGCTTTGCCTGCTTCAGAACATGAATTGATGCAGACTATCCACACTGTAGGCTACCGCCATCGCAATACCTATATCCAGAATCTCATCAAAACCCATAAAGAAGCACTCCTCTCTCTCCTACCTGAACTCCTCAAGACTGTTCCCACCATTCTCTCTATTCCTATCCAGCGGCCTCCGCAGGATGAAACCACCTTGTATGCTGACGGTGGAAATCCATCTCCTGAAGCCGACGATGTCTCTCTGCAGTTTCCACAGACCAATGCATCATCTCGCTACGTACAACGTCAGGTTGGTCAAATCATTGCCATGACCTTAGCTCAGAAGGGTTGCAAGGAAGCAATTGCCTTCTTGCTGGCTGATTTGAACCATCCATACCAAGTGGGCAAAAAGCGATTGATCCAGTGCATTGCCACTTTTGCTTCGGACGTCGAAATCCTTGCTGCTACGACCGATACTGCACCTGCTGTTCGCGATGCCCTTGTAGCATCTTTGGTCAAGCAGAAGCGCAAGGGCCTTGCCAATGACATCTTGAGAAAGCCACGCGCGGTATGTAAGCTGTAGATACTTGAGATGGCTGTTCATACTGCACTATTGTAACTAGTCAATGATTAACTGATTCAGCTTGCCTCTTTGTCTTCTATCACTACAGGCGAATAAGGCTGATAAGAAAGAGCCCATCACGACTCGATTCAAACAAGCACTTGCAAAGGCAACAGAATATGAGCGTGAGAAAGTGTGGAAAGCATATAGCAAGATCATTGATGTTGCCAACCAAAATGTAAAAGGCGCTTGTGATCCCGGCGAGTCAATCAAAGACATTATCTTGACCCTCCAAGAGACCTATCCGCCATTGTTCCCTTGGGATGAAGCCAAGCCCGAGGTCAGGACTCCTATGCTAGCTCCATTAATCAAAGAATACATCCTTCTCTTTGTTCAATACGATGCCGAGAGAACATTCCGTATCCTTCAACAGACATCGTATCAAGCTCGTGGTTCCAATCTGGTGTACTCTGCCCATATCCCCAGCGAACTTTATGAAACCAGAAAGGCGCAGAACCATTGGAGCCATCATCCTCGTCACGAGGCAATGTTAGAAAAGTACGTTCTTGATCTGATCAATGTTGGTCAAGGAGAACTCCTCAAGAAGGACCAAATCCCTCAGCTGTTCAGTTGCCTCCGCGGCCCTGCTGTCACTCGGCTGGTACGCGCTGCCTTGAAAGTACTTGAACAAGATGAGTTCAAGATTCGCTCTAAAACACAAGGCAACCAACGGGTGAGGCGTCTGAATAATGTGCTCAAGTTCGTGGTGAAAGGTGTAGACAACCTGGTGCATCGTGTCGTCAACTGCTCTGTACACAAGGATCGTGTTGATTCAACTCAGAAGTTCCACCAGACATTACGAGAGCTCATCCCAGAGCTTTTCTCTCCTGCCTTGGAAGCTCTCCGTATCCAAGATGTGGATGATGATGCGGTCAATGTTCGTCTTTGCAGGAAGATATTCAATCCATTGTTTCGACAGTCCTCCAACTACTGGGAAGCTCACAAACTGTCACATATAAAGCGCTTCCCTCCACTGGCTGAAACTATCTTCGATCAGCTCCAGCCAATGTTCAAAACCAAGACACGCAAGGATAGTGCTGTAATCTCCATAGTTGAAGATCTCTTGGCTGTCCTTGCACCTTCAGATAAAAGCGTCTATGCTCTATCTGATGACGCCTTTGTGCAACCCTTTAGTTCTGTTCCCTCTTGGGACAACTCTGCTGTGTTCCAGACTTGTGTCGCTAACTGCCTGAATAGGACAGGAAAAGCAATGATTCAGCTGGACTCTACATGGATCGAGCACTTTAGCAAGCTGGGCCCAAGCTTGACACAAGCTCAGCGCGATGAGGTAGTCCAATGGATCATTGCACTACCCAGTTTTAAGCCTTTGATCGAGAAGGACCAAGGCGTATCTGTATACCCGATGTTGGAGGCTCTCTGCACCAATGCTGAACTCCGTCAACAGATCGTCCGTCCACTTGTGTTCTATGACAGGAGAGAGAAAGTAGTGGATTTGGGTGACAACCTATCCAACTGGGCATCTTTTGTCGATATCCAAGTCCCAGAAGTACGGGCCCAGCTTGTCAAGGAAACGACCAAGCCGTCTTTTGAGGATCGTCTTAAATGGCTTACTGCTATTATGAAAGCAACTCGTATGACAAAAGATGTGAACCAATGGCTCATAACACTGAAATGGCTGATTCCCAAGTGAGTTACATAGTCTCAGTCTTCCAAGCTATGATGAACTAAACCTTTATGTGCTCCTGGTTTTTTCTAACCTGTAACCCGTTTTTTTTTAATTTTTATTTTTGGAAACCTTATCATCGCAAAGGATCCGCAATGAAATTCAGCCCAACCTCATGGCTTTTGCGCCAAGTCTGTTCCTACGCGACCATATTATCCCGAGGCAATACCTAGATGACGCAGATCTGCAGCAAGCTAATGAGCTATCCGCATTGTACCTCGCCATGGACGCACAGGTAACAGCACATATTTCATATTTCTTTTTCTTTTGCAGGAAAGAAGGGAAAGAAAAGATAGCAATATCCTTGAGCAAGGAAATGACATATATGTCTTTCTAACACCATCAACTTTATTAGAATTCGGCTGCTATCACACCAGTTTCACAGATTACAAGGTTTTTGGACTCTATTGGCGATGCCGCTCTTTCGCGCTTCGCAAACAATGACTCTCACCCATTCTTCCAAATGGGAACAGAGATCCGCTGGCGACGAGTGGTTAATGTCCATGGCGATGTAAATGCTTTTAAGTACTTTGACCTGTCCTTTAGCAACCCTACTTACGGCCAGGATGTCCATGAACGCAATGAGCAACATGAGATTGCTAGACGAAAGGCAATTGCCAAAGAAAATGAGACATACAAAACTGAGGGTGGTGCATGGGGTCTACACCTTATCGAAGAAGGACAGGAGGAGACATATGTGCAGGCCAAGATCAATGCTTACCATAGCCGCTGGCTCACTGTGAAGGCACTAATGGCCCCAGATATTACAAGTGACTCTGTTGAAGCGTTCAAGTCGTCCCAAAAGATCTTCTGGCAAAACATTTGCTATAGCCTTCATGATGATCTAGGATGGCGATGGAAGAATTCACCGACGCTTGTGGAGTATCTGCATGAGACCTTGGATGTCCTAGCAAGTGCTCCGACTTTAGTATTCGGAAAGGATACTGTCCTAAACTGGAAAGACGACGAGTTCCTATCAAGTTCATCGAACTATATCCAGCATGTACGTGAGATCTATACACAGGAAGAGTGGGTTCAAAAGAATCTTGGCAATCTGTCATGGTACACACTGTACCGCGATCTTCGATTAGGATCAACTGCATATGAAGGGGAAGTAAAGGCACGTGTGAATGAGTGTGTGTTCCCAGGCGGCAAGCGTGACCATAATCGATACGAGCAACTCATGGTCGGACTCTTGAACAAATCTCCATCAGCTATTCACCTCCCTGCTGTCCTAGATTATGTTTGCGCACAGCGGCCGGATCTTTTGACAAATGACCATCTGTCGATGACCAAGAGTATTCCTGGACTATTCAATCAAATAGAGACCCCAGATCCATGGGACCTTTTATTTGTGAAGATCCCCTTTGAGCTAAACCCACAGCAAAGTGAGATGCTCAAGGCCAGACACTTGTCAGGAATGACCAACAGCTCGGCTCCATTCCAATCCCGTGTTCAGCATGCTAAGGCCTTTATGAGTATGCCGACAACAACAGTGGAAGATGTTGCCAATGCTCTGAACACTCCATCTTTACCATCACGCATTGTCGAGGCATTGCTGATGTTCCTTCCGACCCTGGGAGAACCCGCAAGCACACTTCAGCTCCTCATGGCTCCAGTCTACCTTCAATCTCATGTCGCTCGTACATCCATTCATGCAGTTGAGAATGCGCTCAAGTGTGTCCCTGTTCAGCAAATCCCTGACTTTATCATACCGCTTTTCCCATCCTCTGGACAGCGCCAACAAAAGGTCACTGTTCAGAAGGAAGGCATTCGTTTGGTACTGTCGAGTATGTCTCTGCTGGTGGATCCAAAAGTCAGCTCGCTGATTGAGGATCTGTTAGCACGTCGGGACCTCCATCAAGATGTCAGAGTGGTTACCTTGCAATCACTGATTCGCTTACTTACCGGATCAGAAGGCAGAGAGGAGCGCTATAAAGCCACCACAGAGTGGATCTGGACTACTTTATCTACTGTCGCTCAGTCTACCTATCATAAAAAATCAGGGGTTGCATTGGTCCTTCTTGCAGTGTCCCCTTCATACAAACACAGTGGATCAGTGCCTACTGTGTACTCTGGCAATGTAACCCGCACTCCTCATTATAACGCAACATTAACAGCTCTATCCAAAGACATTGTCCCTGAACGTATTATCGACCGTTATGTCAGTGATGTCCTTATCCCTATGGCTGCTGTTCCTGAAGGTGACAGTGCGAGGGACAAAGATCTAATTGAAGTCAGAGTCCTGACGTTGCAAATGCTTGCTCAGGAGAGTGGGTGGATAACCTTCAAGTATGCTTTACACTTTGCTAAAGAATGGCGACAGGAAGCGGCTAAGATGTCCCTAGATGATGACCCATATTCACTTTGGAAGCTGTTTGGTCTTGGTATCGCTCGCTGCATTGGTGTGGAAATTGCAGGTAAAATAGCGAACGCTCAGGTCGGTGATGATAGCAGCAAGGCCAATATCAAAAATGACAACAGTAACACATGCTGGGAAGAGCTCATTGGTTATATACAGGATCAAGTGGACGTATTCCTAGACAAGAGCCGACGACGTGGCTTCCGCAAGCTAGCGCTTGATCGAATTGAAAGCCTTCAATTGGCCAACAACTTTACACTTTATAATTTTGACGCTGCTGAGAAGGCTGGTACCTTCATCGGCAATGAAATGGATCCAGTTCGCCCCCTTCTCTCTCAAGGAATGGAATCGGTTTTATGGGTGACAATCTTAGGAAGAGAGATTGCACTGTTTAACCCTCAGGAAAATATGACGCAAGCACAGATTAACCAAGAGGTCCTTCGATTGCTTATACGTATTGCTGACTTGAGCAATAAGTTCCTATCTACAGACGATGGAGCCACTGTCATTTCGTGGGTTATATATTCGCTTCTTCACAAGGGATGGAACAACGCAGAGCTCAAGAGAACTCTTGGTAAGGCTCTCATGGAGCCTAGCGAAGAATTGGCCGACTGGGTTCATGGAGACCTTGTCGCCTTGCATATTCTGACGAATGCCATTGGGGTCTTTCCGCTGAAGGAGATTACTGCATTTATGGATCGACTGGCGACTGCAGAGAATACCAGCTTCTATTCAATGAAACGAGATATGATCTCAACTATCCTCCTAGGTGAGCTAGCTCTTGTGCGTGAAGCAAATAATGGCCAGTTGACGATGGAGCAAATCACATCTATGCAAGAAGCGTTTTCAACATTGGTTCAGCGAGCGCAAACAGCAGGAAAGAACGGGCCAGACACTGCTATTGTCCACCGTATGCTGTTAGCTGATACTTCTTTGATGTGTGCCGCTTTCCCCAAAGAAGTCGGCCCAATGCTTCATGAGCTCCTTGTAATCGATATCGAAAGAGGCACAATCCCTGTTAGTATATCTACACGCAAGCCTCTTGATGAACTTGTTGAATTTGGACCTCAAGCCATTGCCTTAGGGAATACTACAGGCATGGGAAGTGGATCTGAGGCGTTCAGTAGCGGCTATGGCATTTCACCAGCAAGCGTCTTAATCCTCGAAGCCTTCCTGAATGGCAGCCTGGATGCTCTGGATCTGACTCCATTCATGCAGCCACAAGACCTCCCTTTGAATATCGCTCGTGGCCAATGGTTTCCATTCCGAGGCAATTCGGATTTGGCAATGGAGGTAGAGCACCTCAACAATAACCCGAAGACACTTAAGGAGCTGGATGCTTACTGGGAAAAAACTGTAGGCAGCTCTGAATACTTGAAGAAGCTGGACCAAGGTTAGTCTTGAAGGATTTGGCCCTCTCTCTGCATCTCTATCTCTATCTTTACCTCTCTCCCTCTTATCCCCTCAGTCCCACTACATTTCTCTTTTCTTGACTCACATAACTGGAGAGAAGCCTGCAAATCTAACATTCATTCTTTACTCTCTCTCTCTCTCTCTCATTGTTCTTTTGACTATATCTGAACTGATGGGTGGTCAAATAGCTGTCCAAGCCAATGCACAGAAGAGTGTATCGCCGGCTCTTCTTGAAGGTTACCGTGCAAGTGCGGTTGAGACTCTTGCTGGGAAGGCCAAGTTTGTGCTGATGCGTCCGTTTGTGTGTCTCGAGTTTATGCGACTGGCACTGACAGCACCAGGAGCTACATTAACGGCTGAGAAAGCAGCAACACAGTTAGCGGCGGCCTTCAATGTAGCTCGAGAGCCAGGTGCGGATGATTTCACCTATATCTGGGCTCCGCCTCTGTCTCTGGCTCTGGACATGGCCGAATATTTATTGCATGAGGTCCGTGAAGAGGCTCGGATTGAAGGTCAGCGTGAGGCTCAGATGATTGAGAAAATGACAGCTTTGTTCTTGAAGAAATGGATGGGTCAGGTGGTGCTAAGGTTTGCAGGCAAGGTTTTGGCAGAGGCCGAAGATGTCAAGGCCCTAGAGGCGCGGTATATAGCGTTGGCTGACGAGTTGTGTGAAGCAGGCTCCGGTGGTCAGAGTATCGCATTGACTTTAGGAGACTTTATTCCTGGAGGAGCAGATCCACTTACGAAGAAACTAACTAGAAACCAGAAAGTAGGTGGTGACGACGAAGATATGGTGGACACTGAAGGAACGATGGCTGAACTATCAAATTTAAATACTTGAATGACATGAGCAAAAGCAACAAATAAACCTACAGTGTATGAACAAAACTGAGTCCTTTATGGTTCTTAAGCACAAGGGGCATATTGCGTGGCTGTATTTACATGAATGATACTAATAAATCTATGGAGGCTTAGTCTACACTTCAAATCTTGCTACTTTCCGTTTACCGCCTTCAGTATCTATAAAGGCATAGGTGGTCATGTTCTCATACAGCTCCTCGTACGAAAAGTCGCGCTTGTAGTCACGGTGGATGATGCCTGTTCGAACAAAGAACCAGAAGTACAATCCCAGATAAGCCAAGCCAAAACAGATCAGTACTTGGACCACCAGCCTATCTGTCAAAATATACGGTGCCACTTGGTTTTCAAGGGTAGGAGCTGGCTGCAGGAAACGCGATGGATTGTGGATGATGCCCAAGAAGAGTATCGCCCCCCACGTGACCGGAGCAATGTAGCTTTGGAATTGTGTGAAGTGGCGAATTAATCGTGCACTAGAAGAGGGGAGCACATACAAAAAAAAAGAATGAATTTCTCTAATATTTTCTTTCTTTCTTTTTTGGCTATCCAAGCTCTTACCTAGTTCCCCAAGAATTATCGTAAAGCGTTAATGCAGCGAAAATCTTGGCAGGCACATAACCGAGTATGTACAGGAACCCATACGCAGTCGTAAAGAAAAACTTTTTGTCGCCTGTTACAGAGACAGCATATAGAGTCTTCATCACTCCAACGAACATTATTGAGACCATCCACCATGAGATTTGAGACCCTGTGCCAAAGTAAATGCAGTTTACTAGGCTATAAACCATCATCATAGGGTAGATCAACTGGTACAGTAGTGCATAAGTCATCCAAGGGCTATGCAGTTGGATGCATCCCAGCTGGATTGGGATCTCTCGGAAGAATGATTTCGACCAACGAGTCTGTTGGGTCACCCAAGCAATGAAACGGATAGGTGTATCAGTGTAGCAGATGGCGTGATGTGAGAACTTGACCTTGTATCCCTCTCTAAGTACCAAGTTGGTAAGATGACGGTCGTCACCATAGGTACAGAGGACACCCAAGAATGATTGGTGAACCCATTTGTCCATTACATCGGCGATGATTGACATTCGATAGATCCCTAGAGGCCCTGAAACGCAGTTAACGACCGAATGGTAGGACTGAGCACCTCGTTCCAGATTGAACGCGAACCAATAACGAACTGAGGAGAGGAATGAGACCCAAGTTCCCGTATTGTAGATCCGGACGTCCCCAGTAGCGGCCCCAATGATGGGGGACTCTGCTAGTGCGAATGCTAATTCTGTTTTGAAAAGCTAGTACCTGTGAATATCTTTGATATTTGTTTGAGAGGGGGACTTCACTAATGAATTACCTTTGCAGACGGCCGGATCAAGGAAAGTATCTGAATCTGTCACAACAACTGCGTCTACTCCCTGCTGTAAAAGTGCTGCAAACCCAGTATACATTGCGCTTCGCTTGCTACGATGAGGCTGCATCACACAAACAGGACCAGAATTGTACGCAATTTGTCTAATCAAATCCCCTCGCTCTTTATCGTCCGATGCCCTATCCATACAAAGGAATTGAGGGCGAAAGACAGCTGCGCCTTGTTTTCTAAAGACCTTCATGAACACCTGAGCCATGTATTCGTCCTGAGGTTCGTTTCCATCCACCACTAACAATATTCGCTGATTCCGCTGATATCGCATGGCCCTCAGGCTTTTGAGACAACCTTCCAACAAGATCGGATCCTCACGGTATCCGACTGCCAGAATCCCTGTGCTGACGCCAATCCAATGGGAATCACGATTCTTAACACGATGGTTGGTTTTTTGACGGTTTAAAGCTGAAAACAAGATTACCGCAACGAAATCCGCCGCCATGAGCATACCATATGTGACAGAGGTCTGCCAAGCTCCAGCAGATACTTGAAGATGGAAACAGGCCTTGAGGACACAGTACGGAAGCAGAAAAATTGATGCTGTAAAAATTACCCAGACAGTCTTCTTCCATAGAGACACAGGTGTTGACTTGAGACCACAACTTTGAGCAGTCGGCGTGTAGAGTGAGGATGGCCTCGTAAAGTTTTCATCAGCCTCTGCAAACGGATCATACTGGTGGCGTGAGCGATAAATAAGTGGACTAGTCTCTTGATTATATGGTAAATTTGGCGACAGAGGAGGTTCATATTGGTGTTGGTTATGATGGTGATGTTGTTGAAAAGCTGAGACGTGTATTGGTTGGAACGGTTCGACGGGTGAGGGCTGGTTTGAACTCAGGGGCGAATGTATACCAAGATGTAGCATAGATGGGCATAAGCGGGATGCACCGACCTTCCTGTCCCCACTGCCTTCAGGACTAGATATGGAAGGAAGACGTTGTATCTGCTGATCCTGTTCGATAGGAGATTGGGTCCATGGGTTGGAACAGAAATTTTGGTCATAGTGGCCTTCAAGCTGGTGATTGTTCGTTCCATGGTAGATAGGTGGTCTGCTGGACTCCTGAACATGCTCTAAGGGCTCAGCAGGGGCGATAGAAGGTGTTGGTAATTGTGCAGAGACTATTGCCTCAGGACTAGGAAGGCTTGGAGGACTCGGATAGGCTGCTCCACTCGTAAGCTGCATGATTGGCGTCTTCCTTGACCCCAGTGCACGTTCATGATGAACGAGCAAACTATCCGCTCTCTGGCAATGGTGATTAATCAAACTGTCCACTGCTATATCATCCTGCACATTATTAGGATGAGTAGTACTTTCAGAAGTATATCGCTTATTTTCTCCAGACTTGTGTCTATTCATTATCGGCTTACACGTATCGCTGTAACACAAAGTATGACCACGATCATAAATACTGCTATTTAGTTCATGGACGTGATCCTGCTGAATATGTGATGAGAGCTCTGAGAATGCCCTTAGCGATGGCAGTTGCTGATATTTTTGATTGCCATGACAATTTGGTTGACGCTGTTGAGCCATCATATTATAATCAACTAATAAAGGAGCTCCATGTTGGTGGCTATCTATACCTAGACCCTGAGCGGATGAAAAGGTGAGAGGATCCTTGGAATGAATATTAAGGCTGAAATCAGAGCTTCGATTGGCTCGGTGGCTCTTGATTGATGGCTTCGTTGATGGTTGAGATGACATTATTGATACTAAATGAACAGGAAAGAAAGAACGAAAAGAAGGAAGGGAAGGGGGGAAGGGAAGAAAGAAAGAAAGAAAGAAAGAAAGAAAGAAAGAAAAGAAAGAAAGGAAGAAAGGAAGGCGGGAAGATGGGTACATTACATATGAGATCTTAAAAAATATATAGAGCCCCAGAATGCTGAAAACTGTCGAGATCTGACATTACAGAAGTGATGAGGTAATTGGTTGGATCAGAAGCGCCGTGCCGTATGAAGCGGACACAGCCTTTGGTTGCAATTGTAAAAGGGGAGGGAGGCCTAGGAAAAGAAGCGCGTCAGAAAGAGCGAAAGAAAAGAAGACAGACGAAAGAGAAAAAAGAAAGAATAGGAAAACGCGTCGTGTGTAATTTACTCGCCATAAAATAAGAATGTGGTCAAGCTTCACATAATTGTTTGGAGGGGTTCTTAAACAGAGTCTAAATGTTCCCTGAATTATTCAGATCCAATAACTAAGGAGACAGTGGAATTCTCAAACTATCCAGATGAGGGGAATTCCATCCATCCACTTTTGTATTGTACAACCATCTGGAAGTCTTGACAAATAATAGACACACAGAAAAATTTTACCGATCGACATAGACCTTTATACTTTCGTTAGAGAGGTTGATAAAATTACTATATGAATGATGAAAGCGTTGTGTGACTTCAATAACGACTGATCTCACCTTTGCCTCCTTCACTCTCTCTAGCCTCTTGGACGTGAAATTAACAAGATTGGTTAGCTTCCCCTGTGCTATTCTTCAATAAGAACTAGTGTGAGAGTGGGAAGATCCCTTGGCTCTTTGATGCGCTTATCATGAGAAGTGGCCAGATGTCCAATGGTTTTCAAATCTGGGGAGCATCCTGGTCAGTCTGGAATCCATGAAACACTATTCTTTTCATACCATTCCTTAACAACCTTGCAAGTATGAACTAGCGTATTGTCCTTCATGGAATACCCTCCATCTTAGTCATATACCAAGCTAATTTAGCTGAGCCTCGTTCAAATATGACCATGCGGAGCTTTCTGGATGTTGTGGTCTCTCCAGACTATCAGAGTCGTTCCACCATTCTTGAAAGCGGATGCAAGGCAACCGTGCTCGTGCTCCTTCTCCGTCGTATGCCAAACCCTTTTATGACGAACGTGCCCATCAACTTCAAGAGATGATACCAGGCCAAACCTCCTGATTCCAACCTTCCTTGGGCCAGTTCCTATATTTATTGTCAAGATCTAACCGCCTCTTCTTGTGCTTTTCATTTAAAGGTTGTGTTCCAGTTGGAAATACTCAGCAGATGCGGTACCTTTGTAACTGCTCTCTTACTCACTTTATCCGGTAATTACTTATAACGTCCTTAGGAGCGGTCTCTCCTTTCTCCCTCTGTGTGGCGGGCAATGCTCCTGACATCAGCGTTTTGGGCTGTCCTGGGGGCGGAGCGCGAGCGGTGGTGCTTCTTCCTTGAAATGCTTTGATATTATTACGGTTGTTGTTCTATAAATGCTGGGATTAAATATGGTTTCTACGCCTTTTATGCCTGCAGGATACATTACATTGACGATACATTTACTCATGATGTCTGAATAATGATGCTTTATTTAAGATGAAAATGATTTCGTCCAAACGTCTGCTCTGTTGTAAGAAAATGAGAACGCGTTGTTTGGCTCTTCCATGAATTTTTTTTTTTTTTTTTTTTTTTTTTGAAGTATTTACATACATTTACCTCGTACAGCTTTGCTGACTGAATTGCACATTGATATTCTATTCACTAATATACGAATCTGGATCTAACACCAATCCAGCTGCAATTTAACCAACGAACAGGTTTTTCGCCCGTAGAAAATGTGGACATGCTTAAAAAGAAAAAAGCGGCTCGAAATGGCGTTCTGGTCTAGCCAAACTTCCACAATTTCTTCAGGATAATGAGTTTCTTGTGATAAGACTTTTATTTGCCCTTACGCCACATTTTTCTTTAATTAGGACAATTACACCAATGTATTGCTTACTGCTCGTAATTGATGCATTATTTTCATCACCATGCTCCATCTAGTCTGTCTATACCTGCCTCCTATTTATTTCGATCCAGCCATCCTCTCCAACCTTGATATCTAACTCCTCAAAGCTCTTGACAATGGGATTAGCACCAGCTTCAATCAAGTGTTCCAACGGCATGGTCCCAGTGTTTAAGCCAATCACAGCCTTGGCACCTGAGGCTACACCAGCACGGACACCTGCAGGAGCATCCTCAAAGACAACACAATCTTTTGGATCAAGCCCTAGTTGAGAAGCTGCAGCCATGTAACCTTCGGGGTGAGGCTTTCCACGAGTTACATGATTAGCTGAGATCAAGACAGGTGGAGTCTCCAGCCCAGTCTGTAGAAAGCGCAGCTTCGCCATATCCAAGCCTGCACTGGTCACTACAGCCCAAACATTGCGTGGGAGAGACTTGAGCAATTCAGTGACTCCTGGGACGATGAGCATACCATCCTTGTCGTTAGCAACATTCTCTTCCAACTTTCGGCAATATTCTGGTGTTTGATATTCCTTTTGGAGGTGTGCAGGAGCCCATTGTTTCATTATCTCGAATGAAGGACGACCATGAGAGGTGGCGATCAATTGCTCAAATTCAACACCATGACCTTCGCACCAAATCTTCCAATGGCGTTCTACAATGACCGTTGTGTCGATCAAAGTACCATCCTAAGTTGGTAGGATTAATGGGCCACTTTGTCAGCAAAAAAAATCTTTATACACGCACGAGGCATTAATGATTTAGGATCAAGATGAGATCAAAAAAGTTGCAACTGTATCAGTTGGGAGAAGAAACAATTGCAAAGCGTAAAGTCAGAAACAAGTATTTTTTTTACCATGTCAAAGAGAAGGCCACGGCAGCGGATAGGGAATTGAGACTCTGGCAAAGTCATGGCGTACACTATGGATATTTCCTTTTATCTTTGATTTAGTGCAAAGCCGAGTGAAGAAGAATGTGAAACCGAATGGATGAATTAATGATGGTGATTATTTAAGAAATAGAATGTATTGTAATGACTATTTGAAATGAAAAAAAAAAAAAAAAAAAAAAAAAAAGGCTCGACATCATATATTTTTAGTCCCAACGCCAGCTGAATGATGATCAATCGGTCTGAGTACCGGAGGGTGTGTCTGTGTGAGAACATCTACCTCATTTTCGACAGTAGCTTTTTAGTTCAGCCTGATCACACAGGGTGACGATAACAAGCAAGCGAAGATCTATTGGCCGATAAGGAGCAGCAATAATCAAGGAACATGTTTGCTGTATTTGTTTATCAAACCGTCTAACTGCGCAACAGATCTCTTGTACGTGAAAAATAACTGTACTGTACATGTACAGTTTTGTTAACGGCTTCTTGCCATCCTTTTTTTGCGTACACCGCATACGCAGGCACAATTTGCCCTCTCTTTCTGTTTTTGACAGTTGGCTCCAAGTAAACCCTGGCATCATCAATTCTTTCTTTCTCTCATTTTGTTTCATCATTCATTTCATGTCATTAACACATGCTACAACAGACAATCAAAAAATAGCCTTCATTTTTAAACCTTTTTTTTTTTTTATTTATTTATTTACAGCGTTTTTAATTGTTTTATCCATTTTAAAAAAACATTTATCCATTTTCAATTTGCATTGCTCCGATGGGAAATAAGCTTTATCCATTTAAGCTAATAAAATTATCCTATAAGTTATCCGAATGTGTCTGAAATATTATCCATTTTTTCAAACATAATAACCGAACCGACTGTAACAAATATCCAAACACCATGTCCTTTTCCATGTCCCACAAAAGTCATGGTTAATTCCGCATGACCACTTGGACAAAATTTGCAAACACTTGGATAAATTTCTCAGCCCTTTTCGGCCAACTTTTTAACTTACCTTTGGATAAATTTTTTTATTCATTGGAACAATTTTAAAAAAAAACCGATAAAGTTTATTTTAAAATGGATAAAACAATTAAAAACGCTGTATTTTGTAGTTTGTAATCGGAAGGCCCCTGTCACACAGACGCGTTCTGCACAGGTCGATCTTGTCTGCCATTTGAATTCTCTTTATTGCTCCTTCTTATCAACTTTGATTATTTCCCTATATCAATGGCCTCCGTCCAGTTCTCGTCACTTATTTCGCAACTATTTTCTAATCAGACAAGGTCAACTTACGATGCCGCCTCAGCATTTCCCTCCTATGCCGCTGTCTTCATTGCAAATGCTGTAGCGGCAGCGGCCGAGGAATCCGAGTTTTCATGGCTCAATCCTTTGACTTGGAAGTGGACCTACACAACTGAGAGTCATCTCTTCGCCTTAGTCACCACCAGGCCTAATCAAGATCTACTTCCTCCTCAAAAGACCATATCCTCTCACCTCTTCTTTGGCGTCTTCTTCTTTTGTCTTAATTCACTTTTCCTCTTGTTGATGTCGCCTTTTCCTCGTACTACCCGTAGGAAACAGTTTGTAGCTTTTCCACTCTTGGCTATATTATTACTTGAACCCTTGCTGTTTAACAATCCTTCTGAATTAGGACAGATGTGCATATCCGTAATAGCCATTGCGACTGGAACAAGGATGGTGGATCTCTACTATGTTCAGCCCTGGACTGGAATCCCTAGTCGCTACTATTTAAACAGCCCATCCACAACTTCAACATTGAACTCAACAGCACGATCCAAAAAAGATCTAAACGAAAAAGACAGACCAACTAGCAACGCGGACTCCTCCCCATTATCCACCTCTGCTTCAAACTCACCTTCAACTTCGTCACTTTTGAGCAAGTCTTTAGTAGATGACAACTTTTTGATGTGGGATATGGATCGGCTCAAAATGGAATTATGGTTTCCTTTTCGTCGATTCTCGTCACATCCAGGTGGAAAGTGGCTACGCTGGCAGGACCTCGTTCCAGTGAGCTTTGTGTACAATCTTATTCTTGACTATGATATTTACTATATATCCCAGTACACATCCGACGGACTGGATCAACTACCTATCCTCCATTATGGGCTATGTATGTCTGCCATTGGAATATTTATCATGATCCATCTCCTCTGGATCTATGTGACCGTGGCCATGATCTATTCCATGTGCACAGGTCGACGTCTCAGCACCAAAGAATGGAGCATGCTGGAGAACAGACTTCCGTGCTTTGCATTGACGCCTGTTGATTTCTGGAGGAATTGGCAAACCGTTTTTCGATACCTATGGGTTGATCTTGGGTTCCTTCCTGTACAGCGATATTGCAAGCAGCATCTTGGTCCAGATCGTCTTGGTCATGCGTTTGCTAAGGTGCTAAGGCAAGCCCTCCCAGCTCTCTCAGTCTTTGCTCTGTCAGCCATCTTACGTGCCTATATTGTTTACGCTGTCTGGCGTGAGCCCATATGGAGCCAATTGCTCTATTTTACTCTTCAGGGTATTGCAGTGGTACTGACAAGAACAGTGGAAATGACGCCTGTGGGTGCTTGGATCAAAGACACATATAATAAGGGAGGTCGCTCAAGTCGATGGATATGGACAGCATTGGGTCTGTCAATGATGGCATTCTTCCATACACTTACGCTTCCTTTCTTTGTGCATCCATACAAAACTCACAACATATGGCTGCCTCTAAGGCAGAGAAGTGTTTTGTGGTGGATGTTTGGTAAAAACTTCCCAAAGCCAAATTAAATAGTTTTATAATTGCTATTATTCTAGATAATAAAGACTTGGGAGCTACAGTAGCATAACACAGATTACCTTTAAGAAAAGCAATCGTGATTATTCACGGCTGTTGCCAGTGGCCAAAATAATGGAGATTTTTATTTTTGAACGCAGTAGATATCGAATCTCGCAAGCTGTGGCACCCGCTGCTAAATGGCCCTGACTCAAATGGTTTCCAAAGCAGTGACAGCCTTCAAGCCCTTCTTAATAACCAATGGCTCGTTGTTTTTGGGGAAGCGCTGGATGAGAGCCAGGGCTTTTTGAAAAAGAGTTTGTAATTCTATTGAATAAGCTCGACGGGGAAATCTGGTCTTCGATGAAACCATTTGAATCAAGTAAAAGGTTGCTGTACAAGGACATTGGATTGGTCGATTGAAGGACAACCTTTATGCCTTGTGCCACTAGCTTTTTGATCGATGTATAAATATTTTATATATGAATATCTATATATATTTAAATAAGGATAAGATGATTGATTGGCTTTCTCACAAAATCCAGACCAGTCGGGCTCGGCTATTCTTGTACACAAAAAATCTCCGTGCACATGCAGGTTCGGGGAAATTCCTCAAGACATTATATACTGTAGATATTCAACTGAGCTCTGTTTTTTTTTTTTTTTTTTTTTTTTTTTTTTGACTCTCATTTTGCATATGATGCGACGTCCAATTAATGATTCAATGATTCACACAGTTAAACAAGTCTTTTTTTTTTTTTTTTTCAGGACCACGAAAGGAATGGGATCATAGAAAACTGTACAGGTTTGTTTAAAAGGATATGGTCTACACCTAATCGCATTATGTAATGAATATTGCTAAATGATTATGCAAAATTAAAAAATTATGAAATAAAAGGACTCCCCCTCACTCTGGGATGGTGTGGGGAACATTGCCATCCAGGCCAGGAGAGGAGGGAACGACATAGGCGCCTTGAGGTGCACTCACCCGCCTATTTTTCGTGCTTGAACTATCCGAGATGATCGACATGTGCTTCATACCAAATGTGTCATGGTAATCGCTTCTGGTAGGACTGTTGGGCTGAACAAGCGCAGACCCGTCCGCTGGCACTTTGTAGGGGTAGGTCTGACCTAACTGGCTAGGGGAATAGCTCTGCTGTTGTTGTTGATTCAATGGCAGTGGTGGTGGTGGGTAATACACATTGCTGGCATCCGAAAATACAGGACTTAGTTGAGGCTGTTGCTGGTATGGCGAAATACTTCCCTGAACCGAACTAGGATCTTGCACTGACAAGAGCGGCACTGCTGAAGGGGTCGAATAGCTTGAATATCCACTGTTGTAACCGCCCTCAACACTAGGACGAGCTTCTGACATATGTGATAGCTGAGGAGATGTTTGGATTGAGTGTAGATATTGTTGCTGAGCGGCGTAAGCCTCCTCTGGCGAGTGTCGAAATTGCTCTTGCAGCTGTTGAAGATACAATTGCTGCTCCTGTAGTTGAATGAGCTGTTGTTGCTGCTGCAACAATTGCTGCTGCTGGCTCAACCGAACCTCTAGATTATTAGCTGGAGGCGAATCAAAGTCATAAAGAGCTGGTGACAGATTTCCAGGTGGTGGCGCAGGTCTTTGAGGAGGTCCATCAAGCGATGGTTTTCCTCTTGTGGATCCCTCACCCTCCTCTGCCTTGGTGAACTCATAGTCAGGGACGTTCGATTTCCTGCCATGTTGCTTCTTTTTGTTGCGTCGGTGGAAGAGGAAGGCACCTACGATTAAAATGATTACTGCTGCTGCAGCAATGCCACCAATAGCTCCTGCTGGGAAACCGCCCTTTGCGTCGTCGGTCGATTTATTCTTATTTCCATCAGTTGAGTTATTGGGGTTACTGTCCCCATTACCGCCATTTCCCCAAGGAGGAGGATTGGAGCTGCTCTGGGCCAGAGCAGGCGAAGGAGTGTAAGTTGAGAGCCACTTTTGTGTCGACAAACTCAGCAAGAGTGTTGATTCGGCAGCAGAGGGAAGGCCGTTGGGACTGCTGGGATTGTCATAAAAGCCTCCCCAGACAATAAACGTATCGTCAACGATTGTGCATGCACACAAACCTCGTCCTCGGCCGCTGTACGGGACTGTTGTCCAAGTCCAAGTTGCAGTGTTGAGGATGTACGCATTCGGATCACCAACCTTTGCATTCTTTCCAAGATACCCGCCAAAAACAGCAACTAGACTGCCGTCAGCATCTATTTTTTGAAAATTTTTTTACAGTTTACAATGAGTAAGCAGCATAAGCAAGACAGAGAGCAGGCATTGGGACATAAACATTGAGCCCAAAATTAATCCCATTAAGAATAAAACTGTATACGTACTGCTTGCAGCACAATGTGAGAAACGCTGATGGTCGAATGGTCCAGTTGAGCTCTAAGATTTAGCATAATTGCCCAATCGTACAAGAAAGACATCACTGTTATTGTTGTTTCAATTCACATCCGTGCGTGCACAACAAAAAGAGGGAAAAAAAAATGGTGAAAAATGTAAACAATATCATACCTGTGTTGACCATCCTCCTGTCTTTGGATTGTACATCCACAGAGTTTGTGAAAGAGCAGAGCCAATCTGACCTCCAACCATCATCATCAATGAGAGATGGGATACCCATACAGCTGCATATGTGTATGCGTTTTGTGGGCCTGTGGATGGTGTCATTATCTCTGTTAACTTTCCTGTCGAGACATCATATGTATTAAAGGCATTCGAATGCTCCTCCCCTGCAAGACCAGCATCGCCTCCAATAATATAGATTTGATTGCTGGATGGGTTGGTTACAGCAAATATATCGCGGCGTGAGGGATCTCCGAGTTCTTTTGGATTGTTGGAAGTCCAGGTCTTAGTGGCGATATCATAGCTAAAGAGCCAGTAACCTGGTAGCATTTTAGCAGATGCCCCTGTATCCTGTCCAAACGTAAAGAAGGTCTTATTGTCAGAAGAATAGCCTGCAGTATGGTAACCATTGTATGGACCAGGTGGTAAAGAAATCCAGATGGGCTGGTTTGCTGGCCATGTTTTTGTCAAGTCGAGTGCGTAAAATTGCTGAACCAAGTCATCGTTGTATGTCGAGCCACTATGAACGAAAAAGTAGTTGCCAACTCGAGCGAAGGCCATCGCACCAACTGGTGTAGGCGCTTCCTGGGCGTGTATGGAGCTCAAACATGGGATCGCTATGCTCAGCGCCAGGAGAGCACGTCGAAGAGAGAGCATGTGTGTGGGTTTGTATGCAGATGAAAGTAGGTGGTGAGAAATAGTGAAAGAAAAGAGTATGTGAATAGTGAAGGAGGAAAGGAGTATGTGAATAGCGGAGGAAGGGAGTGAAGGAGGAAGGAAGTATGTGTGGGAAGAAAAAAGAGAGAAGAGAGAAGAGAGAAGAGAGAAGAGAGAAGAAGAAACAAAAGGCAAAGAGAGAAAAGGAAAAGTCAGCATTCTCCAGACGTGGCAACGAATATATACCCGTCTTTCCTCAAGAGACGCCATGTGAGGCGGAAGGGCCTCCTAGTTGTTTCTTGTGCAGAAGGCCAGGGCGAGAGTTTACAGCTCGATTTTTTAAGTTTTTTGCTCTTTTTTTTTTTGTACCCCCTTGTATAAAACAACTAATAGATGCCTATCAACAACAAGCAACCTTCTCTGTCTTCTATTTGGAGCACAGCACGCAAAAGCTCGCAATGGAGGTGGAGACAGGCATAGAGCCATAGTCACCAGCTTGAAGGCCAACTCGATGACGGACTGTAGAAACAGCAAAAAAAAAAAAAAAAAAAAAAAAGAATAAACCGATGGCGTGTACGATATATACATAATAGCAATGCTTTTTTTTTTTAGTGAACATTGAAAAGGCTGAGCCGCTTTTCACTTACTTGGAAATATGATGAACCTTTTCTATTTTTCACCAAATATAAACGTTGTTGTGCTGTTGTGCAACAACCATTTTTTTTTTTTTTTCAGCAACTGGGGAAAAACAAGTGATTGTTGATGTTTTTATCAACCGAGTTTTTTTGTCCTGTACCCCTTTTAACATTTCCCTCTGTTTCCCACTAGGGCAAAGCTAAAAAGACCTTTTTTTCCCAAATCTCCCGACATATAATTTCGCAATGTGTTCATGGAGTGTTCACTTGACGCCTTCGTTGCCATAGCCGTGATGACAAAGATGCACTGCCCGCTAAGTATAGAACTTTGACGTATCAATAAACCTGCCCCAATTCTTTCAAATTGTATCCAGCTGTGGCCAGGGTTTTTGGCATTGTCACCAAAAATCATTTGTTCCTGGGATAATGCAACTGATTGAGCGCACATCGCTCCGTAGCGCACCTGGTTTTTCAGTAGGTTTGGCCTGAGACAATAGGAGGGAACATGCCGCCAGGGACTAGTGTCAAAGCACTCTGTTTTTGTTTTTCAATTTCCAGACTTGAAAACTTGGACAGTTGAACAGATGAAGTCTCGATTAACATGCCATTCGAAAGCGGCGCTCTTAAGTTATAAAAACCACGTACAAACCTCCGTGACTTTTCAGTGAGGCTTGTCCAGTTAAATACATCGACTGGTGAAATGGTACATTCATTTTATATGGAGTCATCAAAACTGGAATAGATTGATTCGTAAGATATGATTTACTACCAATTAGCACTGAAATGTCCTCATCATACCATGGATATAAGAGAACAATGCCTCGTAGCTCCTTTCTTGATACAATGATGCCCATTCCTCTCGAAACCTAGTTCAAGCATAGATATTTCAAAGTAAACAGCCGTTACCCGGATAATACGTCATCAATTTTCATTATATACGTCCTAGCACGTTTAGGGATCCGAAAGCATAGACAACAAGGCAAAAGGACGTAACCAAAAGTGAAGAACCTTGTATTCAGGCACCAGACGGATAAAAAAAAAGCTTGCTTACATTTTGGTTTAATTTTGTTGAATCAAGGGAAACCAATCAAGAAAAAATTGCGATTTATTTTTACTAACGCTCCTGTATATTGCACAGCAAAAAATATCTTCCCCACTTATTTTGTGAATCGTTTTTTTAAAAATGACCCCTCATACTCCATACATTGATCCATTCAAGAAAAGCAGGCGACACATATATTCCTCTGTATTTTTTGGTGGAGATGATTATATAGTCTGAAGAATAGGATATGAGTGTATGAATGTATTCATAGAACTTTTTTTTTTTTACCTCAAAAGGAAATACATTGTAGATGAGCCCACATTCAGTGATTTATATATGAATAATTATATATTTTCGCTTCTGGTGACTTCATACAACACCTGGTGCCTCAGCTTATTTACTTTCAGATTGCTACTGAGATCTCTCTTGGGATCCATTGTTGTGTGTATTACTGTGTTTTCCTCTTTTGTTTCTCTAACAGAGAGCCTTCTATTACTATTAATATGGTCCCCTCAATATAAAAGGGAGAGAAGGAATTTAATTTCATCCAATGAATGTACGTACTTCAGAAATGAAGTGGACTCAAATATCATGTAGTCATATCCTGCAGTTGTAAAATGACCTTAGGCCTATTTCTGGCTCAATTTGGACAGAAAAAATACATGCAATTATGTTAAGCAAAACTGACGGCCAGAATCAAGTATAAAAGGGATCTGGAGGTTGCCTTTTTTCGATTTTTTTTTTTCCCTCAAGTCGCACTTCACCTTCCAAAAGATCCCGTTCTATCTTTCAACAAGCCGTCTCATCAACCACTTCCATTCGACATCTATTCCCCTACCCCTTATCCTTCATAACCATAGCACATCATGAAAATCGTCGCCCCTCTACTTGCCCTCGCTTTCGTTGCCTCGCAGGCCATGGCTGTCGTCCCCATCCCTGTCAAAGAATGCATCAAAACTGTCATTGTCAAACCAGAAGACAAGACCTGCATTGATTTGTAAGTCTTGTTTCTTTTGCCTCTTATTTGCCTTTGTTATTAAAACTCAAAAACGTCCGCATAGACAGCTTTGAACATCTGCTACGCACTATTACAAAACCATTCCATTAACCAATTAATATTTCACCACATAGCGCAAAGGCTCATGGTATCACATTTGCTGATATGAGAAGGTGGAACCTCAAGTTGCGTGGCGATTGCGCCAATTTGGATGTTGGTCAACCTATCTGTATTGCTGTCAGTAGAGAACCCACCCCACCTCCTAAGCCCCCAAAGTCAACTCAACCTACTCAGTCTGTTCGTCCTACTCAGTCCTCTCAGTCTGTTCGTCCTACCCAGACTTCGCAGCCTATTCGTTCTCCCCAGTCTTCTCAGCCTATCCGTCCTACTCAGTCTTCTCAACCTATTCGCTCTACCCAAACTTCGCAACCTGTTCGTCCTACTCAAACCTCCCAACCTATTCGCTCTACTCAGACTTCTCAATCTGTTCGTCCTACCCGAACTTCTCAATCTGTTCGTCCTACCCGAACTTCTCAACCCGCTCGTCCTACCAAGCCTAGCCGCACTACTCGGCCAGCAAAACCCTCCAAGTCCTCCAAGCCCTCCAAGCCCTCCAAGCCCTCCAAGCCCTCCAAGAAGTCTCACAAGCCCAAGCCTTCCGGGAAGCCAAAGCATCAGACGGAATGGGGGCGCAGAGGTACCCGCGCCTAAAGGATATCCTGCCCTTATCAAGCCTAATACTTGGGTGTAAAAGATACGCGCTATACCAATTCATAGATTGCGCGAAATCATGATAAAAATAATAAAAATAAAAAAGCAAAAATATGGTCATTTGTCCACGATGCCCACTGAACGTAGTTATCATGGCACTGCAACCATCAATCAAATTTCGATATTGTTACACAGGGTAATTCTCACAACTGTTCACACATGGTGAGAATCGTTACACAGAAGGAACTTTAAAGTTTTTCTTTCTAAATTTATACTTGTCCACAAGCCAGATTTTTTTTATCCAGCTGGAGATTATCCGACTAAATCTTCCGCAGATCATGTGACATTAGTCAATTGTAAAACGGTCGGTCACGTATTTTAAGACGTGTTGTTATTGATGGAGGACAAAATGAATACATAAGAAACGCTATTTACTGGTGGGGAGTCCAAGCCGTCGACTTGAAATTTACAATAGACACACAACATAGGCAATATACTCACTTTCGACTACGGAGAGTCAAGGAAACTAAAGCGTCAGACAGTGATGATCATATTAGAAAAATGATCGCAACGTAATGCAATCTATTTCTGTGCTTCATGGGTAATATTTTTCTTTTTCTTTTTAGGGCACCTCGTTTTTAGCACAGTTAATGTTTTATGATCACAGCTATAATTAAAAACGCAGTAACCCCGCTTGACCTCTGTGAAGCAAAATATTTGCGTTATGGAGCACTTTGGCTTTTTATACTTTTCATTTACTCCTGATAGTGACCCGCATCTAGTCGCAGAAAAATTTAGGAAAAAACCTTAATTAGTCCACTCATTTTGGTGTACATCTCTTCTTAAAGTCAATCATCATCTCTCTGCACACTCAGAAAAGTTATTGTTTTCCTTAATATATAATCTATAAATTATAATGGGCGACTTGAATAAAAGAAAGAGGCAGTTGCGAGATGCTCGACAAAAAAAAGTACAACTCAAGTTTGTTGAAGTAGAACAGGCTTTACAGATATCACTCCAGAATTTGCAGACAGAGGTCATCGATGACTCAGTTGATATAGACTTTAGTAGCTTCCAGCTTGGAGAGGAGTGAGTGAAATCTCAACATATACAGAACTGGAAGAATATCAGCAACGATCCAGAGACTGAACGAGATTCAGGGGATGAAACTGAGGTGGAAGAGTGGATTAATAGGGCGTGTTTTTTTTTTTTTTTGGCAAATACTGCAACCCCAAATGCAGCCAACACCATGAAGACTAGAAAAGCATATATAGGCAACTCACGATCTATGACCTTTTTTAAAAGGTAACAACTCAAAGCGGTTGCCGTGGGTACTCCATCTCTCTCTTCCTTTAGTTTTACTGCGATGCCTAAAAACCCCACAAACAAATCTATCGAAACTATTGTTCCTTGTGATAATCAACAATATGTTTGTAAATAGTTTCATATTTCTTGTATTGGAGCTTCCCTTTATAATGTCAAGAGCAAACATATGATGGTTTATTACTTACAGCTATCGCATGGACGCATATCGAAAAAATATGTCTGGTCATATTGCTGAACAGGTGAAAAAATATTGGTCTCATTGGCGTATTCCAGCAAACTGGGACTTGGAAATATAGTCCCTGACACCCTTAACAATAACAGTGACATCATAATAAATAAGATTTAGCCAATCAAAAATCGAGATTTTAGTTCTAATTTGATGTGTACAAAGCCTTAAGAGCATTTGGAGGCGTGTAACTTCCTATGAAAAATTTTGAATGGGCATCTAAATTTGTAGGCTCAACTATGCATAATCCAAACTCTGGTTAAATTATTTGTAAAAAATATGTTAAATAATTTTTAATTAAGTCTGGATCAATTTTTCATAAATCTGTATAATTTTATGAACGTTTTGACATCCCTATCCTTCATCTTCTCTTCCTTCCCCTCTCTCTGCCTCCTCCCCTCAATCATCTGAGATGGATCCCGATGCCTCAGAGGCCCCGCCTGTAGATACCCAGGTTAATATCAATATAAGCAATAATATACATGGTGCCTTAGACGCAGCAAAAACAAAGACAGCCCATCGTTTTGCTACGAAAACAAAGACCAGCTATTCAGGTCATGTTGAGCGAGGGAAGAGGTATGCTCTTACTATGGGCGGCGAGTATTCAGCTGCGTTCGATGAATTAAGCGAAGTGACGCCGATTGTCCTTCTGGCTTTTGTCGCCTTCAAGTGTGACCAGAACAGCCTGTCATACAAAACCGCCGAGGGCATTCGAAGTTCATTCAAGCAATACTTCAAAGATCAATTCAAATGCCAGGGTGATTTTTGGCGATTTGAGAACAAGCAATGGATAGGTTTGTAATCGTTGAAGAACCAAAGCAACAATTAAAGTGTTTTACTAGTCAATCATCGCTTACTTTGTACTTTTCTATAGGAAATCCTGTTTACGACCAGTCATTCGAGGACTACATGCTCTCCCTTAAGAAACGCGACGGAAGGAATGGTCAAAGCAAACAAAGCCTTGCCATGAGTTATAAAGATTTATCAAAGCTGATGGAGCATCTCCAAAAGCCAGATGTCATTGCAAAATATGGTGAAGGGTTATGCTTGTTTTTTCAAGCGTTTGCTGCAACAGGCTTCACGTTGTGGACAAGGTGACATTTCGCTCCCATCTGTGGTTCTGTAATACTTAAAACCTCACCTATTGTCAGTAATTTCTCACTAATGATGATTGATACTATTCTTCTATCGAACCAGAAATGAGGAACTACTAAGACTTCAAGGAAAGGATATCGAGCTCAATTTTAAGACAGATTGTGGGCGACCATACATTAAAATCACTCTAACTTTTCGCAAAACAAATCAGGCGAATGCTGAAAAAGGTGCTGATGCCGTCCTGAAGATTTGTTCTTTCTAAATCACGTCGTGGTCTTCACGAAACCTTGATCTTCCCGCGTACCTGATACTTGTTCCTACACCTATGTTTCTAAATTCTCAATGACAATATTTATTATTAATTTGGTAGCTAATGTGTATGAGATCCATCCACAACCCAACGAGCCCCATGCTTGCAGCTACACCAAATTGTTAACCTGGATCCGTTGGATGGAGAAAGATAGCCGAGCACTCCATCCTGAAGACTTTGTATTCCCATCGATGGACACCAAGGGCCGTATCAAACTCAAAGAGTCATTCTCACATCCGAAAATCCAGTCTTTGTTGGATGAATTTACGGAAGATGCAGATCTCCTTACTGGACGTAACGGTCGATACACAACCCACTGTTTCCGCCGCGGTGGGGCACAGCATCGCTTCATGTTTGCAAAGGAGAAATGGTCCTTCAAGGCAGTGAAGTGGTGGGGCGGCTGGTCTGAAGGTGAAGGGGTCGGTACAGTCATGCGATACCTGTTGGATGAGTTCATCCGCTATGAGGCCGGCTACGGTGATATGCTCTCTCCAGTGAAAAACGTTAGTCGACACGCCATGTTTATGGGAGATCCTAACGCCACAGAAATGGTAACTCGACAAGGACTGGATACCGCGCTTGATACCTTGCGGATTGCGATTAACACAGAGATGACAGAAATGCAAAAAGAATTAAAAGATATACAAAAAGAAGTAATGAATCTTGGAACAGCAATCACTCAACAAATTCAATCACTCTTTCAAGGTTCATTGTTGCCTATAGCTACAGCCATTAATACACAGCATCCGGTGCCACGGTCACTGCCATCGCTGGCGCATCTTACTCATGAAGAGAGCGAACCACCGGTGGCTCCTAGGATCCCTGATATTACGCATTGGAGAGAGGCAGTTAAGCAATGGGAAGAAGGCGATCCAGAAAGAGGCTTAGTGTTGGCGCTCCGTCACTGGACTCCAAGAATGCGTGCCACAGATCCCTCCAGGTACTCTCAGAGGAAGCTAATTGGCATCGAATTCGCTCGACTAAGCAGAAACATTTACAATATGCAGGATATCCACGGTGGAGCTCTTGAATCTATCAGCAACCTTATTGCTTCCATTCGTGCAAAAAATAAACGGAGGGAACAAGAGATGAAAGGCACCTTGGCCACCAAAAAAAGACAGGAAAGCGCAGCGCGGGAGGTGGAAGAAGAGGAAGAGGAAGAAGAGCCCTTGACAAGAAGGAAGCACCATAAAAAGGCATAAAAAGCCTATGGTTTCCTAGGTCAAGATACGAAAAAAAGTATTTATTAAATAGTGATAACAGTGACTAGTTTAAAAAAATTTACATGGACTTAGTGCGATTAAATTGATATTGAACACAAAGTTTGAATTTTTCGAAATATGGCCTACAGTCACCTGAAACAAAGATTGGACAAAAAAATAAAATATTGAAATAGTTACGTAGGGAAGCGTTTCCTTCAATCTCTTTCCTTCCTGTTTTTCACATACAAACAGCTTGAGTAAACCACCATGGCGAGACACTTAGACATTGAGAATAAAGGTATCATCGTTGGAATGCACCTCGCGGGCATGAAGGCTGCGGAAATCGCATTGCAACGCGGTGTACCCCGAACCTCTGTTATTAATATTATCAGGGTGTACCAAGAAAGAGACACCACTGCTTGCACTCCGATCCCAGGACGGCCCAAAGTACTAAGTGAACGGGACCTCAGAAGCATCGTTCGCCATACTAAGCAGAATAGAAGGTGTACTCTTAATGATATCACTAACCAATTGCCGAACAAAGTTTGCGAGAGGACAGTTGCGAAGGCATTGCATTCACTGGGTATTTTCAGCCGGATTGCAGTAAAAAAACCATTCTTAAAAGAAGGACATATAAAAAGGAGGCTGCAGTTTGTCAAAAAATATATGAGTTGGTCCATGGAAGACTGGAATCGGGTAGTTTGGACTGACGAATCATCATTTGAAGTTGGTGAGCATTTTCGTCAAATAAGAGTTTGGCGTAAAGTAGAGGAAAAGTACGATCATGATTGCCTCGCACCCACTTTCAAAAGTGGTAGAACAACTCTGATGGTCTGGGGGGCGTTCACAGCAACCAGAAAGTCTCGGTTGGTTGTATTTGAAAGAGGTCGTAAAGATGGACGGTGTTTCGTGGAAGATGTATATCAAGGCGAGCTAGCCAGATTTATGGCTGAGGTAGAGGATGGCATACTTATGGAGGATAATGCTCCAGTTCATACTTGTAAGATTGCAAAAGAATGGCGCGAAAAAAACAGCATCCCCAGGATTCCAGACTGGCCTTCATGCTCCCCAGATTTGAACCCTATTGAACATGTATGGTCACTTCTTGCGGATGCACTCGATAGGCGCGCTAAAGGGCCAAGAGATCTTCCCACTCTCACACGGGCTCTTATCGAAGAGTGGAATAATTTACCGCAAGAGAGGCTGGCCAGCCTTGTCGCTACCATGCCCGAAAGGCTGGAAGAAGTGAATGGGGTCGATGGTAGGAACACTCACTATTGAACCTACATGGCACTTTTGCTACTCTAACAATGCCGTCTTCAAAACCCCAATAAATAACAGTATTGACCTCTTTAGTGAGCATGTAAAATTTCATGTGTATTGATGAAGTCTTTATGTATGTTGCATATGAGCTGTTTGTCCAGGTTGTTCAAAAAAAAATCAAGAAAATCCATTTTGTCCAAACTTTATTTCAGGTGACTGTACATTTGAAAATGGTCCACCTTTTTTCTCAGATAACTCAAGAATGGAAAGTGATATCGACAAAAACGCTCTGTCCTGCCAAAGAGAAATGACAGATGAAGAGGATAGCAGCGCTATTTTTTGTTTTTGATCCTTTATTGGGATGTTAACTGGCGTCCCTCTCAACCTTTTTTTTTTCTAAAAAAAATCTGCGACTAGATGCGTGTCTGTATTGCTGTAGGTTCAGCTACAGAAATCAAAGAGAAAGCAGTAAAAGTTGAAGAAAAAAAAAAAGAAAAAAATTGGGAAGTGATTTTCATCACCAGTTGTCGACATCATGGACAAATAGCGATTAGGGTGTTTTTTTTTTTTTTTTTTTTTTTTTTTTTCAGGGTTTGATAGAACTATCTACCCACGACTGCTTTGTGTCTCTTCTTTCTTGTGCACATGAAGCAAAGATAGATAAATGTAGGCTGTAGTGTTTTATAATAGTGCATTCTTGACGTTCAGGGCGCACTTATTAAATCATATTTATGCATCATGCCTTTTTTTTTTCTGAGAGACACGGCATGGATGACACTTTAATGGGGGTGAAACGCCCTTTGATACTATCCATCCTCAAACCTAAAAAACATCTATCGGAACACAAGCATAAATAATGATATAAGACAGGGATTCATTTTTTTTTTAACCTTTGAACGTTGGCGTTAAGCAAGGGCGAGGGAGACGTCTTTTTTTAGGACTGCAAGGGTCAAAACCAATGACATGTGGAGCAGCCCTTTTTTTATTGTGTGGCAAATGAAACAGAAAGAAAAAATAGTGATTTGTTCGCCCAAAAGAACTTGAAGCCATATGTATGAGCGCCATGCCATGTCTTTAATAAAAAAAAAAAAAAAAAGAGAGAGCGTTATCAGAATACATGCGCTTATTTATTGGACATTTAGGTGAGTATATATATATATATATATATAATATTTTTCTAGAACTTTGAATACCAGGGCAAATGGCCACTTTGTTCATTGGGGCTGCAAATTGTCAATCTGGGTTCCCTTGCAGGTTGCACAAGATAATTTGCATGTAAATTGGTTTGACGCCGTCCTTCTGAGAGTGTGAGAAATGACAAATGCAATAAAAGAAAAAAGAACACTCTTCCAAGGCAAGGGACATTTAGGCTTCCGGCGTGCTATTATGTTCCCTCAATCACATTTTCCTTAGAATCAACAAAAAAAAAAGTACCAATCTCATAATATTGAGATAAAACGCCAACCTTCTCTAGGCAAGCATGCGTGTCTGGAAAGTATATAAAGGCGACCTTCTCCTCAAAAACTTCACACTATCAGCACCAACATCAACGTCTACAGCAACACCAAAACTAGAATATAGTGGTCCCCTTGTTAACAATTTACTTTCAGAAACCATGAAGCTCTCTGCCTCTGTTTTAATCCTTGGCCTCGTCGCTGTCCAGGCTGTGGCTGCAAAGCCAGTTACAACGTTTCCAGTGTGGACGACTACCGCTACGGTCACGGTCACCAAAACTTGGGTTTCCACTATCCCATTCCCCACTGGCACCAAAACCGTAACTGTGACCCGTCCAGCTCGCACTACTGGTGTATCCACCGTGACAGTCTATCCTCCATGCCCTTGGCCTACTGACTTTCCCGGAACTGACTACCCTACCGAGTACCCCACAACTGGCCCTGTCTACCCCACACCTGAACCTGTCTACCCCACACCTGAACCTGTCTACCCCACACCTGAACCTGTCTACCCCACTGAAACTGATAGTGTGATTCCTACCCGTCGCCCTACTACCTCTAAGATTCGCCCCCCTCGAACCTCACAACTGTTGTAGACAAAGTCTATACTAGAACTAGGTTTCCCAAGGGTAAAACATTCAAAATAAAATAACAGGCAAAGAAGCACATAGAAGGCTTCATCCTACACCCAACAACAATATCTTTATTTATTTTGTTATTTCTCCCTGTTTGAGCGTTTAAGTAAATTATTTTTGTGCTTTTGCCTTTTGATAGAACAGAAGGCACTAATAGAAACGAAAACACTAGCAAAAGAAATGACAAGCTTTGGAGGGGAAATAGAAAAGAGAGATCCACAACATCTGTACCCTATTAATCTAATCGAATATTCATACAACAAGGGAAATAGGTTGCAGTGGAGAAAAGATAATACAATTATGAATGTAAAATTACGTATATGACCCATCGTGAATTAAATAAATATTAAAATAAATAAACATTGTTGGACCATTTTGCGAAAGAAAGAGACAAACGCCAAAATTTAAAAATAAGTCCTATTGACACTAATAGGATAATACACTCCATTACTTTTCTCTTCGAACTTCTGCTCCAGACTAGACTGCATTTGGTTGGTTTGATAACCATTGATCCAACTGTCCTGAGTCTCATTTTCCTCAGGTGTAGGAGCAAATGAAGGTTGATTGCGTGCCAGTGGTCTCTCAGCGCATTGCTCCGAGATTCGTCGGCCATTGCTAACAAAAGTCGTTGTCTTCCTGCTAGTAGGATTGCCAACTTTTGATGATTTGGAGCTACTTTTGGGGGTCGTCACAATTGTTGTCTGAGTGATACCTGCCATGGGGCTGATTGTCGTTGTTGTGGTCTCAACTCTGTTGCTCCTTTGACTAGCGATCGATCCCCGATGCTCCCATGAGTTGTAACCAGGGATTGGTGGCATCTCATCTGCTCCAGATAACGATGCACGTCTCAAGTCCGCTTTGCCCGGTATAGTGTTGGCACCGCTGTTCACAAAGTTATTCTCAAGGTCCGCTAATGTTTTTTGGTCCCATGAGTTGCCAAGCGTCTTGTTGGAAAGCGCCGAACCCGAGTTAAGGCTATCTCCGGGTGAACGAGCATTTGAGCTGTTGCCACGATCCTTATTACGCTTGCGGACCAATATGATGACGCCTGTTATGATAAGCAGAACCAGAATGACCCCAACGATAGCAATCACGAGGATAACACCAACCGATTTTGGGGCATTAGGGTTAAGGAGATCGCTGTTGTTGCCCCTGTCTCCTTGACTCGAGCCGCCACCTGACCCAGATGAGCCAGAGGGAACGAAGGTACTGACCCAGTTCTGAGCGTCAAAAGAGTACACAAGTGTGCTCTCTTCAACAGAAGGCAGATTATTGGGAGTCGAAGTTGGATTCTGGTAGAAGCCTATTTAGTTATTCAAGTATGCATTAGACACGATACAGGATATATGGTTTTGCTGCAGGCGTGGTGGGTTAAGAGTCGCAAGGTGAACGGGTAGCGGAGACAACGGAGAGGAGAAGGTTGATTTTGTAATGAAAGAGAAGAGATGGACGGTTTTTCAACAAATATTAAAAAATAAATATTCAAGGTAGTCTAGGTTGTCTGTATGCGAGTTGGTATGCAAAAGAAAACATCATAACTAGATGCAGACATTTCTTTTTTTTATGCCGGCTTACCCCCCCAGACAATGAACTGGTTTCCGCTGAAGGCGCATGCAGAATAGCTCCGACCCCGGACAGAGTTGGAGGTGACAACCCTCCATCTCCATGTCTTCGTATCCAGAAAATAGAGTGACGGATCGGATGTGGAGCTACGGTTGACAAAGCCTCCAAATACAGCTACAATAGAACCATTCTCGTCTATTTTTAATAAAGAAAGCGTAAGAGATTTTCAAGCAAGCAGAAGCATTTCAAAATCATGTCCAGAATAGACGGTGATGATGGCGCGACGATCAAGAGTTTTCATAATAATTCAAACATGTCGTTTGAATGCGTGTCAAGGTCAGCACACAAGTTATATTATAATGACAAGAGAAAACAAGGCATTGTATGTCGGCATCAACAACGGACATTATCAAAGTCATAATCATAGCCATAATCATAGTCATAGTCATAGTCATAGTCATAGTCATAGTCATAGTCATAGTCATAGTCATAGTCATAGTCATAGTCATCAAAACAAAGTTGTCAATGCAAGTCGAAAACACAATTAACATAATATCACACACCATATGATGAAGCATAATAAGCAGATGGACAGAGATAAAATGAATGAGCATGTACGAATAGAGCAGGTCATAGAGAAATATCGCATGTAAGGATTATCAGATAGTAAGCGCATTGAGATTACACAAGTGGAGAGACATGTACACAGGGAGGCGCATAAAGTATAGGAGGAAAGGAAGAGAAGCAAGGTAACAAGAAAGGCAGGAAGTGGGTAAGATGATTAGTATTATTGTGCATTAATCGTGGACTACACCAAGAAATGTCATAAAGAAGTAAATAAACAAAGAGAAAAATCATCGTAAAACGCGCAACAACACATCGTAAGGAAAACAAAGAGAAGGATCTTACTGCTGGCAGCACAATGAGAGGTACGCAATGAAGGAAAGTAGCCTGTAGTAGGCTATAATATGAGAGTGTTGTACGATGGCCAAGACGAGAAGAGAGAAGCGAACATGTTGAAAAAAAAAAAAAAAAAAAAAAAGTAAATGGAGCAAAGAGAATGGAATGAATAAGAATGTTGGGTTATGACATGGTTAGATTCGTTTTGTGCATGTTCGTATACTTGGATGAGTGGGATCAATTGCTCTTTCACTCTTCACGCGCTTTTCTGAATAAGATGGTGGCAAAAAAAAAAAAAAAAAAAAAAAAAAAACACGTGCTTTGTGCTCGGACAAAGAAAAGGTTCAAGCTCGAATTGGTGCACAGTTGTGTGTCTTCTCAATATTGACATACACAATTGGTGACCAACAAGAAATGAATCCAGTCGTCAACATTCCTCTCTTGCAACTCCTTGTAGACCATAAATTTATAAGACAGAGGATATGAAAAGAATGGATGGGGGTGTTGAAGCGCGAATTTTTTTTTTTTTTTTTTTTTCTGCGATTGCCAACAATATTCACTTTCTGTTATTTCAAACAACCAATCTTTAAGTAGCAGGGAAGCAACGAATTACTGTCCACATCCCACCATAGAAGATAAAATAGTCATTTTGAATAGGCATCGAACAGAGAAAGAAGACACAGAGCGAACAATCGTGAAGATGAATCGAATCGAATCGAATCGAAAGAAGAGTAAAGAAAAAAAAAAGAGAGAGAAAAAAGAACAGTAGCTGACACGGTCTCATTCCCTACCAGGCCATTGACCTATAAGAAATGAGCATTTTTTTTTCTTGTACTTGTTTTATTACAGTTCTTCCTATTGACATCCACACTCTCCTCCTTTTTATTCTTCTTATTCTTCTTATTCTCGGATTCACATTTCAGTATCATCATAATTTTCTGCCTTTTGATAGTTTCTCGAGGGATCCAATTGTCCATGAATTGCCGAGATTGGCACCCATCTTTCTGAACCTCTTTCAACATTTTCAAGAAACCTTTTTATGTAACCTGTTCACAGAGATCATATTGCATCATGACCATATCCCAATCATCATATAGATAATTAAAACATACCTGCACGGTCCATCCATTTCCGCCATTCGCAACATTCAAGTTTGGTCCACTAGACGAGCCACCATAGTTCCCTGGTTGTGCATCAGAGCTGTAGTTGGTGCTGGTGTTGCCATTGGTTGTGCTGGAGGAGCCCCATAAGGCTACAGGCTTAGGCGTGAATAGATACACTGCATTGCTCTCTGCATTGTCGGATAGGCCTCCGATGACTAGCATCGCATTCCTGCTGGACAGCCAGGTTGCAGCGCCACCCTGTAAGTTCTGCGGACCAGGAAGTGGCACATTTGTTTCAGAGACTACACTGGATTTCAAGTTGTAGATGTCAAAAGCATTCGAATGTCCTGTGCCTGTCTGACCTGTGTCACCACCCATAAAGTAAATTTGGCCTCCAGGGGAAGGATCTGATGCAGCTACCATGTCACGACGTGTTGGATCAGCGATCATCGTCGAGCCAGTTCCGATCCATGATCCTGTGCTAGTTGAAAATATATTGATAAAGTTGGATGTTGTATAAGGTGACCCAACTTCACGTCCAAATGTTACAAAAGAATTCATTTCTGCTGAGAAGCCACCAGAATGATATGCATTGATGGGACCGGAAGGGAGCGCGTTCCATACGGGGCTATTAGTTTGCCAACTGCGGGAAAGATCCAAGGAATAGAATTGGTTGACAAGGTTACCGCCGCCGAGGTCGCCCCCTTGGACATAAAGGCGGTCGTGAAATGTTACATAGGCTGCTCCCCCTGTAGGATGAGGTTGTGCATGCACTATTGAGAGAACGGCAAGCGTGCAGGTGAAGATAAATGTGGCCATAGTTGAGGTAGGTATACTGGATCTATTTGATGACCCACTAATTTAAGGAAATATGGGATGATGGTGAATGTAGAGAGTTAGGTTAGTCAATATTTCGCAAATAATTAAAATGTGGAGAGGAATGAGCTTAGGATATGCGAAAAAGGCGTCGAAAGAAGGCGATATTGAGTGGTGGAAAATCTTAAAGTGATGACTGAGATTTATAGTATTTTTTTCCATAGAGGCATGAAGTAGGAGGTGAATAATAAATGGACAAATGACATTCATGCAGATCAAGTTGGCAGAATGAAAGAGAGGACAAGTGAAAGTAAATACTTTCAATACACATAGTGTACAGGTTAGTATGGAATTGTCTGCTCTGTGCTCTGCCCTTACCCTGTAGCCATTTGCTCATGTCGATATTTTGGTCTGTCTTCTCTTATTGTCACCACTGATGAGATTGAAGCACATGGGCAAAGGGGCTCTTTCTTTGTTAAGGAGGCAAGTTGTCAGTGCCACTTTCAGTAATCAACAGTTAAACCTTAATTTGATGCACTAAAGAATGGGACAACAGCTAGCCAATGAACCCTTTCTAATTGCCACCTTTCCCGCCTAAAAGAAGAAAGGTACACAGATTTGCTGTTCATCCGTTGGTTTGACGGCAAAAAAAGAGGTGCTCGAATAAAGGAATAAAAGGCTTGGTCCCACAAATAAATTTGAGCCGAACTTCATTCCAGGAGTAGGGAAGTGCTTCTGGCTAAAAAAAGATGGTGCGCTTTGACAGTTAAATTTTACGCGCAACGGAAGGTGGCGAAGGGGTAGGATGCAGACGCGGCCGAAAGGGGGAAGAGCACGAACAAGGCATGGAAAAGGCTCTTTCGGCATGATATGCAAAGTAGAGCCACCTCAACAACGTCCGTGCCTGTCAATACTAAAAGCTACCGGCTCTCCACCTAAGTTGATTAGATCTTTCTCCCTAACCATCCAGACTTCAGTCGGCTCCTTACTGTCTACATATGACGCGAAGTAATGCACACACATCAATTTGAGGGATAGCTATCTAACTCTTTAGATGCTTCTATTATGACACACAGATCTTTCTTAATGAGTTAAGACTCGACGAATGGAGAAAAGGAGACAACGATTTAGTTGTAAATGGATCAAATAGATACAAAGGTGTGCAAACATTGAGATAGAGCTATCCTACATGATAGCTTGATTTAACATCAAGCCTGGACAAGTTGATGAACTTCTGCTAACACCTTTGTGAAATGAGAGCTTGCACCTATTCTCGTTTCTGCAGCTTCATCTCGACTATTACTGCCAGCTCAACCCAGCTCAGCGCAACTGCCTTTGCTTTCTGTCCAAAGCCTTGCTATTCCTATGGAACAAGGAATGTATCAAAGTGAAGAACCCATATAGCGCCTCGAAAGTCTATCTACCGATGGCTAACTTTGCTTGAGTCGAATACAGCCATTAACTCGGCAATCCATGAACCGCGCATTGCCCATACAAACTTGAATCTATCCTCCTGTGGCTTGCCGGATATAATTTGGCGCAATGCCAATGTTACAGCAATTATATCCGGTTTGTGTTATGATACCCGACACCATCAGCAAATTGTTCAGTTTCTTTGCTTTCAAAAAAAAAGGTCCCTGTCCTGCCTTCTACGCTCATCAGTACCTGTAATGAGGGCTTCAAGTGATCTTACTTTGATGTTTATCATGACCAACACTTCTTGAATGAATGTCCAGCTGGATTTAACAAAAGCCTCTCGCTCAATGATGCCTTGAGGTAGCTCGCTACGAAATATAGAATAATGGGAGGTGTCATTATGTTTTTTATTTAGTACGATAAAAAAAACAGATAAATAAGTTTACAGACAATGACTCCAAAATGACTGAATAGTAAAGTGCAATTACTACAGCATAACGATTGTAATCAAGTAGAAAGCAATTGGGACCATAAATAATAGACAAATAGCTTACTCATGAAAATCTGTAGTGATTGAGTAATATCGATTCCACAACTAGGACTGCCTATCATCAATAAAACTGATCGACCATACCTTGCTGCAATGAGTGTAGCGAGTGCATTTGTCTGTTTTTGCCTCAAGGTTCTAGCTAAGGTCGAAAAAATCTCCGGCATCATTGGGATCAAAGATCTCTTCTCCCCTTGGATCTTTATATCGTCAGAGTTGATGAGATTTTCGTAAGGAGCTAGAGATAACTTTGTGTTACTCATTATGAGGCCTCGCACAAAGCTCCAATGACATATATTCTTCTTAAAGGACATTGTCCTTAATTCATTGCGAATATGGCGTTGACATAAAGGTTTCAGTTATAGATAAAAATAAAAAAAAAAGTTAGATGCGCTGAATGCTCGTTTGATACAATTCTCAAGGAGTTATATGTAAAACAGTGCAGTAGTGTGCCGCCTGACAGAACGTTTACAACGCAGAAACTTTTATAGATCACCACCAGAGCCCTAAGCAAATCCTTCAGCCCCAGTGATATATCTGCTGGAGCAAAAAAAAGAGACCACAGAATGTTGCGCTTCAGCATGAGATGTTTTCATAATATTAATTGTCTTACAAGTCTTTCTATTTAGATTCGGGATAAAGGATGAGCTTTTTTTTTTTGTACAGTTAAAACGTTGTCGGTGTAGTGTAGGTTGAGGAAATTTTATGCAAACAGCAACATGAGCAAAAGTATGATTTTTTAATTTAAAGCAAGCGATTTGGCAAAATTAAAAATAGAGAAAATTTACAAGCTTTTATACAACACTCCCGTAAGAAAAGATTCTGTTCAGGAAACGAAGTTGATCACTAGGCGTTTCTTATATGGAGAGTTGGCTGTATACGGATTATATATACATGATGTGTTGTTTCAGTCAAGGTAGGCTCTAACGCCCTTTTTTTTTTTTTTTTTTTTTTTTTGCTGCTTCACCGCCTTCTTCTGCCTCCACGATAGCTGCGGTCTAATTCACGCAGAGTTCCAGGCATGGGCTGGATCATCTCTATCCGGATATGAACAGCCGAGTTCTGGCGAGCGTGGGTATCTAGATCCTGTTCTGGGTCGACGAAGATAAGATCGTCGGTTAGATTGACTGTACATGTTTCGGTATGACATCGAACTTGATTGGAACACGCCTGATTGATTCCCATGGCAAGAGCAATCGCCCTTTCAATCGCTGGGCCCATGGCGTGGAGTGTAATAAATGGATGACCATCGCTGACCAACAATTTTATTGCACGAGCGAGCTGGCCTTTGTAGCTTGATGATGTGGTGATATAAATGTCGGTTGGTAGAGTAGGCGCTCGTATAGGAGTACGTTTCCGGATTGTAGCTGTGATTCAGTAAAATTGTTTGTTCCAAGAAAAAAAGTGTCATTAAATGACTATAGATCGTAACGACATAGTACTCTTTTCTTTCCTTCTCTGGCTGTAAGATATGATAACATGAAGGCAAGATTTGCCGCATTGAGGGGTGTTGCTTCACCTGTGTCCTTGGATATCCTGGTTCGTTTAGTGTCTGGTCTGTCGATAGAGCTCGCGACTGTATAACGTTTCTGTGTGTCCATAATAGATTTCTCTCTTAAAATTAACTTCCTGTCCTAACCTCCTGTTGTCTCCAAGCGATGTTCACTAATAAAGGGTAATGAGTTTTCAGAAAAAGAGATCAGTTCACCTTCATCACTTGTGTCAAAGGTGATGATGTGGCTTTTCCTCAAACAAATATAAGGTTCAACAGGGCAGGACTGCGATGAGCTCAAGGAAGCTTTCCGTTCTTTCAGGGCCAGGGTATTTTTTTTTTTTTTTTTTTTTTTTTTTCACCGTGTTTATTTTCTCGGTGTATTAAAGACAAGCAAGCGAACTAGTCTAGCCATGAACACCGAATCAGAGTCGAGTCCATCCACTCCCAACGAGGCAGTAAGGGAAACACTCATTCTTATGCGTTTAACAGTAAACCATTTTTTTGTGACTCGAATCGTTGAAACTCACTTTTTTTATAATGAATTTCGCAGAGTGTCAGTACTCCATCTTCTGTCTCGGCTACTCCATCGCCTGATACAACTGATACATACATTGATGTTGCTATTACGGAAGCGATGCGCCTCGAAGAGGAAAAGCTGGAAAAAGAAACCACAGAGAAGGAAAAGGAGAAAATTGCAAAGCTAAAGGCTAAAGTAAGATATTCAAAATTTGGTGGCAAATGCCATCTTAAACCTTCAAAAAAAAGTATTGAAATTTCAAATATGCTCACTTGACTCAATCATGTTAGGCCACGGCGGAATTCAATGATACTATTGCTCGCCAACGATCGAAGCGTCTCAAGTTTTTGATCGAAAAATCTTTGATGTATGCAGATTTCCTTGGCTCAAAGCTAGAGAAACAGCAGAAGGAGGCCCGCGACAGAGCATCAGCCATTGAAGCAAAGCGAGAGAAGCAGAAAGAGAAGGATGACAAAGAAGAAGAAGATGCCACTGCTACAGCGATAACAGCTACTCGCGCCAGCACTCGCCGGCAACCTAATTCGGAGGAGCAGACGGCGCAGATCAATACCAAGAAAAAGACAGTTGCTGCTGCCAAAAAGCGTAAAACAGACGATGCGCACTACGACATTGCAGATTATATCGATAGAGATACTCTAAAGAAGCAAAAGCAAGCGAACAAGGTGGAACCGGCTGTAGAGCCGGCTGTGAAGCCCGCTACTACCGCTGTGTCTACTACAGTTGCTTCAGGAGCTAAATCCAATAAACCTGCTATATCTCCCCGCCAGCCCAAGCTAGTCACAGGGGGTATTCTCCGCGATTATCAATTGGAAGGGGTGGAATGGATGGTCAGTCTTTATGAGAATGGCCTAAATGGCATCCTGGCTGACGAGATGGGTCTTGGAAAGGTAAAGCTGAAACTTGGTATTATGGGCCTTCGAACTTATCTAAACAGTAAATTCTCTATTCACACACACTTTTTTTTTTTTTTTTTTTTTTTTTGAGTGGCTGTAGACATTACAGACGATTTCCTTTCTGGCATATCTTCGCGAGAAAGGAGTCTGGGGCCCCTTTCTTGTCGTTGCTCCTCTCTCTACCCTTGCTAACTGGGTTATTGAATTTGAGAGGTAAAGCAGATTGCCAAACCACCATGTCTTGCGTTCTCATTGCTTGAAGTTGATATTATATTGATCTTACACAATTTTCTAAATGTCGATTTTCTTAAAATCAGATTTGTCCCTGGAATTCCTGTGGAACTGTATCACGGAACTCCAGAGGAACGAGAGCACAAGAGGAACCATAAACTTAAGAAGCTGGACTCTTCATTCCCCATCATCGTTACCTCATATGAGATTGTTATCAGAGATCGCAAATACCTTTCTAAATACCAATGGAAGTACATCATTGTCGATGAAGGTCATCGGCTGAAGAACATGGACTGCAAACTCATTCGAGAACTCAAGAGCTATCACTCCGCAAATCGCATGCTCCTGACAGGCACACCATTACAGAACAATTTATCCGAATTATGGAGTTTACTCAACTTTTTGCTACCAGAAATCTTCGATGATCGCGAAGGGTTTCAAGAGTGGTTTGATTTTTCGGACATCAATGCCAAGGAAGGCCAGGAGCGTATTCTAGGCGAAGAATCGCAGAGCGGAATTGTAACAAGCTTACATCACATCCTGAAACCATTCTTACTACGCCGTGTGAAGACTGATGGTGAGTGTGAATTGTTTAGTGAAATACTGCTAAGAAAAAAAAGTCTCTTACCTTTCTTTCTCTCTCTCTATATATATTTTTTCTTCATCACAACCACTAGTTGAACACTCATTGCCAAAGAAGAAGGAGTACTTGCTGTATGCTCCTCTAACGCCAATTCAGAAAGAGTGGTACGATGCAGCTCTCAGCCGTGATATCCGCAACTTCTTGATTCATAAGAAGGCTGGACTAGACACCCCAAAGAAGGAAATGGGAGTGGAGAAGAGCAAGAAAGAGGAGGGAGAAGAAGAGATTGTGAAAGAAGACGTCGAGAATACGGAAGAGGTTACTGTTGAACAACTTGATGCGATTATCGATGCTGAAGAGGAACAAAAAGAGAAAGAAGAGCTGAAAGATAAAAAATTGGACGGCTCTAATCGGAGAACACGTGGAGGCGTCAAGTCGTACAAGGAGGAATCAGACGCCAAGTTCTTTAAAGATCTGGAGCAAGGAAAGGCGGTTGAAAAGAAAGACGAAGAGGAACAATTGACAGCACTTCAAGTTGATTTGCGTAAGGCAAGCAAGTCTGTCAGCAACATGAAGCTGATGAACATTGTGATGCAACTTCGTAAAGTGTGCAATCACCCCTTTTTATTTGACTGGCCCTTAGATCCCAAAACGAATATGCCTGTGCTCTCGGAGGACTTGTTGAATGCTTCTGGAAAGATGCTGGTACTGAGCCGACTACTTGAGGCTCTGTTCAAGCGGGAGCATAAGGTTTTGATCTTTTCCCAGTTCACAACTATGCTGGACATTATCCAGGACTGGGCTGAGATCTACAAGGGTTGGGTGTGCTGCCGCATTGACGGTGCAGTGCCACAGGAAGATCGGCGAAAACAAATTGCAGAGTTCAATAGGAACAAAAACCTCAAACTATTTTTGCTGTCGACTCGTGCAGGAGGTCTGGGTATTAACTTAACATCCGCGGATACTGTCATTATCTTTGATAGTGACTGGGTAAGAAGACTATTTATTCGCACATTGGCAGCAATACGATAGGAATTTTTTTTTTTTTTTGTTAATGAAATTGACTATTTGTCTTTTGATCCTTCATAGAATCCTCAAATGGACTTGCAGGCGCAGGATCGCGTGCATCGTATTGGTCAGACAAAACCCGTAATGATTTATCGTTTGGTGACCGCCAACACAATCGAAGGCAAGATCATTGAGCGGGCCAGCAGCAAACGCAAACTGGAGAAGCTAGTAATCCATAAAGGCAAGTTCAAGAAGCCACCCTCGGCTGGTACGAGCGCAGCAACTGATCGTGCAGCCACACTGTCGGACCTGGCAGAAATGCTTGCTCAAGATGATGGAGAAAAGATTCAACTTGCAACCAAGGACGATGTGGTTATATCGGACAAGCACTTGGAGATGCTATTGGATCGCAGCGATGCTGCATACGAGTCTATTGGAGTGGCTACGGCCGAGGGAGATGAGGATGGGGGAGCATCGATCTTTAAGGCTGTGGATGAAGTTCGGGACGACCAGAACGATATCCTTAAGGTAGACAAGATGGCATCCGCTGTGTAAGCAAATGTTATTTTTCATATGGTCAATATTAACACCTAAAGAAACAAAATAAATATATATCCTGCATTTTTAATAAAACACACCGGTCACATTGTTGAGTTTTTGTTTGCGTCAGGGAAGCCGATCTGCGCATTCTTTTTTTTAAATTCTCTAAATTTGCATCTATCCCATTTCATTCCTCCTTCCTTGAGTAAAAAGAAAAAGGCTCTATTACAATGGGCAAAAAGAAAAAAAGTGCACGACGTGTCAGTCAAAGTGAATTTGAAGCAGGTACATATGAGCCTGAATTTAAACTTGACTTTTGAACTTACTGCTAGTGCTGTTAGTGCATTTGTATCGCATTTTGTTTCGAACATGCCATTGATACAGTGCTTGAAATTGACTGTGGTGATAGGTGACGCTCTACTGCCAGAAATTTTCGCTGAATCAGGGATAAAGAAAAAACAGGATTCCAACAGTGCCAGTACAACTGCGCTTTCAGCCTCTAATGCAGGTCAAATGAGCGAAAGGATTGCAGGAGCGCTCGTGTCAGCACCAACAACTGTATCAGAATTGGTAGAATCGAATACGGCATCAACGTCAGAAGAGACTGTTGCACAGGACTTAGCAGGACTATCACAACATGAATCCTCTGAACACTCCAAATCAGCAGGCAAGGATGGTAAATGTCAGCATGTCAAGGATGCAGTCAAGCTTTCTAGTCTGCGTAAGGAAATTAAAAAACAAAAGGATTGGAACCATTGCCGACGATGTTTGAATGCAGAAAGTAAGGCTGCGAAGAAGAGGCTCGCGCAGCAATCACTGGAATCATCGTTAGCAGGATTGACTGTTTCATCATCCATGGATAATAACAAAAAGGACAATGAGGTTGTTATCGCTGCAGAGGAATTGTCACCAGAATCATTATGGATGTGTTTGAGTTGCTGTGAGATCAATTGTGGTAGGATGATTCATAAGCATGCAATAACACACCATAATGAAAAAGACAATAAACATCCGTTGGCAATCAATTTAGGCACCATGGACTGTTGGTAAATATAATGATAGTCAATAGCCATACCCGGAGTGGAGAGAGGCTTATTCATTTGGAAGTTCAAGGCACAAAGTCGCTTGATGAAGATGGATGAAGACTCTATTTGTGTTTATTGATGTTTATATGCTTTTTATTAATAGGTGCTATAGCTGTGATAATCAGATTGTACCAAGTAAGAATAAAAATCAGGTCATTCGGGAGTGTCAGGCTATTCTCGAGGACGGACGTTTGATCAGGCAGTCCAAAATGAGAGGTAATACTTTGCTTTGGACAAAAAATTATCTATAAACCTTTATTGACCTCTATCCTATTGTATCTTTAGCTGCTTCTGCAGCTGCTTCTGCAGCTGCTTCTGCAGCACCTTCAAAAAAGTCCAAAGGGTCTTCTGCCGCGGCTCCTGGTACACGAGGCACTATCGCTGCACCCATATCCAAGGCTAAAGTGTATACGCCTGGTTTGAAAAACCTTGGAAACACATGCTTTTTCAACTCTGTTGCTCAGGTACACGGCAAGAAAGTAGCATATATTTATATATATTTGAACTGCTTGATAGATCTTATACTAAATAGCCCTTTTAAACATCGTATTGATATATTTGCTTGTTCTTTTTTTGTAGGTTTTGACAGAGTCAAAGTCCTTGAGGGCTATTCTTTCCGAAAATGAACAAGAGGCTTCTGTATCCTCCAAATCACCGGCTGCAGTTACAAACTTAGGATTGGGTCCGCTAACGACCAGTTTCAAAGGATTTTTGAATACAATGTGGAAACAACAAGGCGGAGTAGTTGCACCCAATGAATTGTTTATGCAGATTACAAGGAAATGGAAAGTTTTCCGAGGCTTCCGGCAGCAAGACAGCCAGGAGTTAATGCGCTATCTATTTGACGGTATCAAGCAGGAGGAGCTTGACATGATCAAACGTCGGCTCGCAGAAGAAGGAGAGACTGGAAATGAAAAGGTTATGAAAGAAAACGAAAAAGTAAATGGGGACATCAAGGAAACATATAATGGTGAGGCAAAGAAGAGCAAGAACCAAGAAGAAGAGAACCAAGCTGTTGAAGGGCCATGTAAGTATACTCCTTTTATTGAGGGTTGCTTCTCAGGAGAACTCGTCAGTGTCATTGTCTGCGATGCGTGTAAGAAGGTAATGCCTTTTTTCATGGGACTATGTGTTGATGAAAGCTTGTAAGTATCGTAGCTGATATGAATAATTAAAATTTTAAATAGTGTTCTTATGCACCGGAGGACTTCTTCGATCTCTCTCTACCTGTTCGCAACTTTTCACAAACAAAATCACAATCATCATCTTTGGAGTTTGGTTCGAACTTAATGGCTCGCCTCCTTGCTCAATCCAAACGGAATGCAATCACAGCAGGCTCAGAGATCAAGACGACTGACTCCGGTGCTTCGGATGGTGAGGATCTCATCCTGGAGAACAAGCCCTCGGAAGCACATTTGCAGCATGTCGAAAAGGTGCTCCGAACCATTGGTCAATTTGATTCAGAAGCTCTTTCAGTTCAACGGTCATTGAACCAGTTTACCAGCGTAGATGTCTTGGATGGCGATAATAAGTTTGCATGCGAAAACTGCTATAAATTGATCAAGGCTTCAGCAAACAAGGGAAAGAACGATTGTAAGGAGCAGGAGCAGAAACAAGAGCAGAATCAGGAGCATGAAAAAAATCAGGAGCAAGAACAGGGGGAGGAGCAGGAGCAGGAGCAGGAGCAGGAGCAGGAGCAGGAGCAGGAGCAGGAGCAGGAGCAGGAGCAGGCTGAAGAGATAGTGAGTCTGGAGATAACAGCGACGAAGCAGGGTACAGAGGATACCAAGTCGGTTAAACAAAACCCATCAGAAACGCTTCAATCTGATAAGCAACAGAACAGATTAGAGGAAGATCAGGCGGCGGATTCAGGGACAGAATTCATGCCTAGAGATGATGACAACGATGATGACAACGATGATAGAGGAATACAGACGGATCGACTCGGCAACACAATCCCTAAAAAGCCATCCCAGGACAAAAGAACTGCTGAAAAAGAGAAGATTATACAAGAAGAACCCAATTATATTTTCCGCAAGGCCTTCAAGCGATATTTAATTTCAAAGTTGCCCCCAACGCTTATTCTACACTTGAAGCGCTTTGAGCAGTCTGGACGGTTCGGCCAAATGCGCAAGATTGATGATCATGTAGAAATCCCTGTCACTTTGGATATGAGCCCTTACTTTATGCCTGCGAGTGAAATCGAGCATGAAGATGAGGAGGATAACCAAAATCCCAGCAAATCTAACCAGTATTATTATAATGGTGATTTGTCAAAGAGATACAGGTTGTATGGCGCCGTGGTACATATGGGTACACTAGGTGGTGGACATTACATTAATTATGTACTTTCGTCAAAAGTAGTTGTTCCCGAAGACACTAAGGCTACCGAAGTGGTGTCGTCAGGAAAGAGTCTGAAGAGTAATAATAGTAGGATCAATACAAAAGTCGACGGGCAGGAGTTACCGGATGTTTCCTTAGCAATGCTGACGGCACAGCAGGGAAAGAAGAGGAAAAATACGAAGAAATCTACTATTCCTACAGGTGCCACAGGCAATGTATCGATCCCACAAGACGATGTTGCAACTTCGCAGGACAACATTGTGGCTCCACAAGACAACGTTACGATTCCACAAGACAACGTTACGATTCCACAAGACAACGTTGAGACTCCACAAGACAACGTTGAGACTCCACAGGACAATGTTGAGACTCCACAAGTCAATATTATAGAGCAAAGCAAAAGTGAAAAGGAAGAGGATGTTGTAGACACACGGCAATGGATTGCATGCAGTGACACCAACGTTCGAATGGCTAGTCTTCAAGAAGTCCTGGCAAGTCGCGCATACTTGCTTTTCTATGAGCGATACTAGAGAGAAAAATAGTATATAATAGAAAATGACCAGTTCTTTAACTAGCCAAGTACATATTTGATGATTTGATGACTATAATTTTATTTATTTTTCATTGTAACAATTAATTCTCAAAGTTCGTTTCCAACAGTAACCCAGTAGTCCCTCAGGTTGTTCTTACGTCCAAAAATCTCGAGATAACGGCCATTGGGAACCAGTTCCTCAATGAGCTCATACAATTCCTCAGGCTTTTGGCTCTGTCCACGACGTTCTGAAAAGATGACATCAGATCCGATGGAGTGCCTGCATCCTGGAGGATCTTCGCCCTAGAGGGCAATATTAAAAAAAAAAAAAAAAAAAAAAAAAAAAAAAAAAAAAGAAGAGAGATGTTCAGCAACACATCATTATCAATATAAGATACGACCGTATATCTTTTTTTTTTTTTTTTTTTTTTTTTTCCTACCTTCTTTCCTACAAGACATGTTTCCTTGGCGTGCTGAAGATAATATCCATGTCCCTTTGCCATTCTACGATTAACAGTCTGCTTTACCCATGTAATATCATCTACATAGCTAAAAATAAACAGATAGAAAGAAGCGAATCAATGGGCCTGAATGATGAAGCGGTGAGAGAGATAAAAAGCGTATACGCCATTGAAAGTCGTAATTCCTGGCTACTAAGGAGTATTGAGATAAGTGGCTATCTATCTTTACCTGTATCCCCATCTTCGCATCAGATCAAATGCTTTGGCATATTTGTTGTTGATGACCCAGATGAAGATGAAGCCATTGGAACTTAATTTTGGTACTGGTAGCTCTTCAATACAGATATCTGGTAGTTGTTGATAAGCAATAGCAACCTAGGACAGCGTATGTGAGATAAGAACGAAAGATAAAGATAAAGGTAAAGGGTAAAAATAAAATAAGGACATGAATAATTAACTTACTCCTCGAGTTGGTGCATGGGTAGCTAATTGCCATGGTGGATCCATAAGGATTACATCGAATTGACATTCTGCAGCCAGGCTCTATGATGTATGCAGGAGAGGGAGTGACATAAAGTATCCTGCTTTAGCTTCCAATGTCCTTTCCACATACGAGGTCTTCAATGTTTAAAGAAAAAGAAAAACCTACATCCCAGTCATAAGTCATAACATTGGCCTTGATAGGCACACACCATTCTGGCGCTTCAAATTCCTCCAAGTCATCCACTTCTTCTTCCAAATCCTCGTCTGCTACTCCTGCACCATTACTAGCATTTCCACTACTGGTACCGGTGCCTATTAAACATCCTGTCCCTGAAGCATTATTGCTATGTGCTTTTCCTTCGTCTATGTCCAATGATGCTTCCAATTGTTCGATATCAATATTAATTTGATCCAACATTGCAATGAGTTCCTTTTCTCGTGCTAATAATTTTGCAAGACGGCCACTTGCAGTTAGTGTTGGGAACAGCAAGGCATTGGCAGAGCTGGAGCGAAAGCCGTGGCTGTTACTGCCATGACCTCCAGACCCGGACGCAGATCCATTGGCGCTGGTACTGGGCGAAGATACATTGCCAGTCTCTGAATCGTTCCCGCTGTCAGTCGCCATAGCGACCTCATCCGTAAGGCTCATGACTTTTCACTTTTTTTTTTTTTTTTTTTTTTTAAGAATGTCAAGACAGCAGCAATGTGGCAGCAAAACAGTTTTGTTTATTTTTGAAAAAGACGCGCTAGTGACTGCAAGCTAAATTTCATGATTTCATTTCCTATTAGAGAGAGCATTTATAATCTTTTGACTAAATCAAAAGACACCATTCGAGCGCAAGTAATTATATCCATGTACCAACAAACTCTGTTTGGCAAACGTATTGTGTCCATTAACCTTGATAGCTGGCTCCGAGAAAAGACTTGCCGTGGAAAGATTGAACGCCAGAGTCAACCCAATAAGAATTACAGGTGGAACTGACACTTTTCGTCCGACTGTGTTGCTCAACATGTCGGAGACAATGGTTCCAGCACCTTGAATCAAAAAGAAGACTGTCATAGAGCCAGGACTAATATGATACAGAGAGAAAAAAAACATCTCGTGCATCAGTCCTGACATCAAGAAAACAGCCATGACAGGTAACGCTCGCTCTAGTTGCATAGCCAACGATTTGTTCATGGATGATATTCTTGGGGTCAGGTATTTTTGAAGGAGATGGTGCACAGGCTTGAAGCCTAGGTCGACCCAGATTCTTTTAAAAATATGGTGCCATCGTCGCCAAAACTCGGCAGGGGATGTGGCAAATCCTGGAAATTGGTGTCGAACCAATGTCCATTCTGTATCATGAATCAAATTTCCGGTGGTGACCGCCCAAAGAATCATGATGATGTACCAAGCCAATGTAATACCGAAAAGCACCCCTACGGCCAGAAAAGAATCGAACAGCATTCGCCCGGTGAGGGAGAAGCCCTGAATATCCTCATATGTTAGGAAGCTGCAGTAGAATAGAATGCAATCTAGCACAGTTACATAGAGCAAAACACGTGGGAGATAAGCGCTCCAGTGTTGGGGGTTGGGATCCGTAGGTGGAATGTAAACATGTTTGACGATCTTTCCCTTGTTTAGCTCAGTTTTACTAATGTCACTAGAAAGGCTAACACTGTTACTGCCGTTACTGCTGCCATTGTTGTTGATGGTAGATGGTGATGGTAATCCTTGATTAGATCTGTCAAATCCTGATGCTGTATCCTTGGTTGATTTTGAGATCTTGTCCAACTCACCGCGAAGGTGAGTCTGCTGTAGCTCGAGCTCATGCCGCTGAAGCTGCTCTTTATTCAAAGGGACCTTGCGGAAGGGCTGCCAGACCTCAACCCACCAATCATCAAAATTGAGAGTTGGCTCTTTTCCTGTCCTCCAAGGACGGACATAGTACAAGTCGACCATGCGCATTAGTACGCAAGCACAGGCAGTGTCATGGAGGAGCTGGGAACCTGGTGAATGGAGAGTGGTGAAGAAAATCGGAGCTGTAAATAAGCCAAGGAGTAATGGAGCAGCGATACATTGCTTCTGTAAGCGCGGAAGTGGTAAAAGCAAGAGGAAGTAGAGACTGCATCCAAAGATGAGGAAGATACTGAAGTAGTAGCAATCGGGGAGAGGGATCTGCAAAGAGTTTTGACCAAGAAGAGGAGGCGCAACAGGTAAAGAAGGTGGAAGAGAACTAACAAAGGAGCTAAAGGGGATCAACTTGTTGAGTGTTGATTTGAGCTGGGTCATGGATGCTGTTATTATCTCCATGGTGTAGGCAATAGTGTAAAGGCTAAAGCAATAGTGTAAAGGTGATGAAAAGTAAAAAAAAATAAAAAAAAAAGCCTTCTATTCTGTAATTTATATAAGTTCATACCCTCGACAATAATGTACCAATTTAGAAAATTATTTTGAAATGATATTTGCAATGCCATTTTCCTTTTTTGTCTTGTTATTATTTTTGGATCATTTGAAAACAAATGCACAGACGCTCATTAACTCTTTTTTTAAATCCATCTTCAGGCTCGAGACTACATAAACATCCCAATCTCTTTCTAGTCGACACAATCCTCGGTCGAGTAGAGCAACAATGTTGCATCGCAAAGCCAGGTCCAATCCCTAAAGCTTACAAACTTGATGACTGCTATGGAGCATACGAAGCTATTTGGTTATTGTACAGAGGGTCTTCTATACGCTCAGTTTCTCTTTCATTGGATGACAGACTTACCATCCCGATGAAGATTAGGCTATTCTACGATTACAGAGGCCTACATGTTTGGTTTTGTTTGGTTTCCCTTGAAACATTTTGTGTGTTTTTCCTTGGCTTCTGCTGAACGTACCCGTACGGACAATGATACATGTCAATGAGCTGTGCATGTCCTGGCAACATGTGGAGCGAACCGTAGCGTTACTGAATCCATAACGATAGATGATAGAATCTGAAGAGCATTTCAAACTCATTTGACCCCTTTTATCCGATCCAGGGCCATCGATTTATGTAACACGCAACGCCTCAGGATGTAGAGAGAGAGACATGAAAAGACTTATTTCATCATCCGACAGGCCATTCATTGCACATGAGGCATCCATATTCTTTGAGTCGAGGTACTGGTGTTGGACACGTGTAATACACCAGTTCCTACACACCTCTGTCCAGTTCCAAATCCAACAGTCTGGTTTTATTGATTAAGGTGACTAGGAGATATCAGGATCAGACTCCAAGAAGATGAATACATTTATTTATGCTTTTTTTTTTTTTAAAAAAAATCCTCCTGGAGCAGCAAACCGACCAAACGATTTGCGAAATACGTTCTTAAATGTCTTAAATGTATAACGTGGTTGTATCGTTGAAATGCCACCTTTCTTTTAATGACTAGATCAAAGCTCGTGTGCTTCACTTCGACATGATCCTCCCATACTCTGATGTGACTTTTAGATTACGGATACCCGCTGATATACTCCAAGATAAAGGTATTTCAATTGGATTCACATTCATTTTAATAGTTCTTTCTTCAGCTCTTCTTAATAAATTATAATATTCCAAAAGCTGATTTTCCTCTCTGCCATTGCGCCCGATATCCAAAATGAAGCGTTATATGATTAAAAAACTTTGGGCATCTTTGGGAACATTCCTGACAATGCTTGCAGGACAATGCAGCAATTTGATCCTCTCTACTTTTTGAAACCAAGATCAAAAAGCATTAGGAATTGGCATGTTGTGATTGTTCAATGCTACTGCCAATTCTGGAGGTACAATGGCACACATTGGGGCTAAGTGGTTGGACTCGGGTTTGACCCACAAATATATATTATTGAGCAGTAAAGAGATCGAAGATCAAGGTTGGGAACCCTGCGGTTGTTCATCTTTCTGAACAGCATGAGAAGGATTTCATAGCGGGCAAAGACCTTGGCGAGAATGGGCAGGGTAGCCATTGTTTTTGCTCTGATTACCGTTGTTGTTGGTTGTGGTGGTGAAAGGAAGTAAGTTTTTTAAAACAATGGACCATGTGGTTGAAAATATCGAAATTAAAGCTTGTATCCTTTTTTCAGGCACAAACAGCTTCCCATCACATTGACTTTCGCATTCATTTAATCATTCACCACATCTCTCACATCCATCCATTCAATCCTTTCCACATCATTGACTACCTTGATCTCTTTCTCTTCATTGATAATCATTTTAATTCTTACTACTTGTTCGTTCTCTCTTTGCTCTCTCTCTTTCTCTTTTTTTTTTTTTTTTTTTTTTTTTTGCGAATTGTACATTGCAACCATCAACAAATAAGACAACAAATGTGTCGGCGGCGGATCAGCAAAGCATCGCATTCACTTTCCTCTTTCTCCCCCTCTAAATCTTGCTCTTGCCACGCCAGACTTTACTGTAATAATTTATTTTTTTCCCGTCCTCAACTCAGGTCTGGCTCCATATACCCTTCTACATCTACCTCTGAAGACTCCGTCACCATGTCTCCTTTTCAATCCTTTTCTCCAATATTTTTTTCTATCTATTCAAACCGCAAGCCAGCTTTCCATTGGAAGAATCTTCATACAATTTGTGTCTTAATTATAGCCTCTGTCTTACTCTCGTCAGACTTGATCTTTTCGACAAGTCATGGTCAAGTTTCTGCAGAGCCCCTATCATTACCATCACTACAATCACGCCTATACCTCCCTCCTAAAGGCGCTACAATCTATGTCCCTGAAAGTGAGAAAAAGCCCCAAGATCCATTACCATCATTGCCAAACGGACCAACATTGCTCGGCTTTTCATCCAAGGCTAAAGCACCGATTAAAGATAAGAATAGCACCATTGGAGTAGGGGCGAATCCTACTAATATCATCAGTGTGCCGCTACAGGATTTGATGGCCGATACTGTGGTATGCTTTGTATTATTCTTTTTTTTTTTTTTTTTTTTATTGCGCCCTCCCGATCCAATGTTTACATGTTATTCCTTTGACCTAATCAATGACGAAGTAGTTTCATGCTGCACATCGTTGATGTCTCTGCTTCCAATTTTTTTTTTTTTTTTTGTTTTACAATGCATGTAATACTTTTTTGTGTCAATCACTATTTTTCTGTAGCGCCCGATATTTTTAGTGCTCACGAACTAATTTTTTGTTCCCATTCTTTTTTTCCGTGCTCATTCACTATTCCATTCACTCGTCATGTCAACTGTAATCTGTCTATTGGAACAATACTCCTCCCCTTAATTTTGTGTCTGTGTCTAAATCGACGCATCATGCTCTACATTTTACCTTCAGTATATCGGTAAGTATAAATGAAGTCGGTACACGCGTGTTAGATGTTCCAAACCTTTGTGTGATGGAAACTTTTTTTTTTTTTTTTTTTTTTTTCGATTTGTTTGTCGCACATTCTTATAAATTGAATGAATTAATTGACCGTTATGGTGATACCTTCTCACTCTCGGGCAACAAACAGGCATGATCTCGTTGGGAACACCAGCTCAGAACTTCTCCATGGTGTTTGATACTGGTAGTAGTGATATGTGGGTGCCAACACAGGCCTGTAAATCAATATCATGTTTGACACTACTGCGGTATAATTCGACAGCATCTTCTACATATCATGCAGAAGGAAAAGCATTCGACATTAAGTATGGTGACGATTCACATGTCAGTGGAGTAACTGGGTTGGACCACATGCATATTTCTGGTGCAACTATCGCCAACCAATCCTTTGGGATGGCCTCAGTAGATGACTCGACTATTGCCAAGAAAGGGATCGAGGGTGTTGTAGGACTTGGTTTTGGACGTGTAGCCAATGTTAAGGGCTACACGACCATCGTAGAGACTATGCTTGCCCGCAAGATGATTGTTCAACCCATTGTCTCGCTCTGGATGGGAAGACAACGTATGGGAGGTTCGAATGAGGGTTCTGGAGGTGCGTTTATTTTTGGTGGAGTCGACACAACAAAGTACATAGGCAACTTTACATGGGCACCCATTGTAGACAAGAACACGTGGAAGATTCGTATTAATGCAGTATCTATAGCAGGAACAGACTTGGATCTCTCTGGAAACGCATTGGTTGACTCTGGTAAAACTCAATAAGCATCATGCTAATTGTATTTGTACTGAAACACTATACTTGATAGGATGGAATAGATGGGCTTCTATTTATTATTATTATTATCATTGTTATTGTCATTGTTGACTTTTTTGACAGGCACGTCCTTGATCATTTTGCCTGCTAAGGTTGCATCTGTTTTTCACGAGCACATACCAGGGGCCATTCAGGTATAAACATTTATACATTTATACGGCATAAAATGAAGGAGTGGATTTTTTTTTTTTTTTTTTTTTTTTTTTCAATTGCATGGAGAAGGACTTTGAATGTTAAATATCAAATGTCAAATGTTACACTAACAACAAGCAATGCCTTCTTTTGACAGGCACCACAAGTAGGATGGATCCTTCCTTGCAATACAAGTGTAGGTGACCTTAACTTTACGATCAGTGGTCAGCAATTCCGAGTGCCAGCCGAAGAGTTAGTGGTATTGTTCAGGATTCCTGGCTATGCAGAGTATTGCAAGAGTGCTATCGATGTTTCCCTTTCTGCTTCGGAATCAGACTGGATATTGGGAGCATCGTTCCTGAAGAACGTCTACAGTGTTTTTGATTACCGCTCTCTTCAGATTGGGTTTGCACATCCTTCCAATGTCTACAACACACTTGCCAATATCACCTTATTACCAAATCTCTCTAATCCACCACAAGGAAATCAAGGAAATGGCAATGAGTCTAATGGAAGCCTGCCTGGCCAGGGCAATGGATCGTTTGATGTGAATGAATCCAATCGATCTTTTCCAGGAGGAGTAAGTGTATAAAATTTGCCTTAATTATTATGAGTTTGGGGAAGTCCCCACCCCCTTTTTGACTAATGACTAAATGTTACCTATGGTTCTATTGATCTCTCTCTAGATTAATGTCATGTTCTATACGTTTACAACGATAATTTGTACACTCTTGGTCGTTTGTGGGTTCTGAGAATAAATTAAAAGTTGGGAAGTTGAATCAGAAATGAGTCGGTCGCTGTCACAAAATGCACAATCACGCGATTTGGAGCCAGTGAGTCAATACGAACCCCATTTCTTTCTGGCATAGAAAGGTTCATTGATGTGGAAAAAAAGCTTTAGTATGACATTTCTGTCTTGAAAGAACAACTTGTCTCTCTCTCTCTCTCTCTCTCTCTTTTTTTTTTTTTTTTTCCTCTCCTCTCATTCTAATTGTGCATCACCCTCCTCTTTGAACTCACTCTGATTGCGGTTGCTCATTCTCTTTCTTTCTTGTAGACTATACTTCATCGAATAGAAAATTTTCCTCCTTGATACCAATCATAGATCAATACCTTACTACAATCATAACTTTACTTGTGAATAATATTTCCATACACAGACTATTGTCTCTTTGCTTTTCCAGTTCAACTCTACTCAAAAAAAAAAGTCTCTTATTTGTATATTTCATTCTCCATTTTCGTCATGATGGCTACTCATCGTAATACCCCTGCTGCAGTAGAGCAGGCACCTTTAGGATCTCCTATCCCCAATGTCCCCCATGCCATCTCTGTGTCCCTCCCTACGTTCAAGGATAACGTTGATTACGAAGAGGCTGCTCCTCGTGTTGTCAATGCTATGGTTTCGGGCTACCCTCGCTTCTTTGTTAGTTTAAAAGTCAAAGAGGTAAAAAAAAAAAAAAAAAAAAAACTCATTTCTTCCCATGGACACGGCTGCAATTACATGAGCAAAACGAAACTCGGGCTCAAACTAGCCAATCGAGTCCCCTTTTTACAGCCGTTGCTGATAATATTTTTCTGTTCTATTGGGGGACGTTGAATGTTCAAATTAATCTTTTCATCTGTGCAACCAATTGATCCATGCCCCTTTTTTGATTTTCAATTTTTTGACAGCTTATCGCAATCTGCGAGAAAAAGTATGGAAAGCCCAGTGAGGCTTCGTTCTTGTGGCCTTCACGCAAGGTCTCGGAAAGATGTCGCCACTTTGTGGAGCGCTACTTTGTGCCGACGATCGCAACGGATGACTCGACTCCGACACCTCGCGATCCTCCGGGCGCAGGAACAGTCAGGATCGTTGAATTTACTATCCAAGCCCCAGCTTCGGAGCTGAAGCCGGACGGGATTAAGCAAGTCAAGGTGTTTGCGACCTTCTTCCCTAAAGAGGCGTATTCGGTTGCTAAACAGTTTTGGCAGCATGCGGGAGATATCGTTTCATCTCGTCAGGCAGCGTTCTGTTTGAGATGGTTGCAATTAAATGCGGAGGAACAAAAGAGACAGCAGGATGAGGCATTGAATCTGAAGAGCAATGCGACTCGTATGCCTCGTGGTAACAGACATTACAGTGCTACTAGACCGACTTTGACCTCCTCTTCTTCTTCGTCTGCTTCTTTGGATTTAAATGGAGGTATGGCAGCAATCCAACTGCAGGATCGCAAGGTAGATGAAGAAGACAAGCCTGTTGAAGGGGAAGCGGAGGGCATCGACAGCCGTGACTATGAAGTCTATGTAGAAGAGCGTTATGGACGCAATTTAGATCTATCGTTTGCGCCCAAGGCCAAGATTGCGCTCCGTCGTCGTATTGCAGCCCAGGTGGCACATCATGCTGGACCTAATTGGACAGGCACGGGCGAATATGTTACGGAGGAGGATGTTTATCTGTATCCAACCGGCATGTCAGCGATCTACAACGCTCATCGGATTGCCATGACTCTGTTCCCAGAACGAAAGTCAGTTTGTTTTGGTTTCCCTTATACGGATTCACTCAAGGTTCTGCAAAAGTTTGGACCTGGATGTTACTTTTATGGCAATGGGGAGGACCAGGATATCGAGACATTGGAGAAAGAAATCCTTTCAAAGACTGTTGGGGAGGATGTGAGGGAGGAAGACAAGATTTTGGCGGTCTTTTGCGAGTTCCCTTCGAACCCGCTGTTGAAGTCATCCAACTTGGTCCGTATAGGAGAGTTGGCGGAGAAGTATGGGTTCATGGTGATTGTGGACGAGACATTGGGTAACTTTGTCAATGTCCGAACGCTAGAATTTGCAGACATTGTTGTCTCGTCGCTTTCCAAGATCTTTAGCGGCGATAGTAATGTGATGGGTGGAAGGTAAAGTTTTTTTTTTTTTTTTTTTTTTTTTTTTTTAAACAAAAAAAGGAAATGAAAACATAGACGATCATGTATTCAAGATTGTTTTTTTTTTTTTTTTTTTTTTTTTTTTTTTTTTTTTTTTTTTTCGCCTAAACATAGCTTGGTATTGAACCCACAGAGAAAGTATTACAAGGATCTCAAGGAAGCTATTGGCCGTGAATATGAGGATCTGATGTGGGTCGAAGATGCTATTTTCATGGAGCGTAACTCACGCACGTTCCAGACGCGCATTGCTCGAATTGATGAAAACACAGAAATTCTTTGCGATTTTTTACGTGCTCATCCTAAAGGTAAACCAAAATGTAAAAAAAAAAAAAAAAAAAAAAAAAAAAAAAGTGAGGCAGGTTTTCTAATGCTCTTTCTTGGTTCCTGATTCTTCAATCTCCATGCTATTACAGTCAAAGAGGTGTTTTATCCCAAGTTTGTTACTGTGAAAAATTACTTGACACATAAGGTTGAGGGTGCAGGCTACGGAGGTTTATTCTCTGTGATGTTCAAGAATCAAAAGACAGGATCGCAGCAATTTTTTGATGCATTACCATTCTACAAGGGACCTTCGTTGGGCACCAACTTTACGCTTGCATGCCCATATACAATTTTAGCACATTACTATGAGCTTGAATGGGCTGCACAGTATGGCATTGAGCGTGATCTGATCCGTGTGGCTGTGGGACTGGAGGACCGGGAAGTGCTTCTCCAGGGATTCCAGAAGGCATTGGATGCCATCAGTGATGAGGAGTAAAAGAAAAAGAAAAGTAAAAGAAGCTGTTGTTGGATATAGCAAAAAAAAAAAAAAGAAAAAGAAAAAGAAAAAGAAAAAAAAAAAAAAAAGTGTAATAAAAGAGGAAAGAGTCCATACATCATGAATTACATGTGCATGTTACAAAAGAGCAATTCGCGTGAATGCGCAGCCAATGATCGAAAAGATAAAATGACACGCGGAATGGTGGCTTTCTTTGCCATTTTTCACTCGAACAACGCCGAAAACTTTGTCTCTCTCTCTCTCTTCTTTTCTATTCTTTACTCACTTTTAGCATTGTTCCTTCTCAATTGTCAACACTTTGTCATCACATTCACCCATTCATATAAACTATTAAATAAAAAGTAACTTAACTAAGGACGAAAACGACGCCGACTATCGCTACTATCACCATGGCCACCGAACCTACAGCAACTTCAGTTAGGGCTGCAGCTCGCCCAAAGATTGCTGGTGGACCCGCTCCTGAGAAACCATTCCCAATCAGGATGTCTGGCATTGTCATCAAAGGCTTTGGGCGTGGCAGTAAGGAATTGGGTATTCCCACAGGTAAAACAACAACAATAATAATAAATATATTCTTTTAATTACTCAATTGATCAAAAATCAACTTTACTGCGCTATTTTTTTGGGGAGAGGCTTTTTTTTTTTTTATGGATCAACCAACTATCATGACATTGTTAAATCTCACACAGAAAATCTTACTTTTTCTGATCATTTGATAGCTAATTTGCCAGAGGAGGCTATCGAAGCGCAGGGGCCTGAGTTGGAGACAGGCATCTACTATGGTTGGGCTCAGGTCGTAGTGAGGACTAAGCCATCATCATCAACAACAACAGCAGCACCGACAGCAACATCTGATGAGCCATCATCTACACCATCAAGATTGTCAACCTTGCCAACAGCAGCAGCAGCAGCAATAGCATCGTCAATATCAGCTTCATCCTCTTCCTCCTCATTAGCAACGGATCGTCCTGCTTCTGTATACCCTATGGTCATGTCTCTTGGTTGGAATCCCTTTTACAAGAATGAAAAGAAATCTGCAGAGGTCCATATCATGCACAACTTTCATCGTGATTTCTATGGTGATGAACTTCGTGTCATTGTACTTGGCTACATTCGTCCCGAATTAGATTATACTACTCTTGGTATGAGAAGAAAAAAAAAAACGATCTGTTACTTTTTTTTTTTTTTTTTTTTTTTTTTTTTTTGGTTAAATATGTCTAACTTTATAATTTTTTATCTTTTTTTTTTTTAAAAAAAAAAAAAAAAAAAAAAAAAAAAAAACAGAGGCATTGATCGAAGACATCAATATCGATATTGAAGTGGCCCATCGTTCATTGGAGCGACCCGATTATGCTGCCTTCCAGCACGATGAGATCTTCCAACAACTCTAGACGCATCATCTTTGTCGTTACTGTTAGTATCATTTTCTTTTTTCTTATTTAATTTATTTTTATTTCTATTTTTTTTTTTTTTTTTTTTTTCATCACAAGAATTACGACTATGCAACCATGCAAAAGAAAAAAAAAAAAAAAAAAAAAAAAGACATTTTCAAGTAGTTGAATGAAAAAATATAAATAGAGGAAAAGATAAAAAAAAATAAAAATGTAAACGTTGTCTTTTTTTTTTTTACCGCTCAAAGATGACGATAATATCTGGACGTCTAGCACGCATCCACATCCGGATATGACTCCATTCTCCCTCAGGCACAAGACCCAAAGAAATCCACTCCAGACTAGTCCAGTGTTTACAGATCCATGCAATCTCCTGTTCCCTGAGCATCGGGAAAATGGACCATGTCATACAGAACGATTCTAGATGACTGAGTCCTGCAAGTGGTTGCAAACCCATCAGATGCCCAGGTACAATTCTCTTGTAGCTCTCATTCTCATTTTTGTTCTTTTCCCTACTCTTCTTCTTCATACTTCTTTCCCTGTTGTTTTTTTGTCGGATCATCCCAGTCTCGCTATTGTCATTGTCATCTTCACTGTCTTCATCATCATCATCATCGTCGCTGTCATTGTTAGCATCCTCGTCTTCAAAACTGTCGTGATAATAATCTCCATGGCTGTTCAATATATGATGATCGTTCAAGTAGTCGGATCCATTGCTAAAGTGTCCCGTTCTGTCTACAGACTTTCCTTTTCCCTTGTTCATGTTTATGCTCATGGCCATGCCCATGAACTTTTTGCTTTGGCGCTTGTTTTTATACGTATCTTTCCCTTTCCCTTTCCCCTTGCCCTTGTCTTTATCGTCAGGAGAGTCATTATTGCTTGGGCCAAACTCGCTTTCGTCACCCGTTACCGAGTTCTGTCTACTCTTCGTCTTCGCACCATTTCCTCGTGAAAAGAAGCTTTTCATCCGGTCAAGACTTCTCTGTGTCCTTGATCCAGTTCTTTCTTTTCCAGACTCTATCGCTTCCTGGGGGCCATGCAATGGCTCTTTCATCTGGTCCGAGTCAGAAGACGAAAATTGTTGGTGGTGCAATAGCGTTGCCATTACTACGGGTGCTTGAGAATGACTATGATAGAATGGCTGCTGTTGTGGGGATACGGAATTCAAAGGGTAGGTAGAAAGTGGTACTAAGGACGACAGCGATGATGAAAGCGTTGCAGCCTGCTGAACCCCAAGATCGAACCGTCCACCATGTAACTCGAGCCTCTTCAATTTCTTTAACCGGCCCAATTGTTCAAAGAATACAAAGGTACAGTATTGAATATGGTTATACTGAGGAAAAACCGGCAAAGATGAGCCATTGTTCTTGTCCTTGGACGAAGAAGGTCCGGATGAGCTTCCTTGCTGATGATAGTGATCTTTGTAATAAAGCTGAAAGTCCGCAGCCCCCTCATCTTGAAGATCAAATCCTCGGTCTGAAGACCCAGGTAGCTTTGGGTTTTTGACGCCAATGATAAGCGTCTCTAACCCATCACATGCCCACCACCGTGGCACTTGTGTCACACGTGTGGTTTCTGGTTCAAACTCAAACTCGTCTTCGGCTTCAGACCCGACCTCTGAAAAGGCGGCAAAATGGCTTACATTTCGCTTCTTGCTCCTTCTGACAGTCGCAGCGGCTATCTGACGGTCATGCTCCTCAATCATTTCAATCATATCCTCGATCTGCAGCATGGCCCGACTGGTCGAAAAGTGCTTCAATGCTGGCATATGTCGAAGGAACCAATCTACCGCTTTGGAGCTTAATTCACGACAACTAGTTAGATCAAGTCGTTCCAAATGTGGACAGTTTTGTTGCAGGGTCCTTAAGGCTCGATCCTGAAAACGAACATAACGTGCGTCATACGATAGCAGGGCTGGGTACAACTTGATCAATTCAATCGCAGGATCATAGGGTTCTCCCACGGCAGCGAGCATTGGTTGTTGAAGATATCCAATTTGCACAGCCCCAGTATCATTGTTGTTATTTTCGGGCCCTCCACTAGCGTAGTTGGTCGTTAAATGCAGATGCTTAATCTTTGGGCAGGACTGAGCAACGCTTTGTAAGAACTGTTGTTTCCAGCTCCAGTAGCTTGTACTGAATACATCCATCTCTTCTAGTGCAGGACATCGTTTGAGGAGCTGCACAAAGTCTCGTTCTGGCATCCGAACCTTTTTTAATTTGAGGACTTGTAGGGGGAAGGAGAGCTGACATTGCTGTTGTAGCTGTGTCTGTGCCAGCCGGCTACGACGAGATCGTATTTTTGTTGCAGGACTTGTTGCGGTTCCTGACGGTTGGGGTGGTAATGGAGATGATGATGATGACGGTACGGACACGCTATGAGTATCATTTGAAGTAGGATCTGTGGTGGCGTATGGATCAATAAGATGAGAAGGCATATCTAAGTAAGCACCTGCCTGATCGTTCATACTGGGCCCGTTACCCTGTACTTTGAGCACTTTAGGCGCCTGTAAGCGTGCGTATTTGAGATGCCATGATGTTCCCGAATACATTCTACTTGCTGAATCAAGCCTCCTATTCTGCTCACTTTCAATCGCAACTTCCAAAATCTCTCCTTGCTCGCCACCACCATTGTCATAACCACTATGGTCGTCCTCGTCAGTATCGTCACTGTCAAAATAATCGCCCAGAACTTCTAAAGAATTAGCTGAGCTGGGCACGGCCTCTTCGTCCCCAAAATCGACGAGCCCGATCATGTTTCTGTCCACTGACAGGTACTGCAGTTTCGGACATGACCTCAACACCTTATCAAGCCGGATCTCATCCCTCCATTCATAGCAGCGCAAACAGATATCCAGATAGGTCAATTCTGGGACAAAAGGCAGAATCGCTGTCAAGAACGTCTCCAACCGAAATAAGCCTGTCAACGTGAGCGACGTCAACTGTGAGCGATGGAGGAGTGGAGGTTTTTGGAGTATTGACTCATTCAATATGCTGTGCGGTAGTTGTTTATGGAAATGAACTCCTCGAAGCGGTAAAGGCACAGGACGATAATGCGGTTGGCTCGAGGGCTGAGACATAACCAAAGCAAGCTCATGCAAAGCCTTATCTATTGTCATGCGAGGACGACCTTGTATTATCTGCGTCTGGGTCGAAGGAAGACCATCAGTCGATAACGGTTGATCCACTCTGGGAGAGCCAACTGTGGTCCCTGCTGCAGATGTGTCACCACTCAAAAAATTTCTCATCCTTGCTCGCGGACCATTAGCCCGATTGGTTGTTCCAATCGTCGTTGTCGTAGACGAGGTCGCAGAGGATGGTTCGGGGGTTCGCACGGCTGATAGTTCAGCCGTCGTTGCAACAGCTGCAGAGGCTATGGGGGCTTCAGTGTCTGTTGTCCGCTTGCCATATTCAAATCTCAGGCTCTTGATCCGACCCCAATGGCTCCATATCCGCCGATGGACCTCTGGATCTTGATGGTCTGCCCATTTAACGTTTTTCCATATCAATGGCTCCCCAACCCCGTACCAGAACCGACAAACTCGTAGAAAAGCTAGTTGTGTCGAAGCAGGTTTCTGTGCACGAATCTGCAAATAAATATCTGGGCACAGTCCCGCTACTGTGGGTGTAGAAGCTGGAGACCCTGAAGAGGAATGATAGGAGTTTACATGAGGCAATGGAATGGATGTAGGGCATTGAAATTGGTGGAGCATATGCAAGAAGATCAATTCCAGTATTTCGGGGATAAACAAAGGGGATGACCTGCTTTTGCTGCCATTGCCGACTACACTGTTGCTGTTATTGCTGCTACTGTTGCTGCTGTTGACGTTAATGATGCCTCTCATAGCAATTGAAGACGTTGGTATCATGACGGCCTGCGACGCAGAATTAGAGGAAAGTGCGTTGGAGTCATCTCCATTAACAATACTGCTGTTGATTGCATCGTTGATATTCGAAGAAGATTTGGAAGAAATACTGGGCAATGGGGGGACATTCAGTCTACTCGATTGCGCCGAAGAAGACGCAGATGACATCGCCCTTGAAGGCTATGTAAGTAAAAGGTGTTATTACAGAATATCATTGTTTAGACCTGTTCTATTAAGTTTAGAAAAATAATTAACACATGTAATATATACCTTGCACGTGTGATCGCAACTAGAAATTAGATGTCTTTACAGGAATGAAATGAACCAAATGACCAGAAGTAAGGGAAGGAATGAGTATTGCTTCCGTAAGAGAGGGAGAGAGAGAGAGGAAGGAAATGACTGACTGACTGGCTGAAAGAATGAAAGAAAGAGAAAAGAGAGCGAAGCGCACACTCCACAAAAAAAAAAAAAAAAAAAAAAATGGTGCATATTTATGAGAGACATGGCATTTGAATTAGATCAGAGGTGTGTGCGTTATGCCCATGCATATGTATACATATTCATGCTTCGGTAACGGTTTGAAGTTTGTCGCAATGCATCACATGTTGTCGGAGTGTGTCTACCACCAAGACCAGCAAGGGCAGATGAAAATTAAAGAGATACATGCATGCAGCACATGTTGGGCGCTCCAACACAATGAAGCAAGTGTATTGATTAAAAATACTTTTTCTACGAGTACGACACATGATTAGGGTATGTTGTTGCTGCTATCCATTGTTGCTTTTCCATTACATGTACTAACAATCCTCCTCGTTAGCGACCTGGCTCACACATCAGACTGAGACCCATTAAGTACTCTTCCTCTCCCTGTATTGCTCGAATCACCGTCTCGCCTACATTAGATCCATTTACACTTCCGTTGGTTCCTCCTCCGCCAAAACTGCTATGAATATTCCCAATGCCAGCGCCTCCTTTCCACAAACTGCTGCTACTCTTAGATTTTGTCAAAAACTCGACCTCAATAACTCTTTGATGAACCCCATACAGTCCAGATGCCTTGACCAGTCTGCGTTCTACAATTTCCGAGATGTGATCCAAAGGACCACGGGACGAGTCTAGAGGACTATAATACCTATTATTGCTGTTACTGGCGTTATTGCCTCCTCCATTGATGTACTCTCCTTTCGTATCATCAAATGAAGGCGAATTGGGTCGGAAGACTCGTGCTTGGCGCAATAGTTGAGGCTCAAACCAGTAATCGGCTGATTTGGCCAAATCAACCGAATCTTCAACATATTGGGTCAGTTGTCTGAATTTGTCGAAATTCACCAGCTGTCCTTGGTCTGATTCTGCTTCAAAGCCGCAGCTCATGCCTGACCCGAGTCCTGATGTGCAAGCGACTAAGGGGTTGCTCTTTTCAACTAGTGTTGCGGCTGTGCCTGAAGTCCTTGAAATCTTATTCGTATTGATGCCATCTTTGGCTGAAACAGGAGGCGGCTGGCCATTAAACCTTGATGGAATCATCGTTGGATTACCATCAAGGATAAATGTGATATCTTTTAGCAAGATTGCTACATATGACAAGAAAAAAAAGTATCAGAACGAGGATCAGTATCGTATCAATCATTGTTAATTGTCATGTAAATGATTTAATTGAGAGTGAAACATACGCAAAAAGGGAATAGCAGGGGCCTCTATTTCCCCGAGTGCTTGACGGTAACACCTCATATTCCCACTTGGATCGAGTAGCTGTTCAAGTTGTTGTAGAGATTTCATCTCCCTCTTTTTGATAAGCTTCCAGGTCGCGGCAAGGCGACGCACTGGGGTCGAGATCAAGGCCGAAACAATGAACATGCATGTGTGCAAATTGTTGAGTGAGCGGCAAATCTAAATCAAGCAAAACATCACGCGTGACATTAATAATAATAACTGGCATCCAGTTGAGATTGGGATTGAAAAAATTGCTTCGCCATTTTCTTTTTATACCTTGGCTACTTCAATGAATTTCTTGATGAGCTGCTTCCTTGTCTTAGGGCTCCCAATGCTCAAGATCTCATGCGCAACCCAGTAACTCAGCTGTTATCACAGTATTCCCGTTTATAATATTAATTAAAATATTAATGGTAGTTGAAACATTATTATTCAATGTTGCTTTTTATACCACAGCATGTAGTGCAAAAAAAAAAAAAAAAAAAAAAAAAAAATACCATGTTTGCTCGTCGAGTGAAAGCCTCAATAGCCCCACCATCTACCATGCCTGAGTCGTCTATATTCAGGCCGGAGACGGTTTTTTCGTCTTCTTCGCTGTTTACTCGTTTCGTATTCTCTGCCGCTTGACGCCTCTGCCACTGGCTTGACATGAGTTCATAAACGGTGATACTCCTGAACGCTTTCATGTCTGCCAAGGTCAGGTACCTTGCCAGCTCAAGAGTGCCGACCTGAAGGATTGGAGATACTAGAGAGAGCTCTGGAGCTGGTCCTTGCTCAATCACATGCGTACCAGGAGAATGTGGGACAGAGTTTGATAAAACACCACCAGGAGACGCCAATGGATGTGGTGATCTACTTTGACTTTTAGACAGGCTAATCTTTCGAGTCCTCGACCGCTGAAGGCAGAATCGACCCTGTTCCATGATCACACTGCAATTCTTTTTTGGTGATAGACTCTGTTCGTAAAATTAATATGATAAAACAAAATAAAACATTAGACCTCCTTGTCAAAGTTATCGAGTCGCTTACTATCGTAATCTACCCAATGTGCAACATACCCTAATATTGATTCTCTCCTCGATGTACCCTGCCTCTTTAACAAATCCACCCATGCGCACATCAACCTCTAAGAATTTTTTTAAGGTTTTTAAGAGGTTTGGGTTTCGTTCAAAATCTTCGTATTGAAGCTGGATCCACCGATAGAGGACACAAAGAACCCTGATGAAAAAAAAAAAAAAAAAAAAAAAAAAAAAAAAAAGGCAGGTCAGCATTGTACCCTTCAATAGCCAGTCAAGGATATATGGATACATATCACATTTAACTTACTTAATTTGAATGACCACTTGCCACTTCTCAAAGTAAAGCATCTCTCCTTGACGAGGCTGAATATGGAACCGTGCAATCAGCCGTTTTAATAGGTCCTCAGAATCGATAAAAAATGAATGAGAAAGTAGAAAGCAGCTGATATATTCACTATCTATTTTGCATCAAAGAAAATATAAAATCAACAAATATGAGGGCAATATTTCATTGGCAAGCCTGTCCTCAAAATGCAAAGTGTTCTGCTACAACCATTCAATATACCTTGCTCATTTTGGTCTGCAAGTCGCTCGATCAATTTTTCTAATAAACCTGCGACCACTTGTAAATATCCTCCTGACATTTGCAGTACAAGCACATCCACATTATTTTCACAGATGTGAAGAACGCGAGGGGATGTTGAGCTTTGAAGTGCATTTGGGTGGTTCAAAGCCCAGAGATTATTTTGACCGGCTAAGAAAAAAGAAAAGAAAGAAAAAAGTCAGTCTTGCAAATAGGGGTTTATAACCGTACGCTTTTTGAGCAGAAAAAAGTCAGAGATGTCTATTTCTTACGTTGACTTCTGGCATAAGCTCGTAGATGTGAATAAGGATTTACACGCTTTGCATCCAGGTTCATGATTTCCCATCTATTTCAATATTAAAATGTTACAAGTTAGTTGTCATGAAGGATTTAACTGTCGATTTCGTTAATGAACATCTACCTTAATAATAATAAAAAGTAAAAGCAAAAACTCACGCTTTTCGCATGTCACCAAGTCGAGGTTCTGTAATAGGTCGGCGAGGCATTTCATCCCCCTTACGATCCTCATTATTTTCAGGACATTGGCCTTGGGACTCTTGCAAGTACTGACGCTGGTACTGATTTTGAACCTGCATCTGCTGCTCTTTGTAATCTCTCGATCGAGAATGATAATCAGCAACCGTTCCATGATTTCGAGCTGCGATGTCATAAGCATTACTATCCTTCTGTGGAGCCCACGGCCGAGAGCGAACGCCCAGGCACTCGACCTCTGTAAATAATGCGAGTTGATCAGGGCTCTTTAGTGAGGTTGAGCTATATTGCTGCTGCTGCTGCTGCTGATTGGAATCCTCAGTTAGAGTTGGCAGCATATGCACAGAATTACGATTCATTACTGAGGCAATTGAAGTCTTTGTTACTAATTGGCAATTTTGATTCAAAGATACACTCGTACGGCGGCCGAGTGTATCTGCTAGTGCCCTTTCGACTCCCGGGATCAAGGGGCTAGAATGTCTTCGATGGTTGTTATATCGGCCTATAGTCGATGAATATTTTGAGTATGATCCAGAGCTCATGCGGCTGCCGTCTGTCGAGACTGTCGTGGCGGTGCTTGCAGGACTGCTAGAGTCTTCTTTTGAAAAGAAAGGCACCAAAAATTCATAGGACGACAAGCGAACAGAAGACCTGCAATTAGAGGAAAACTCAGAGGTTAGAGGCGTAGATAGAGCTGATACGTCCGACTCAAGCTGTACGGCATATCGGCTTTTCCCCAGTGCGTCATTGTAGCTTCTCCGACGCCAGAATGTAGGAGAGGAATTGCGGCTGGAAGCCCTGGCTGGTCTAGGCTCAAGTATATCGTCGGATGGCATCTTGACGGAATATCGGTCCCGGTCATTGACCATCCTAATACTTGTCTGCCTAGTAAACGGTGAATCCAATGTGACGGGGTCTGTATGTAGCGCGGATATGGTTCGAATAGCAGGGCATGAGCTTGTTCGGTTATTAGGGGTCCTTTCCTGATTAGCCTCTTGCGCGTCTCGATTAAGCTCGTCTTCCTTGACCATGGCTTGGCTGAGAACGGGTGGCTTTGGAGGCCGTGCTTTATAGTTGTTACGCGAAGGGGAGGCTGTCTGAGCCTCGGATTCCGAGGAATATACCGAGAACGGCCTTGTGGAGCTTGGGATTGGCGTTGATATGCTAAGCCCGGTAAATGCCTCTTTCTTTAATGTAAGAATAGAAATAGGTTTGCCATGAGCTTATTTAGCGGTTTTTACCACCATTATGTATTATCAATCTTATCATCATCATTATTATTATTATTTTCATTGTTATTATTACTACTAATTTCAATCCTTTCTTCTTTACCTGCGGATTCCGTCGAGGAGATAAAATGGAATGACGCATTTCTTTGCTCTCAGACTTGGAAGTCTGGAGTGGTGGCAACGGTACTTGAGGCTCAGGTTTATATGTAAAGTAACACGTTGGCTCAGTCTCTTCATGAAATGACTCGAGTGACTTTGGCGTCCCAGGCCTGCTCATTCGGAGGCGCACACTGATCGAATCGATTGTTCTTTCAGAATTTATACTAGGAGGTGTTGCCATACTTTGCGCGTCAAACGTGGGCCCTGGCATGACAAGCACCGTGCTGGGCGAGACCACGTTGGTCGGGCTCATACTGTCGTCCGAAAGGCCAAGTCTCGTTGACCCTGGCCAATATTGTCCTGAAAAGTCTGAGGAATCCTTAGACCTGGGCCGATGTTGTCGTTGCTTTTGCTTATTAGGGGTAAGCCCAGGACTTCCTAGTGGGGAAAGTGTGCGGACATGCGCATCGCCGTCTCTACAGAGTGAGCTGCCCACTTCCGAAGGCACTAACTCTTCTGAATCATACTCACCATCAGAGTATGAATCCCAGTCAAATCCTTCATTGGTCCCATCCCCCAGGGGTGGGAAAATCTTCAGCAACGAGTTGGTTGACTTTTGTGCAAAGTCTGAGAATGATCTACGCACCTTGTCTGCGATCGACTTAAACGGCGCTTTAGGCTTTAGTTTACGCATAAGAGCAGGGTCAAGATGCTTAACTGGACGAGGCTCTTCAAACATGAGGTTAACTTCTGAAGCTGGTTCACTTCGTTCAAGAACACCAGTGATGCTTAAGCCGCCCTGATTTTCCTGTGAATCTTTTCTTTGACTTTTGAGAGTACCGACCAAGCGTTGGATACCAGAAACGCACTCCAGGAATTCACCGAGTACAGTTACCAAGCCATGCGAATGTAAAAGCAGCGTGGAATAGAGGCTCTGAAGGAAATAAGCAAAAAAAAAAAAAAAAAAAAAAAAAAAAGCAAGGACGTAGGATGTTACTGAGTTTAAGTTTGTCATGTAGCAAAAGCTAAAGATATTATATGAACGGGATGGCAGAAATATAGGCTTACTTGTTTAACTTCTTCATTACGTTCCATGGAGTCTTCTTCAGAATCGTCGTCATCAAAATCCGGAAAATGCTGTACTCTCCCAAATTCAACAAGATCTCGAACCTTCCGAATCCCTAGGAGTATTACCTCAGTCTCCTCCCATACCCTGCTAACCATGAGCTGATATCGCTCCAAAGCATTTGTCGCCCCTAAGGTGACTAACGATGTTGAACTGGAGTTATCTGGCTCCTCGTCTCCGTCAGTTTTGCCAGCTTCTTGCTCCCATCTTGTTAGCAGATCAAGGATCATATCATCATCAAAGCGCAGCACTTTCTCATTCTGCTGCTCGCATAGTGTCCTAATAGCTCCTGTGAATGTGCTGGAAAGCATTAGTAGTTTGTTGATCAAAATCCCACTGCTTTCCTCAATGCACGGTTCAGAGACCGATGCATCAAGTGTGGTAGATGTTGCAGGGCTAGAGGGGCTGACTACACTCGCCATAATTGTACTGAGGGCCGGCTCTCCAAGAAGTGCGGTGCTTGTAGGCGAGAGGGCTGTAGGCTGTGCAACATCTGTTAGGGGAGGCTCGATGGGCTGCAGAATGCTAGTCGCAATCTGGTAGCGTGTTGCGCTGACCGTCGAAGCCGAATTAGTCGATGTAGTTCGAGTACGTGTGTGGACGGGGGTAGTTGGTGTAGATCCGCTAGATTTTGAGTGTGAACTGCTTGAACTCGCAAACGCAAGGGTCGATGGGTCTGTCCATGGTGCCGATGACAGAGGTAGTGCTGCCTTGGGCCTTATAGAGGATTCTGTGGTGTGAATAGAAGCAGCCACGGGTGTAGCTTCAGATATTGATGAAGCATTGGTTCCTCCGGGTTCTAAATGTCCAATAGGACGGATCATGCTTAGATTAAGCTTTGGTGCTTTTGCATTCTGAACGATAGGAGGTACCATTTGAAGTATTCCTAATAAGGACTCCTCCAGTATAATGTATTGATTCTTGTAATATAATCATAGAGTAGGAGTATGATTAGTAACTTGATACTGTTATAGCTTCACGAATGAAAAAAAAAAAAAAAAAAAAAAAATCGTACCTACCTTTGGGTTGCGCCGAGTCCTCTGTTGCTCTGATTCACGAGGGTCCATCCATAGCTTCCGGATGCGTGTTCGTAGCGCTCTGGCATCGCGAGATAAACGACATCGCAAAGTATTTTTTTTGGCCAGAGGTTTACTTGTTTCTGTATCAGTTACTGGATTTAAAGAAGTCGAATTGATATTCGCGTGTTCTGGAAGATGCTCTGGGTAATGATATAGTTGTTGGGACACACCCAGCGGTCGAACTGCAGCAAGTGACAAAGGAAGGGGCCTCGATAATTGATCATGCATGAGCATATTCTCTCCATGTGCAGTTTGATTAACATTATTAGTAACTTTGTTGCTTCGATGAGTATGATTGGTACTTTTGGAGTGCTCAATAATGTCGGCGCAAGGGCCTGTTTGGTAGTTCTGTTCTGAAGACAATGGACTACTTGTTATTTGTGTAGTAGACAATGAAGGGATTACCGAAGTCGATATCTCTGCCAATGGTGGACGCATCCGTTTTGAAGATAGTGTTGGCTTGTGCAATGAGCCAGGTCTGGCTGACAAAGCAGCAGGTCCTTTGTGTAGTGGTAGTGAAAAGCCCTGCTGTGGTTCAGGCATGTAATCAATCTGTTGCATTCTATCAGTGTCTTCAAGTGAGGAGAAATCTTTTCTTGAGCAGTGCTGGTGTATGCTAAGGTTTTTGTTTTGGTCAACTTCGTTGGAGGCTACGATAATTGACGAATATGACAAAGGAGGAGGCTGACAACTACACCGGTCGTTGCTGAATAGATTTCTCCCTTTGAGTGAATTCTGCTGTGGACTTTCGTGAGAACACGGAGGCAAATTTGTTAAGGTTGGCGTGGCGACAGTCTGTGCAGCTGGTGTCGAGCCCACAGTAGATTGAGGTGGTGAAAGCGGATGAGCAATGTAAGAATGAGACGAATGCAATGAATGGGCAGGAAAGGTCATTGAGTCTTTGACATGCAGGTCAACAGAGTCGGGGCGGGTATTGAAAGTTGGATGTGGCCCTTGCTTTGTACTCTGTGCGCCGTGAGATGAAAGAGATGTGATGTGTGCTGTAGAGATGTCAACAGACGTCCATGCGCGGACTCGCCGCGTGGAAGTAGAGGTGGAGGATAAGGACGAAGAGTGGACAGGGGCCAAGGGAGGGTTCGAAGATTGTGAATAAGTAGATGTTTCGTGCGAAGAACGAAGACTTCTTTCGGTAGATGTTGCAAATGGGGAAGGTGAGGACAAAGCAGAGTAAGTGGTGGTGGGACGAGGGGGAGGAGGGGCTGGCCTCTTCGGAGGAGTTGTGGATGAGAATGAGGATATAGTTGACGCGCGAGAGAGGCGACGGGTGTCGTTGGATTGGACTGGCTGCGTAGAAGACTTGTATGAACCTTGTGGTTGTCCCAAAAGAGGATACAGTGAAATGGAATGAGAAGATGAAGAAGAGGAAGGAGGAAAAGAAGGAAGAGGGGTGGATCGGGGATGGTCAAGAGGAAGTGCACCAAAGGGACGAGAAGTTCGTGTTGCTGTGGAATCAGCATTGGAAAGGTGCGAAGATGGTCTGGAGTGTCGGCTGCTCCAGCTGGCAAACAAGGAGGGCATTTTTTTTTTTTTTTTTTTTTTTTTTAAAATGCGCTCTTTCTTCACTAAAGTTTCTTTTGCAACCTCCTATCCTCTCTTTTTTTTCTCGGAGGTAAGCGAATAGATTTTGGGAGGCGCGATGCAATGTGATGCGAAGTTCGTTATTAGAACGTTTACTCTCTTCCCTTTTTATACTTGTGGGTGTTTATGATTGTTGTGTGCTGTGTTTGTGTGTGTTTGAGTGTTTGTGTGATGCAAGATCTAGCTCGAGAAACTTGTCCTACTCCCCCAACCGCTGTTCTGGTTATTGTTGCTTATGATTGTCTTTCAACCCTATTCAATTCAAAACAGAAAGAGAAATAATAATTAAAATAAGATTGGCAACGCGTTTAGGGGAAAACAGAGGATGACAAATGATGACCCCACACCAAGTCCATGCCATTGTTCACCTGTCAGGCGCATATTTTAATGTCGTTGAAGATTGCAATCGAGATAGAAGGTCGAAATCTCAGATATAATGAGAATCTTAAAAAGTTTAACCCAAAGTAAGGTACACATTAACACATCCATAAACAAAGATATGGGTAAAGTGTATAACGATATGAAAGAGAGATAGAGGGAGAGGGAAAAGCTGGAAAACAAATCAATAGTAAAAAATGTAAGAGCAGGGCTATAACCGTCACCAAGGGCTCAAATGGGTCACTTTGGTACATTGAAAGGAAGATTGCAGAAATAAACACGGAACCGTAATTATACCACTATCAAGACAACCATGAAAGGAGAGCACAGGTGTTTGTATTTTTTGTTTGCTCCTAAAAAAAAAAAAGGAGGAAGGAAGAGGGCAACATTAAGGAGTAAAATCACTTTTGGTGTATAATATTATCGAAGAGCAAAAGAGACAATGATATTGGGCAAAAAAAAAAAAAAAAAAAAAAAAAAGAGAGCTTCTCCACGAGTTGTTGATGAATGTTCCCCTTCCCCTTCTTCCGTCAACGACATGGCCGTTGGAAAGACTGATATCATCAACAGGCACAGGTGATCGACAGTTAATCATCGCAAACTTAACTAATAGCACATGCGACACCAAATATTTTTATATGCTGTTTTAATTACGTGATTAAGCGCAGGATGATCCTTCATTTGGTACAGCCGAAACGATGCTGATCAAGTCATGGAATGAGCGAATGTGAGATGGAGAGAGCTTTGAAGAGAGAGAGGAGACAGGGATAGAAACAAGGTTGAAAGCGATTACAAAAAACGACCTTTCTCTCCAGAATATCGAATTTCCCCTATTTACTAAACCGCTAGTGCCAATTATATATTACAGAGACTGGGTTTTTTTTTTTTTTTTTTTGGTCCCCCATCTCTACTCCAAGGAATCATAATCCATGGGGTTGCCTCTCTCGCATGGATCACCATCAATCAATGTCCCCCATTCAACTCTTTGACTGATTAAACCCAGAGACTAAAACAATCGACATCGTTTTTTTTCTTTTTTTAAAGTTGCATAAAGTTTTTTTTTTTTTTTTTGTGAGTCGATGCATCCTTGTCCAACATGAATAATGTGTAATCATCAAATTGAATAAACATAATTGAGATTTCAGAAGCACGGATGCCATGTCCATGGCTTGATGTTGCGTGCGAGGGTCATGGTGCACAGGGTATGTGTGGGCGTGTATCACTCGCTGTGTATCACCTGTGTATGGTGCATGTGTGCATTTTAGGTTGATTAGATTGTCATGGCATCGAACGCCAAAGCGCAAACGCGCAATAAAAATTAGCCCTAGACTCACATCATCCTTGTTATAGACGTTTGATCTTGCTCTCCTTTCTATTTCTCTTCCTTTTGCCTTTCTTATCAAATGTCATTTATCCTTTTCTTTCCTCCTATACTCTTTCGTAAGCTTTTTTTGAGCAATCTGACTGATTCGCCATTTAATGTTCGAGAATCATGTCCCCCATACACACATGTAAAGTAACTACCCCATTTTTTTTATATATATTTTTTGATCTCTTTCATTGTTGGTGATTTGATGTTTACAAGCCCCAGCAGATTAAGGGATAGCAGGGTACAGAATTATTTTAGATGGACGAGTACATGTGGACAGAATCTCAACAGAAAAAGGGGGTGGGACAAAGATGGGAATTTAGAAGTAGAATATGAATATTGACTTTCTTTTTTCTTTTTTTGTAATTCTCAAAGATTTGTTGATGCATTGCTTGATTCATTAATTCATTGATCCGTGTCTTCCATTAGAATGAGTCGAATCCCATCCCGTCTTGTCTATTATAGCTCGAACGACCATTTCGGCTGTGCATTTTTTTTTTTATTCTTTTTTACACGCATATGCGTACCTTGTTTTTGAGTTTGAAAGTCCGCCGTGATAGAACGCGACGACGCGCGCCACCGATATAAAAAAAAATTATGGGATCAAGTAATTGAAACGCGTACAGAAACAAGTGCTTAAAGGAAAAAAAAAAAAAAAAAAAAAAAAAGATTGTGAATGGTTCGGATGCTAATAAGGAAGCAGAGCTCGATTCAAAAGCAAAATGTAGAACAATCGCTGCCAAGTATAGAGTTCAACAAAGAAAAGTATATGAATGAAAGGAAAAGGGTATATGGATGGGAGCTTTGGGATCGAATTGATCACCATGAAAAAGGACAATTAAGGGAGATAAAAGAAAGGAAAAAAAAAAAAAAAAAAAAAAAAAAAGAGGGTGGTTAAGAGGTGTAGCGAATGAGACAGAAAAAGAAGATAGGAGAGCGGTGAGTGGTGAAGCAGTAATAAAATAGGGAATGTTGACCGAGGAATGTATCATAAAGACGGTGACCTAGACAGAGGCAGGGGGAATAGAAAAGTAAAAGGGGAGGCAAAGAAAGAGTGCTCAGTAACTATGGCCGTTACCTATCAATAGAAGTCGCCCATCCTCTCTTTGCAATATAGTATCTGGGGTCTAGGAAACACATTCACCAGAAATAAAAAGTTGTTACTACCATATTCTTCTCTATTTGAGGGCCTTTTCAACCCGATAATAGCACCATTATGCTCTGAAGAGAATTCATTCATACGCATTGTAATGGCCTAAACAAAGGCATACGTCGATTGAGTAAAAAGTAGGAAACAGATATACCCTCAGAGTTTTCCTCCTTCCAGTCTCTAATTTACGCCTTCTTATTGGAGTAGATTCCGTTTTTAGAGACGCTCAAAATGCTTCCTACTGCTTCCTTCCTTTCTTGCCGTGATTATTGAGTAAGCGAGCGTATTGTTAAAATACCATGCATTGATATATTGACTCTACTTAATAGTGGAAGTTTTTTTTGCTTCTTGACCAAAATGGTGTGAGCCTCAATGTCCCAATATCAACAAAGGGCATTATGATCATTCCCTTCTTCCTCTGCTTTCCTTTCCTTCCCTTGACTCCTTTTAATGACAAGAACAAAGTCAAATAAAAGGAAATACAGGTTTTCCTTCAATTACACAGTCAGACAAGATCTCGATTGGAACAGAATCCAAGATTCAGGGGAAGAAGGATAAACAAAATGCATTTGAGCCTTTCCAGTTCATTTACCTAGATTACAATGCCATGTTATCTGTATTAATATCAATATCAATATCAATAGATATATTAACTAGAGGCTCAATCAGGGCCTCGCCCCGATCTTCTCAAGACAACACAATGTTCAATCTCTCGATTCAACAGTTATACTGAACTGTTCGAACTTTTTGAAGGCATCAATACTTAATGAAAAAAAAAAAAAAAAAAAAAAGACTGTCGACTTTCTGACAACTAGTGAATAGATGCAAAGTCATGAACAGACCAAACAACCTGGCAGACAAAGATATCAAATAAGAGACCAAGCGACATATCCAACTCCCTAGTGCGTAACTATGTTATTTTTATTTATTTATTTTTTAATAAAAATTGGCTCCAATATGCGTGTTTTGCATAGAGACCTGCAACGACTCGTTCTGGATGATTATACATTCGTATATGGCCAAATTTAACCGTCCCATCCCCATCCCCTTTATTTATTATCTATAAGGCATTGCAAAAGCTAAGGAGAAACTGATCGGGTGGATCGAAGAAAAAGCTGCAGATCACTTCATTTTTTTTTTATTTTTATTTTTATTCCTAATTTTTACTTTTTATTTTTATTTGGAAAGGACCCCAAGTATGAGGGGTTTAGTTTGCAACGTTGATTTCACGTAGCTGACACGATTTTCTGCTAATTACTTAGAACTAAAACATATTTCCGACAGTTTAAGAATAATGAGTCGGTTACTGATCATCACTCGCCATTGCCATCACCACTGTTCCAACATATAGTATCTTCAACTTCATTTCTGTAATATATATTTATAAATATGTTCAGAAGCGCAATGAGGAAGAGAAGAAAGCAATGTATTCTATTACATGAATTACTCCATATTTTAAATAAAGCTCTCTAAACATCAACCAAATCTTCATTTAGAAGTATGGAGAGGAGGGAGGGGGAGGGGGGGGGGGGCTGGTACGGCCCAATTTTTATACTTTATTACAAACGAGGAGGAGTAATGAATAATTTTTGAATGTGTGAGTACATGTGCTTGCCTAGTTTAAACTCTCCAATCATTAATCATCATCGCTATCCATTAGTTCTGCAAGTTCCCGTTCCTCCTCTTCTGTCATGATGCTCTGTTGTTTCTCTTTAATAGAGCCTTGCGCGGCGGTAGAAGCGGTAATAGTCTTCGTTTCCGCTGTCAATCCTATCGTCTGCTGTTGTCCAGAACCATCGCTGGGCTTAATATTGGAAATGTCTGTGGGTTCAGTCTGAACCAAGTCTTGCTCTCTCAAGGACCAACGACGGATTGTTCCATCAAGTGATACAGTAATAAGCGTGGAACCAATCACAACCATGTTTGACACTTCATCAAAATGACCCTTGATCTCTTTTATGAGCTTGCCTGTCTATTAAATCCATAGAATAATGAGCTTGACCCATTGAGCATTTACATCTATGAGAGTATGTACATGTTAACGCAATATAGCATCACTTGTTCGTTTACACTTACGGCAATCGACCAGACACGAACGCTTTCCTGCCGACCACCAGTGACCACGTATGGTCCTGCAAGCGCGATAGCCTTTACAAAATCCGGATGTTCCAAGGTTGTGTCTACTTTTTTTGTCTAGTACATTGTTTGTAAAATAAATAAAGGCATAAACAAATATTAAAAATGTAACATTCCAATCTGCCAAAAAAAAAAAAAAAAAAAAATAATAATAATAATAATAATAATAATAATAATAATAATAATAATAATAATAATAATAATAATAATAATAATAATAATAATAATAATAATAATAATAATAATAATAATAATGAATTAATAATAATAATTGAAGTCTCAAGCACTAAACTTGCTTACTCACCTCAAGATCAAGTCTTCGAGCAGTCTTATCCGCAGATGCTGAATGTTAAAAGGTTAGAAGAGGGAGGAAAGCGAAGATCTTCAGGGTTACTTAAACAATAAACATCGAAAATCAATAAGAATGCAAAAAAAAAAAAAAAAAAAAAAAAAAAAAAAAAGATAACAATTACCTGACCAGATCTCAACGCCCTCTACAAGGACACGATACACAGTAGTTTCATGATGCTTAAACACATGAACACAATGACCACCATGTCCTTGACCCTTTGTAATATCCCATTTCCGAATAGTACCATCACTACCTGCGGAATAAAGATATTCTTTGCCATGATTATCAGTGTTGTCCCCGTCAGCATTATCATCATCACCAAAGTCCTCCACTGTCAAACAAAGATCATTAATGCCGCGAGCGTGGCCTTTCCACGGACCACCAGCACCATCTTGGAATGGCTTAAATGTTTCAAGATCCCATTGCAGGATCGTTCCATCATACGATGCTGAGAATAATTGATGAACCACTCGCTTCCTCTTATCATCATGGTCGTTATCCCCATCCTTTGCAAGGACGGCCCGAATAACAAGAGCCTTGACAAAATCAGTATGACCCTTTAATGTGGCCAGACACTCTTTGGTCTCTGCATCCCATACTTTGATTGTCTTATCCCAAGATCCTGTCACAAGTCGTTCCTGACCACTCTGAGTCTGATAAACCGCCACTCGCGTCACTGGTCCTGCATGGCCTTGAAAGAGTTTCATTGTTTTACCCGTCTATTCATTATTGTTATTATTCATCTTTAGATTAACACATTTGGTCCGCAAACTGCAAAATTGACAAACAAATAGAAAAAAAAAAAAAAAAAAAAAAAAAGCTTTACCTCCAAATTAATTTTGCGAGCAACATGCCCGCTTTCTGCTGTATAAATCGTGGCACCTATCAGCGCCTTGTCCTCGATAACAGCAGTAGGCATCCCCGGTACCTGTGCTTGTGCCTCTCCTGTGGCAGCTGTTGTTGCGGCCGCATCAGACGGCTTGATCCTAAAGCCTACACAAACATCCAGTACCTTGGATGAAATCTTGATAGCCTGGCCCTTGTCATAATTGACCATCCCTTGCCTTGCTGCCATGCGCGCAATGTCTGCATCAGACTGAAAAAAATTTTCTGCATCTGTGCTGATGTTGGGTGAGAAATCGATTTGGTCTATTGGAATTTGATGTACCACTGGTACGTTGTTGTGATTATTACTAGACATCTTTATACTCTGGCTAAGTTGTAAAGAGAGAGGAATGAAAGATGAAGAGAGAGAGAGAAAAAAAAAAAAAAAAAAAAAAGAATGAGAGGTGAAATGATGTCGGCTATTAAAAAAAGTCGCTGTCCAACGTGCGATGGTGACACAGAGACGCGACGCGTGGTATTTATACATTTACACATTTTGACACCTTGTAAAAATCTATTACTTCAAACGCACTTTATTTTTGCTTTACTTGATGATTAAAATATTTTTCTACAGTTAATTTGTAAACGAAACAGAAACAGAAAAAGAAAACGGAGACTTTAAATAGAGATATTGGTATATTATGAGATGGCCATCAATACTCAAAAAAATGACGGAAAAGGTTGAGGAATAATATATGTACAAACTTAAGTACTTCATACTGACTTTTTTTTTTTTTTTTTTTTTTTTGCTGTTGTTATCTGTCGCTATCGTCCTGGCACCGTATGAATAATAATAAGGACCTCAGCACCGCTCAACCTCTTCAGAACTCAGGCACAAGTTGTTAATTGCCATTAGGTCCCTTACAGAGCCACGGCGCATGTTCAAGTACGCTAAATTAGGCTCAGGCGACGAGAATTTTCGCTGTGATTCATCCTTCGTGTCACCATTGTCAGAACTAGTGTGATCTGATGTGGAGTAATTCATTGGGGGTCGTTCTGACTTGTAGTATGCATGAGTAGACGGTGATGTCGTGTTGGGTTCAGACCGCTCATGGATGTGGTACGAATGTTGGATATGTCCACACTCCTTAAAACTTCCGGAGTGGCCATAGCGATGACCATCTTGTGTAACATGCTCCTCTTCCTTCAAATTGCTCAGAGAAGTCGGAAAGGGCCGTGCCAAGTCCTTGTGCTCCTCCTGTCTTCGACCATAGTCTTCTCTATACACTCTATTATCACCACCTTCAGCTTTGCTCTGAGCCGCCATCGTACCAGGGCGCATTTCTCTATGCTGTTCAGCCAAGTTGGCTAATTCTGAGAGTGCTGAAAACGGGTCCATCTCTACAGAATGCCTGCGATAGTCATGTTGACTTGAATAGTGACCATCGTGGCTTCCGTGACGGGAATGATGCTGATAATTTGGGTAGTGTCCCAGGGATTCATGCCTCGTCAAATTGGGACGGCCAGGTAAAGAATGTTGGAGCTGTTGCTCTTGTTGATAGTAGCCATAGCCCTGATCGCCCGCATACTGCATGTAGGGCGACTGTGCTGAAGATTGGCTGGGAGAAACATCACTGTATGTAGTGGAAGCGGACAGAGCTGAGGACGATCGTCCAATTTTGCTCAGAAAATTAGAAGGCAATGGTGCTGTTGAGGGATTTGTTGGCCCCGCTGGCGTTGAAGACACAAACGAGTTGTTGATGCTTGAAAGAGGCTTGTGGATCGAAGAGCTTCCAGGAAGGTTAGGTCTTTGAAGTCCTGTGTTGGGGCCAGCCTTATATCCACCTACTGAGGATAGTCGGTTCGCAGAGCCTGTGGAGCATGATCTCAACATGACTGGAGAGAACTGCAATCTGCCTTTGAAATCAGGGGTAATAGGAGGAGTAAGGACATTTCGAGTTGAAGGATATGGAGTCCCATCCTTGAGATTCTCTGATGAGAAAGTTCGTTGTTGTGGTTGCTGTTGCTGCTGCTCATGCTGTGCCTGTGTTGCATTTTGTGTCCTTGAAGGAAGATCCAGTGAAGGCATAGAGTGTCGTCGTTCTTTAAGATTAATCAGATAACAAGAGAAAGAGTGAGTGAGATAGGGCTATAGAAGGTAAGGTAATCATCCCGTGGTGTGACCCGGAATAGAAGTTCCTATATACTAGACATACCATATGGATCGAACCTATGTCTACGTGAAAGAGATGGAGGCGAAGTTGTTGTGCTGGTAGGAGATGCTACTGGAGAAGAAAAGGAGGCTGAAGGTGCTCCACCTGCCTGTTCAGCCTTTGCTTGGAGCTCTATGTGTCGATATATTTTAATAGCAAGAAAGTTTAATTCCAGAACCAAATAAAGAATGCAAAATACACTCACTATACATGAATTCTGATCAGATAGTTCGATAGCTTCGTTAAGTAGTCAAGTATTTATAATATATCCATACCTGAAGGGTCCTGTAAGCTGAGACGTCTACGCTTACGTTGCATAGATGTGTTGAAATGATTCTTGATTGCGTTATCCGGGCGTCCAGGCATAAGCTTGGACATTTCTGCCCATTTCGATCCAAATTGCTCAAACAGCTTAAAGATTAGCTCATCTTCCTTAGCGGTGAACGGAGACTTGTCAACTGTGGGAAGGAAAGAAAAGAAAAGAAAGAAAGAAATGGTACGGTCATTAAGTATGTTTAGTAGTATGTCACACTGTCCTTTAAATCCTTCTATCGAGTTGATGAATGCATTTGTGCCAGACTATTGCCAAACAAACAGTCTAGTACCCTCTACTTACTGGTAGGATCTAGATGGTTGTGCCATCTCTCACGACACTGTTTACCGGTGCGCGAGCCCAGTCGGCTGGCAATTAGAACCCACTTCTCAGCGCCCAACTCGTTTACAAGTGCCCGAAGCTGGCGGTCCTCCTAAGGATAAAACGTTTGATGGAATATATGAAATATCGATAGAACAAGAATTAGTTAGTTATCAGCTTTAGCTTGAAATTTCAGTAGCAGATCTTCAGTCTGGCTTTTTTATTATTATTATTATTATTATTTTATTTCATCACTATACATTATCAGCTCTCTGCAAGGAAGTTGTCCTAACTACAGATTTATGCTGAAGAATATGCTCTTACCTCGGGAGTCCAAGGGCCCTTAATTGATCTAGGTTTAGAAATCATTCGCCAACGGTGAAGGCACTGGTCTTTATCTCGAGATCCGTCGGGGAAACAGTATTCAGCTATACGCTTCCAAGCCTTGCCACTGAACTTGAGTACAGCTTCCCGGAGTAGGTTATCCTGTCAGAGCAAGCAATAAATCAATCGATATATTGAAAGATGTATTAGTAAATGACTGAGCAAGATAAAAAAAGATGGGTAAATGATAGGCGCAATAGTGTTGGGAAAAGAATGCATTGATAAAGTGAAGTGGAAGTATTGGGCAGTAACCAAAAAAAAAAAAAAAAAAAAAAAAAAAAAAGCATCAAAACATCAGACGTTGACGAAATAAAAGTGATTGATAAAAATATAAAAGCTTCTAGAATGAGAAACATAGAACAACGACACCGAAAACATCAATTTAACGGCTGTCATTTTTCTCCTCCAATCTCCCTCGCGAAATATAAGTCGTTGAAGTGGAAAGACGCATGCGAGTAATAGAAGTAAACATTGAACCACAACGTTTTTTTTTTTTTTTTTTTTTTTTTTTTTGGTGCGTGGCATTCCAATGAGCCAACCTTTTTTCAAAAGGGTGTGAGATACGCAGGAGGGGAAAAAAGGGACTGGACAGGAGAAGACAGGAATGTACGTTGCGAGCAAAAAGAGAGCGAGAGTAAAGTGAGAACGTGTATGAATGAATAGTTATCTGGGTGTAGATATGGATGTAGCAGAATATGAGTGTGAGTGCGAGTATGAGTGCAAGTATGAATGTGCTTGAAGAGTCAAGAAAAAAAAAGTTTTGTTAAAAAAGCAAAGAAAGGAGAGGCGAGATTGAGGAAGGAAAAAAAAAAAAAAAAAAAAAAAAAAAGTGACTGTGATGTCCACGCCACTAAATAAAGAGGCGCGGAATGGATTTGCGAATGAATGGGGATGAAAAAAATAGCAGCAATGATTTGCTGTGTATAGTGTGACAAAATGAATGGGTACGAGTTTTGGTATGAATGGTATGGCATGGGAGACATGAGACAGACAAAAAAAAAAAAAAAAAAAAAAAGATGAGCGGAACAAGAGTAACGTTATCGGGGCTAATGCCAAGAACGGGTAGCATAGTGTGTATTTACAAAATTGCTTCAAATACTATTGAATCCACAGGACAAAGAAGACGAAGGAGAAAGAACACCAAGGGGAGAGAAACAATGAGGAGGAGAGAGGGAAAAAGAAGAGGATGCTGGGGGGATAAGATGAATGAATGAAGGGGAAACTGCAGAAAGGTCAAAGAGAGCTATTACTCCGCATATATGCATGTTCGACGCTTTGTCACAAGAAGGACGCATAAAAAAAAACAATTCAGCAACATCCCATCACCATCCGCATCACCATCGGCAACATCAACTTCAAGCATGAACTCTATCCCACATCCCATCGGGACAAAAAAAACAAAAAAAAGGAAGAAAAATGTTTGTAAACAAACATGTTTATGCGATGGCATGCATGGACGCACATCTGCACACATACGCATCGCACGCACGTCCTCCCACAATCCAAACGAAAAGGGGATATTCCTCTTTGCCTCTCCCTTTTTTCTCCAAATCACTTTCGTCATTGTAGGAATGGAGTGTATGTTTGTGTTTGTGTGTGAATAAGAAAGCAAAGAGAAAAGGGGTGGAAAGAAAGCAATCCAAAGAGTACAAAGAGACGTATTTTTCAATAACTTCTCCCTCCAGTCTCTCTTCTTTTCTTTCATTCCTTCTGCTTCAAACCACCATTGTGCAATCGTGGTCCACAAGGACATAAAATTACAAAGGAGGAAGGGAGAAGATCTATTTATTTAATTCGTTATCCAAACAACAACAATAATAATAATAATGGTAGAAATAATAAAAATACTCCAAACAACATGGGACATCCAGAGAGAAATAGTTTAGGGGTTTTTTTAAGGTTGGAAGCATGAATGGAGAAGACTATCTACCAAACCAAAATGCCTACCAAGGAATGGGACTAGTGGAAAAAAGTAGGAGTGTTGATGGGAAGAGATGAGCAGTTGAATCCGATTATGAATGGGGGTCCAATGAAAACCATGAGGATCCCCAAACAAAACCTTTCTCTACACATCCATGTATACATTTGTGTTTAAGAAATACATGTCAACGCCACCATTTCTTTGGGTCTCAAGGATCGGGATGAATCTTAGGGTGATTTTTTTTTTTTTTTTTTTTTTTTTTTGTTTGGGCACAACCAATCGAAAAGCTGTAACGAATCTAGCGAGTCTAATCACAAAGACTACCAACGCCCAGACCACCATCTTTTTAACCAATCCTGTGCCGGCAAGCAAACAATGGCTCTTTTCTTTTGAGGCTCATTATTATTAAGAAAGGGAGGGAAAAGAATAGAGAGTTTAAAATGTGTAACAATAACCTTACCTCTTGACGCGTCCATTGAACATTATTGAAAGTTAATTCAGTGTCTGATACTGTCGATTCGTCAGACTCCACTGCAGGATCACCATTATTTTGTTCACGTCCAATAGGGGACGTTGAAGAGGAACGCGAATGCTGTACCAAATGATGATTGTGGCGAGTTGAATGAAGCCCTGCATGACTTGGCTGTTGGTGCTGTTCTTGCTGGGAATCCTGTTGCGCATGGTGCGATAGGCGATGTGAAGGTAGTGGCGCATAGTCATGATGTGGATGTGGCTGATAATGTGAATGAGAATAAGGGACAGACCTAGCTGAATTGCTGTCAGGTGTATCTCCATTAGGCAAGAAACAGTTGCGGTGATGATAGGAAGGAGCCATGTGTGGATGTTGCGGCACATTGTGGTGCTGTGGTCCTTGATACTGAGCATGTTCTTGAACCGGTGCTCCATGTCCATACTGCTGTTCTTGTTGCAGGTGTGGGTGATGCATTGCATGGAATGCTGGTACTTGGTGATGGTGTTGCATGGCTTGAGTAGGGACGCAGTAAGGAAGAAAGGAAGTTGAGAAGCGATAAAGGCGTTGACCACTATAGCTCGGTCCCTATTAGGGATCCGGTTCTAATATTGAGTGTAGGGTTGTGGATATATAGGCTTACGATCTGAGCTTACGATCGTTTTTTTTTTTTTTAAACAAAAAATATATATGTATATGAAAGCAAACAAAATAAAAGGTGCTGGGATGTGCAGAATCGTTTAAAAAGATTAATATCACAAATGATACTACTGCTGATGTAATAATAAGGATACACTGTTAGTTTGAATAGAAGAGTAAAATAAGTATAAAAAAAGAAAAACGAAAGAGAGACAGGATGAAACTGTAGGCGTCTTGAAGACAAAGAGAGGAGAATGAAGGAGAGGAGAGGGAATGAAGGAGGGTAGAGACGTTCAGGTAGAACTCAAAGAGGTTTTCGAGAACTTTTATAGTGATTGTTCGTAAAAAATAAAATAATAAAAAAAAAAAAACCACATAAATATTTTTAAAGAGAGTAAGAGAAAGGAGATCAAGGGTCAGAACAAAATATACTCAACACGGAATCAATCCGCATATCAAGAGTGTAAGAACAAAGAGGGCTCAGTCTATGAAGTTTTTTTTTTTTTTTTTTTTTTTTTTTTTTTTTTCGCAAAGGAACGTCCTTCACGATGCGATACTTTTGGTTTTATTATTAGTTTTAATAATATCATTATATACGTCTAAACTGCTTCACGCTTTTTTTTTTTTTTTTTTTTTTTTTTCTTCCCTCCCTTAAATTCTATTTGGCTGTTGTCTTGATAAATAATCGGTTTTTACAAATGTATTGGAATGCTTGAAAACATCGTAGCCACATTCCCTTTTCCTAAACAGAAGAGTTAAAACCATCAACAAAAGAGAGGTCATTGTGCATATTCTCTCAGTCGCAAAACCCAAAACAGTGTGTCAAGGAAAGAAAAGACTCTAGAGTGTAAGTAGTACAAAAACTCTCTTTCTCTTTCTCTCATCTGAGACATGGAATAGGCAGGTAAAAAGAAAAAGACGGGAGGTTTGTCACTCAAGAGTCGATGACAGACGGGAAGCAATGCAGGATATAGCACTGAGGGACTAAAATCGTACTGACATCTATTTCTTGTTCATCAGCATTGATGTGTCCAAGATGATGCCAATCTGATGTTACATTGTTGCTTTGTCCAACCAGTCTATGTGTACTACTGCTGCCGATACTTCTGATTTTACTACTTTTGGTATAGAGCTCTTCCTGATCTACGAAACAAGAGTAATACAATAGAACATAAAGGATGATCTTCCATTACAGACTAAGGACAAATCTGATTAACTCGGTAGAGCAAGTCCCATAGTGTGGCCTGCTCAGTTGTTCTCAAAAGAGGATACATCTGTTTAGACACGGTAGATCTTTCAACTGATCGGCGTGCTTTGAATTTTCTTTTTTTATTTTTTTATTTTTGTACGTGCGTCTTCCCAAACAAGCACAGCTTCAAATAGCACAGATTGTTTCTATACTGATGCCTGTATTCATGTCAAAGCCTTCTTGTATTTCTTCACTGTTTTATTCCACTTTGGATTAGTTTCTACTCGACTACGGACGGAGTTTACATTACTGTGCCCATAGAATGGTATGATGCACAAATATTTTTAAACATACTTCTTGAACTATTCGTGAAATGGATATGTAATTTTTTGTATTGATTGAAACTGACTGTGTTGTCCACATTTAAGATTCAGGCACAAACGATTCATGACAACGAGTTTTTTTTTTTTTTTTTTTTTTTTTTTTGTTGTAAAACAAAAAAAAAAAAAAAAAAAGGGGGAAAGAGAAGGGAGAGAAAAGGAGATGGGGGAAGGTTAGGAGGCAAAAAGTTAGTTCAATAGCGTCATTCCCGTCGTCGTCGTCGCCCAGTACCTCTTTATGCTCTAACTGAACACGAGTTCTTCTAAGGAGAAAAATATTGAATTGATATAGCAAAACAGATAGAAATTAGCTTGCAGGAATTGCTTTTTTTTTTTTTTTTTTTATTCAAATTGATTCGGAAAAAGTTGTATGACAGGACAAGGCAAAAAAAAAAAAAAAAAAAAGGGAGGTGAGTAAAAAAAAAAAATGAAGGAAGAGGAGACAAAAGAAAAAATGAAAGTAACCGTCCCAATGCAATTCACCGGCCATTAGGGAGGAGAAAGAAAGTCGTTTCGGTGAGATATTCTTCATGATCCGGTTGCGATAAGCATTGTTGTTGAAGAAGGTATATACTGGAGATGAAAGAGAAGAAGAAGAAAGAATGCTGTGGTGAGATGGATCCGCTATCGGATGGCTTGCTCCAGATAGTGGTCGGAAGGAAGGCCATTGCTGTCATTCAGGTTTTAATGTGAATATCAATCTACGATATGTTTATAGTGTCCTTGAACTTGTAACACCATGTCTGCATATTACGAAATTGAAGATCTCTTCTCTTCTCCTAAATAAACAAGAGGAAAATCCTGAACAATTCATAACAAGAACTTCCGCATGCATGCAGGAAAGTGTTCGTTGTCGTCGTTGTCTCTTACCCACTAATGCAAGATAACCTAAAGGAAAAACAAAGAAAAGCAGCGACATGGCGGTGAGCCGGAGAATGAAAAAAGCTATAGTGGAGACTATAAGGAGACAGAGTCGTGAAATAGGCTCATTACATCAGACGGATAGAAAGCACATGCAAAAAAAAAAAAAAAAAAAAAAAAAAGATAGCCACATGTAACAGCGAATGCAAACTTCCTAGAGATGAAGCTAATTGAAATAAGGGGAGTGAACAATAAAGCAAGCACTTCAAATATTTTGAGAGCTTGAGAACCAATAACTTCCTCGCCATGCGATAGGTTTAGAATACCAGGGAGACCAGAAAGAGGAAAAAAGAAAGGGATCTGGAAGATAGTGAGCGACTGAAACCTTGAACTGAGGATTATTCTCTTCATACTTAAAAGAAAAAAGGAGAGAGAGTGAAAGAGTCTTCTTTCAACGGCGTCAGCAGTAGCCTCTTTGTCTTGTATGCAGGCTATAAGTCATAGATGCAAGTCATTATGTGTAAGTATTCAAAAGAAGCACTAACTGATATGGTCAAAATACCAAAATGGCTTTAACGAAATAAAAAGGAAAAAGAGAAAAGAAAAAAGAAAGAAAAGAAAAAAAGAAGACTCTGTATTTATATTGGAACCAAAGAGGAAGGAAAGAGCATGGTTCTGATAGGAATCACACAAAGTACCATCATCATCATTAGATCTTTGAAGAGTGCATCACGCATATTACGATAAATATTGCAGGATGCAAGGCATATCCAAGGAACAAATGTCTTTGCCAACGTGACGCGTCAACTATCAACTACAATGCAACCAAAGCTTAATATCATAACGGTGAGCAGCCATTATTTATTGAAGAGGAGAAAACAACGGATTGTATCTTTTTTTTTTTTTTTTTTTTTTTTTTACTTCTTCTTTTGTGCCTTTCCACCTTTGCGCTTACGAAGCTTGGGTGTGCTTGCACTTTCATGATCTGATCCACTAGGGGACGATGTCTTTTCAGCAATAGACTCCGCTTTGGTCTCATCATCATCCTCAACCTGGGTAACAATCTTCTTCGAGACCTTTTTTTCATCCTCCTTTTTTTCATCCTCCTCTGAAGTATAGGCAAAGACCTCTTTGATCTCACCGCGAGCCAATCCCATGACTAAAACGCTCAGAATACACGCCGGAGAGAGGTAGAGGAGTGCAGGTTGAGCAGCCTTGAACGTATGCATGACATAAATCGTTGTGCCCAAACCAATGGCATAGGCGATGAAGCAGGCTGTAAAATAAGGCTTGCTGAACCTAGTCGATCGTCCCAAATTAGGATTCTTGATACCAGTCAAGTGTTGATCAAATCGCAAACATAATGCAACAAAGACACCGGGGATCACAATATCACCCAGTCCAAGCATCGCAAATTGATAAGGCTCCCCAACAGGCAAACCAAAGAATAACCGAGGAAAGATCACCTTCACGGGCGCATCAAAGTTCTTGGCCACAGACACCATCACTTCTGTGCCAAAGACCCAAAAGATATCATAAACGAACAGACCGCTCAACAGGATCATTCCTGTCTTGAAGGAGTCAAGCGAAAGCAATTGAATAGCGTTCAAGGCAAAGCAGATACCAAAAACATTGGAGGCAATCCAATTCTTGGTAACCACATAGTATCCTGACAAAAGAACTGATGCAACCATCATGATCAAGTGAAGAATAGTAAACTTGACCGAGTACAGTTCTAAAAAAAAAAATAAAAAAAAAATAGACCCAAGAATTAGGCACTAGCCATAATAGAGAGAGCATTCACATTAAAGAAAAAAGGCTTTTTTTTTTTGTTTATCAAACTAGTAATCCACACTTACCCTTCTTCTTTTTGGTAAGTCTCAAATGCCATTTGTCAACATCAATGCCAACGAGTTTGACAACGGGTGCGATACAGTTGACTCCCACTTGGGTGGTGGCCATGACACCAAGCAATCCAAAGTATGCTGTGAGAAGATAATTGACATAGGTCTTGTCGAGGTACCTGAAGACCAAATACAGACCAAACAGCGTAATCGATCCAAATACAGGAAACATGTATGCATCTTCCAGCGACATGGACTCTGTAGCCTCATCCTCGTCATCCGAATCATCTGAATCCTCTGTTTTTTTCTTCTTTGCGTTAGGATTCTAATAGAAGCAGAAACGGATCGATTGTTAGTGGCTTTGTATTTACATGAAATGAACTCCATTGCGGATAAAGAGTAGGAAAGCATATCTGACTGAAGTTTCTTCTATGGGCCTTTGTCATGCTGGTCTGGTTTTATCCATTGACGATGATTAAAACACGCCTGTTATTGTACCTTCCACTTCTTGAGAGATGCAAATGACCCAAAATAAATTGGCAAAACAGCCATGGTGCTGAGTGCAGCATATGCGACATAAAGTCCTCGTTCTACTGCCTCAGGCGGAGGCACATATTTCTCTGTCATTGTGAGTGATTCGTATTCAGATCAAAGGAAAGGGTAGTTTGAATAAATGAAAAAGAAAAGAAAAGAGATTAGAATTGGTGTGGTGAACATGGATTGCTACATGAAGTTATGCGTCTGTGAGGCCCTTGTTTGCCCTCAAGTGCGGTGGGACATGGTGATTGGCTAGGTTTAGTCGATAAATTTAACTTGAAAGGGGAAACAGAGAAAGGACGGGAGTTTGCATGTACATAATTTATTTGCTGGTCAACTAACAGACTAGCAGAGCCTACTCATTATCGAGCATTGAGCGTTCAAGCTGTTCGAATTTTTCGCGCCGCGTCTTTTTTTTTTTTTTTTTTTTTTTTTTTTCCCAGATAAACCTTTTGTCAATGTCATAGACTTGATACTTTCTTTTTTTTTTTTTTTTTTTTTTTTTTTTTTTTTTGTTTTTTTTGATTCTGTCGCGTCAATCATTATATCAATCCTCCTTTCCTGTTCTTCTTCATCTTCCTTCCTCTTCTTCTCCTTCTTTATGTAACCTTACTTGTCTTCATCAACCAGGACCAAGTCTTCCTGCCTGACTAGCGCCTCGTCCATCATAGTACCTGAACCAACTTGGGCAAGGTCCCACATAAATTCCCACGCAGAACATTCAATAGCACTCATTTTTTCACAGCCCTCACTCCGGGGAGGCATCAGCACCTTGTCCACCACATGGATCACGCCATTTCCCGCGATCCAGTTCTCTAGCCCATAAAGGACATGTGCCTCCTTGTTGACAATAATCTCATCGCGGTGCGGGGTCGGGTTCCGGTGCTTTGGTCGGCCCTTTCGGCTCTTTTTATGATGACGACGATGGTGATGGTGGCACGCATATTTTTTACTTGATCTCCTTCCCCTGAATCCTAGCCAATTCTCGGGGCCCTCATATTCTGGTTGGCTGGTTATGGGAGCACTGATAGGGCTGCTTCTTCTAGCCTTAGCAAGGATACGAAGCTCGTACTTTGCGGAGTGAAGAAGCGTAGGGAGGACGACCTCGTGATAACCATCTCCCTGTGAGGTGTTAAAGATCTCGGGCGTGTAAACAGGCCTATTTCCGAATTGATACATGGTGACGATCTTCAGGTGCTCACGACCCATGTTTGAAAACAGCCACTCGAGCAAATCCTTTGGCAAGGCTAATAAGAAAAGATTGACTCTCAGAATTAGTACTAGTCAACAATCTACTTTATACATATTAAATGGGCCGTTTAGAATATGGAAATGTAGGTTCTCTATTACCATCCCATGCCTTATCGTGGGCTGCAAAGAGCGTTATGCCCTTTCCATCTCGGATATGGGCATCTACGCCGGTCTCAGACCAAGCTTTGACAAGATACTTGAAGTGCTCCCCTTGCCTCTCAATTTCGTCCAAGATGGTCTCACCAGGCGGGAGAATGATTTTATTGACTCCATGAACGATGCCACCCGATTGAGCCAACAAATCAGGGATGGTGACCTTTGCACGATTAATGTAGATAGATGATCTGTCGCCGCCAAGCCCTTTATAAACAGTCTTTACGCCCTCATCAACATTGACCCCTTGATCACTGCCTGAAGAAGCAGTGATCCAGACGGGCCTATGCCTCCAATAAGTGCGTCTGGGATCGACCGAAGGAATACTGGGGTGCTTTTGGGAAACACGCAGGTACTGAGGGGAGTTTTCGAGGCCCTTAGTCTGAAAGAGTGACTTGATGACCGGCTCCTTCCGTAAGCTGGATGAATTGTAAACCTGATCTGCAATATGGTACATCAGCACATCATGGGTGGGATAGTCGATATCTGATACAGAATCAAAGGCTTCGTTTGTGGGTGCGAACAATGTGGTCTTTTTTTTCAGTATTGTATATTACATGATATAAATAAAGGATGAGCTCATTTGTATTGTTGTTCAGACAATCCTAGAAAGAAAAGATGCGCGTAGTGGGAATACAATAAAGTATAAAATGAAAACGTTCTAGAACTTACCAGAGTACCAGTATCGGCTAGAATATCCTTCAAATCCTCATACTTTCGCACCAGTTCAAGAAGCTTTGAAAATTCAGGTCGTTCCCCGAGGATATCCAAAATGGTGGATGCTGTCTTAGTATTGGGGTTTGGGCTAAATGATGGCTGTTTCTGCTGCTCGCTTGGATAACCAACGTGGAAGATATCTTGCATCGCTGGTGATGATTCTACCACATTCAAGTTACCAATAAGGAATATCATCAAGGCAAACCCCAAGGAAAACAGTAGCGCCATCTGTTGCCATCTTGGTGTGCTCTGTTTTTTAAAGTAAGATTTCATTGTGACAAATGTTCTCTTCAGAGAGATGAAAGTGAGATAGAAGTTGACAAAAAAAAAAAAAAAAAAAAAAAAACAAAGAAAGAAAGAAAAAAGAAAAAAGAAAAAAAAAAAAAGAAAGAAAGATCAAAATGTTGGTGGTCAATGCACCCTTCCCTATTCAAGATGTCTAAGTTCATCACGCTTGACTAAACTCCACTGAGACTTTGCCAGTCATACGAATGATGTATATAATGAGCGAGCAAGGATAGCTGCATAAAAAAGAATAAGAAAACTGCCACTAAATTTGTTCATCAGTATTTGTACATATGGAATATGCATGAACGCGTCTTGAATGTGTAGACAAAGTTCTATATCCTATTACTTTCTCACGGTAACTTTAATGTTAAATATTGGTTCTTTTATATAAAACATAAGGTTTATCAACTGAGGATTTTCTGTGTGCATAGTAGGCTCGTCACCAGCCTGAGAACGAAGTTCGTGTGTACATGCACGTGCTGAAAGGCAAATGTGGTTTGCTCTTGCAGACACTTCTCTCTCTCAGGCTGGTGACGAGCCTATACGCACAGCACTTTCTGTCCACAGCACTGTGCCATTGATTGTGGCATTGGAGCGTACAATACAGGACGATGAAAGTGTAGGATATAGTATTTCCTGAGATTTCATCAAAGTGAAAATCCTTTTTCTCTTCTCCCTTCTTCTGCATCAAAACAGTCCCATTATTTACTATATCTCAACGCATCAGCAGAAGGATTGACACTGACCGTGATTATTGTCCTTTGGACCATATAACGGGCAAATTCGGCCACTTGGCCTTCATCAACTCATCCACTATACCTAAATAGCCTATCTCAGCCAGACTTTTTGATCACTTTCTGGTTTTTGAACGAGTTATCCCGGTAAGTCTTGTGCATTAGCATCATTATCTATGCGGTTCACATCATAAACCGTATAATAGAGGAGAAAAATGCTTCCTGTGTTTGTGATCCATGGCTTGGTCTTCGGGGAAAGTCGTTGTTCGATTTGTCAATTGTTTCATCCCGACTTACTTTTTCAGGATCATTGCCTTCTCGAGTAAGAAATAAGCGACCCTTATGCTGGGGATCGATCCTCGATAAAGATCGTTTGAAATGAACTGGACAAAATGAAGTCGCTCAATATCCAGTATCCGCTAGACGAATTTTTATTATATCATTCTAACCTCGTTTGCCAATCTACCCCGATTTGTGAGTGAGATGGATAGAGGAAATTGGTTTCTGCGCCATAGTCTCCATTAAAAGGTTGGTTGCAGTAAGTTTACACTTTTTTTTTTTTTTTTTTTTTTTAAAAAAAAAGGTTGCACTGAGAAAGAGGCTGTACTTGTGGATAATTATGTGGAGTAAATGGTCATCCTTGTACTGAGAAACTATATGAACATGAAAGAATGATCTATTTTATTGTACAATGACTAATTTTTTTTTTATTTTTTTATTTTTTTTTTTTTTTTACTTTCCAAGGGCCGAAATGCCATCAAGAGCACTCATCATATCTTGTTGTAAAGACTCATGCTTTTCCTGGGCCTCATTGAGCCTTTTTTCAGATTCTGAGATTCCAGAAGAATTGATATCCTAAAAATGCATCACAATTAACATTAGGACAATGTCAGTTATTTTCAAGTTTTTTTTTTTTTTTTTTTTTTTTTTTTTTTGCAAATCCATTTACACATGTTATTCAACATTTTTTTTTTTTTTTTTTTTTTACCTCAAGTCTAGTATCACGTTTTGTTTTTTTCCGCTGCAGTTGAGTATTGAGGTCATCAAGCAGTGCATCTAGCTCCGATGTTAGGTTGGTGTTGTGGTGTTTATTCCTTGCTTGGTTACTTGGCTTATTCAAGGAGATGGGCAATTTCTTTTGATTGTTGCCAGAAGTTGTTGTTGTTGTTGTTGCTGTAGTTGTTGTTGTTGTCCTTACATTCTTATTATATGGACTGGCTTTTGATTTCCCAATGGCATTCCTTGAGGCAGATGCAGAAGGACTCTTCTTTTTTGTGGAGGGCATGATGACTGACTGTGATGTGTATAGGAAGAGTTAGCCAGGTAATGGAATGACCAGCAGAAAGCTTAATAAAAAAATTAAAAAAAAAAAAAAAAGACTGCACAAACACAAAAAACAGATAAGCAGTCACACCGCCACCAAAAAGTAAGAGTAGCACAAAAATCATGGTAAGTCTTTGCTTTGCCCCCTTTCATTTATCGATATTGGCAACTTCAAAATACACTAATCTTTTTTTTTTTTTTTTTTTTACATGTGCATGTTACACTTCCATCTTCCAAAGGATATTTTAGAGATTTTGAAAGCACACCTGCTGAGTAGATCGCCTGCTTGGGGAGGAAACTATAACATCCAGCACGACATCAAGCTTTGTATGAATTCTGAGCGGCTTGATACTATCGTTTATAGAAATACATATTTTTTTTAAAGAATTTTTTTAGAACTCAATATTATCCAATACCTAATTAAAAAAAAAAAAAAAAAAAAAAAAAAAAACCATTGATGGCCATAATATATTACTATTCAAAGTTTTCATCTACAAGAAAGGACAAGATTGTTCCCTCGTTCTCGATACGTATTGGATCGTTGAAAGCGGATACAACATCGTTCCAGAGGATGATGTACTCTTTTGTTTTAGAGTCATACCGCGCTTCAATTTTTTTGACTGCTGACAGTGGCGTTGCCAATAAATCCGAACTGACAAGACGAATTTTCTGATATTTACTCATAGTGATCAAAAGAGGGATTATGTCTTTATTACAATTGTAGTATTATTCGAACCGGTGGCAAGATGGCAAGATGGCAAGAGTAAGGGAAAAAATAAATAAATAAAAAAATAAAAAAATAAAAAAAGAGATTTGAGAGACGAGGAAAAAATGGTTTCGTCTCTTCAACCTTTCGTGGACAAACAAAGGCAAGAAAGAAACAACGAGAAAGAGAAGGAGTCTCCTCCCTGCCTTGCATGAATGAGATGATCCACTTGACAAACAAAAAGATCTTGCACTGTAACATGTTTGACAAAGCACTGTGCAAATGTAATAGCAAGTCTTGTGATAAGGTTGCTCCAAGGTCCAAGTCTCAGCATTTGCTATTCTCTCAATTCTACCTGCATAATTGTCCCTCATAACTATCATTCATTCTTGGGCTATATAATGTTCTCAGGCCAAATGACTCTTACGATCATCAAGGATATGAACTTGCCTATTTTATAAAAGTTGAAACACGAAGCGGGGCGTGAGAGCAAAATTAGACTCTCTTGTTGCGGATAATCGAGAATACAGGAAAAAGAACACACGCCACACGCTTTGACCATTCTCATCTTGTCAAAGCCATCCCTCCCCCTGTCGGTGAGACAATTTCGGCAAATTCTGTACAGGAAATATCAGTACATGTATTATGGCCCAAAAGAGAGAGCCAGGAATTCAACCTTGAATTGGAACTATGCTATCTGGTGTAATCAACAGAGGGCCTTCTTTCATTCTTAGACCTTGACAACGATGTAAATGATCGAGTTTAGCCTTAAAACATGAAGGTGAAATTTACCTTCATAGTAGTAATAATAATAATAATAAAATCGACATATTGCTATTAGGGACATGTGAGCATTCGCGCCACCAAATTGTAGACTTTCACTACCACCAAGTAAATTAATTGGTTGGTAAGACATTTAAAAGGAAAAAATAAATAAATAATAAATAATAATATATATATCTCTATATATGTTTATTCATTAAACTACAAGAACTTGGTTATTTATAATGTTACAACGCAATCATCAGGCCTTCAAGAGGTGGGAGTTGTGGTGTGACCGATACAGTGGCAAGTGGAATGTCTGAATCGATGCTCAGTTCTTCTTTATCACCTGCTGTGAACAGTCCAGAAGAGGTGGCCTCAGATGCTGGTGCTGCACCGGCCATAGGGTCCAATGATTCAGAATCGATTGTGACATTGACAGTAGATGGTGCGGGGTATGAAGACGTGGCTGTGGCTGTGGTTGTGGTTGCTAACTGCATTGACAGGGAGGATGTGGTGTGACCAATTAGGGGTATAGCCGAGGACGGTGCGGACATGGATGATGGGACATGATGTTTTCCAGGGATTGAGGTTGCCATGATAGGCGAAAAGGCCATGGATGGCGAGGCAAACGATGCTTCAGAGACCTGCTCTTTGGCATTCAATCCTGGAGATGAAACTGCAGAGAGAGCAGTTGTGTCTGTGCAGGGGATAGAGCTTGTTGAGCTCGCGGCATCTGATGTTGATTCGTCATCGTCATCATCCTTGCGGTTTTTGGCTGCCAATTCCTCACGAAGGAGCATTGCTGCCATGAGTTGATTCTCCTCATCCTCAGCAGTGCATGGTTTCGTTTGAGCGATTTGTGTTTGTGCAGGGACCTCTGTTGTTGATGGCAAAGGCTGCTCAATCAGAGCATCCTCAGAGGCATAAAGCCGGACAGGAGAGAGTACTTGTGTTGGGGCATCAGGTGTGGCTGGTGTGGCTGGTGTGGTTGATACAACTGGTACAGTTGGAGCAATGGGTGTGACTGAGATGGCTGCAGGCGCAAGTGGTGCAGGAGGAAGTACAGCTTCAGCTTTGGCCAATGTAGTGGCATGGACGAGTTCCTGAGCTGGGGTGAGTGGTAGCTGGGGTGAGGATTGATAGGGGAGACTGCCAAGAGGTGCCCTCGAAAGACGATTCAAGGGTCCTTCCTCCCATTCGTCCTGTGTATAATCGAAATCCTGCGAGAGACCACCCCAGACGATTTTGAGGCCCTGTTCACGATTCTCAAAGGAGTCTGGGGTATCATAGTATCCGCCCAGCAAAGCTCTGAAGAGGACACTACCGATTGACAGCGTGGGTGCAAAGACAACAGCCAAGTTTGAAACATTCATTTTTGTTTTTTCAGAGTATGCTGCGATTTTCGAGAGGTGGTGGCACAAGAATGACAAGACAACATAATTCGTCCGGGGGAGTCTGACGAGAATCCCGCGGAGACTGTGACACACTTGACGATCGGTGGAAATTACAGACTGAAATTGCTCCAAGAACACAGCAGGAAAGAGAGGCGAAGGCACTAGTGTAGAGAAGAAGAAGAAGAAGAAGAAGAAAACCGTAATGATTCTGATGTTAGTCAAAGGGAATGAAGGAAGGAAATAATAATAATAATAATAATAATAATAATAATAATAATAATAATAATAATAATAATGCAAGCATGCAGTTGTTTTCCATAAAGATATATCAAAAAAGACAGTGAAGGCAAGTGGGATGTAGTTCCATAGGACATACGTTCACGCAAGTATAGCTTCAAGAGTGTGGCGATGTCGTTGGGATCAATTCCATCCATGGTCAAAAGTTTGTGGTCTTTGCCAGAGTCAAACATCTTTTTCAATTTTTGTACGCTTGCATGACTTCCTGGAACACTATGAAAGTTTATGCCAAAAAAAAAAAAAAAAAAAAAAAAAAAATGCAAGTTAGATTGTTATCTGTCTTCCCAATGGTTTTCTAATTTTGTTTGTAAACTAAATAAACATAGCGCGCGTGGTAGCACAGGAAAAAGGAAAAAGGAAAAAAAAAAAAAAAAAAAAGTAATGAGCCAATGGAGGGTTCGTGTTAAAAACTTACCGATAGAGTCCTACTTCATCGATACCTTTGGCTTCGAGATATTCTACACAGCGGTAAAGTACTGCAGGGACCATTGGAGTGGACGGGATGTGGGACATGCGAACTGCATCCTCGAGGCTGGCGCCGAAGACTGGAGTTGTGGGAAGACCCTTTGCTCCAAAAGTCGGTTCAGAATCTAGAGCGAATTATGCAAAGCAAAGCAGGAACAAAGAACGGAAGCAGACAGGCATAAGTAGGTTGGAATAAACAGAGGGATAGGAGACAGGAGGACGAAAAAAGACATTCCTCGTGAGAAAAAAGTCAGGAAGTAAAATATAAGATATAAGATATAAAATATAAATATAAAAAGGCGGAGAGAGAGTAAAGAGGAAGAGGAAAAGGAGAAGACAATGGTTGATTGCTAATATGGCCCATTCGACTGATATCTACAAGATACAATCAAACAATCAAGGCAATTAACCCTTTTCGCTCTTGTGTTTGGTAAAGATGCGACTTGTTCCCAATGAGTTTTAAACATCAGCACACAGACACACAGACACAAAATCAGACGAGACAAACACAATACACACAGACAATAGATAGAGACATTAAATATATAGAAATATTAAAAAAAGTTACCCGCACCAGGAACAAAGCATTATATAACTGAAAGTAAATAACAGTTATTTAAACAAATAAACAGCAATAATAGTATACAAATATAATATAAGATTAAAACAAAAAGAGAGAAAGAAAGACCGGATTGGGTAACCAGCTTTTTTTTTTTTGATGGGGATGGGTTGGGTTGGGTTGGAGTGAATTAGAGCTGGAGCATATAATTCGATTTGATTTGATTTGATTTGATTTGATTTGTGCCTGATTAATGCGAATTAAAGTAGCGAAACACTTTACATTTAAAAAAAAACAAACACCAAACATATATACAAAGACACATTCAAGAATTCAAACAAGAGAAATGAAAATAGAAATAAAGAAAAAAAAAAAAAACATACTTTTACGGGCACGGCCCCATGCCTTTTTGGAAAGCATCTCTGCACCTCTGGATCGCCAAGAGACCAAGGAATTGACGGAGGAGGATGAAGAGATGATTCTTTCGGACTTGATTGGATCTGGATTCTTTTTGGTGCTGTGGAATGTGCTTTGTAACTTTTTGAAGGGGTTGGAGAACCCTCGTGAAGGCGCGAGCTGCAGCCGAGACTCGTCCGAGAGAGAGCTATGAGCAGGAGCAGAGCTGGAGAGGAGATGAAGAGAGGTTGTTGAGCGAACAGCAAAGTTCATGAGATGGGCAGCAATAGAGCCTCGCCTGGGCGAGGATTGAGAGGGCATTAGGTTGTTATTCTGGATATTGAGGGGCTGAGGTTTAGATGGGAGTATGGGAGATGTGGAGGTAGGGAGAGATGGAGAGGGAGAAGGAGGTCGTTGTTGTTGAGATGCCATGATGAATGAATGTGTTTTGTGGGAAATATTTGGTAGATGTATGATATGGAAGTGAATGAGAGAAGAAAGTGCGTGAGAAGTGAGGATGAGAAAGTAAAGAAAGAAAATTGGCAGGTTTTTTTAGGACAGGGTTTAAAAAGTAAGGAAAAGAAAAAGAAAAAGAAAAAGGGGATGCCAATTATAATTAAAATAAATATGGAAATGGACAATTTTTTTTTTTTTTTCTTTTTAATAATTTTTGGTTATTGGTTATTGTTGCTGTTGCTGTTGCTGTTGCTGTGAATAAGAGAGTTTAAAGAACGGATGAAGAAGGAAAGGAAAAGGAAAAGGAAAAGGAAAAGGAAAAGGAGAGGAAGGAGGAGAAGGAGATGAAGAAGAAGAAGAAGAAGAAGAAGAAAAGGAAGAAGAGAAAAGAAAGAAGGAGGAAAGAATGAAAGAATGAAGGAAAGAATGAATGAATGAATGAATAAAAGGATGAATGAATGAGAAGAAGAGCAAACGAGAGAGAGAAAAGCTTTTTCTGTAATGGCCAATGAAAGATGGCAGATGTTTGGTATTTGAACAAATTTTATTTGGGAAATGAGAAAATCTTTTTTTTTTTTGTACGATAATCACGTATAACGGTTGTACGGATGTATTCATTCTGTACAGCACTAAAAATGATCACGACTCTCTTCCTAAGCGAGAGCACTTTTCTTTTTTAAAACGTAGAAAAAGAGCAACCCTCTTTTTTGTTTATTACAAAAAATAAAAAAGCACCAACATTCCTTGCAACAACTCTTTACACCCCCTTTCTCTTTTCCATCCTTCCTTCCAACCATTCTGACAAGCATGAGCAACCAATTGAGCTTTTATTTATCTGTTCGTCTTCTCTAAACTATCTGTAGGAAATAAAAGATTTTATTTCAGTGTATCTCCCTCTCTTCCTCCCTGCTTCTCTTTTATAGCCGTTATCAGCCGTTGGAGCGCATTAAAATAAATTTTTTTTTTTTTTTTTTTTTTTTTTTGTCCAAGGCTATTCTTGTCTACAGAGTTGATCTGTTTTTGACATGGCCTGGTTTCGTATGTTAATCATGCATCTTTCTTTCTTTTTTTTTTTAGTGTCTGGACCAAAGTTCAGATTGGCTTGCTCTCTCACATAAACACTGAATATTATTATTACTATTATATACTATTATTATTACTATAGTCATTATTATCTATATATTATCATTGTTATTCAATCCTTGATTGGAAAGCCCTGAAGCAGATGAACAGAATGTAGTTTCGGCATTGTATCTGCCTGTGTGTCCGTGTTGATGGTGGCAGTGTTTTACTTTTATTATTAGTCAACGCCTTAGCACTGCTTTCTTCCTTTGCCACACAAAATGGTATATATCAACACACTGTTTCCTTTTTGGACACAAAGGAAATATGCCAAGCCAACATGCCAGCAATTTCTACATGTAACATCTAACATGTCCTTGCACCAACTCAATGGTAATCCTGTCCTGCCTCGTTCCTTTTAATGCATAATTTGCAATTTACACATTTACACTTAATTATCATTAGCCTCAGTTCAATCTCTCCTTCCCCCCTCTCTCTCTCTCTCTCTCTCTCTCTCTTTCATTGCTCTCTTGACATTCATTCCTTGATCATTCCTACTTCACATGTAATTGTTTCATTCAACAAAATCATTTAATCCTCATTCATCAACCATCAACAAGCACCTTTTTTTTATTTTATGATATTTTTGTATTAATATCTTTTTTTTTTTTTTTTTTTTTTTGTGTGTGCGTACCTTATTCTCACTTTCTCACACCTCACTCACACTCACACTCACACTCGCACTTAACTTACACTTGCACTCTCTCAAATTCCTCTCTCACTCTCCGCCACAACTTACTCGCGCTCTTTTTTCTCTTCTTTTCTTTTCTTTTCTTTTATATATATATATATATATATCTTTCTAGTTCTCGCAACAGATAAATCCACATTGCTCTTTCCACCAACATAGAACTCTTTCCTCCTCATCCTCTTCCATCCTCACTCTTTTCCATCCTGTATCCTTTTAAATTCTCAACTCTTTCGATTTGAGGATCGTTACGCCACAACCCCCAATCACAGCCCTCATTTGTCTCCAACAGTTCTCTTTGCCCTTGCCGTTGCCACACATTCCACTCGCAGTAATCACACATAATTCCATGTCAGAGTCAATACGAAGCCTCAATGGCTTACGATTCCGTCCATGTCAACCTCGATTTCAACTCTTTCGATTCCTTTCCTCTTTATTCGTCCTCATCCTCTGCAACCTACTACTGCTTTGTCCAACAACCGAGGCATGGCCCTATGTCGATTGCTCGGGCGCAAACCCAATCTTTGCCCTCCAAAGGGCTAGAGCCCATTATGACCACACCAACAATTCGATCGGTCTCTTGCTCGAAGGACAATTCACTGACACGTATTGGGCTCAAGGTTATTCAGTAGAAGCAACAAGTCAATGTAAGGTTTCCCTCAACCGATGACGCGCTCATATTCATGTTCACATTCACATTTTTATTTTTTATTTTTTTTTATTTTATTTTATTTTATTTTTTTTCCTTCTTCCCTTTTCTTTCTTTTTAATATATCTACCTAATGGTAGAAAAACTAACAGACATGCCAAACAATTATTGTTGTTTTATTTGGAAGTGGTTGCAAAGGGAGGGGGAGGGATATTATCCTAAGGAATGAATGAATAATTGGTTAAAGCGTTTGATCATTTGCGCCTTTTTTTTTTTTTTTTTTTTTTTGTGTGTCCAAATGGATTTCTTCCGGTATTAGACAGTAGACATTATTTATAGAAATACTTTCAGAAATAGCGATTTCTCGATCAAAAAAAAAAAGAACGAAAGAAAAAAGAAGTGGCAAAATTGGAAAAGGGAGTGAAAAAAATTGTTTGCGACATGCAAGGTCTTGCAATTTGCTTACGAGCGATAGTTCCGTATCCTGCATATCAAAACACAAACATGCCAAAAAAAAAAAAAAAAAAAAAAAAAATCATTCAGAGGAATATGAATATGAAAAGGCGGCGTTATTTTCTTTTTTTTATTTCCTCTGTCCAAAAATGCTTTGGGCGCTCCACACCCACTTGTTGTTTCCTTCGATATTTGAATCGTTACCTCTTTGCCAATGATCTTTTTAATATTATTGTGGAGGAGCATCATTGTACCACCAAACACTGCTACGCTTCTTGCATTTTCCTTACACCACAAGCGTTGATGAAGAAAAAAAAAGGGGGAGCGCCCTTTCCCTTTCTCTCCCTTCCCCCCCCCTTTTTTTTTCTGGTGTAGTAAAACATGCAGGCACTTTTTAAAGTTTCCCTTTTCACTACTATACTCTTGTTATATCATTTATATTCATCTTCAACGTCTTTGACCGACCGATTCTAATAAAAAATTCAAACTAAAACAACGCGTCTTTTGGACTGATAGGGAGAACATCAATTCAAACCACCATCATGGGGACTCAGCTTTACAGAAGCGAAGGTCCAGCATGTATGGCTGATGGAGGCATGATCATCGGAGGTTGCCCAACAGCTGCAGGCAAAGGCACAATCCAAACGGTATGGCTAGTTTTTTATTTTTTTTTTATTTTTTTTTTTGTCGTTGTTGTTGCTGTTTGTTTGTTTGAGTGTTGACCATGATATCACGAATATCACTTGACACGGTACCCTACGAATTTTATTTTTTATTGTAGAGCTTCAACATTTCTCAGTCCGCTCCATTTGCAGAACTGATGATAACGCTTCAAATCATTGGCAGTAACAACCAGTCGATTGCATGTGTAGCAGTACTATTGGAACAGACGATGCCCGAGGTCAGCACTGCCATAAGCTATTTACCCTTGGCACTTGCAGTGCTCTCCGGAGCCATCAGTCTAACCGCGACCATCATGAGAGCATCTGTCGGGAACGGCTTCTTGGGCGCCGTGGCCTCTTATGGTCTTCCTACCGAAATCATCTCAGTCCATACTCCTGGATTCTTTGATATAATCTTCTATACACAGTTCATGTTGATGACAGGACAACTCTCAGTCAACTACCCATCCTTCTATTCAACTTTCACATCCCTTTTTCATTGGTCTTTTCTAGAATTCGCCGATACATTAACCGGAAAGGGTCCAGCAAATGCAACAGATGTGCTGAAGTACGGAGGATCCGGATCCGTCAACCTCATCAAGGGATCACAATCTCCTGGATGGAACGGCACAAACACCAATAATAACGAAACCTTTACCTTGAGCGCCACCAGCACCGATACTATCAACAGCAAAAACCTTTTCCGAAAGAGGCGTCAGTTGTACCCACTACAACAAGGAGGAGATGAAGAGCGGTCATTTGATTTGAATGGAGTCCTGCCGGCTATTGGGACAACACAGGCAGCAGCTTCAATCCTTCGACCAACAGCATTAAGAGTAACATCAGCTATTTATTTGCCATCAATAGTTGCAACACCTGCGCCTGAACCAACCGCCTTCCCAGTAACAACTCAATCTCTACCAAGGGTGAAACGGCAGAAAGCTATGGATTCTCCAACAGATGTTGAGTCATCTCCAGAGCCATCATCAAGCACTTCATCAACCTCTACCAGCTCAACCATCTCTTCCTCCTCCTCCTCCTCCTCCTCCTCCAGCTCATCCGACTCGACAAGCTCCTCATCATCCTCTCGCACTAAACAGACTTCAAAAGGAAGCGGGCCAAAACCAACACCTCCAGCATCGCGAACGGCACCAGTCCGTCCACCCGCGTCCTCGACTTCAACAGCATCGCTGGTCATCCCAACGATCACAGACGCATTTACAAACCAGACTTGGGTCTCTGTTCAATACAACATCTCGAGATTCGGTATGGAGGCCTACGCAGCAGCCATTGGAGCCTTTCCCTCATCTCTCTTCCTCGGAACAATCATCAATGCTGCATTAGCAGCTGCAGGTTCGCTCTTGATCTCAGCAGCACTCTTAGGTGTAGCATGGATTATGGCCAAAGAAAACCATCAGCGTGGCAAGACACTTTATCATGCTCTCAACTTTGTAGTAGGTAAGAAAAAAAAAAAAAAAAAAAAAAAAAGAATTGATAATCTCATTTAATTGAAGTGTCCGTGCATGCATGCATGCAATGTTATGCAATACCCTAATATATATATTTATCTCTATTCTATATTTCTTTATTTCTGTATTCTATCCCCTAGGCAACCTACTCCGCGTTTGGTCATTGCTCTATACCCCATTAGCACTCTCTGCAATGTATCAGCTGACAATATCTGGAAATGTAGGGTTAACTATTTCATCAGCAGCTAGTTTGCTTATTGTTTCAGTAGCCCTGACTATATTCTTCGCTTGGAGGATCCTTCGTGCCTCATCAGAACTTCTTCTCTATGACGACCAAGCAACTTTACTTAAATACGGTACCCTTTACAACACTCTAGTCCAGGAAGGTACCCTTTTCTTTTTAGTCACCTTGCTTGTCCGGTTCTTGTGGGGGTTGGCGATTACAATGCTCTCATCATTCGGGGTTGCGCAAGTAGTCGTGCTAATGGTCGTCGAGCTTGGATATGTACTAATGATCGGCATTAAATGGCCCCATGCACAATCTGGTGACAACAAATTCCATCTCTTCTTGGGCATCATCCGGATCGTCATCACTGGTTGCTCCATCGCTTATATTCATGACTTGGAAGCATCCCCAGATCTACGACAGTTGGTTGCATACATTCAAATGGCACTACATTTGGCAGTATTTATTGTCATGTTTGCGCTCGTGCTCTGGAATATAATTCAAGTCTGTATGTTCTCCAAAATCCGGCGTTCAGGAGCATGGAAAGGGCCTACAAAGACCTATAGTTTTGATGACCCCATCGAGGATCCTGAACAAACATGGGGACTTGCCTCAGGACGGCCACTCACGAGAGGAGGCGCAGGAGAAGGTATTGGCAATGGTCTTGTCAGTCATCGACATGATGTTCAGGATCCTAAAAACAAAAGGTTCACAGTCCTGTCATATCCATCTTTAGGCAGCAATAACCATGTTGGTAGCAGAGCACAACGACTAACTATGCAGCATGTGTTACATGCACCCCCCACCAGCCTTGCACAGCACCAGATGCTTCATCCTGATGACTCTGATGACGATACATTGAGATATGGATCTCCTGCTGAAAGGTATCGACAGTCAAGACTGATGGACCATCATCAGTCTCGGTTTGGGCCGGCTGCTGCTGCTGCTGCTGCTGCTGCTGCTGCTGCTGCTGCTGGCGCAGGATCTGAAGATGGTGGCTCGGCAGCGGACGATCTCATGCTGGAAACCCATCTCAGCAGCCTTACTCCTCTGACAGGACCTGTTGGATCAGGCTCTCGACCCTCAAACTCGCCACCCTCTCGTCCACATTCCCAAGGTCTCTCTAGTGATGCTACCGGATCGACGAAACTCGGCAGTAGCAACCGACGATCACCATCTCCTGTAGGTGTCCGTGGACACTTGCCTCAGAGAGAATCATATGCCAATTTCCAAAGAATGTCTCATCAACAGCAGGACCCTAGGACCAGGAGAATGTCCGATATCATGCGTGATGGGCCTTATCTTTACGACCCACGCAAGGAAGGAGGACAAGAGAACACGGCGGTTAACGAAGCGTCACATAACGTGCCCAAGAAGAGCTTGTTTTCAGGATTTGCTTCCTCTTTGGGAGCAATGTTCAGGTTCGGAAGACAATCAAGGAATGCACCCAAGTCTGCAGATGGTTCAAAGCCCAAAGCTTTTGAAGTCATGCGGCCGCCTCGTCCAAACCATGTATCCGGGGAGCCGTCTTCGACTGGCTTCGGTGGCGGCTCTGTATTGGATGAGACTGGTTCTCAAGCAGGAGGCGATCAGGTTCGGGAACTGAATCCGTTGGGGATTTATCAGGTCATTAGGGCGAACGGCCGCGGCTATGAGACAGGCCGGAATCTGTTTGTGGCGAATCCATCCGCCATGATCTCCAGGACGGGAAGCTTAGTCTCGACTGTCTCTGGAGCTGTGGGCGCCGGCGGTGGTTATTCTAACTATCAAGCATCTGGCTCGCCCACTGTCTCTGCAACTATCACAGCGAATGCAAGGCTAAAGAGAAACGGATCAGGCACTGCAGAATCTGTCAAGACACTAAACTATCCAAGACCTAGAGGCGTGAGTTCGGGGCTTGGAGGATCAAATCTTGCGGGTGACCGAAATTCAATTGGTGCCACATCAGAGCATGGTGGCTCAGATCGAGGCTCAAGGAGGACTTCTTACGCTGCGGGAGGCAACACCATACTGACCCCAGTACCTGGGAGCAGCGCAGCTAGTCAGTTCTATCCCTCACGCCATTCTGCTGAGAGTACAAACAACATTGCAGAAGCGCTTACGATTGACGCGCCTCTGTTGCTCCAGGGTGGTGGAATCCTAAGAGTTTCAAAGGGGCCTGAGAAGGCTGTTCAGTATCACAAGGAGGCTGGGCAATATGTCGAATCGATTGCGGAGTCGCTGAAGGACGAGAAATCCGAGGAGCGCGACAGGGTACTAGCTGTATCGTCATCAGTATCATCATCTGCCCCAGCGGCGGTGCCGGCTTCAGCTACAGCTTCAGTCCCAGTCACAACCGCAAGGACAGGATTAGGATCAGCAGGTCTCGCTGGAGAGACTGTGACGATGGATGCACCATCTTTGCTTCTTCCATCTATTCAAGCTCAATCAGTACAAGCTCGGGGTCAGGTACAAGCAACGCCGCAAGATGAAGAGTTTTCGCCTTCGCCTGTCAAGGCCCGTTCATTGGCTGGAAGCAGTATTTTAAGCGGTAGTGCTGGTAATAACAATAAACCTGGAAATGAACAGAGTACTACTGCTAGTGGTAGCGGCAGTGGTGGTGCTCCTTCAAGTCCTACGGAGAGCCAGGAGAGCCCAACAACGGCACAGGTGGCGGCTAGTGCTGGAAGGATGCACGAGATCTTGGGCCGCATGTTTTCGGATCGATCGGTACGTCTCCACAGTGACCATGAGCATGATTCAGATTCTATTATGAGTGAAGGAGATACGGCTTCGACGTTTTCAGGACGGATGTCGATGCTAAAGCAACAACAACACCAAGGCGATAACCATAACCATGGTTATGGCTATGGCTATAGTACTGGTGCTACAACTACAGGTGAGGGAAAGCGACTATCTTTAGATGCCCAGTCTATGGAACGGTACGATATGCTAGAACCCGTGGCTGAGGGCTCGGACATGGAAACAGACTCTGAACTTCAGAACAATCACCGGAAACAACAACAGGATCTTGATGAAGATCGAACACCACGACAGTCAATGCTTGCTCTTCCTGCTGCCAATACTGCTAGTACCTCTGCTGCTACTTCTGGCGCCAGTACCGACCATGGCCCTAGTCATCAATCACCCATATCTAGCCCTGAAGTAAAGGGAGTCTCAGCTCCTGTGACCAACTCTGTCAAGGAAACCTCTTTGACTACAGCAGAGAAGCCATACTCATCTGAATCTCCACTGATGCGTACCTTTTCTGGATCATCTCAACCCCGAGTATCTATGTCAAAACAAAACTCATTCTCTAGTCGCCCCCTGGCACAATCGCCGCTGCATTCGCCTTCCGTTCAGTTGGGCTCTGGATCTGTTGGTGGTGATCTAAGTCGCCAGACCTCCATTCATTCTGGTGGAGTCAAGATGGAGTATCTGGACATGGACTGGTTAAATCGCGACCCCAACTCTCCCTCAAACGATCCGCACAACCTCGATAATATGTATGAACGCAGCAACAACTTTTTGAATCGTAATGCGTCGATCGGCACAGTGCGTACCGAGGCTTCATACAAGACTGCTGTCTCACAATATTCATCTGATGATGAGGAAGTTTGAAAAACAGTGCGTCAAGATGCTTTATGTATACCTTTGTACAAAAACGTGTAATAAAAGATGCAAACTGCATTTCGTTGTTTTTATTTTTATTTTTATTTTTTTTATATTTATTTACTCTATTATTTTTTTAATTTCTATGCATTATTATGGTACAATGGAAATGAAATGGGAAGATGCAGTTTTTTTTTTTTTTTTTTTTTTTTTTGGTTTTTGGTTTTTGTTTCTATCACCCTTCTTGATTACTTCCTAGTGCTTGCTCTTCTCTTTTTTGTCTTTCTTCTCTTTCTTGTCCTTCTTTTCCTTCTTCTCTTTCTTCTCCTTATTACCAACATCCCCACTGCTATCGCCATTAACTTTGATGCCTTCCGTCTTATGCTTTTTTCGTGACGAGTCGCCGTTCTCCCCTTCATCCTCCTTTCGTCCTTCCTCTCCAGCCTTGCGCTTGTTATCTTTATCCTTTTTCTTACTTTCTTTCTTGCTACTGTTGCCATCTTTGCTGTTGTTATTATCAGTAGTCAAGTCTTTTCCCTTGGAAGTCGTCTTCTGCTCCTTTTCCTTTTCCTTTTCCTTTTCCTTTTCCTTTTCCTCGCGCTCTCGCTTCTCTTGTTCTTTCTTACGCCTCTTGACAGGATCCCAAGTCTTATCCAACTCCTGATCTTTGAGCTGCGACTTGAGTTTATGTCTAAACATCTGAACCCTATTCTTCTTTGAATACTTTTGAACATCTGCTTCCTGTTGATCCGGCCGTCTGTAAGGCGCAAACTTCTTGAGCGAGACAAACTCATTCAAATCCTTATCATCTGCTAACAATATCTCGACTGGTGTGAGTCCGAAATTTGCAGGCTTGACCTTATGGTATTTGAACCTTGTCGGCAGATCACCCACCATGTCCTCATAATCCAATTGATAATACTCTTCCAGATACTTGTTGAAATCCTTCTTTTCTTTCTCTACATCCAATATGCTCTTGGCAGCTTCGATCGCCGCCACTGCAGTTTTGATCGACGTCGGATCCTTGGCTCCGTTTGCCTTTGCCTGCTTAGCCAGTCTCTTCTCTTCCTTCTCACGCTGAGCACGCTCCTTCTTCGTCTCCTTCTTCTTCGATGTGGCTTTACCATAGTTCTCGCCCCCAGGAAGATAGTCTGCATCCATTATAATATCCTCCTCATCGCCATATCCACCAGAGCCATCGTTACCGTCATAGTAATTTTCCTCCTCATAGCCATCGTATCCCTCTCCTTCTTCTTCTCCGTCATATACTGGTGGATAGGCTTCCTCTTCCTCTTCTCCTCCTTCGGCTTGACCATCGTCATTATTGTCATTATTAACATCATCCGAAGTACTGCCGCTGTTCTCATTAGCATCGTCCTCCATCTCATACTCTGCAGTATCGATATCATCGTCAAAGACGGGCTTTACATTTTCGTCATCCTCATAGTATTTGTCGTCGAACATAGTTCCCATCTTTTGGTCATAGTCATCCGGGTTGAATTCTGTCTCCAGATCAATTTCATCAAAACCGACGGCTATGATAATGATAATAATAAAAAAATAAAAAATAAAAAGTAGAAAAACACTTAAGTATCAAAGAAGCACTAAAATGATAAAGTATAATTACAATATACATACAATCACATATATATGTGTGTGTATGTGTGTATATATATATATATATATATATATGTGTATGTGTGTGTAAAAGCTTACTTTTGTTGCCTGTGATTTCTTGAATTTGTTTCAACTTATTGAAGATCTCTTGCTTCTTCATATTCTTGGCGCGCTTAAGCTCCTCGAGCTGGCGGACCTTCTCTGCCTTCTTACGTTCCTTGGCTGCCTTGCGTTGACGTTTACGTTTGTCATCCTTATTACGAACTGAGTCCTCAATCGTACGTGAGTAGCCCATAAGTGAATTTCCTTCACTAAAAAGTGTACATGAATCCATATACAATGAGAATGAGATTAATAAAGGGAAAAAAAAAAAAAAAAGGTATACAAAATAAAAGAAATACTTACGCCTCCTCAAATCGGAAATTGTATTTAGATTCGAATTCCTCAGCAGCATCAAGTTCATCTTCTGACTTTTCCAACTGATCCAGGTCATCTTCTCGGACAATTTCCTTGTAGTGTGGTGTCTTTTTTTGTGTCTTGTCAATCCATCCACGATTCAAGATATAACTAATAATCAAAAAGAAGAAAGAAAAAAAAAAAAAAAAAAAAAAATTAGAAATCGCAGGGCTTTAGAGGTTAAGATCTTGACATCTATACACAGATATCAAGAAACAAAACAAGGAATACTTACTCCATCAAGAAAGCCTCATCCTTGTCCATCTCTGGGGCATTCTTATACTCTCTCCAGTCCTGAAAAGCACCAGCCCCTGACTTATTTCTTCCCATACTCTCGATCAAGAACCGTTTATAATCTTCCTCCTCTGCCTCTTCTTCATCTTTGGTTTTGGCCTTTTGTGTAAAAAATGAATCCGTATCTTCATCCTCAGCGTCATCATCATCATCGCCCAGGAAGGCCTTCTTCATCTCCTGTTTCAAATATTCCTGCTGTTCTACATGTGTCATCTCCGATTCGTCTTTAGTCTTCTTTTGAGTAATCTGCTTTTGAACCTCATCTTCCTCGTTCACATGTCCTCCATCCTCGAGTAAGACCTTGCGATGATAATCCTTCAAGTTCATTGGCTTGGTCTTCTTCTCCAAAGCCTGTTTTTCTCTCCATTGTTGACGAGCCTTTTCCATTTCTGAGGGGATAAAAAAATGAGAAGTGGCCTCATAGATCTTGGGATCTTGAGCACGGATCAATCCGATCGTCTTCATAATCTGCCCATCTACTTCGGGCGTGATCAACTCTCCATCCTCATCCTCCTCCTCGTCTTCCTCAGAATCATACGAATCATAGTCATATTCTGCATTCTTGGTGTAGCCATACTTATGTTGGCGTTCAGCAATCAACCTGAGACGTTCTTCTTCCAAATCTCCGTACTTGTCACGGACTGTTGATGGTGGTCGTGTTAATAATCACATTGGTCAAAAGATATTATACATAAAAAATAAAATAAAAAAAAATAAAATAAAAAAAAAAAAAAAAAGTAGGGAAGAAAAAGGAAAGAAGGATTATTTTAGGATAGTATCGATTAAGTATAGCGAATAATATTTTACAAAGGAAAAAGAAAGAAAAAAATGAATGAGTGTAAAGAAAAATAAAATAAAAAAATGCAAGCACAGTTAGATTGAAAAAAAAATAAATAAATAAATAAATAAAGAAAAGAAAAGGAGAAAAAAATTACAAGCCAAGCAAATACATACTTGCGGACAACTCCTGGCTACGTTTGGAAGTTTCATACTTCTCCGCATACTGCTTATTGATCGTGAGCGTGATTTCTTCGCCGTCGCTGTCCATAGTTCCGAATTCACAATGAACAAGAGTGAGAAAAAAAAAGAATCAAAGTAATGGAGCAAGCCAATGTCTTCTAAAAAAAAAAAAAAAAAAAAAAAGCAAGCAAATAAATAAATAATTCCACGTGATAAAATATGTGACACGCTTTTATTTCATCTATTCTGCTACAACTGTTGTTGCCACCGTCTGTTCGGTCGTCGGGCTACGTGGGCTCCGAAGTGCCAATGGTTTCTTTGGCACCGCTGGTCGTGAGCTCCCAGACGAGTAGGAGCTAGTGGGGCTACTGGGTGACCGAGCTAACAGTGTATTCTGAACTGGTGGCGATGAGCTAGGTGGCTCAGGAGGATGAGAATCAGATCCTTGGCTATCAGTTTGTGAGTTACCATTACTGCTTGTTGTATCAAGGACGGTTTGATCAGCGACTGACAATGAGCCTTGTGAAGCCTTAGCCATACCCCCGATGGCGGGGCGCGGCGCAGGGCGGGGTGTTACGCGGGGCGCGGGCCGCTGACCAGGAAAGGGTGCAAAAACCTGGCTGATCCTTTTAACAGATTGCTGATTAGATGATAAAGTGGGTGCTGGTGATCGCGAAGGCGAAGGAACTGAAGTAGCCGTTGAGTCCAATGAAGAAGCTGTAGCGGAGCTAGCGGCTTGATTTGGTTTGGGTATTAATGCTGGGATGGTACGAATTGGGGTCGAACGAGGAGTGATGCGTATTTTGCCTACTGAGCGTTGAAGTGTCTCCTCTTCATCTTCTTCATCCTCTTTATTATATCCTGTTGCGCCCTGTTGCGCCTTATGATGCTGCTCTTGATTCCACTTCGTGGGTCCGGTCCCTATGTCTCCACCATGATTAGTGGGTGCTTCATGCTCCTTCACGGGATCCTCGCTCGGTTGCTCAGGTGTTTCAGCGGCAACTTTCAACGCAGGAGTGGACGTAGATGTGGATGTGGAAGGGGGGTCCTGCGCTGGCACCGTCTGCTCTTCAGCCTCATTTACTTCGGCCGCTGCTGCTGCTGCTGCTAATTTCAATTGCTCTTCCGTCAGGATAGCATGGGGAGCACGCCGAATAGGGACCTTGATAGGGTTAGCTCTGATCTGTGGCAAAACATCTGCTGAACTCGCATCGTTTTCGCGTAGAGGTTCATCAAGGCTTGCGGAGGCAGACTTTGTTGGTATCTTTGGTAGAGGCTTGTCAGGGCTTGTAGGGGTAAGCTTTGCTGATATCTTTGGTAGGGGCTCATCATGGCTTGTGGGCGTAGGGATCGTTGATATTAACTGCATTGTTGCCGTTGCTATTGTTGCCGCTGGTGTTATTGGCGATGCCGCTATTGCTGCTGTTGTTGTTGGAAGAGAAATTGAAGGAGAAATTGTAGGAACAAAGTTATCTTCATTAACATAGGACGACGTTGTATGCGCCACATGTGCATGAGTTTGATGCGGCCCTCCATCTACATAGCCGTCGTGTTGGTATGTTGGAGACTGCTGTTGTTGTTGCTGCAGGCTGAGTACGTACTGCTGCTGCTGCTGAGCTGGTGAGAGGCTTGGGTGATATGGATGTTGCTGTTGATATACAAATCCAGGTTGCTGTTGCCAGTTAGCTATTGCTCCTGACGTTATTTGGTTGCTATAGCCACCATATGACTGAAAAGTATAATAGTCAGCTTGATCCAGAGGCTGATCTTGCCCACCATTTATAACGGAACCTTTAAACGAAGGTGCATTAGGGTCAGAAGCATAGCCAGAACAGTATGACTGGTATAATTGTTGATTCGAAGGATGATGTGGAAAGCCTGGCTGCTGCTGATGATGTTGGTGTTGGAACTGAGGTATAAAGCCTATTTTCTGCTGCTCCTGATGCTGTTCCTGATGCTGCTGTTGTTGTTGTTGTTGTTGCTGCTGTTGATGCGCGTATGCTGTGTACTCAGGATGGCCTGGATACTGACTCTGGAAATGCTGGTATTCATCGGATGTGTTACCATGGGTTGCCAGAGGAGGGCCTAGTGAAGAGAACTGCGAGTACCCTTGGCCCTGCAATTCCAAATTTTGAATTATCATGGTATGTCGTCGATTCCGCTCCTGTCCGCGGAGAAGCTCGCGCCCCATCTCTTCATTCTCCTTCTTAAGTTGCTCGAGGCGTAATCGGTCATTCAGCTCCTGGTCAGTGATAATCTGTGGCGGATAGAGCTCTGGCTTTGGCATGCTTCGAGGTAACTCGCGCGCCTGACCTGCACTCTGGCTATGACCCTGGTCTGAACCATACTCGTGTTGGTTGTAGTCAGGAATATAGGGTCGAGGCATAGGCATATGAACTGGGTCTAATCCTTGTCCTACCATCGGTGCCGGCATTGGCGGATATGGTGTAGGGTGATCTAGGTGTTGAACTTCTGAATGCTGCGGTGCATCGGTGTGGGCATGGGAAGCATACTGAAACCTTTCTGGAGCTACAGCCATCCTTACTGTATTCTCTCCTGGCGTTATCGCATAAGGCCGTGGTCGTCGGAGCAGTGGCGTTGATGGCACCTCCTGATCATCTACAGCAGGCGGATATCCGACTGGCTTCCCTAAATAATTTGAGTCAAGGGTTTCTGTGGAAGTACCAAGCTCTGTTGCCCCTGGCTCCTGATCTGCCACCACAATCTCCTCTTCCGCGAAACTGATGCCAAAAGGCATTGGAGGCTCTGTATGGCCCTTTTTTGTATAGGAAGAGGCGCTATACTCAGGAGGGGCATCTGGCACCGACACTTTTTTTTAAAAAAAAAAAAAAAAAAAAAAAAAAAGATATAAGACTATGGTCCAGTAGTTAATCCCGATGAGCCTGATGTCAGAGGCTATCGAATGGGTTTACCTGAACTTGCTTTGGGTCGTCCAATGACATGGTTAGTTGCTTGGCTATTTGACTGTGCCATGGATGTCGAAGTTAATCGGCCTGATTTGGCTTCGAGCATTCGAAGCATTTCTTCTTGATTCTTACGGACTTCCTCTTGATTTATTCGGCGAGCTTCATCTCTTCTCCGTTGCTCCTCTTCAAGTTCTTCTAACCGTCTAGCACGCTCACGCTGTAGCTCCAGATCCTTTATCCGCTCTTCTTCTCGCAGGCGTTGCTCTAGCTCTCGTTGTCGCTGTTCCTTAACTCGTTTAGCCTCCTGTTCCTTTCGTTGCTCCTCTTCCATCTGGCGTTGCATCTCTAGAACAGCCTCAGGAATAACTCCACGAGCCTGTAACGTTAGCTGACACTCCTGAAAAGCATTCCTGTTCCGCTCTAGAGATTTGCGAGCATTCTCTAGTTCAGAGTGGGCGATTTGAATAAGATTTTGAATCAACTCTTCCGGTCCCATTGTTGATCCGGCTATCATATCAGCATGAGAAATTACGTCCTGAATAATAGTGTCGAAGAGCCGCACGTCAATCTCACTCAACTTCCGACCACTCGAGTTATCCTGAATAAATGTATTAAGGACAGGCTTCCAAGTAGTGAGCGCATTCTGCTTGAGCTTATCTAGCTGTTGCAGAGAGTAGTCACCAGGCGAGAGGGATACCAACCAAACGACCATCATCTCCTTAAAGATGGGATGACTCTGGAACGTATCAAGCTCCTCTCGCAGCTCTCGTACCCTGGATTCTGTAGTAGCGATTTCAATCAACATGGCCTCCATCTGCTCTTGCAGCACTATAGTAGGGATTTCATCGTCTCCAGGCTGTGCATCTGACTGTGACGCTGTAAAGCGAGTTGATTGTTCACTTATTTGCCGGCCCCGGGTTCCTGACGGCGGACGAGATTGTGATTGAGCCTGATTATTACTATTATTATTATGGGAAGGTTGATATGATGTGAGAGGGATATATTGCGAAACTGGTCTCCGCTGTGGCGACTGCTGGTTAGGGGGAGGAGGAGGAGGAGGAGGGAGAGGAGCGCGTTGAGCAGGACGATGCTGTGTCGTTGGCATATAAGGAGCTGGGGTAGGCCTGACTGCTGATTGAATTGGAATATTGGAGTGAGAACCACGTGTGGATCCAGCTGTAGGGTTTGTAGTTGCTGCTATTGTTGTTGATGACGCTGAGCCTGTTGCTGCTGGGACTCCCAGGTGTGTTAGTTGTTGACTTTGTTTGCCTGTTGTTGTTGAACTGTTCTTGCCAGAGCTACTGCTTGGGTTCTCAGGCTGACCAGGAGTCGACGGTGAGTTTCCCATGGCCCCTCAAAGTTTATAGATGTCTCAAAGTTCTTGGTCACCTCTATTCCTCTTTTCCTTAATGAGAAGTAAAATGAAATGAATGTCTAGCAAGTGTGTGTGTGCAAGAGATGCTTTCTAGTAAATGGAAGACAAGATGCGTCTGAAAGAAGTGAAAGGGACCATTAATCAAAAAATAATTGTATTGTGTGCACAAACCAAAAAAAAAAAAAAAAAAAAAAAAAAGAACAGCCCAAACCCTTTCCCTTTCTTGTCCCCAGTGCAGATTCAGTATAAGTTTATTCCTTGAACGCATGTTTTAAATGAGAGAAGTGCCATAAATATATCAATGTTTTCTACCAAAGACAAGCCAAGGATAGGCGTCATTACTGCGCTAGGCTTCATTCACTCCGTTGCCAAGATGTAAAAAAAAAAAAAAAAAGGATGAGACAAACAACACAGCCTCGCTTCAAAAAACGTTTTTTTACAACGGATGGTCAAATGCGCACTAAGATCTGTGAATTTATCGGAGTTGATCCTCTGCAACGTCAAGCATGGGCTGTAGCAAGCTAGTCTGATGACAATGATATGGATGATATGGATGATATGAATGATATGAGTGATATTGATATTATTGTTATTCTTTTTTATTTTCACTATTTTTATGGTATGGACACCACAACCAGAGAGGATTAACGAGAGAGAGATGAAGATTGTAAAAAAAAAAAAAAAGATGACGGAACAGGGCAATGGCTAATATTTACAAAATACTTGTACAACACATGCACAAAAACAAAATGAAATAGAACAAAAAAGGCAAAGGCAAAGGCAAAAAGTGGATTGTCAAAATGAAATAGTAATAAACAAAACAGAAGAAAGAAAAAGTAAATTGTACAAAAACAAAGAAAGATCTGACTGTAAACAATACTCTTTCTCTAAGGAGATACAATAATGAAAAGAAAACAAAGCCAATACAGATACGAAATGGTACAAGTCGTTCAGAAAGTCAGAAAGGGAAAAAAAAAAAGAAAAAGAAAAGAAAGATAAAAAATAAAAACAAAACAAAAAAAAAATAAAATAAAAGCAACGCGCTGTGCCACTCTTTCTCTTCTTCTCTCTCTTTCTCACTCTCTTTTGCACATGCTCCTCATAAAAAATATTCGGATGAATAAGCGGTCAAGACCTAGTTCTCAAAGTCCCTTCGGGGTCGGTCAATCGTCCTGCGAGATCCTGATGTTGATCGAGGACGCTCTACTGCTCTTCGCTTGCCTCGACCAAGATCATCCTCATCCTCATCATAATCATTACGAACACCTTGCAGGTCTTGCTCACTACTGCGTCGCCAAATGGCTCCTTCCCGACTCCCATGGCCAGATCCAAAATTTTGCCGAGAAGTGCTCGCACCAGATCCGTATCCTCCAAAAGATGTATAGGTGGACGAGGCCGGGCCAGTGATAGCAGCCGGACCACCTAAAGTTTGGCTCGGACTTGTTGAGAAGGGAGATCCTTGTCGGATGGACGCTGGACGAGAGACACTCATTTGGTACGGGAGCAGGGCTTGTTGGATCTGCTGCTGTATCTGTTGCTGTACCTGTTGCTGAAGTGTATCCGTCATTTTCGAGAAGCCATCGCCCATAGCGCTTCCAATGCTAAGGCCAAGCTGCTTGGCAGTCTCACGCTGAGCATTCTCGACAGACACTACTGCACGCCCAACACCTTCTACCTGATCAGCCAACCTTGTAAACGCCATCTGAAGAGACGCATAGAGCTCTTCACGAAAATGAGCTAGCTCATCTTGGTACCCACGTTGTGCTGTCTGAAGCTCAGACAATATATTGGTCTGACTCGTATTGATGGCATTTAGCAATACAGGGGTCTTGCCAATAATTTCTCGATCTTCTTCAAGCGCACGCGCCTTCCCTTTCCTGTCACGGAAAAGGCTCTCAAACTGAGGTCTTTGTGCCTGACGATCGTGTCCAATTCGTTGGGGAGCGCTGTCTCCTCTGGACCGCGGTAAATAAGGGTGATGACGGACAGAAAGAACCCTTGCTTGGTTTGATAAGGGTTCTTCGTCCTGTTGGAGTTCTTCATATTCATCATCTCCATTAAAGGAAAGCGACTTTTGAAGGCTGGCACCTAGATCCCGTAAGCGTAAATCCTCTTTCATGAATCCTGGCGATGGTGCATGGGGCTGCTTTGGTTGCTCCCGCTGCATAGGCTCATCTTCGTCCTCAATACCGGCTTCATCCATGCTTTTTCGACTCTGAGGCCGTTGCCGCGAGTTCTCCAGCTTCTCTAGCTGGTTTGGTGAGAGGCGCAGCTGTCCAGAGTGACTTGAGGGCTGACGATGGTGAGTCTCTGCATCACCTCTGATAGACCCAGATTGGGATGGCTGGATGAAGTTCTGAACAGGCGTAGATCGAGGTGATGGAGCAGTTGATTGAGGCGATGGAAACCCTGATTTTGGGGTGGGGGTGTGCGCAGAACCATGTTCGCCAGGGATGTCAATGGCACTTACCATCCCGCCTTGAAATCTACCTTCGGTTTGCCGATTTACCCCCCTTGCAAGAATATCAGCCGTCATGGCATGATAGGATGCACGTGTCGTGCTCGGAACAAATTGATCGCCGACATTATCGTCCTGGCTAGGTCTCTTAACCCTGCTGAAAGGCCGCTGTTGATGAGACGATACTGAATGACGGCGGTATGAAGCCGTGGATGAAGGTGGCGGCATGATATCGCTGAGTGAAGCATTGTGTTGAAACAAACTGTCATCATGCTGGTCCAGAGGATGCTGTGGGAACTGAAGTTGGTGAAGTGTGGGCATGATCTCCATTCCGTTCAAGAGTGACCCTCCGCTGGATATTTGTGATGGAAAGGACGATCGGTTCATGGAGGGGTTGGAATATATCTCTAAACTGGCTTCATCATCGTCATCTGTGTCTCCGCCGGTCCTCCAAGTGCTAACCTGCTCCATGATGCCTGTAGTTAGGGAACTACCTACAGCAGACGATATTACGCTGACAGATGATTGACTAGGCGTGGGTGTCACAGTGGTAGTGGTCATACTTGTATTCCTGGAAAGCTGAAACGAGGGTATCTTTTTGGTCTGTGGTGTGGGTAAAATCCCTGAAAGAAAATCCGCTGCATCCTGTGAATGTGATTTGTTTAATGTCCAGACTCCTATGTCATGGATATACCGGAAACAGTTTCCTCTATTTGATTTCGCATTTGCATTGTACATGGATAAGATCCTTTGTACTCTCTATTCATCATAAATTAAAGAAAGAGGACAAGAAACTTTCATCATTAGTGTTGATAAAGAGGGTTGAAAGGAAGGTAATAAAGGTAATATTAAAAAGTGTAGGGTAGGATAAAGGTTTGCCCATGATACCAGTCTCAAAACAACGTACGTTGTTTGTCAAGTCTGGCAGCATATGCTTTCTATCAGGCCAACGGTTGCGCCCATATCTGTAAAGTTGTAAACTATACTCTGCATCAGAAGGTTTACTAGAAGTGAGAGTTTGGGACATGCATCCCCCAATAATAAACGGATACAGATAATAAAAAATTGGCCAAGTGGTCATCTGATGGTCCAAAAAAAAAAAAAAAAAAAAAAAAAAATCACACTGTGATTCATTTATAACTGCAACCCTTCCCCTTTCGTCCTGTCCTGCACTCTCTTCAAGGGCCCCATGCACTATGCTTTTAGTCGTCCTGTTCTTTTTTTGGCGATTAATGATGTTGGCTCTACGTACAGTTATGAGTGTATGGACGTAAATAAAGATGAAATTTGTCCTGTCCAATCCGCTGGTATTTGTTACCAATGAATGTGGGAAAGGGCAGTAACAGACAAGTAAAGAATGCATGCTGACAGTGTATGTGAATGTGTGCTTGTTTGCTCCGCAGGGGAGAGTGATTTTGGCATGCTATCAACCCAGGACACCAATGACGATATGTGTGCCACGTTTGACGGTAGACTAATAGACTAATATAAAAAAAATGCACTGAAAAATGTCCTGTGCCCTGTGTCCTCAGAGAGTGAATTTTGCTTACCTTTATGAACGATCCTGAAGATGACGATGAGTATGGTGCCTGCATGATCACCAGGCGATGAGCGATATCGCGTGATGTCAGGCCTGCTGGCTCTGATGATAGAATCGCCTGGATGGCTGAGACTGGTAACAGAAAAGGTAACAGGAAGTAGTAGAGTATGATGTTAACGTATATCCGTCTTATAAAGGAGAAAGAGAACACTACTTTTATCTTTATTCATAGGACCTTACCAAGATAAGCCGTCCTGTCAGCCGAGGATGAGGTGGACATGCGGCAAATAAAGGTACAGGACAAGACTTTTTGCTTTTTTTCTTTTTCTTTTTCTTTTTTTTTTTTTTTTTTTTTTTTTTTGTTTTCTTCTTTTTCTTTCTGCCTGCGGCGCGGTTGCGGAGCGCAATCGCACGGTTTGTAGCGTATGGCGATGGGAATGAAGAGAAGGAAGCAGATCCACAGATACCGGGTACAACTGGATGGACGACAAGAATAAAAAAGGAAGTTTTAGAGTTGAGGATGAAGAAGTGCATAGGGCAACCACGAACACATTCAAATAGATGAAGCGTGGGAGGACAGATTTTTTTTTTTTTTTTTTTGCGATAAGGGGGACGAAGAAAGAAAAAAGACAGGAGAATTGGCAGAGTATCGGTCAGAGTGACATCTCTAACATCGTCAAAAGGGAACAACCCAGTTGAAAGAGAATATAATAAGAGGCAGAGGATGTACCAGATGAAGCAGTGTAAACAGTCTGGGAGAGAATATTTGTAGCAGAGGAAGAAAGGTTAGGGTACCTGAACGGGGTGCAAAAGTTGGAGATGGTTTTGTGAGAGTATAGGTAGCAAAGGACAGGTGCGAGATAATTTGCAAATGATGGACGAAGGCGTAGGGGAAGGATAGGTGTGGAAGAGAACAAAAAGAAAAAGAAACGAGGTTGCAAAAACAGTGGCGAAAGAGACAACAGTGGCAAAAGAATGAGTGTTGTACCGGAGAGCACGGCAGAAGGTCGTTGAGAACAAGCACAGAGGGTAATGTTGAGTGTCACCTGAGCGAATGGTATGGCAATGGTGGGAAGACAGAGTAAGTGAGAGAGAGGAAGAGAGAAGGGAGAAGAGAGAAGAGAGAAGAGGATGAGAATGGATGTGGAAGGAGAAATAGAAAGCGCAGTGTTAAAAGTGTGAAGATAAAATATCATCAACTGGGTGAATCACGGGGTCACGATAACTTATTCACGCACAAATCACAAAAAAAAAAAAGCTAATAAGGGGGTGCTATGAAGATGAAAGTGCAAAGCACATATTTTTTTTTCAGGAGTTCAAGCTGGAGAATACGAAACTGAGGGCCATACAATTAGCAAGGAGCGGAGGATAGAGGAGAAAGGGGCGAGTGTGGCCACAGAATGAATGAACGACTGGGTAGACTAAAAAATAAAAGAGTTATGTAAATTACACTTAAAAAAAAATATTATTAAATTATCAACTGATGATTGGCTTCTTGATCATATGTATACCTACAGTGTTTTCTTTTTTTATAAAAGAGGCGAAGGATCTTTAAGTTTTGAAGGTGCCAGGCGGTGGAGCAATATAACCTGCTGTTTTGGAGCCTTGTCAATGATGTGTCCGATGTAGAGTATGAGTGAACGAGGTGGGGAAGGCAAGATCGGCGGGGATGCTAAAGTAGCGGTAAATCCGAAGGGTCCTTATCAGATGTGGCAGGGAGGAATGAGTAATTGAAACAACTATTTTTCTTTAGTTCTGAGTGCCACAGATTGGAATATGGGTGTTGACATAAATCTGAAGTACGAGGGCGCAAGTCAGCTGCAAATAAAAAAGAGGTGTGTTCTGGACTGTGAGTGCTAATATCATGGGTTAGGGATGGAAGAGGGAAGAGGTGAAAAAAGTGGATTAAAGAAAAGCTCCCAATGTTCCGGTTTTTATACAAAACTTTGAACCCAAAAATGGTGGCACCCAATGATCACAAGTGTATTTGATAAAGCGCCGTTCCCCTGTGGCAGTGCCTTTGAAAAATGTAAGGAACAATGCATGCTGAATCTGGCGCAGCGTTTATGACAAAATAGAAAATAAGGTGTATATGCTTAGAAAAGGCATAATTGAGAGAGGCACAGCACTTTGGCATTGCATTGCTTAGGAATTATAAAAAAAAAAAAAAAAAAAAAAGTATGCGCATAAATTAACATTATGAGTGATGTACTCATGTGGACATACAAATTTATTATAATCAGCAAAAATGTTTCTTGCAAAAATGATAAATACAGTAGAATGTCGACCTAGCAGAAGATGTTACGATGTTACACGACTTTTATTGTCTGCTCTCATTTAACATACTTCTCTTGTTCACTAACCCCTTGACAACGTTTTGCGGGGATAGATGGTAGTCAGATTTGATAACCCAAAAAATCTCACCTTGTTTCTAGCTCCTTGTGTTCCTGCATCTCTTTTTTTTTTTTATTTTTTTTGAAATGACGCATTTTATCTTTGCTCTTAAAAAAAAAAAAGAAGAAAAGAAACTATTCCTGCTCAACTGACATAAAAATACACATACCACTACACTAAAGACTGGTTGATCCTCCTAGTCACTTCCTTCACCTTCCTATCCATTTGTGCGAGTTGTGTGTTTATGTTTTAGAGGCGCAAATTGCTCACACACCACCATTCCATGTTGAAAATAAAAATGGGTGCCACAAACACAATCCGAGTAATTAACACTAACACTACTGAAGTGTATATTGCCAAACGCCTGCCCTGATGTGTGTGATGTTGAAGTATGTACTCAATCTGTGTACTTGATTGGCGAGAGCCTTCAAAAAAAAAAAAAAAAAAAAAAAACAATAAAGGATGAGAGAGCGCTTTGTCGCTTTATTCTGCTCGTCTCTCATTTCCATTTCATCATTCTTATTCTTATTCCTTCCTCTTTAAATCCATCCTTCTTCCTTCCTCTTCCTTACCCTCTTACCTCCCTTTCTCTCTCTCTTTCTCCCTTGCTCCCTTTTATCATCTCTTCCTCTCGTTCTCCCTTACTTCTCAGAGATTCAATGTCGGGACGCAACCGCCATGACAACCTCACCCGACATCACCTAGTTAACGACCACTCTGCATCCCGTGACGCCCATGCGCACGCGCCCTTTCGACCCCAGCGCGCAAAGCGACCCATTCCAGACTCAGTAGGGGTGAATTCACTTGGTTCGTCAGTCTCTCAACTCTCTTTGCTCGATAACCACTCAATGACTTCTGTCATCGCCTCGTCTTCTTTGCCATCCTCTCCATCTACTGTCTCTCTTGCGAGCAGCTTTGTCGATGCACGTCAGCTTGACTCAGGTGTTGATTTGCAGGAACCACCCAGACCTGTCAACAGGAGATCGAACAGAGACTTTCGAATCATTCCTGCGACCGAGATCGAGGTCATGAATGAGTCTTCTTTGCAGGACAGCATTCGACATAGTCAAGCACTTCACAGGAGCCTATCCCAGAAATCATTTCAAAACAATAAAGACCAAAAAGACCAAACACACAAACAGGGCAACGAAATCAAAAAGAGCCTCGACTTTTTGAAGAGCAGTAACTTCCATGACACTTACGAGGACGAAGGAGACAGCTATTTTGGTGATATTCTGGACAAGTATTGTTACTCGGATGAAGATCCTGTCTCATCACTATCTGCCTCACCCGCATCATCCTTGTCCTCAGCACCTGGATCAAGGATCTTTGAATCCATACAGCCACCTACACCACCGGACCTGCGCCCAAATAAACAGCGGGAAAAAGACACTATTACGACTACTTTGAAAAACAATCAATTACATCCAGAGACACCTGCCTACAACCAATATGAGCGCAACCGGAACAACAGCTTCTCAGGACTCTCCTTGACTTCTCCCACAAGCGCCGTCTCTACGAAACTCAGCACATATCAACGATCTGCCATTGCGAGTGATAGTCGCGACTCTCTCACCATGACCGACTCGTCTTCTTCACCCTCTTCACGAGCCTATACTAGGAAGGCTCCTCCTCCTCCTCCAAAAGATGATATGGCAGCGCCTTGTTCATCGGCACTTAAGCAGGCTTCAGTGTCAACCGTTCCACCAAGGACCACATCATCGTCATCTTCAGGTCTGTCTCCTTTCCATCCACTGTCCGTAAGGAGGGAAGGACAGCACCATAGCAGTGATTCATTGCTCGATTTAAGAGAAACCAAGCCGGAGCCTCCTCCAAAGGACAGCTCTCGACGAGCACACTCCAGTCACAATATGAATGGCAGCAGCGCTACTAATTCACAGCCCCCTGTGCTCTCCTTAGACTCACACTCCGTAGGACACTCTAACAGTTTCTTGGAGGTTGTAGAAGCCTCCATGAACCGACATCGTGTTGCGTCATCAGTAGCAAATAATGTATCTGGGCTAACTTATAACGCACCTCAGTCTTACTCGTCCTCCTCCCTGTCCTCGCAAACAAAGAACGACTCTAGCCACAGCCACTCCAGTGGTACATCCCAGCATGGGATGGGACGGACATCTAGCCATTGGCCACATCAAGGTTCCGCGCCAAATAACTTGACAACCAAGGGATATGACAACAAAGATGAAATAGGACATGGTCATGGACAACGACAGGAATCTCGCGTCTCGCATAATCAGCCACACCATATTCACCAAGGCCATGCGCAGCATAGGCATCAACTTCAGCATCGACCAAACCAAGCACATCCCCAACACCATTCATTATCGTCAATAAGGGATGGCTTTTATCGTATGCATGGATCCACGTCGCAACTCGATTTGACAGATTCTGGATTCAAGTCACATCCATCTCCAGCACCCTTCCTAAATGAGCGCCTCCGATCGTACAGCCAAGGTTCAATCGCAACTACGTCGTCAAGCACGAGGCATGAGTATTTAGGCCCCTCTCGTAGCCCGAAATCAGCCTTAGTTAAGACACCAATCGCGCGTGCTAGATCCAAAGAAGTGCATGGAGCCCGTAAGGTGATCTTTGGAGACATGATTACAATCGTGACGATTGAACGGGCCGAGACACCACCACCACCACCACAATTAGACAAGAAGGCCAGGAAGAAGCTCCTACAGGCCAAGAAGAAAGCGGCAGGCAAAGGCGGCCAGATGCATAATTTCGATCCAGAGTACAATGCCGCGTATTTCGATGCACCCTATACCCCGACGCCTAGTGAGGTCGTCGTCACAATGGCACCCTGGATCGGTAATCCAAATTATGATGAAGAGAAACAAAATTCTAAATTTTATTATGATGATGAATATGATTACGAGGATTATGATGAAGAATACGAGGCACCATACGAGTCTGATATCCGTCTTGGCCCTGATGATGATGATGAGGAGGAGGAGGAGGAGGAAGAGGAGGAAGAGGGTGAGGAGAATGGCACTCGATCCTGGGGTCACGGGATTGTTGGTCCAGGCGGATCATTGCCGAAGAAGAAGAGTGGCATGTTCAAGTTTAAGCGGGCGGTCAATAAACTGCTTCGTAACTAAGAGAGAGCTCCTCTCCCGAGTCATGAACCACCGTCGCCGCTTGTTTTTATCATCTGTGCTTCATATTTTTATATCCACATTCTATACCATGTATATACTTTTTTTTTTTTTTTTTTTTTTTTGTAAAGTACATTAGGTGATTATATTTATTACTATTATTAATGAAGTAAAGATTTATAAAGGAAATCGAGGTTGATCCAACAGGGAGAAAAGAAAAAAAAAGGAAAAAAGCATATATATAAACTTATGGAACTGCATGATGGAGTTTTTAAGCTGACCTACTTCAGTCAGTAATGACATCTTCTTTAACATCAGAAAGGCCATGTATAAGTTTCTGAAGTGCTCCTTCATTGGCCTCTTTGAGTTCTCGTTCTTTCTCTTGTTTAATTCGGCGTAGCTCCTCTAATGCAGCAGCTTGTTGAGCCATTCTACTGGGAGCAACCTCTGCAGTTGCTGCTGAAATCTTGGACAGCCGGTATTCGATTGGAGAGGGATTAGGACAATGACCAACAGGATCAGTCCGTGCTTCTTGGGAAGAAGAAGAAGTCGAAGATGTAACAGCCGTTGTTGTTTGATCTGCCAGAGTGGTCCAAGGATGCTCACTATCACGATCATCATCACAGGAACAGATCTGTTCAAGGGACAGGCCTGCTAGTACTTCTGTGATATGGAGACCGCAACCTTTGAAAAGATAGAGATTTTTATTATTATTATTTATTCATTGTTGTGTATGGTAAGAAGCAAGAAAAAAGAGATATAAAAATATATATTAAGAGCAGATCCTGTGTTCACCCGTAACAAATGAAAAAAGGGCAAATGGCAAAGGGTAAAAAGAACGTTGTGATTCCTGGTTCTTGGATGCAATTTTTTTTTTTTTTTTTTTTTTTTTTTTTTGAAAGGCATTCCCTCTGCTCTCTATTTCGCTTTTATTAAGGGAATATACCTGTCCAAGTAAACTTGCCACAGTCCTGACAAATCGTTCTTTGACACATTTTTTTTTTCTTTCTTTCTTTCTTTCTTTCTTTCTTGCTTTCTTTCTTTCTTTGGTGAATTGTGAGTTTTAAGGTTGATTATAAGTACGAAGTTGAAGTGGTAAAAGGATTGATGATGATGTAGAGTAAGCCCCCTGGAGAAAGTGGAGAGAATGAATGAGGAATGAAGACGGCGAGTGAATTTGTAAATGCACCCTGTTTAAGCTAAAAAAAAAAAAAAAAAAAAAAAAAAAAAATGGAAAAAAAGACGAATTAGGTTTTGTACTAATTGTTAAATCCTTGCAAAGTCCGAGGCTATGAAAATTAATTCCAGACGCGCTATGCATATTTAATGATTTGATGGTTTTTTCTCAGCTCATTCTTCCCCCTTCCCAGTGGCTCCTTATCGCCTACCAGCGCAGAAACAGAAAAAAAAACAAAATAACAAAATAAAAAATACAAAAAAAAAAACACAAGGCCAAGACCAAGACCAAGGCCAAGACCAACGGGAAGAGTTGAGGGAGGTGGCAGAGGCAAGGTGGAGTAGCATAGGGAGAAAGTAACGATGGGAGAAATGGGAAAGAAAGTCTTCAACTTTTTTTTTTTACCATTAACTGCTCTTTTTATCTCTCTCTCTCTCTCTCTCTATATATCTTTTCGTGTTACACTTGTTACACTTGATAAATATATATATACAATCATCATTTTGTTCCATGGTGCACACAAATGGAGCGGAGATGCAAGTCATGCATGATCTGTGCCTTTTTTTTTTTTTTTTTTTTTTTTTTTTTTTTTCTTTTGATAAAGAGTTAAAGTTATAATCAACTGCTTTCTGTCCAACACGGATAAAGTCTAGCAAGTAGTAACAAAAAATTGTCGACTCAACAGAGAGGTGTTGGGATAACTCTTTGTTTCTTTTTGTTTTCGTCTCCCAGCCTTTTTTTTTTTTTTTTTTTTTTTTTTTTTTTTCCTTTCTACACCGTTGATATGTTGATTTTCACGCGTTCCTGAAGGAAATAGACAAATTGGGTAATATAATTCCGCGATGTTTTTGTTTGCAACCTAATTTGTTTCTTTTTTTTTCCCTCGATTTTTTCAATGTCGTTTTTTAGCAATTCCTGTCCACCATAGTCGGGAATCATCATGCATGCATTGATTATCCCGAAAGATTGGGTGCTCTTTCATGCAGTCTACGGAGACGACCTTTTGGGTCCTTTGTTAATGATCGCATTATATCCAAACATGAATCAACATCGTGATATCTTGTCAGCATACCCCTCCTTCTCCTTTTTATTTGTCAATAAACCAAAGCACTGGTACTGAAATACCTGAATGGATCTTAATTGATTTGAAGGAGCAGTTGTCGTTTTTTTTGTTACCCTTCCTTCCTCCTCACCCTTCATTATACCTTACTTGTAGCTTACCTCTCCGTTCCATGGTAAAACTTTTTTTTTTCCTTTTTCTTTTTATTCTTAATCACTGCTTAAATGTACTAAAAGTAAAGACATACTGCAAAGTGAGCTGAAAAAAAAAAAAAAAAAAAAAAAAAAAAAAGGATTAATCTATTTGGCAGCCCATTGCCAAATATAGTCAACTTTCAAGACTCTCTTTGGCAGCCCAGTTGCCAAATAACATTCATTATTTACTTGGCAGCCTACCCAGCGTTATTTGGCCTCTAACTAATTTTTTTTTTTTTTTTTTTTTTTTTTTTTTTCCGTACATGTTTATAACGCTCATACTTCAAATTAATAAAGCTCCCGTCTTCTACGTCATAGTTATGTGTAGTGACATTGTCTTCAAGTAGGTCGCTCATACAGTTTTGGAGGTGCCATTTGGAGATCAATGCCTATGAGAGGTTTTCGCTCGGAGCAAACGCGTCTCACCTGCTACCTAGACGTCTTCAATAAATCATTCCCTAACCGTGTACATTGAAGGCTGTTTTGTGAAGATGTCATCGCCGCTGCCCTTAGTACCTCCGACGGCATTAGCTGTGCAAGGCAATGTATCCACAGAACGCTGCCTGTTTTACCACTGATGCTATGACCGTTATCAAAAAAAAAAAAAAAAAAAAAAAGTACTGTATTTGGCAGCCCAGCTGCCACCCAAGAGTGCGAAGTTAAGTGGCAGCCCCCAGAAGTAGGCTGCCAAATAGAGGCAAAAATTACTATATTTGGTATGGGCTGCCAAATAGATTAATCCAAAAAAAAAAAAAGTTTCATGCTCTGTCAAAGTTACAAAACACTAAGGAGAAACTCCTCTTCTGAGGACATGATTTTAAACCAAAAGTTCCCAATCCGGGGTTCGAACCCGGGCCGCCTCGGTGAAAGCGAGGAATCCTGACCACTGGACCAATTAGGAGATGATGATGTTGATGCTAGATCTTTGCTACATTATGTAGTACACTCCAAGGTATTTTCAATGAAGAAAATAGGCAGAATTTTACTCGAAAAAATGATATAAAAGATATATTTAATCGACTCTGGGGTCCGCTCAGGCGCAAATCCAACGCCAAAGGGAACGGTACAATACCCAGCCAGGTAATGTCATTTATACGGATGGATCTCTCAAAGATATTGGCACTGAAAGAGTAAGTATGGCATTTGGTGTGGTAGTCCAGACACAAGAGGGTGATTTTTACACTGCGCTATCTGGTAGAGTAGCAGGCAACGCATCCTCGACAAAGGCAGAGCTAGCTGGTTTGTTGGCAGGAATACTTATCAGCCCACGAAACAGATCTATGACAATCCGACTTGATAACAGCGCAGTTGTGACTCAATTCCGAGCATTGGTCCGAGGCAGAGTGGATAGCACGTTGCGACAACGTATTAGGTCACCGTATGCAGTATGGTGGGCAGCTATACACAACACATTTATTCAACAAGGATCGGAAGTCACGGTCGAGTGGGTCAAAGGACATGCCGGCAACAGAGGGAACGAAGAAGCGGACGAAGCAGCAAAATATGGACATTATGGCGAGCTATGGGATATCAACATAACGGAGCATAATGACATGTACTGCCATGCAAAGTTCAACGGTGTACCGGCGGAAGATGACTTAAGGCAGATCCTTAAGTTACAGTCAACAACTCGTACACATCACACGTGGATCGCTCAGAACAGGACACAGGAGCATGTTAAGGATTGGACAAAAATTGATTGGCGAGCTACTATGAACATTGTTCATGATAGCAACCTACCGAAAGGACTCTTCACCAGCCCAGCGGGCTGCCAAAAGCGAGCGCACAGGATCAAGAAACTCCATGGAATGTTGCCTACACAGTCATATATGAGACACTGGAGGCCAGACCTTTATGAAGACGGCAACTGCAGAGTGTGTGGGACAGAGGATGAAGACACATCGCATATCTGGAGATGTCCAAGGACGATGGAGACTCAGGCCGAGAAGTGGAAGGAGATAATCCAAAATATGAATGTGATAGGGAAGAGGACATGGAGGAAAGAGTTGAAAGCAGTGCAGGGGCAAGCACAAAGGGCCAGAGAGAGAGGTGTAGACCCACCAAGGACAAAAGAGCCAACTTTTACTGCGGCAGAGGAGGACTACATTTGGGGAACTCTGGAGATGCATATCGATGGTGTGCGAGAAGTACGACGCCATGGTGATAGGAACGGCGATGGTGAGGAGGAAGAGATAGAGCACACACCAGATTGGTCTGTGCAGGACATTTACCATGGACTTACGCCCAAGTCCATTGCTCAGAGTTGGAAAGTTGGCTTCAAGACAACAACAAGGATAGCTACATATATGGCAGGGCGCTTCGTCAAGGCCATAGAAGAATTCGGTCGTACAGAAATCTGGAACAAACGGTGTAAAGTCACTGTTGAATGGGAAAAGGCTCGTGAAATCACTGCTATGAGCAAACGCGCTAGAGGACGCAACTGCGTTGGGGAGCACAGACGTAGTAGCAATGATTTCCTTGTCCCTTCCCTCAGACAAAGACAGAAGCTGAATGTAAAAGAGATCTACAAGATCGCGGATGACCGAGTCCGGGACAGTTACCTTGGGAAAACCAAACTGGACGTGATGGAGCGGCTAGGTGGAATGAAGTTTTTGATGACTATGGATAGCGGATAATTTGTCGCGTTGCGCAACAGGCCACGTCGGAAAGGTGGACTTTGAGTACCAACCACGGCGGTCAGGGTTTATGAAATCATGGATACAGCGGCTCTTGTCGTTTGTGCAGTAATAGCTGTTTATTGACTATAGTTTCTGGAGCATTTTGTTCATAGAGTGTAGAAAATAAATCCCATGACCCTGAGGGTCCTTGTTATCAAAAAAAAAAAAAAAAAAAAAAAATAGTAACAGGGTCACCCATTTATAGAGCACAATGCTAATAAAAAGTGAGAGAAACATGTTTATGAACAAATTACAGCACGAGTCTTGGAATACTGAGGACGAAAGCTCCCGTCAATAATAAAAATTGATCATTTATTGTATGCATTCCCTTTTTTTTTTTTTTTTTTTTTTACACATGTAAAACCACTACTTGTAACGGTGAATCACGTCCGGTTCTCGTCCACGTAAGAAAGGAACCTCGGTCCCCTTCACGTATACATTTTCCCAAAACTCCTTCAGGTCTGGTTCTGGATCAGCTTTGACTTTCTCTGCGATCTTATCAACCTCTGCACGCGCAGCCTTATCCAAGGCCTTGACTTCATCCTCTGTGATAAGCTTGTGTTCCAATAGTCGATCCTTTAAGCCCGTAATTGCATCATGATCTGCTCGCATCTTTTGGATTTCGTCACGGTTCCTGTACGATGTCCCTGGGTCTGACATAGAGTGACCAGCATAGCGATAAGTCTCCATCTCAAGTACCAATGGTCCCTTTCCACTGAGCGTCCATTCTCGTGCATGTGCAATAGCCTGATGAACAGCGATGATGTCCATTCCATTGACCTAAAGAAAGGCGGCAGAGTTTTAGCCTCAATTTTTCTTTTTCTTTTTCTTTTTTGACACAGCCAAGGCAATGTATGTAAAGCGTCTTTTTTTTTTTTTTATATATATATATATATATACTTTGATTCCGGGAATGTATTCAGCACGCTTGTAATATTCTGTACTCGCAGATGATCGATCAGCAGAGGTGCCCATACCATATTGGTTGTTTTCGCATACAAAGACACAAGGGAGATCCCATAGTTTGGCCATATTGAACGATTCGAAGACTTGGCCTTGATTGGCTGCCCCATCACCATAGAACGTAAAGGTAGCAGCTTTACGATTGAGATACTTTTGAGCGAATGCAATGCCGGTACCGAGAGGCACTTGTGCTCCTACAATACCGTTGCCTCCAAAGAACCTGGGCGTGAACATGTGCATCGATCCGCCTTTGCCCTTGGAGATCCCAGTTCCACGACCCAGTAGCTCTGCCAGGATAGAGTGGATGGTGCCCCCCCGCATATAAGTGAATCCATGGGCGCGATAGGCCGTGATGACCTTATCTTCATCTGTCAATGCACTCTCCATTCCTACACCTACAGCCTCCTAAAAAAGATTTTTTCATGCATCGAGCATTGTTGGTGAGAAACAGGTAAAGCAAATAGATCAAATTCTTGCAAAGATGATATAATCTCGAAAATCATAATGATGTCGAACTATCATAAATTTTACTAGTGCGACCGGAACACGAAACCTCCTCTTAATCTGCGGGAAAAAGAAAAAAAGCCATACCTGACCGGTACACAAATGGCAGAACCCTCGGATAAGACCTGCTTTGTAGAGGCCATCTGCAGTCGTCTCCATTCGACGCATGATCACCATGCTTTTGTACATGTCGAGAAGATCATTCTTTTTGATATCAACCTCCAATGACGGCGCTTCACATTTGAAAGTCTTGAAGGAATCCTTTGGAAGCTTAATTGCTACCTTATCGTTAGAAGCTGAAGCAAATGACCGAGTTGCTACCTATCAAGGATATATTTTAGAATGTATACTGACGGCATAAGTACTCTTGTTTCGAAAAATGATCGTTTGTGATCGCCAATGTGTGATTGTGGTGACGGAATGGTAGGTAGTGTTTTAGAGACGATCAAGTTTGCTGTGCAGATGCGCATACCAGTGGAGCGAGGTTTGACTTGGTTATGGCAGGGGTGGCCCTGATGAGGGCGTGTCTAGACGAGCAGAGCATTTTTGTATGAGAGAAGAATGGAGGAACAAAAGAGCGATAGAACAGACTAAAGGATTGGGGAATTGGAAGAGGAATGATAAAGAAAAGAAATAACGAGAAGAAAGTGTGAAAGAATTTTAATCAGTGTAAAATCGTCTTTTTGAAACCGGATCCTAAATGCCGTAAAAAAAATTAGCCTAGTCTCTTGTAATGTAACGGTTAGAAGGTGTTTGGTCCCCCTGTCTGCAAAAAGGCACAAAATACGGTTTTTGTGCGTGGCCAAAGCGTCATTCGTACATGAAGGGAAGAGCTGTTTTCAGGAAGTAGGAAGCGGAACAATGCAATGCCCTCCCAAAAGCGAATGACGAACCGTTAAAAATCTCTCTGACCTGAGAAAAGATTTGATCCTTCCACTTCGGGCTCTACAAATGTCGACTCTGGATCCAGCCCGGTTCGTCCTTTCTCATCTCTTTCTTTTTTCCAACTAACGGTTTTTATTATGATTTTTATGGTTTTTTATTTCAAGTTGAGCTAGATTTATGTAGGCCTTATTGAGATTCCTTGAAGGAACCATCATTTATTTTCAAAGTCGATAAGGGCATATTTCTTTTTTTTTTTTTTGTTTCCTCCTTCCGCGTCCATAAAAACCAGAAGGACTATGGACTATGAACAGTTGGTAAAGTACAGTTCCTTACTACTACCAATACTACCATCATTAATACAAATATTTTGTTATTATTGTTATTGCTATGGGCAAGGTTACCTTATTAAAAGGCATATCATTCAGTAGATGAGGTGCCTAATGCCAGCGCAACGCATGCAATTTTTTTGCCTTCCTGGAAGAGTGCAACAGAAAGCAGTAATACCTACTTTCTCCATTTTTTTTTTCTTCACTCCATCTCTGTCTGTCTGTCATCTTTTTACAAATAATTCTTATTTTTTATATTATTCCTTTTCTTTTTACTTTCTTCCTACTTTAACCTCGTTTCGATTCATCATGCAGACCATAAAGTGTGTTGTCGTTGGAGGCAAGTAACTTATACCCATCTTGCTTGTGCTCGATCCCTTCATGCAACATTTGGCTTCTTTGTTGAAGATTGAAGGGCTTCATTCCATTTATTACCTCTTGTTGACCCTTCTTTGCGAGGTTTTCTTTTTTTTATTAATCTTGCTGCTTTTTTTATTCTTTAAAACGAATACTGTCTGTTAATAGATGGTGCTGTCGGAAAGGTAAATTCGCGCATTTTGGTCTTAACCCTGTCTCTGTTAGTTTTCCACCCCATCTCAAGCACAAAGCACGTGGACGGCACGACAACTCCTCCCACCTTCATCCAGCCAGCTTTTCAACGACTGCAGCAGACCATACTCGCATAATCATATAAGCAGCATGGTTTCAGCTGAGAAACGAAATGAAATTAGCGAAATGAGGCGCACTTGCTCGATTCTGGAATTGACTGAACCAAGATAATATGTCAATATACCATCACATCGGACACGACCAAGAAAAAGAAAAAGTGTGCACATCCCAAGGCGGCCAACCACACCACTGACTGTTCTGTTTCTATGACGGTCCTGATCTTGGCGGGTCTTTTGTCGACAATACCTTCTTTCTGTGCTGGAAAGAGCCGCCATATTCACACTCAAGGTCGGATGGCTCATTTTAACAAGACATCTTTCTCATTCTTTGCTTCAATTTTTGAATAGACTTGCTTGCTCATCTCGTACACTACCAATAAGTTCCCTTCTGAATATGTTCCCACTGTAAGTACAGGATGTCCATCAACAAATCGTTCAATGCTGTGTACTCGCTATCCTCCACGACATTTTCTCCCCTTCCCCGACCATAACAACATGTTCAGCCATTTTCCAGTCAAAAAGCGACCTCAAAATGGTTCGTTCATTCCATCTTCCTACCTGTACCCTTGGAACAAGCGTGGTCCTGGAATGGCCATAGTCGTTGGTTATCATCAGCTGGCTATGATAGTTTTTCTTCGACGATGTACATTACAGTATCATCTTGGCAGAGAAATGAGATTTCCACATCCCTTTTTCTTTCCACCTATTTTACTTTTATCCAAGTGGTGGTTCATTTGAATAGGGATATCGCTCCATCTCTGTATCACTTGAACGCTTGGCCTCTAGACCAATGTGTTCCTTATTCCCAAAGTGGTTTTTTTTTTTTTTTTTTTTTTTTTTTTTGCTTATCATGAGATGAGCGAACCATTGCTTCAAGTCCATAGTGTTCCCTGTATTATCCAACGAATGAGTGTTGTCATGCGTGTCATTTTTTGCTCTCGTCCATATTTCAGAGCTGCTCTCAGGTCTTTTTTTTTTTTTTTTTTTGAATACAACTACACAAAAGACCTAATATGATATGTTGGACACAAGCGCACACATCGTACATCTTTACTTTAACTTATCTCTTGGCTCTCAGTCTGTTTTGCTTTTTTGGTGAAAGACTCGAACTCATCTTTTAAAACTTCCTCGGATGCTGATATCTCGCTTAGGTCTTTGACAACTATGCAGTGACAGTCATGATTGGAGATGAGCCCTACACTCTCGGACTCTTTGATACAGCTGGTAAGTGGATCCTTGTCAGATGACATGAGCAGGAGTGGGTGCTCCTTTGGACAAAAGATATTTTTACAGTGTGGATTTTTGCAAAAGAGTCTCTTACGCTCGTTCTATTTACAAACGGCAATTCGTTCGATAGGTCAGGAGGATTATGATCGTCTTCGTCCTCTTTCCTATCCTCAGACAGATGTTTTCCTTGTCTGTTTCTCGGTCACTTCGCCAGCATCGTTTGAGAACGTTAGGGAAAAGTGGCTGCCTGAGGTCCACCACCACTGCCCTGGAGTTCCTTGCCTGATTGTCGGGACTCAGGTTGATTTGCGCGATGACGCCGCTGTGGTAGAAAAGCTGTCTCGCCAGAAGCAGAGGCCTATCTCTGCTGAGAATGGCGAGCGTCTCTGCCGCGAACAGAATGCTGTCAAATATGTAGAGTGCTCGGCTTTGACACAGAAGGGATTGAAGAATGTGTTCGATGAGGCTATCGTAGCAGCGCTTGAGCCTCAGGTGATCAAGAAGAAGAGCAAGTGCTTGGTGCTTTAAAGAGGAAGTAGAAAAAAACTGAAAAAAAGGGTTATGCTCTTGGCATCTGCAAATGACACTATATTCACTACTTTCAGAATATGATATCGCTAGAATTCAAAGAGGAAACAAAAAACGCGTGATAAATTTGGTTCGAGACGTTTTACAGCCTTGAAAACTCTATTTTTTTTTTTTTTTTTTTTTTTTTTTTCTCGAGAGGTTTTTTTTCAGACCTATTTTTTTTTTAGAGGTTTTTACAATACTCTGACCAAAACAATAAACAGTTTCATCTTGCTTACATTATTAGCTGAAACAGAGTTAAGGAGGAGGAGGAGGGTGAGGGAAGTATAAAAAATCGCGAGATGATGGGAGAGGGCATGTTCACCGGGATACCCGTTTATTTTTCAAAATGAGGTAGATATCGCAGCATGAATGAGAGTGAAGCTTCTCTCAATCCGTAGCTTTTGTCTCGTCTGATTTGGATTCTTCATCTTCGCCTGCAGCTGAAGAAGGTGATGGGGTTTTTGATGGTTTCTGAGCCTCTTCTGTTGGCTGTTGCTCATTCTCTTCCTCTTCTTCCTCTTCATACTCCACTTCCTCTTCTTCCTCGTCATCATCATTCTCCTCGACTCCAGGCGCGACGGCTGCATCGTCATCATCATCATCATCATCATCCTCGTCCAGATCATCCTGAGGAACCTTTGAGAAGTCAATTTTAACGCCACGGGTACGACGACCTGAGTGAATGATATTAGATGTTTCTAAGAAGTCGAGATCCTCGTCTGCATGAATCATCGAGAAAAAAAAAAAAGGTCGATATAAATTTCAAGTGTATCCAAATAGTTTGCAACTGAATGTTTCCGAACGGTGATTGAAAGGAATAAAAGTAGGTCTCTTACCGAGATCGTCATCTTCCTGTGCACTATCATCAAGATCATTGAGTTTAGTAGATGAGCTTGATGCGACAGCACGCTTTACAGAGGCAGGCTCGATGGCCTCTAAGCGGAGAGATGATCATTAAGAGAAAAAAAATCGATAAGAAATACTGGTAGTTTTGATTTTCGCCCAAGGTCAGGAAAGATCATGGCACTGATCAGTCCCTGGATTGTAGTCCAATGGGTGATTGAAGAGCATCTTGATGAAAAGACGAAAGATTGATATGTACCCTCTGCCTTGCGCTTGCCGGCGGCAAGGCTGGACTTCTCAGCAGGGCTGTTGAAAGGAGCATTGAATATGGTTAGTTACCAGAACAATTTAGTGTTTAATTGTCTGCACTTGCATCGTTTTTCACTAGAGATCAGGACAAATGTGTAAAATGAAAACGCATACGAATCAGACATGGCAATAGGCTTATTATTATAAATTATCGTTATTATTATTGTTTCTAAGGAGAGGAGAGGAGAGGAGAGGAGGAGAAAGAAAGAATGGAGTGAAGAAAAGAGAAACTTTTTGTTTCTGGCCTTTTACAGTAAGTGGTCTTCAAGGTTGAGCAGTCACGCTTTGGTTCCCGAGTGAAATGAGTAGTGAGAGAAGCATGGAAAAAAAAGAAGGACAGAACCATCGACCTTTTCCTTTTCCCTACTTCTCTTTTTCTTTTTCCTCTTCTGGATCTCACCCTACTTTTGTCTTATATACAATAAACTTCAATCTGAGTACACTATTTAATTTCCTTGCTCTCTCTACCTTGCAACCGCCCAACACAGATACACAATGGTAAGCATGCAGCAGAAAGGCAAGGTCGGGGATGATGACAGAGGGAAACCGACTGGCAACATTTCTTCCCAATTTACAAATGAAAAAAAAAAAAAGCTCTTTATTTCATTTTATTAAATGTTCATCGTTAAACTTCTTTTCTTTTTGTTTCATCTACAATTACTAATGGCCCTTGTTTCCTGTAGAATTACCTAACTCAAGATCAACGCTCAAAGGTTCAAAACCTTACGGGAATCACCAACATGAGGTAATCCAAAATATTGGGAGTGCAGGGATACTATGAACACTGCGAGGCCATCCTGAAGCATGTCTTCCGTTTTTTATGTTCAGTCATACTAACACTGGATGCTTTTTTTTTTTTTTTTTTTTTTTTTTTTTGTCAAAAATAGAGAATCTGCAGCCATTACTTTGCTCAAGGATTGCAGATGGGACATTCAGGTGGCAGTAAACACTTTTTATGGTGGCGGCAGTGGTTCGAACACTACATCTCAGAGCAATACCAAGTCTCTACCGCCTGTTAATGTTAAACAAATCGAGAAGATTTTTGACGATTTCAAAGGTAAAAAAAAAAATACATCATTAGGAAAACAGGGTGAAGATGGCTTGATGTCTTTAATTTCCTTTTCTTATTAAATGTCTGTGCTCTTGTGCTTTTGTGAGGTAATGGAAGTAATCTGACTCCTTTCCTTTGCTCTCTTCACCAGATGATACAAACTATATTCTAATCGAAGGAATGGAAAAATTCTGTGCGGCCTTGGATGTGGACCCAACGGATGTTGTTATGCTAGTTATGGCCTGGCATTTGAAGGCGGAGAATATGTGTGAGTTTACTAGGTCTGGATTCATCGAGGGTTGGACGAAACTCAGGTACAGGACACAGGATCCGCCTTAAAAGATCTTATTAAGAATGTGGGTGTTGTTCTTCAGATGAAATCTCTAATACTTTTCTCTTTTATATACCGCACTTCATTAGGTGCGACACACTCGAGAAAATGAAGGATTCAATCGAATTAATGCGCCAGGAACTTAAGGATGATGCAACTTTTAAGGAGATTTACAATTTCGCATTTACTTTTGGTCTAGGCGAGAATCAAAAGAGTTTGCGTACGTACCTTGTTTCGACCTCGTATCACAATCATGCATGCATGCATTTACTTTGATCGACTAAAGCGGAAGCTTATGCGGATTTTTTTTATTTATTTTTTTTATTGTGATTTTTATTTATATAGCTTTGGATATTGCTATTCCATTCTGGATGATGTTGTTGCCGGATCGCTTCCCAAGATTGGAGATGTGGTGCGATTTTGTTCAAAACAAGTATGGTCGATCCATATCCAAGGATACCTGGTACTTGGTAAGTAGCAAAGTATTTCTTTTCGTTGAAGTTTGCATGTTTTCGTATTGAAATATTGTGCCTAATAGCTGTCATGTGTTTGTTCTGTGTGCAATTAGCTTTTGGATTTTGTTAATCAAGTAGACTCCCAGTTCTCAAACTATGATGACGAGGGTATGTTATCTTTGTATTTTGGATGGAATGCTTTTGGTAAGGGTCAACAATGGTTCAATATCTAATCCTGTTTTGCTCATATCTGTTAGGTGCATGGCCTGTTCTTATTGATGACTTTGTGGAGTATGGTCGTACGACCTTGGATCAGGATTAGATCAGTCGAGCCATTTCAATTCATTAAAACCTTAAAAAATACGCTTAAAAAAATACTATGACGTAGCATTTTTTTTAAGAACCAGGAACAATGTGCTTAATCGGATCCGATTTTCCATTTTTTCATCCGCCACTCCGAATCAATACCACATTACTTCCATCTCTCCCTTGTAATATTTAATAATCATGTTGAGCTTCATCACTGAATTGTTCCCTGCTGTCTACGCAGAGGAGAAGCATGAGGAGACTCCCGCTGAGCAGCAAGAGGAGGCTGCCCCTGCTGCTGAGGAAGAGGAGCCAGAAGACATTAAGCCCGAGATTGAAGAGGGTAAGTCTTGCTGTGTGATCCATTCCATTCATTGGACTCCAACCCACATATATACTCCCTTTCTCTTTCTCTCCCTTTAAACAAGCAACTTATCCGGATGCACCTTCAATAAGGGCTTGATGCTCAACAATGGCTAAAAAAAAAAGAAAAAACACGGCAACATTTCGGAAGAATAATCCAGTAAACACGGAGATGATTTCCGAGAACGTCTCGTTGATCTTTTTCTCTTTATGCATATAAAAAACCCAATCTTTCAGCAATTCAGGGCATCCATGCCTTTTTTTTTTTTTTTTTTTTTTTTTTTTCATCCACAATCTGTTCTGGACTGTTGAACGATAAATTAGCGGAAATAGCATATGCTGTCTTTTTATTATTTTTTTTTTATCTTTGATCCTTATAAAGAGCTTCCGACTGATATTGTGAATGATTCTCGCCCTCAATTGGCTCTTCTTTTTCCGAATCCTTGTTTTCTTTCCTTATAGCCTGTGGCGAAGACGCCGCTTGCTTGCCATTGAAGCACCATCTCGAGGAGTGCAACCGCCGTGTCCAGGAGGACGGTGCCCATGAGGACTGTATTGAAGAGCTTTACCACTTTTTGCACTGCGTCAACGACTGCGTAAGTCTCCTTTTTTTTGTAATTTATAAATGACGCGGATTGTTGATACACAGACAATGGTCGTTACAGGAACGGAATTTTTCATATTTTACAAGACTTACTAAACCTTTTTTTTTTTTTTTTTTTTTATCTTTCATTTATTAGGCTGTTCCAAAATACTTCAATAAGCTTGCTTAGACTATTTTTTCAACACATCCAAATACAAGTTCTTCATCTACCTTCTCATTAAAATAAACAAATCAACAAATTTAAATTTGTGAAAAGAGGTGATGAAGTTTTCATGGAGAAAACAATAACTGGCTTGTGGCAGCCAAGCATTCAATAGCGACGTTATTTTTTGATCCTTCGATGTCGGCTCTTTCTCTCCTCCTTCATTAGAATTCATCGGAAGCGTTGTAATGCTTTGTTCACTTATACTAATCTATCTTTTATTTTAGGGGCGATTAGATTTCAGTTCAAGTTACACTCACAGGGAGAAACTGATCTGTGCACACGCACATGTTGGCTGCTAGGGGCTGTTTCGCGTATTGCTTTGCTTATCCTCTTAAGGGGCCATCAATCTCATACACAATTGATCTGAAAATTCATACAGAAGCTAACCTAGATACGGTCTACATGTGCACCAAGTTATATGGCAATAACGATCCCATTTACCAAGATATCTCAGCTTTTGTGACCACCGATCATTGAGAGTATGTTGCTTGATTTGGTGCCACCAATCTCATGTCCTACGAACAAGTGTTATAGGAACAAACAGGGAGCTGCCACATAGAGAACACAGTCAGTTTCAACAAACTCCAATGATATCATCTGCAAGTCGTAATTATCTTGTGTAGCCATGATATTGACCATCACGATGAATTGCATGTTCCTATAGACGAGCAGCATTTAATACAATCTGTTCCAATCAAACAGCATTGACCCTCTAGCCCTGATCCATCTTGTAGTCCAGGCCAGTGTAACCTCTGCCCTGATTGTCTGCACTCACCTTGTAACGGTTTGGATAATAGGAATAGAAGGAAAGAGCGACAGAGGAAGTAATTTGGCAATTTTTTTATCACCTTTCAGTTTGTGCTTGAGCTTCCTTTTACGTTTTGTTTTTTATCTACACAAATGTGCTGTAGGCTCATATGAGTGTTATGGGCTCAGTTCACAATAGTAATAATCATGTACGAACTTCCACATATAATTGACACGTAAACAATTTAATCGGATTTTTACAACAAAAAAGGTGGATTAAGATCAAGTATCATCTTCGTCTGCAGAGCCACTGCTTGGATCTGAGTCCGAGATATACTCCTTGGCCTTGCGTTTCTTATTACGGTTATTGTTATTGTTATTGTTATTGATGGGCAGTCCTTGCTTGGCCATGGCCTCCTTGATCATTTTCTCAGCAAGATCGCGAGTCTGCTGCTGTTGGCTGAGCTGTTGTTTGTCGACCGCTCCTACTGTCATGACGGCCTCATCCTCATCAGCTGTTGCATCCCCACCTGGCTTCTGCTGCTGCTGTCGGCGTAAGCGAATCTGTTGCAACTGTGGAAATTGAGTCATGAGGGCCTCCATCGCTGCAAATTGGATAAATTCCTGAAGGTGTTGCTGATGGACCGGACCCAAAGACTTGGGTGAGACTTTCTTTGGGGTTGTGTTTGCATCTGCAGCTCCTCCACTTCTTTCAGAATTTGTAGTAGTTACAATTAAACGACGGTCCTTGTCTTCAATTTTCTTTTCAAGGACCTCTATCATCCGCGCCACAAGTGTCTTGAAATCCAAGTCCCGATAGCCTTCAATCTTGCAACGGATCACCATGAAAATGCGATTTGTTTGATTTGGAGTACTCAGGACGTGAAGAATCTTCATGGATTCAGTTTGAGCTTCCGCGGCTGCCTTTGTCATAGCAGCAGCAGCGGCCGTCGCAGCTGGAGAGATATTATCGCCATCCTGAAGGTGTCGTTGTGCTTGGAGTTGTAGGTCATGCTGAGCCCTAGCGACTTTATCTAGTTCGACTTTATGATCCTCCTGCCAACGAGTCTTGAATTCCTTCCTAATATCGCCCCATTTGATATCCAGGTGATCTCGAATATCCTGTTCCTGGATCCATTTTAAATAATCAAGCATCATCTGTTGTCTCGCTCGTCGGCAGACAGGGGCGCCTTGCAGATGGTAAGTGCCCAAAGAAACAGGAAGTCCCGCAACTGCTGCAATGGCAGCAGTTAGGTTATCGTGATCTATATTATTCTCATGTTCACCACCGCTGGCGGCGTTATTACTACTAGCTGGCAATGCTTGTGACCAAAGCAGGTTTTCACCAGTTGTGTTGGGAAGAGCATTCTGTAGAGCCGCAGCCAACATCTTAAATTCCTCATCTGCATTTGTGATAGAATTCTGATTTGTAGAAGGAGGCTGTGCCTCTAGCTGAGTTCCTGCTTGCTTTTGCTGTTTGAGAGTCTTGGCAGCGGTCGCAACTGCCAATGCAGCACCAGCCCTGGTGCGAATGAACTCGCCCCTCTCCAACCTCGGTAACAGTGCCTGCGAGAAGCGATGGCGACATTGATGTCTAGTGCGCGTACCATTCATCTTTTCAGCGATCGTCGTCCATAAATGGCTTGATTCCAAGACAGTAGCCTTGCCTTGTTTTTCTGCAAGGTCTTGCATGATGTCCAGTAGCCTCTCGTCCTCATGTGCAGCCCAGGGTCCTGAAACCATGGTGTCCTGATCCTTCAAATGGTTTCTATAGCGATCTCGACAGCTATCGGCCATGCGTCCAAGTTCCGAACCAATCTTGGTCCACTGACCTTTGTGCTTTGTGTAGAGTTCAATAAGTTTGGCGTCGTCGGCTTTGGTCCATAATCCAACATTATTTTGGGGATGGTACATACGGCGAATATGCAAGTAAACATTAAGCAATGGACGAGTCTCCAAACGCGCAGCTTAATTGCAAACAATTGGTTTAAGAAAAAAAAAAAAAAAAAAAAAAAAACTCAATCAACGATTGGTATATGGGATACAAATGTCAGGAGCAAGAAAGACTGACGTTCGAAAAAAGCTTAGTGATCTTACCAATCTCAACCCAGAGGAGTTTCAACTCATTCTTTTCCTCTCGTCCTTTGCCACTGTTATTCTGAAACCAACGAGTCATGGCCCCTTCGTCCAAGTTATGACGCGCAAAGTACTCGCGAATAGTGTCTCGGATGATTTGATCCTCATTGCTGTTAAAAGTACCCATTTTATAAGTCAACCCTATTGTGTATTTTTTTTTTAAAAAAAAAAAAAAAAAAAAAAAAAAAAGCTTTAGTTTCATATCTTTCAAATAAGAAAAATACTTGCATAGGAATGGATTAACTCTCTTGCCTTTCTCTTTCAGCTCTCCTGCCATCATCCACTTGGTGTGTAACGGATTATCTGAGATACGCGACAGGTCTGCATCTAGCTGCTCCTCCAAACTCAAGGCTTTCTTTTTGACGCTACGACTACTGCTTGCCTCTCCTACAGACGCTGCCACTGGCGCTACAGCGGTTGTTCCAGTCGTTACTTCTGTTGTTGCAACTGCGACTGCAGCATCAGCATCAGCGTCAGCTGCTATTGTATCTATATTTTCTTTGTGATTTCTATGTTCTCTCGATTCCCTGTCCTTATCTTTATCTTTGGATTTCTTCTTCCCTTTATCTTTTTTATCTTTCTTCTTTTCTTTCCTTCCTTTCTTATTGCTAGCAATGTTACCATCCTTTCCATCTACAGTAGTGTCGTTCTGCATAACCATAGGCGTGTCAACGTTGTTGTTGAGCGTCGCCAGGACTGATGGGTCGTTGTTCAAGTTCATAAGGTCATTTTGAAGCAGCATTTGCATGCCTCGAAGATCAGCAATAGTGGCCAATATTTGATCTTGTGTTATTGGTGCGCCAGCGTCTGATTGAATTGCAATGGGTTGTTGTTGATCGGACGATCCAGAGTTCTGTTGATTATTGTCGATGGAAGGTTGGGCACTTGCTTTGGAAAGGATATTGGCCACAGTTGCGACGACGGCCGCGTTGGCATCCTCCATTGCCTTAGAGGCTGACGTTGTCGCAGGGACAGACGATGTTGACGTTGATGTCAAATAGCCCTTGCTTCCTCCTATAGATACATTTGAAGGCTTCTTCCGAGGGGGGTTTTCGTCCTCAGAGGAATCGCTATTCTCATTATCTGAGTTTATCTTGCCACCCAGCATTCCAAGGGCCTCAAAGGCTGCCTCTCCCCCTATAAGACTACTACCAAGCGTTGACACACCATTTGTGGCGGCAGGCGTGATCAGAGCCTTCTTGAAAACCTGTGCATTAAGCTCCTCTTGGTCATCTCTATTCTGTTTTCTCTTCTTTGGGTTGGTGTATCTATTCTCCATAACTATTATATTGGCAGTATCTATTCGCAATCGTAGAGAGAGGGTAAACATCATCAGTTTATCCTTTGCCTTTATCTTAAACACATTTTATTAATCAACCATTATGTGAGTATTTTTTTTTTTTTTTAGTCTTTAGGGGTTTGATCCTTAAACAGCCTGTAATTATAATTCAAATCAACTGCCATTTTCTTCCTCCACACGCATTATGTACTCTCAAAGTTAATTAACACATGCCTTAACTCCTTCAATGAAGATCTTTTTTCCTGCTTTTCTGTTTTGTCTTAAGGGTAGATGATGGAATGGACGAATATGTGATCAACTCGACGCCGTTGCCCTCCAATTGAAGGAGTTTTTTGTGCCCCAAGAAAATAAAAAATAAAGCGTCTGTCACGTGGCGATATACCACGTGATCAGAAGCTGTTGTAGCTGGTCATTAATAGTTACATATTTTGTATCTGCATTCTGTCGAACCACAGCTAGAAGAATCTTTGCGCAAAGCCTTATAAGCTATAGGCGAGTCTACCTCACCAAGAAAGCACCACAGTCAGGCCTGTAGGCTAAGTTATAAAAGCCAAAGAACTTCTTTCTCAATAAAGTCTTCAGTTTACCCATAAGTCTCAAGTTTCCCCCATCTGTCTTGTTCTTGACCCGCAGTTTATCTTGCCATTTATCTTTTTCCCCTTTTCACAACAAGTATTTGTCTTCCAGTAACTCAGTTTGTGAGCTCACCTACAAAGCTCCCATCTTCTCTTTTGGCATCCTATGGCGCTGTTTGTCATCAAGGTTATTTGCCTCTATTTCCTCTTATTATTCTTGTTGACACTCTTTGTCCTGATTTTGTGTCTATCTTTTTACCCCTTAAGCAAAGATACACCTATTATTTACAACAAAGCAGCTGCTATTTTATTTGCTTTATTGATAAATGCACGAGGCAAGGTTGTTCTGTTGCCAAGTAACTGTTTGAGCCTAGGCTTTCAAAACAAACGAGCATTAAGATGTTTATCTTGTAGAGAATAACAACCGTGGAAGGCGCGGTGATTTTTTTTTTTTTTTTTTTTTTTTCGACTTTCATTTCCATTTGAAAATTTCCTATTATGGAATAATAGGCTTTGCCCCACATTTCGATCAGACAGATCGCGAAAAATAAAAATGCATAAAAGAGACCCTACGTTTCTGCAACAAAAAAATTCTAACTCCATTAAGAATTTAAACTACACAAATCGTATTCTCACCAACCTCTTTCTTCTTTACACATATTCCTTACATATATAATCTCTCTCTCTTTTTTCAGCTTAAAAAAAAAAAAAAAGAAAAGAGAAAAAAAGTCATCATGCGCGTCCTCGTAATCGGCGGATCTGGAAGAATTGGTCAGCGTGTTGTAAAGCAATTGTTAGGACGAGGTATTGAGGTTCGTGCAATCGTCCGTGTAACATCCTCTTTACCCGACACTGTCTCCAGCGATCCAAAGTTGGCAGTGGTTCAAGCAAGTCTGCTCGATATGACCGTGGATGATTTGGCAACTCATGTCCAGGACTGTGATGCTGTTGTCTGTACATTGGGCCATAACATGGACTATAAAAACATCCCTCTCCTCGGTAACTTTTCTTTCTCCTTTTTTTTTTTGTAATGCTTAGGCTCTTCTTTCTCCCTTTTGCTTTCCTTATTAAGCGCTTCCTATTTGGCATAAAATAATAGGAATTTGGGCAAGCCCTCGCGACTTAGTAACAAGAGCAACGAAAATGATCTGCGATGCCATTATTAAAGTCAAGCCTGTTACACCTATTCGGTTTGTCCTCCTTAACACTGTTGGTGTTATGAATCCAGATGGAACCGATCGACATATCCGAGGCAAACTTGAAAATGGCCTTGTGACCTTCATGAAGACTACGGTCCCGCCTTATGCAGATAGTGTCCGTTCCGCAGAATACATCAGTCAACAAGTCGGCACAAATCAGACACAATGGCTCGAATGGTCTGTTGTCCGCCCAGATGGCTTTATAGATGGAGAAGTTTCAGAGTACACTATCGAAGACTCTATTCGGCATCCATTTTACGAGGCTGAGAAGGTTACCATGTCTAATATTGCCCATTTCATGTGCGAACTTATTGAGAGTCCTGCAATTTGGGAAAAGTGGAAGTTCAAAATGCCCATCATCTTTGATACCAACCAACCACTCAAGAAGTAGTTTTATTCTTTTCAATGCCCTACATCTTTTTATATGTCTATGATTTTCTTCGCTCTTTATGATAAAGTAAAATATTTCCTTTAAATGCGCTTGTCTATGCAAAATGTTTTATTGTCCTGTTGCCGCCGCAATCATAAACGACACAGATTGTTATCCCATCTATTGTACATGTTCCTCCTTCAACAATCCTTCCTTCCATTTTCTTTACATTTAACTAGACTTAATTAATTTAATCATAATTACTCAGCCGAATTCTCAGCCATTATCTCTGAAGACGCTTGGAGAAATTGACTGATAGCACCATTCTTTTTCGATTGTTGAGCCTTCAAGAAATTATTTATCGCGTTCTCCGTGTTCCGTTGTTCAGGCATTGTAGCTGAAGTCATACCCTCCATAACAGGTACTTCAACCACTGATACTTCTCCTTCCATGGTGATGTCATCACTGGCTATTGTGGCCGGAGACCGTGCTAGTGGTACGAGAGAAGGATCCTTCTCGCTCTCTAACGCTCGCAACTCCTGCCCAATCTGATGGTATGGGATTGTCAGCGGACGATATGGCCTGCTGTTAAAGTAATCCTCGGGATTTATGCTATTGTCCCTATGCCTACGGCAACGGCAATTTGCGGCAGATCCTTGGCATTCCCATGCTATTGTCAAAGAGGATGTGTCCTGATCAAAAGACGATGGTGGCGTAAATGCCATGGACCTCATCAGAGGTTGAGGATCCTGCGGACTTTGCATAATGGAGTAGTGCCGATCATAAGGTCCATTAAAGCTTGGCTCATATGGTGATGGTGGGTATGAGGTATGTGGTGTAGAATTAATAGGTGTGTTAGTGCCGCTGAAAATTGTTAGTAGAGCCTCTGCGGCCGCAACTTCTGCAACCTCTACAACCGAATCTAATGATGTAGATAGCGTTCTCGAATGGGAGTGTGTGGGTGGAAACACAGGGCTATAGGCACTGTACGGGGAGTTTGCTCGGGATTCCGAGTCAGAAATCTCCTTGGCTGCTTTGATCAAGTCAAAAATATCATCCTTTCGTTTCCGGCTTCGGTGACACCAGTCTTCCTCTATACTAGACGAGGTCTCTCGACTATGGTCACAAGGACCGTCTGTTGGATATGATTCAAAACTACGGGATCGTTGCCATGGACTCTGTTCAATTGAGTTGGCTGCCGAGACCATAGACGATGATGAAGAGTGTGTTGGAGATGGGATAGGTGTAGGTATACATGAAGGACAGAAATATTGCCTCGAGTCCTCCCCTAGTTCCTCATAATCGCGATCTTGTAACCCTTTATCGCATGCAACATGCACCCAAAGCGAGCAACCATCACAAAAGATCATAGGTGTTTCATAATCATCATCCGAGTATAGGCGGCAGCAAAGCGGGCAAACATTGCCCTTCTCAGCCAGGATTGTGCAGGAAGGACATAATGCTGATCCGTGCGACCATCTCCCCTGTATCTTGTTTACTTCTCTGTCTTTAATGGTGGATGCGTTTTTCATATCAGATGGTTTAGTTTTCGTCTCTGTCTTGGCACGATATCCACATTCCACGCACTCTCGACACTCAAGACAAGTCCACTCCACCTTCTCTGTAGGAAAGTGGGACTGCCTCAAATCCTTCAATGCTGGCTCTATCATGAGCTGACATTCCAAATGGATGGGGGTGTGACACATATCGCACGACAACACCTGTATATGGGTCGGATAGTCAGTTGCTGCCGCGAGTTTGCGGTCCATCTCATTCTTTACTACTTGGAGCGCTGGAAGAGTATGAACAGATTTCTTGCAGTGAACACAGACGGTACATTGCGGACATCGCCACGACTCATCCGTGAAGTTTGATGATATTTGGCTGATTGGTTTCGTGAAGGTTGAGCAATCACGATGAAAGACACCAGCGCAGTCACCGCATCTGTGTATAGTGGATTGATTATTTTGATCAATCGTCTCCGCGCCTCCTGTATCTGGCGAAGAACGCCCAATTGTAGAGCAATGTTGACGTTCAGTGAGTTGTCCTTGTATACCACAAAAAGAGCAAAGATTCTCATCTGTTGTCGCAGTCGAAGCCGCGTCGATAGAAGGTTCTACCAAGGCCTTCACCAGTTGCAGTGCTGATGGGTGTACTTCAAATGTATATGACGACCGCAACTTTAATTCCTGGCGACGCCTTACTAAGCTTTCCAGTATCACAGAGTGTTTATAACGTGTGGACCTTGGTCTCGAGCCATGGCTTAGTGAACCGCGCCTAATGAACGAGCCTGATGAAGGCGATTTAAGCGGATCTTGCATGGAAAAGAGTGCACCGGCAGCCTCAAGATGTAGCTGATGATCTTCAATTAAATCTGAGTAAACAATTCCAGATAAATCCGACATTGTTCGCTTCCTGGGTCGCGTTGCTGTCGATTTACCCTTCTGATTAGGGTCTGCCGTTGTGTTGGTACGAGTTGAAATATCTAACACTGCAGTATCCACGGATGCTGCCACGTGACGTTTCCGCTTCTTCCTGTCCAAGACTAATGTGCCTACTGTGCCGAATTTCATATATGGTTAGGATTAACAGTTTATGGGCTCCGAAATAGCTTACTGATCTTTTCATGGTAATCTTTTACCTTGACCAGAAGCTGGCTTGTTCGAGTCGCTCCCAGGATGTGCAGAGCCATCATCTGCTGCATCAGCTAGAAAGCGCTTACGTAGAACATCAAGCGTGACCTCAGTGAGTCCTTGACCTTCAAGTGTTTTGCTAATTTCAGGGAGCTGGTAGATCGGTACTTTGATGGCGGACCATCCATTGACTGCGACTTTCCCTGTCCTAGCACCTTTGACTACAGCCGTGGCCCAAGCACTTGGCGTCTCGTATTCATTCTGTAACCAAGGATAGAGTGAAGCTCCGTTGGGTTCTTTGATCTGAGGAACTAATGTCCCTTTAGGAGTTACCTTTGCACTATGATCTCGAAACATGACCAAAGTGTCAACGGGTAAATAACCAGTGGAGACGAGATTATGAAGATTGACGCGGAATTGCAGTGCAGGCTTCAAATTAGGTGACTTGATTTCAGAGGCCTTGTTGGTTATTGTTGTGGAAGGTGCCAAGGGTGCGGATGCTGTCTTAGAATGGCCTTTCTCGGTTTGCCTTGATACTCCATGCCTACTTCTCCTACTGGAGGTCTCTGGATCTGACAGCCTGCCTGATGGATTCAGATGGGGGTCTTCATCCATATTATCTCTTGCGCATTCTTGGGCCAATAATGACTCTGCTGAGGAGATAGAGTAAGGTCGCGACTTAGTCCTCTCCCTTGGCACTGTGATCCTAGATAGATTATGACCAGACACCATAGGTTGAGATGAGCCGAGGCTGAGCGCCGTAAAAGAGTTTGCAGTCGCGGTGATGGGGCTTGGCAAAGGTGATGGTATAAACTTAGTTGAGGACGTTTCGTTTGAATGCGACCTATTGTGTCGTGGAAGCCGTGGGGGAACAGGCTTCTGGCCTGCTCTACTATTTCCAGTCTCAGTATTACTATGAGAAGAGCTATGATGCTTTGTAACAACTTCAGACAACTCTTGGACTTTGGTACGCTCGAAGACTCTTGACTGGTCTCCAGGAGGGGTTTCAATGTTTGCAGACAAATCAGCAGATCCATCTGATCGTTTCTTTCGCCTTTGGCTCGATGGTGATTTGATGCTGCTGTGAATATTTTCATCTGTCCCAGTGTGAGGCTCCAAACCTTTGGCCGATATAGTCCTGGAATTGCGTAAAGTCCGTCTAAACTGCTCGGGTCTAGCCTGGCAGTTGGCAACATTACTCTCGTCCACCTGCATTTCTTCCGGTTGCATCACTTTTGACATTGTTTTGTCGATTGAGGTAGGTTTCTTTTTTACGTTGCTTGGGGTACACCAGAATTGCTCCAGAATCGCTCCAGAATCGCTCCAGAATTGCTCCGGGGCTCAAGTCTTTGCGTCGTCAAGACCTAGATCAGCGATTACGCCAGGTAAACTGTTCAAAGGCCCTACAAAATGTTAATTCAAAATCATGCGTCAAACTGTTCCTCATCAACATTTTCTCCATGCTTTGCTTTCTTCATTTACCCTATGAACAGCGTTAGGTAAGTGAAATAATGCGACAGAACACTGGAAGCAACCGAAGCTAACTTGCTTTCATGAATGATCCACGAGTGTCGTATGAATCTGCATGCGACAAGGTGTTTTTTTTCTGGGTGTGCGTTATGCCAACGACTTTACTAAAAACAAAAAAAGGTCCTATGTTAGGGGACATGAATGCTATTCATCTCAAGAGAGACTGTAGATCATTTGTACATACTGCTTCCTCCTTTGGCGTTCTGCCAGCTAATTTAATGGGCTGAGGTCAGAGATTCGGCAGGTGGAAGAAGTTTAAGTGCACAAGAGTAAGAGGGACAGGAAATAAGATCGAATTAGAACAAGGGCTACATGCACCGCAACTCTGAATGGCAGCGAACAGAAGCTCGGTCTTAGGATAGGCAGAAGGGGACAGGAAGAAAGAGAGACCTTTCAGGAGTAAGCAGAAAGAACAAGTGAGTGTCAGTCAACGGGAAAGTGTGTGAAAATGAGAACCGAACCATGAATTGTTTGAGTAGGATATATCTAATTGAAAATTGAAAACAAAGGAAATAAAAAGTTTCCGCCAAAAGAAAAAAACCCAAGTCATGCAACCTTTGTCAAATTAATGAAGCCCATTGCTCTTTTATGGGATGGACAAAAACACCAGTTGTAGCAAACTATCTGGATGGTCTTTACTTACTACACAGAGTGTTATTTCATTATGTGGTAAAGTAGTACTAGTTCTACGCAATGGACGTGAGACGGATGCTTTACGCAGAACTGTGAGCGGAAATAATCAGGATGTATCCAATGGCTTCTCAATGATAGCCCCAATGGTAACCATAATGTGATCGGGAAAGAAAACTTTCGTTCTGTTGCCACTAAGCATCTTGACGGTCAGTCGGACTGCTCTTGTCTCTGTACGACCGAAAAAGTCGGAGCACGTGCTTTTTTACCGAACAATTTCGCCCACCATCCACTCCATCTCCGTAAATGACAGTTGCAAAAACATTACTTCTCCTCAGTTTTGGTCTTCTATGGACCCTGAAAAAGAAAATTACGTTGCCTACTAGGGTCCATGATGTCAAAGAAACCTAGACCAGCCTATTTGTAGTCAGAAGAGCGCCATTAATCACGTTGGCGATTATCCGATCTTAACTGTATCCAGCTTATTATTTTTTTTCCTACTGACATAACTTTATGTACATGCATCAAACCATATTTGTAGCATTTGTTCCACAAAAAAAACACTAATACAACATTGGATCAATGGGGATACTTCTCTCTCCAAACACCCTTTTATACTTTTTATCATCAATTCCAGACATCCTTCCTGCGGCGTCGTTATGACTAATTGGTCCATTTTTTTTTTAAATCAGTTTTGTCAATTTTTGACTGTGGTCTGGTGAAAGTCCGGCGCTTTTGAACATGGTTGACTGGTGTGTCAAGCATGCACGCATATACCTTGCGGCCATTTGCGTTGAGTGGCGTAAATACGTGTTTTTTTATTTCATTTTCGGAATAAAAGGTCGGAATTCTCCTTCATTATCATCCCTCATTTTTTATCATCTACTTTAGTCTTTGCTCTCCAATTTCTACTCGCTCTTAATTTTGTTAGAGACATCTGAACCATGGTTGCCGATACCACTACTCCTCCCACTCAACAACTTGAAGAATTCCCAATCCTCGAGAACTATGATGTGTCATCCTTCACAGGGTTTGCTCCTTATCCGTATCCATTGGCAAGACTGACCCAGCCTTATTACCAGCCGTGGGAGGAAATTATGGACCAATTAAATATCTTAATTGATGCGCGGCTACTTAGGTCCGCCATTGACCAGGTAACCTACCAATATCATGATGCCTAGCGGAAACTTATCGAGACATCGAATGAGCCGCTTTGCTCTGAATGCAAAAAAAAAAAAAAAAAAAAAAAAAAAAAAATCTAGGTCATTGATGTGCTTCCAACATTTTGTCCTAACAATGACTTCTTTTCTTGGCAACTAGATGCCTTTGTTGGAAGTAACTCGCCTTGAGACAAAGCGTGAGCAGCAGCGCGCTTATACACTACTGTGCATCCTCGCCCATTCGTACGTTTGGGGAAGTGGTCTTGATATTGCTCAGGTATACACATGATTTGTTAAATTGTTGTTATATTCATCGCCAAACTTTGACTTAATGATCATCCCCTTTTTTCATTGGTGACAAGCACAGTCGATCCCAGAGCCTCTGGCTGTTCCATGGCAAGCTATTTCTGATATCCTTGATATTCCCCCAGTACTGACATATGCCAGTAATGATCTTTGGAATTGGAAGCTTAAGGATCCACAAGGCCCCTACGATATCGAGTAAGATTAAAAAATCTCCTTTTTAGAGTTTATGGTGCCGCAAGGTCCTTTTTCTTGTGTTTGATTGTACTCATTGCCCTCCTGTTTTCGACAGGAATCTTGATACGATTGTGACTATGACTGGTACTGCAGACGAGACGTGGTTTGATATCGTCTCTGTGTCTGTCGAAGTCGAGGGTGGTGCAGCTCTACAGCCATTATTGGACGCTATGCAAGCCGTACGTGAGGATGATCTACCTACGGTCACCGCCCATCTCAAAGTCGCGCTCCTTCAGCTTTCCAAGGTCGGCAAGATTCTGGGTAGGACACACATCAATAATGACCTACCAATCTCCTTCTAATAACAACTTGAATATCTAACATTAAGCTTTTGGCTCCATTTTAGCGCGCATGTTTGAGAAATGTGATCCTGCAGTTTTCTACTGGAAGATTCGCAAATTCCTTGCTGGTTCCGAAAACATGGCGACTCTTGGGCTACCCAACGGCCTCGAGTACAAGGGTGTGAGTGGTGGCCCCAAGCATCACATGGGCGCCACCGCCGGCCAATCCTCCCTCTTTCCATCATTTGATCTTATCTTTGGTATTGATCATTATGACAGCAATGGCAACAGTGCTGGTGCTAATACTGGAAAGGCCCCAAATACCCTATTAGCTAAGATGAGAGCTTACATGCCTGGCCCACATCGCGCCTTCTTGAGTCATTTGGGCAGAGTCGCCAACTTAAGAGATTACGTCCTCACCAAGAAAGCTCTCCTTGAAGACTCGGAGCATAGCGTCCAGATCAAGGAATTGATCGAAAACTACGATGCCTGTGTACATCAAATCAAGCTCTTCAGAGATACTCACATTCAAGTCGTCACCCGCTACATCCTGACCCAAGCCAGACGAGGTCCACCAGAGGGATGGGAGGATTACAGAGTCAAAGTCGATACTAACGTGGAAGAGAAAAAGGCAGAAGGAATTAAGGCCAGTCAGGACCAGCAGAAAGACGAAGGTCACGAGCCAGCAATTCAGGGCACAGGTGGAAGTGACCTTATGCCATTCCTTAAAACTAACCGTGACGAGACCAATGCAACAAAGTTGCTGCCAACCATTTCTGCGAATAAATGAAGTGAAGCAACTCCAAACTTCAAAGTTTTCTTCCTTTGCACACAACTTGTAAAGTGTATGAAATAGAATATTACAGCATTCTTTATTTGTTTATTTAAATTTCATATTCCAAAAAAATAACCAAAAAGAGGTTTTTTTTTATCAGCATCCAAAGAAGGACAAATATTTACAGCACTAACAAAACGCGCAAGTAGGTAACTCTTTAAGCTACGTATTTATACAGACTCTGGTCATTCTTGTCGCGTTCTAGGTAATCGCGATCGATCAAACTCTCAATACGCTTTTTCAGATCCGTAGGCTATTTTTTTTTTTTTTTTTTTTTTTTTAAAAAAAAAAGAAAATTGAGGTGATGTTGGAAAACGCTTTCTAACGCATCTTTCCGGGAAAAAAAGCACAAACAGCCTATTTTGTCTTGAATTTTTTCCATTATCTGATCTGTATTACCTTAATAGAAAACTTCAATTGCTCGAATAGCTCACTCATGAGCAGTGTATGGGAAAGCTGCTTTCGTGTCTTCATGATCCTAACAATTGCTGCATCGACTTGGAACTGTCGGTCCTGGAAGATACGCTCGTTCGTCGATGCATTCTCCTCTTGTGTCTCTTTGAGTTGAATCGCATTAATTTTGATCCTGGTCAGCGATGCTGTAAAGTCCTTATTGAACGAAAACTCATCTGTCTCAGAGACATCCTTTGATTTGGGGTGCTTCACAAGGACACGATATTTTCCACACGCCAAAGACTGAAGTGTTCGATCTAATTCTTTAGGATCTATTTTCATAATGCAGCCAAAACCGAATAGCAAATACGCGTTAGTAGCAGCCATTTATTAATTCGAAAGGCATATAGCTTCCAAACAATTGAGCTTCATGTCTCATACCGATGTTCGAGAGCTGTTTGATTTCTTTGTACGACAGATGGGATTCATCAACATCATTAAACAATAGTAAGATGATGGCCTGGAATAAACTAAGTTGCAATTCCTTGGTGCCCTATTCCCATGAAAACATACAGCCATATAGGCCACAAAAGAGATTGTCTTATTATTTCACCGTTACTGAACAGGTAAGAGCCATGAAAAATTGCAGTATGTTGTCCTGCCTACCGATGGGAAATGAGCTTTGACAACACTATGGCCAAGTGAGTTTTGCCACATCAGCCGCCTTCCCTTGTGTTTGGAAAGATAAAACTCTTTGAACACTTCCTGACATTGTGAAATCTATTTATAATGGTAATTAGTCTTAAAATGTGAGTTCATAATATTCCTTTACCGACGCTGGTTTCTTTGAACTATATCGGTTATAACGCACCTGGTCAGGGATGTTGGCCTCCGCTGGCGGATAAGTAGGCCAGTTGCCTTGTGTTAGGACATTAACATGGAGATCCAAATTTCCCATTTTGTTATACATTTTGCTTGCCTAACATACAGTGAGGACAGATCCAGCCATCATTTTATCAGTACCATGCTCAACCCATACGGCGATGCAATCGCGGGAAAACATTAGCATGCAAGACTCACCCTAAAGTTGACCATAATATCTTTAGAAATATCCATGTCTTTAAACATGCCCTCCAGCTTTGTCGTAAACCCAGCGCCGCACTCTATAGTAATCGATCCGTACATTAATGATTGGGTACAAACAATACATTTTTCAGCAGCTCGCCCTGTTGATGAATTGCAAATGATAACAACAATAATAAAAAACTTGTACGAACCAGCTTTCAATTTGCTCAACATGCTCTTCTCCGCATCAAACGAGGCACTCTTGTTCAGTAATAATCGTTTAGCCAGATCACGCTTATAAAAGGCCTCGAACACATCTTTGCCTTGAATATAGCGGAAGAGAATCAAGACTCTATCTAATGTCGATTCCAATTCCTCGTCCGTTAAGTCCTAGTAGGTATACATATGCTCATATAGGCCCTTCAGCTTCTCAACTCCCATCATCTCAAATCGTCTTGTATGAGAACAATAAAATAATGAATTGTTTGATAGGGTGAACTACAAAATTACCTTATTTCCGCTGCGCAATCGAAGGTCCAGGTATTTGGCTACTAACTCTGCAGGCTTGTTCTGTCGTGTATTAATGAAAGACTCAAAGCATTCCTTAAGAACGTTTAGGAAGAGCTCCGAGTTCTGGAAGCAGTTGCTAACAACCTCATCCACTTCCTGCTTGAATTTTAAAAGGCCTTCGACCATTTGGTCGTCTCGTGAAGGATCTATTACTAGAGCTTTGCCCGTTTTCTAATACCATTCCAATCAATTCCAATGGAAAACTTGTGAGCAGGAGTATACTCACATCCGCAAGGCACAGTAAAATATTCGTAGTATAAGCTTGCTTTATCCAATGTTCTTGAATCCTTACTTTGACATAGTTACCAAAATGAATGCTCAATTTCTCCAGACCATTCACCCTCGTCAAAAGATCATGCCACAACCTCAGGTCCTGTAAGCTATGGGCCACCATAACACTCTCGAATCCCTTTTGCAATAGCATGTCTGTCCATCTTTCGAGCAATTCGCCTTCTACAGCAGAAATCAACCCACCTCGTGTGGACTTGTCAAGATATCCCTCGAAACGGTTTGTCTCCTCCACTAATCTCTGCTGTGCATATCGGAGGTACTCTGGGACTGTGAACCGGTGTACATTAGTTTCGCCCTCAACGTGATAGTACAGGCGGGAATTTTGCAAGAACGGCGTCTCAAAGACTGATGCATATAAGTTGATGTCCGTGAGCATACGCAGCAGCGATAAAATGAGGGGTTGCGAAATGATATCGCCTCCACGATCCTTATCGATTAAACGAAGGATTCCTGCTAAAACCTTGGTTCGGATCTCCTGCTGGTTCATAACTAATCGCCGCCAAAGATCTAGGCCCATATCCCAGATACTGGATACACCTTGCGTTTGCAAGACAAATGTACGATCGAGATAAAGAAAGATGCTACGGATCATGATTAACTGCCGGCAGTGGTCTGCCCATGCGGTATGAACAGCCTCTAGGATTGTATCCTGGTCGAGGTTACTGTTTAACAGGCGTTCTACAACCTTATGGATATGAGTCTCGACCTCGGCAGACAGTTTCTTATAAAGCGTATCACCATACTTTTGATGACACAAATTCTCGCATGTCCTGTAGAGCTCTTCTAATGATGAAGTCACAGGTTTGGATTCCTGAATGGCATGGATAGCCTGCTGGAGCACCTTCCATCGTTCTAGTTCGTAATCCTTGGGCAATTCCGGCGTCACTGAGTAGTAATAACAATGATAAAAACATCCGTTAAATATTCGCACGCAATATATCGAAGATTTTTATTGAAGATGAGGAAATACCTGTAAAATTCTTGATGACCAGCTTTTTAACAGGCTGTCTTCCTTGCACATCCGTTCGACGGACGACTGGTGCACTGCCTTTCATCCCATTAAGTGAAACTGTTTTCAATGTGTCTCCTGTTCTGGGACCAGCACGACCTAGCCCAATTCCTGTAGAACTTGAAGCTGAGTTCGTAGTGGGGAAAAACGCTTTTTGAGGATCAATCGACATTTTACTATTGCTGTTCTCGTCCCCGATATGTCTGCTATTCACGGTAGATGAAGAAGAATTATTGGAAGCGGTACGTCTTCGTTTGTTGTCTTCCAGTTCGCGTGCACGCGCAAAAGAGTGTTCAAGAGGGTTGGCAGGGAGAACTTTGTAGGGAAGTGTGGTTGAAGAGGAGGAGGGTTTGGGAGAGGAAGAGGAGGAAGAGAGGGATAAAGTAGAGGCAGAGGCGCGAGACGAAGACCCCTCACCAGTGGCTGATTCAGAGGGACGCGCGGCTACGCTAGACGATTTCCGTTTCTTGCTCAGGCTTGCTTCTACACAATTCGCCAACGTTGCCCGTAGTCAAGGAGAAGACAAGGCGGCGTTTGTTAGAGGAGGGAACTAAAGATAAGCTACCTGTAGACATGCATTGGCTGAGATTATGTAGAAAGCTGGCGACACACACACAGACACACACCATACACGCTTTTGAGCCAGAAGTGTTGTTACAAAGCAGCATTCCCTCTATTAACAGAGGCTATTGCCGTATGTTGAAATGTGATACCTCAAAGAGTATGTTGCATGTAACCATGCGCCATGTGAAATACCTCACGTCCACTGCTGAAAGTTGGTTATTTGTGCATTTACCTGACGCAATCAGTCGGTCTGAGCTCATAGAAATCACGGGTGACAGCTATAAACGCTGTGAATCGCAAATGTGTTTTAGTGATAGAGGAGTTGGACAGGATAATGAGTGAAGAGTAATAAAGAACAGCCGAAAGACAAGTGATTGAATAGTGAAGGATGATTAACAGTCTTGTTCTAATGTTGACTGCAACCCTTCTTCAAAAGCTGTTGTTCAACAAGGAATGCTAATGGTTTTTTTTAGTGGCAATTGCAATGGTTAATGTGGCTTTTTTAATCATAATTTCCATTTTTACAACTCTATTAGAGGCTTCTCTTCTACAGGAACTACAGGTGTAGGTGCAGCAGGTGCCGTTGACACGTACGACTGCAAAGGTTGGCCAATAAAAGGTGTGTATGAAGGATGTCCGACTGGCTCAACTGCGGTAGGCAGCTGCGCACTTGTCGTTTGATAATCCTGCTGTTGGAGCTGATGTGTTTGCTGTGTGATTGGTGAAAAAGAAGTGGAAGGACCTGGTGCGGAAGCATAGTATGGGTCTTGTAGTGGCTGATAAGGTGTTTGCAGAACGATTGACTGAGTGGGCGGTGGGGCAGATGCGAAAGGCATCGCTACAAACGGTGCTGTAGATGGAGTCTGAGGAGAGTGGTACTGATAGTTATGTTGTACGGGCGGTACATTTGGAGAGTATGGTGCGTATGGTGCATTGGGCATGGGCTGACTGTAGCTAGGTTCTGATCCCTTCAGGTGCGGGTACACTGGGATGTCTTGGCGTGCATGAAGAGATGAAGTAGCGCCGAAATCCCCCTGTTGCTGCTGCTGTTGCTGCTGCTGTAGGCCAGAATATCCGTAATTACTGGTACCCATCCTTTGTTGGTATGAACTGTTGAGTCGCTCCTGTAACAAATGATCATATATCCTAACAGCTTGGTCAATCTGCTGATTGAACATGATTGCTTCCTCTAAATGAAATTCAGAGATTTCAGGGTCAGCAACTATACTCATTAGGTGATTTGCGTCAAATAATCAAGCGCGGGATAACTCACGTTGTTTTTTGGTGACCTCCTCAAGACTTTGATCGACCTTAGCTTGAAGCTTTGAAATCTGCGCATATAGTGCTTGGACCTCTCGGTCCCTTGAAACATCGCCGTTCATCATCTGGATTCGGTCAACAAGTGAGGCAAACAACTCAACATTCTCTTTCTCCGTTTGGGTTAGAGTGTTTGATGGAGTCACAGAAGCTCGCTGGGGGTCAAGAATAAGGGTTCAGGGTTTAACAGTCATGACTAATTGATGAGCAGATGATAAAAAAAAAAGTCCACAAGCACACAAAGTTCATGTACCTCGGTATCAATAGTGTAAGTATATGTCCCATAGGCTGATTGACGCTCATTCGTATAAGTGGAAGTAGAAGCTCCACTCAAATTGGTTTCTCGCAACGAGGCTTCAATAGCAGCCAGTAAATCTGTATCTTCCACGTCGCTACCATGCGCCACATCTGTCGTTTTTGTAGGTTCTGGCTCTTTATGCGTTGAGGGTTTATAACCTGGTTGAGTATTAACCTCTTTCAGCGATAGTTCAATTGCTCTCTTCAAATCCTCATCCTCACTCAAAGGGTTTGGTGGCTGCACCATAGATGGTTTCGAGCTACTGCTTTGAGCCGGTTTGCTGGTAGCTGGAACAAGCTCAGCAGGCCCACCTAGGCTATTGATATCGTAAACAGGTGTGCCCTTACCACCCATTTTCCTCTTAATCCAGCATCCATCGCATACACGCACTTCCTGATTGATTCCAAGGTTTGGTAGAGACATAGTATTGCTCGAGCATTGTCCACAGAAAGTATCTCCACAGTTACGACAGTGGTGCTTCCTATTGGTAAGTGTAAATGCTGTTCTACAGCGTGTGCACACATCCGAATCCGTCCAATCTGGAGGCTACATTAACGAACAGCAAGAAATAGTCGGTGTTAACCACAAGAAAATTCCTTGATCCTCTATCCGTTCCAAGAGAATGTTCATCCTTACTGCTGCGGTTTCCACAAGGGCTGCACCGACATTATCGGCAGGCGGAAATTTATACCCTTCATGTTGGAGAACCATGTAAGTGTCACAGACATATCCTAGGCTTGGACTTCCTCTGAAAAGATGTCCCCATGACTGCAGCAATGCTAAGATCTTAGTTTTCACCTCAGGATTGCAACCAGCCTAAAATGAAAAAACGTTAGCTGAAGCTCAAAATTCAAGCCATATTCTAATCGAAAGTAGAAGGAAGAAAAAGAAATGCCTTACAGGTGTTTTGAGAATAGATACCATATTGTCAATGAATTCTCTAGAGGCGACTTCGACAAGAAAGTGCCGACCTCCATTCTTCACACAGGCATCTGTCAGCTAATATATACAATAATGAAAGTCAAAAAAAAAAAGTCAAAGTCAGTGTTAGTGATCGCCAAGACATCTGTTTTATCCTGTGCAAACTTAGTGATAAATATCAAAATGGGCAATCTGTAGAATAAGAACGTACACCCAGGGCAAGTAGTTGAACATTAGGATTTTTATGGCTAATACGGCGCTTGAGTGCCTTTGCAGCGTCTTTTGGTGAGACCTGCTTGGACCTGATTTGATCGCATATCTCCAGATTCTGTGCGAAGTCTTCTATTCCTGCAGGCAAGTTCTCTGAGGTTGCCTTGTCTATAATGTCATAAAAACAAAGAGAAGGTTTAAGCTCGAGGAATGTGAGTCCTATGTTGACCATGTTTCATGACTAAGACTTTACATGCATTGAAAGAATGAAGCACATGAAGCATACCAACGAGTTCATCAATGGCGGATGTAGTTCTTAGCCAACTGCTCATTTTTATTTTTGGGGCTGTAATAAAACAAGTGAGATTATAAGAACAGTAGCGAAAATAGGGATAGAAAGAAAAAAAAGAAAAGTGTGGGTGAGAGAGGTATAATGAGACATGAAACTCAAAAAGTGAAAGATGCAAAAAATGACGTGCAGGGACAACACATCGCCGTTTTAGTCGCGAGAGCACAGACATGATCAACGTGGAGCAATCAGAAGGAGCCACTTGTGGCTGCGCAAAGAGTGAGATCAGTGAAGGCGCGTATAGTTCAGGAAGACTATCATCCTCATCAATATCCACCAAAACCCAATATCCAAGCGTTCCCACATCGACGGCAGGTATATTACAGCATCTGATCATTAATATGATACATGTTATTTTCTAAAACATCTCAAAAGCTATATAGGCCAGACCAAATGTGCTCAAAATGTCAACGAGCTGCGCCAGAGCGTACAGCGTCGTCAGTTTGAGTAACAGTCTGGCTTCACGTCGAAGTTCATGGAATTGAAGTCCTAATCCAATGCTGACAAAGCTCATGGTTGAGAACCATTCGCCTACCATGAATGAGAAAGAGTTGACCTCGGCCCTGTCCTCCATCGGTACAATTGTGTTGAATAGGATCGCTGTCACTATAAAGCCCAGCACAAACTTGGGAAACCGATTCCAAAGCAAGGTCTGGTAAGGAACTGGCTTAAAGTCAGACTTGGATCGGAGGACATCGTCTTGCAATGAATTATGCAGCGCCCGCATGCGTCGTTCTTCTCGCTGAGTCCATACTGCAGCTACGCCTACGGAAATAGGCCCAATCAGCATGTTCTGGACCATTTTAACGACAGCGGAAGTCTCAACCGCGACATTCCCAGAATCACCATAGATGGTTGCGGCAGCAATAACTGCGCCAGTCGAATCAACGCAACCTCCGAACCAGGCGCCAGCAACTTTAGCACTTATACCAACCGCTTTGGCAATATAAGGTAAAGCAATAATAGAGGGAATGGTGAAGACAGAAATAATAGCGATGGGTAGATCAGATTTGCTACCGGCGCCGAGAGAGGCCGAAAGAGCAATGGCAGCAGACGAGCCACAAATAAAAGTCGCACCGCTCATGATCATGGAGGTTTGTAGGTCAATGCGAAGCCATGTCGTGCCCACAAGCGCAACCAGGATAAACAGTGAAGGGGTATCAATCCATGAGACAAAGATGGCTCTAGGTGCCAGTGGCTTAAGCACAGAGAAATCAATGCTGTTCAGTAGTAAAAAAAAAAAAAAAAAAAAATTGTGGGTATGTAGAATGAATGGCGAAAAATGGCGCGATCATTAAATCAGATGTGATGCATTTTTTAACGGTCACCAAAAATTTGTCAAAGGGCTAAGCACAAATATATATTTTGACATTACCACAGAAGAACAAGTGAGATAGCGATGTAGAGCTCTGTCTGCTGAGCAATCTTGAGCCAACCTGGTAGCGACTTGGATCGTCCATCTGGTAAAGGCGCCCCAGCCATAATGTTTCTTAATAATGTTCCAAATAAAATGGCCCATATTGAATCACCCAAACTGGCGCTCTTAATGTTTCTCTGAGCAGCTAGCCATTTGCTGAGAAAGGAGAGGGAGTATATGACTGCAAACCCTTTGTAAAACTTGCTCCAGTTTTTGACCTGGACTGCCCACAGTGCAAGCCAAACCAAGAAGCCCTGTAAAGGGAATAGAACAAGAAGGTCCAAATTGGCCTTGCCATTCAAAGAATCAAATGGATTGGAGGTCCAGGGGGCAAAGTGAGCTGCTGGGATCTTGTTATGAACAGCGATCGCGACAAGAGCAAAAAGAAAGAGTCCAATCCAGCAAGGCCACCAATCTTCATGGTTCCAGCCCATTAGCCAGGAGTGTCGATCCAAGAAAGCATGGAGTCGAGATCGAGGATAAATTGATACATTTGAGGCTATTGAGGGATCATGCGTGCCCATTTTATCGCTCTTCCCCTTCCTTGGGACGTTGGGTGAGTCCATGGCTTCATCAATTGTACAAGACGAAGGGGTTGATGAAGAAGCAATAGAAATGGCCATAGAGTTGTGAGAGATCAATGGCGGTCTTGAGTGGTGTGTGTATGAGGGTATCGATGATGTATTGCTGGCGTGGGTGTCTAGTACGGGCAATTCGCCAGGGTTGTGTTCGCCGATCGGCGTTGACATTTTTGTAAAGAATGAAGAATGAATGCGAGAGTAATGAATTCAGGAACAATAAAAAAAGGAGCGCAGTTTATTTGTGGGGTGGAATGCTCGGCCCTCACAATGACTGCCTTCCACAGCTGATTTGCTGAAAATGAAACGGGTAAACAGATTTGTTTAGGCCTTCTTCCAGTAGATTGAGAATGTCAGGCTGTCTCTGCCCTTTTCTTATACTATCGTGTGTTATCGGCAATGCTCTAGATGAAATACTCAACATTTACCCTGTCTTTTTAATAGCTACTTTCCTATTTTAAAGAGATGAACAATAAAAAAGACATGTATTAAACGTGGCTGTGTCTGGCACCACACAACTGTTGAGTGTTTTTCAACTTTTTCTAAACCCATATCACGTGTAGGGCCACAAGCAATGACGCACCAGACAGAAAAAAGGAAAGGACTAAAACAAAATGATAGTTGCAGCCATGATCTATTTCTGACAGTCTTGGCAGTTTCATTTGAGCTTATTTAAATATCGCCTTCATCCTCCAAAATTTGCTTCATACTCTCAGTCTCATCACCATAATCATGTCGCAAGATAAAGGCTACTACGCTTCTCAGCCTCCACAGTATCCTCAGCAGGTCCAACCAGCCTATGGACAACCCGCGTATGGTCAGGCAGCTTCATATCAACCCGGGTATCCCCCTCAATCTGGATACGACCAGCCCGGCTATCCACAATCGAACACTATGGGCGGTTACTATGCTCAACGTAAGGACTCTTTACAATATATCTTTATTATTTTTCTTTTATTTGTACTTGATGGGTACGAGTGTTTTCTGTCATCCTGTCGCTGGAAAAGTCTTCGTATCGTCAACTTACATCCTGCGGTTGTCTGACATTGAACTCCCGTAGCTTCACCTCAACCTGGCATGTACCAACAACAGCCGCCTCCACCCCAAAACAGCAAAAAGGATGATATATGTTTCGGATGGTAAGTGTTGACTGTACTAATGAACGTCCATGTTCAGAATGAATGCAGGCCAAGTCGTGAATGGAATTGGGCTGATCTACTTTGTGCTCTGTTTTTGGTTGTTCTGTGCGGAGATTTTTGAGAGCAATAAAAAATAAGAACATTCTTTGTCGATCTCATGAACGTCTTGTTCATTTTTCACAAACGGGGTTGTTTTGGTCTGCAGTACAATTCTCAGCGATCCCACTCTCCCGATAAATGACCCTGCATCGTTAACCTCTAGTCCTGTGATTTTCCTTATTCTTATTATCCCTAAAAGAGCGAGTCAGGAAAAGGAAAGTTTTTTCTTGCAGGTGAAAGCAAATCTCTTGTTTAGAAGGGAGAAGAGCCCTTATTTGGTTACTGAGCTAACAAAATGGAAGGGAATTAATGCAAAGGGTTTATATGACCTTAGTTATGGAATTGTCCTATCCAAGGCATTTGATCTCTCTCTTGCTCTTGCACTTGGGACAAAGGAAATGCGACAGTTTAGTGTATATACTGAGAATGAATAGAAGACAAAGGTTTGGATAGGTCAGGTTTAGGGACAGAGGCCTGTTTATGCCTGCGACAGGACAACTTGGATCCCTCAAGAGATTAGATTGGGAGTAAAGACTAATGCAATCATTTTCTTTTGTCGTTTTCTAAATAGCGCACTTGGAACCTGCTTGTGCTGCTGTCTCGATGTAAGTCGATTACTCCATTTACTTTATTCTATGCCTAAATATATGTCGCTTTTATCACTCACACTCTCTGTCTCGCTCTTCTTTCTAGGGTTGTTGCGATTGAGTTATATGTATAAGAAAGATGAAACAAGCCAAGAGCTGAACGGAAGTGGATGATGTTTATTTTTGTTTTATAGTGTGATATTTCTAGATATTAAAGTTGAGTGACGAAGAAACAGAGGATAAAAAATAAGGTGACTCCGATGGTGATGATGGTGATGATGGTGATGCCGATGGTGAATATTTTTAGGTTGACCACATCCAAAGTGATGAATCGAGGCTGCCATCCTCTACTATAAACTTGAGCCCCACAAGCGGCGACCGGATGCCTTTCTTTTACTACTTTGCTATTTGAACCCTAAAAGTGCAAACGAGATATAGAGACTGATGAGTTAGAAAGCTATAGCGATAGATGTTGTCACAGACATCATCGAAACAAATATGAGTGGTTAATTTGTGGACTGAGCAAACCTTAAGCATTGATATGACGAGCAGCAGTGTACCCTTAATTTCCCCTGTAAACTAGATTTGTTCATCTTACAGGAATAAGAAACATGACGACAGAAATACTGTCCAAGTTTCTCCGAAATTCTCTATGGTCTTAACCCGATGCGTTGTCAGTGTCATAAGCATGACACGAGACAATTACCTCGTTGATGTAAGCGATATAAATATAATTTTATTACAACATTGGATTCATAAGACCCGCCATTTATGTAATTCATGCTACGTATCGTCCTCCTATTTTGTTCTACATACCACGCTCACGGTAACGTCCTGCGGACGCTCTGTTGTTCTCACCATGATCATAATGGAACCAGTTGTCATTCGAGTAAATGGATGCATGATTGTGGTGTCGATATTGCCCTCCAAAATCACGTCCTTGCCGGTCATGGTAGTAGTTATATCCCTTCGTGGGCTCGTGGGCAAACTTTCCATTCAGCTCGTTCTCGAAGCGGTCTTTGCCTTGCTCAAAACGATCTTTTAACTCATCTGCTTTGTCAGATAACCAGGAGCGGCTGTACTGAGCCTTTTCTCCTACGGCGTCCTTCAAGTGACCCATACCATGCTCCGCGTATTGCTTCGCCTGGTTGAGCTGCTCCTTAGCTTGGTCACTTGAGTTAGAGCCGGCCTCCCGCCAAGATGAGGCTGATGATGACGATGATCTACTAGGGTGCGAAAAGGTGCTTTGACGGTTGTCATCGTAATATTCATAGGGATCAGCTGGACTCTTGGGTTGCCACCAGTGCTTGCCCTCCTTAGCAGCCTCAGTCACGGAGGGACGTTGTGTATCAAATTGATCATAGCGTGGCTGATACCTGTATCCACGACCAGCGTACTCTTCTTTTTCGTCATGGTGGTCGCGGTGACCACCATGGTCTTCAAAGGGGCCCCATCGAGCAGCAGCACTGGATCTGCCTGGAACACGATCGTCGTCAGGCCCCCATCTCGAGCGGGCATCATCAACATCACGCTTAGCCCTGTGGAGCTGATGGCGACCACGGTCCCACATATCCTCGCCCTTGTTGTAAACATCACGCTTTGCGTCGTGGAGGTAGTCCTCAGAAGACTCACGGAATTCGCGACCGCGCCTCTTAAGATCATGGCGAGCTTGATCGAACCGATCCTCAGCATCTCGACCCATCTTGCGCCAGTCATGACGGTGGTCCTGAGCCCAATCATCCGATCGATCCTTCATATCCTCAAAGCGATCATGCATGTCACGGGAGCGGTCCCGGACCCAATCCCGAGTTTGGTCCTTCCATCGCTCACCATTGTATTGGCCATGGCTCGTGCCCCGATTCCAGGCGTCCTGCGCCTCATCACGAGCGTTTTCCCAGCCTTGACGAGCCTTATCCTTCAAACGATCAAACCCATGCTCCATCTCTCCCTTATCAGTATTATTATTTAACTCATGGGTCTTTTCATCGAACCATTCACGAGTATTCCTGCCCTGCTCACGCATAGTGCGCTTCATATCCTTGGCCGACTTTTCTGCAGCCTTCTTTTCGGATTGCCACCAATCTTTTGCCTGGTGAGCTTTGTCTTCCACCTGGTCTTGGACCTTGTCCTTGGCATCCCCGAGCTGGCTGGCTATATCCTTAGATTTAGACTTGATATCCTTGGCAACATTCTTTGATCTGGACTTTACATCCTCGGCTACTTCTTCAGTCTTGTCTCTGAGATCATGGGCCAACTCTACAGACTTTTCTTTAGCGCTGTTCAAGGTCTTGGATGTCTTGTCAGTCAGCTCCGCGGTCTTATCCGAGACCTCATGAGCCGCATCCTTGGCTCCGTGGATGACACTATCTGCAGCAGCTGTGAGTCCGTGCGTCGTGTCAACAACCGACTGTTTTGCATGCAGGTACTTATGCTGCCACTCACGCGACATCTGACTGTAGTCATACGTTCGCAAGCCGTTAATAACATTGTTAGTTGTCTTAGGGATGCAGTATGCGGCAGCTCCAAGAGCTAGAGCCACAGGGGAGAAGAAGCGGAATACGAAATTGCCTGGATCATTGAGAATACGAAAAAAAAAAAAAAAAAAAAAAAAAAAAAATTAGCATTCACAAGCTTTTACATACATCTGGTTTAATAAAGGATACAAAAAAGGCTTACTTTTGCGTGCGATAAAAGATCCCGTCATTCCAGCAATAGTGACATAGATCAATGCAGGGACAAGAGGCTCTTCCACATATGCGCCACGGAAGCGCTCCATTCTTCCACTAAATTGGGGATGAGGCTGGTCGGCTCTATAGTCATTCGAGGAAAAGAATGTGGACTCACCGCGCCCATGATTTTTCCCCGACCTAGGTGACGAAGATGAAGACGGTGGCGAATCGGCCATCTCAAGAACATGATCTGCGAAGCCTTGGACGTGCTCCTTCAAGTGCTCCGCCTCTGCTTGGACGGAAGGATCCTGCATTTAGAAAGCATAAAGAATATGAATATGGAGAGAGAGAAAAAAAAAGCCATCGATCCCAATAATTGTTTTATTTTATTTTATTTTAACCCAGCCGGGAATATGACTCATAGACTTACGTGCTGGCAATACGAAGTCTTGGTAGCAAGACTACCAGCAGCGGCGATTGCAGCAGTCGAAGCGACGAGTAAGGAGTTCTATTTACAATGTAATATGTTAATTTGAATTTCCTTTTCTTTTCTTTTTAAAGATAATTGTGTCGATTCACCAAAACTTGGTCTCTTACGTTACGTGAGCGCTGGGAAGCGGCCAGAGACTGGAGCTTGACTCTATACATTTGTGAGAGGCGAACTCTGTTCTCGTAATATTAACAGAAGTAATATATGCGGTGTGAGAGAGAGTTGTATATTGGTGATAGGAATGATATGCGTGTGTTTAAAACGATCAAAGCTGGCTTCGATGGGAAGAGGAAAAGATGAGGGATGTTGAATGAGAGGGTGTAAAAGGTGGGTTCAAAAGAAAAGAAAGGATGAATCATGGATGCTTTAGTCTTTATTTTTCCAAGTGTAGATGGAATAATGAGCAAAAAAATGTCTTGCTTATCCATGGTCTCAGAAGTGATAAATTCTCTACAAGTGCACGGTGTTACTTACATTACAATTATGCATCAGTATGACGATAAACAACAAACCGAGCTAAAATACTGTGTGTAAATGTGGAGCGTCATTCCAACTAATATCAACTGTTTACTGTCTATGGCCGTTGCATCTGCACACATCCATTAGCGCGTTTATTGCGCCACCAAAATGAATTTTGCCAGGGTCCAGCTATCTTGAACTGTCCAATAGGGGACAAGAGTAACCATGTTGAGAGTTTGACCCTCACCATTGGTTCACTTTTGGGAGAAATAAACAAAAAAAAAAAAAAAAAAAACAAACAAAATTCGCCTTCCTCTTCCTCTCACTTTGGCAACAATCGACTGTCCTCCTCTTTCTTCATATCCGTCTTTGTAGGAAAAGAGATGAACATCGACGTTGATCAGCCTTTCCCTGACAAAGCAGACTCTCTGCTCTCCGCCACTTCTATACCCATTCACCCGCTTCTCACTCCGCCTTTAGACAATCTACAAGATACCACATTCCCCCTTATTAGATCAGACGATGGCTCCGTCATCAAAACTACTGTCAGTGCTGCTGCTAATGCCACTACAACCTCAGCGTCAACACATTTATTCCCTGTTAAGGTCGCTCTTTTACCTAACAAAGGTCGCTCCTATATTGCCACTCGGAAAATCCTTCCAAATGAACTCGTTTTTGTTGCAGAGGCATATGGCACCACTATGTGTGATCCCTGGCTAGATTGTGGGGTCTGTCACTACTGCTGGACGTCTATTCGTCATAACAAGGCGCAGATCCGGTTGTCCAGCAGCGGAACCAGCAGTAGAGTCGCAAAAAAACATGGCGCTGTGATGGTGTTTTGTGACGAAACATGCTTACAGTTATATGGGCCAGAAACGGCTAGAATGATATGTCGAGTAGAGCAAAAAGTTCGTAGGACATGGAGTGATACGATTGCAAGGCACTGGAAGCTGGTGTGGAAACCCATACAGCCACTACAGCAACAACAAGAGAAGGAAGGGGCTGCTACTGTTACTTCTAGTACAACGACAGTGCCAATATTAGCTACGCCTACAATGCTATTGCATTATCCAGGCTTGATCCAACAGGCGCTTTTGTTGGCAAATACCAGAACTGCTGTTTTAAATCTAAAGGATCAAGATTTGAAATGCTTCTTAGATTGTATCTGGAACGCTTTGGATAGTCTTATTGATGAACAGGAGTCCATTATCAGTACTAGTGGGCAAGACAAAGGCGGGCGCAAGGGTAAAAAACTACTGGCTCGGTCTCCAACGCAAATTGAAGCACTATTTCCTAAGCTTGCTGCTTGTCTTTTAGGAGGGAACAATCCAACACTTACAATTGCTTCAAAGACCTCGGATGATGACTGCGAGATCATTCGATTAATTGCGGATGTGCTTTTTCGACGGCAGCAAGATATGAGAGTACAACAAAAATTGACTGTAGCTATTAGCTCGGAGCAGCAGCAGCAACAACCAGCAAGCATTCCTGGAGAGCCAGCAACATTTGTAGACTATTGTGCGATGCAATCAAACGAACTTGTTCTGTTGCGCCAACAGCTTAGCCTCAACGTGAGTGAGCACAGTAATATTGACGACGAAGACGGTAACCAACAACTCGTAGATTCAGAGGCGTCTGAACAACCGACAAAACTTAAATATAGCCATAACAACCATATGGCCTCATGGCATCATTTAATGTCAATTCTGCCCACACATCTTCTGAACTGTTTTTACATCTATATGCGTCTCCGCGACGCTTTCCTACTTCTCAAACTCGAAGATCAAAAGAATCAACCATATGCAGATAATGAGAGTGAAGATGGCAATAGCAATTCTAACGACAATGACAGCGACGAGAATTATGACAATCCCGAAAGCAACAAGTTCACAATTAACAGCATGCTCTTTCGCACTATCCTATTTGCAGAGGTCGCCAACTCTTTTGGTATCCGTAATTTATCAGATGAACTGCAAGGTTTCGCTGTGTTCCCTAAGGCCTGCTTCTTTAACCACTCGTGTCGACCCAACATCGAGAAGAAGAGACGTCAGGGCAATCGCGCAAGACAGATGGAATACTGGAGCACTTGCGTGATTGAGGAAGGAGAGGAGTGCTGTATCAGCTATGGCGATATCTCGGAAGGGAGACAGGAACGTCAGGCTCGATTAGAAAGCATGTACTTCTTTAAGTGCTCATGCTCTAGATGTGTGGAAGAGACAGAGGCATAAAAGTATCTCCTCTAATTTTAAATACCATGGAACTTTTTTTTTTTTTTTTTTTTTTGTAATAAATAATCCAACAACTCTTGTTTATTTCGTTATTTTAATCAAGCATTGAACGTGTCACATTGAAATAGTTCCAAAAAAAGAAAAAAATCCAGTGATAGAAGTTCTCAGGTTGAGAATGCTTCATTTCACTTTTTATTGCAGGTGTTCTTGTGAGTCGAGTTCCAATGCTTGATTTGGCAGGGCCTCGAGCAGTACGCAACTTTGTTGCACTTGTTGCACTTGATAAGGGGTTTAGGCTTCAACTCTGGAGAGCGATCATCGTTTGCAACATTGTCAGGACGACCGCAATTGGCACAGTGGGAGATGGCAGGATTCTTGAATGATTTTTTAAGCGTCTCCGATGCCTCCAACAGAGCAGGAGTCGGGTCGTTCGTAAGAATGCCGTTGCGACCAGCGCTACGAGCCTGGAAGGCCATGATAGCAGTACGTTTAATCTCGTTCAAAGCAGTAGAAACTCCATAGAGCTCTTTGAAACGAACATCAGCCTCCTGTGCCTTCTGATAGTATTGTTGGGCTTCTTTGAGGACCGCAGCCTGCTTTAACGCTTGGTTGCTCTTCTTCTTGGCCGCGCCTGAAGGAGCAGTCTGAAGAGTGAGATTTGCAAGCGCATAATATGCATTAGGAAGGGTACGAGAGTCTGTGTGAGCCGCCTCAACAAATGCCTTGAAATGTTGGATAGCATTCTGCGCTTGATGTGTTGCATAATAGACGTTGCCGAGCATCGAATGAATTTCGATCAGTTCTGGAGTGAGTTGGAGCACTTGCTCCAAGTCTTCTGTGCAAGCCTAACGATAAAAAAATATGTATGTATATAGATCAGAAATCCAAGTTGAATCAGGCCAAGGAAATGACCCAGAACGTATATCACTACTGTCTGGCGTTTTTTATCCTTTTATTACCTTATAATCACGCATGGCCATGTGGCAGTTGGCACGGAACTCGAGCATACGTGGGCGAAGGGTCTCAAACTCTTTGATTGCAAAACCAAGGGTCTGTTGGCAATGAGCGAACTGCTGTCCACTAAATAAAATCCAGATGACTATAAATATATATCATGAATTAATGACCATGTAAATTTTAAAGTTCGTTTCCAAACCAGATCATCAAATGAGATTCTACCAACACGCATAGTTATAAGTAAACACACATCCTTAATTGACACTTTTGGTCTTAGAAATTGTCCATGAATCTGTTCGATAAGGATGACAAACGGTGGATGTGGCCTTCCATTCTTCATGCCTTCTCTTATTAGTGCAGCACTGAGATTCTTCCCCCTTTTTCTTTGTTGAAAAATACAATGAAAAATATAACCCCTTGGAGAAGAAAACTAATTATGTCATCAACAGTGGCCAGATCAGTGTCAGTGTTGCGGGAAGATGAACATACCAAAGACGACAGAGTCCCTGGTGTAGATGGTTGTTTGCTGTTCTGCTCCTGGCTCCTCAGACTCTCCTGTGGAAGTCGAGGTGCCTTCAGGATTGTACTTCTGAACGTAGGCTTCATACTGCTCTGCGAGTTTGAGAACTCGCTGGCTCATGGCGCAAGCTTTCTCGTCCATGAGGAAGGCCTTCATCAAATCTGAAGTAATTGAGACGATCTCATCTTTATGCTTCTCAATCAGTTCAGGGTCTGAACCCTCGGGGATTTTACTAAGGCGCTCCATGGCATCCAAGAAAATCTTTTTGGCTTCAAAATATGTCTATTATGAAATCCCATTGTTTATAACTATTATTGTTCATATTGTTATTCATTAAAGAGACACTATGGCCAGTAGATCAACCGTAACGGAGATTTGCCCTTTGAAGACTATCTATTCAAACTCTTACCTTCACGAGAGGATCACCGGTCTGATCTTTTGTACCGCGAAGCTCCAAAAGATCATAATCATTACGTCCCTGAGGTTCAGTGACTTCAGTATGCTCATGCTTGCAGTTTTCGTCGTGGACGTGATCATTAGCCTTTTCTTCGTCGTTGAGCTCGATATTATGAGTCTTTTCAGTGATATCAGCTACGGTGAAGGTGTCCTTGTCAACGATATCTGACTGAGGCTTTTGTTCTGTCATTATGGTTTGTTAAAATGAGAATTACTAAATGAATTCGATGAAGTGGGAGAACAAAAGAAGAGAAGTGATGGGAAAAAAGAATGGAATGGAATGTAGAATATTAAAAAACAGGTGAGTCAAGTGCATGTCCAAAGCATGTCAATAATCAAGGCGTGTGACTTGAATCCACTTCACCAACACACCTCTTCGCACATAATCTCTCCCTTTCCCCTTTCCCCTTTCTCTCTCTCACACACACTCTTTAACACATTCCTCGACAACTAATACAATTACAACATTGCGACCACACTTCCAATTACGGCGCCATGATCTCATTTCTACTCATTCTCTTCCTATGGTGCATCGCTGCTTATGTCACACGGGGTTATTGGCTGCCCAAGGTTGAAGAGCTACGGGACCGACTCCGTTACTCTCGACTGCCTTTCTTCCGCTCGGACGAGGACAGCACCTTCGAACAAAGCATTGAAGAGGGCCTCTCTTCCTCTACCTTTGACTTGCACCAAAACTTACTTGATGGAGGTAATGTCTTCACTCATGCTACTTTTATTTATTTCATGGCAATGCTAAATTATACAAATTGTTCTAATGCTTTGTCTTCAAAATATTCTTTGGAAACAACAGATGGACGCCAAGGATTGGAAAATGCAAATGAGATTCGCAGAATTATGAAGAAACACCGTTGCAACTTTGACCAGGCTCGCTTGATTTATCAGCAAAATCAGATGAGGGCTAACGGGATTGATCCTCAAACAGGAGTTCCCATTGACCCAAAGGCTGTCTATTTTAAATAACCCAACTATCCTACTCGCTTCATTGCGCGGATACATCTTCCTTTCTACTTATGACTAATGATATCCTTCTGTACCAGTGTACCAGTATGCTCTTTAAAAAATAAAAAAGCTCATCATGTAAAAATATTAACCTCACTGTTTTCTTGTGATTAATTTTGGGCGCGCAATGCTTTGCTGCTAATGAAATTTGAAGAGAAGAGCCATCATGGTGTTCACCCCGGGGAAAGAGTCACGTGAAATTGGTTATATATATTGCAGGACATAATTTTTTCCTCTTCTCATTTTCCGTTACAATGAAATTTTTTTCCAAGGTTCACTCTAATAGTGCTTCGACTTTTGTCTCGCCAGAGGGTCTTCATATCATTCTATCTACTACAAAAAACGGTCAAACTCAATGTTATGGCCCTGGATCAGTCATCCAAGGGAGAGTTCATGTCAATCTCAACAGACCCATCTTCTCTCCCTGCCAACTGCGAGTCATTTTCACCTGCAATCAAACCATCCTACCGTCTAAATCTGGTTTCGATTCTAGTAGCAGCAGCAGTCAATCTTCACCTTCAATAGCCTCCAGATCTCTTATTCGAAGGTGTTCGCACAGCCCTCAAGGCAAGGGTAACTCGTCCTTGGTGTTTGAGGTGGAACACCTTCTCCTTCAAAACCAGATCTTGCCTGCATGCAGGAGACAAGGCATTTTTCATTTCTTAATCAAGCTTCCACTATGCAATTTCCCACCAAGCATTCAGGTGGTTTTTTATCTTTACACTGGGCCGAATGGATAACCTGTGTGTGTACGACGACATCGGGTTTGTCATACAACTTTTTAATGTCTCTGACTGACGAAATAAATGTCACACGCACTTCGTTTCCTTGTTTGGCAATTTAGACTGGAGATCGGACCATCTCTTATTCCATCTGCGCCCACTTGGGTTTCGAAACTGAACCGGGTAATACATCATCGTGGTCCTGGGTTTCATCCCATGCTACTAACGTCATGTACCTGCCGATGGTTCCGATGACTCTTCCAACAGCCAGTGTTAAACGTGCCACTGCTACAACTACTGCTCCCTCAACTGTATTTCGATACAGCACTACCATAGGGACAACTAATGAGGCCCATGCCCAAATAGTAGTTGATTATACATCCATGACCCCGCATGCAGAAATACGTGGTTCTATCAAGAGCATCGCAGGTGTCCGCATTTGTAAGTTTTTCCATTCACCCATTTCCAACCAAACTCCGCAATTTTTGTCCACCTGAACAAAATTGCTCAATTTAGTTCCTCCTGTCCGTATTTGGAAGCCTATGGTATTCCCACATGTCATCCAAACATCAGCTTTCTCTTGAGGACTGATCACATACTACACCTTTTTTATACCTCAGGTGAAACTGCAGCTCTGGTGCTCAGGATAGACAATCAATCCCAAATTGATCTGAGGTCTATACACCTGGCACTCGTTAGATGTGTATCATTTGCGAGCGAACTTTCAGATGCTTCACACGCATCCTCCACTATTTATGACTATACCCCACCAGAGCCCACCATTGTCCACAATGCAACTATCCCGATCGCTAAGGTCTCAAACGCAAATTCATCATGGAGCCAGCAACTGCAGCTCCGATTACCGTTCAGTACGGAAATAGTCCCAACCATCAATGCCTCCGTTACGCCATTGCTAAGAGTCGATTACTTTATCTTGGTATCCATTCCTGTCCCACAGCGTCACAACAATCTCGTCAGCCGCTTCACTTCAAGTACCCGTAAGCGTCCTACGATTGACTTGTCTATTTTCAATCGTTCAATATCCTCCTCCTTTCGGGAACGACTTTCAACTGATACTCCTAGCCCAAATATCTCCCATACTGATAATGATACATATGAGCAACTTCACCAACTCTTGCTTTCCCCTGAGCCAACAGTCTTGTCAGCGATTAAAGGAGCACCAATGGCACTTCAATTTCCTCCAATCCCAATTTTGGTTGGCACTATCCCGTCCATAGCCTCACAACGGAAGTCCCCATGACTTATCTTTCACAACCCATCCTTCAGCTGTTATGTTTTTTTTGCTTGTCCATCACAAATTAATTTTTCTTTAGCACATAAAATAAAATGAAAACTTTGCGGAGCACAAACCATCGTCCATGGTGCGCGGGCGCAAGTCCAATTCACTGTTTAATTATACACTATCATGCAAAACTGATTCAATAATTCATTCCCATGTGCATTTCTTTTTTTTCATTCCTAGAAACCGTATATGCATACACCACTCATACTTTGGTTTAATAAAGCTCCCGTCTTCTTCTACGTCATAGTGATGCGTTGTGACATTAGCTTGTCTCATTTGAATAGCTAAGGGCTTTTTTGTTCATGCAGGTCATTGAATCAGTTTCACATGTGCCCATTCGGTGGCCAAAGATCTTTATTCTTTTGTGAGCCATAACCTTACATCAATAAGTAGTATTCCAACCATGGGCATCACTGACAGCTTGGAGTCTCTTATGGATACCTATGATGAGTTTGCGGCAGAAGTCCACTGGGATCCTGTACCATTCAACCGATATTCGCTCCCATAGTTCATCACAGCTCTTAGCTCGCTCCGGATACCTAGAGAGCCGCCTATCCAATTCTGCCCACATGTGTTCAATAGGGTTGAGGTCAGGGGATTGTGCTGGCCACTCTAGAAGTGTACCTTCCTCTTCTGTCAGATGTACTGACTCCAAATACTTCGTAACAATCTTCGCCGTGTGCTTCGAGTCATTGTCGTGCTGAAAGACGATATCGCTTTTAGTTAGGCCCCAGTCATCAAGCGACATCTGTAGATTCTCCTGGAGTAGTTTGATGTAAAGTTGTGCGTCCATATTATTGTCAATCTTTGCAATGTATCCAGGTCCGTACCATGAGAAGCATGACCACACTTTAACGTTACCACCCCCAAACTTGACAGTGCCTTGCACCGACCTGCGAGTGAGGCGCCCCGGATTGTCGTCCCAGATCCACTGCACGCCATCAGAGCAGATTCGGTTTATTTACGATTCATCTGACCAAATAACCTTTTTCCAATCTTCCAGAGTCCATTCCTTATACTTGTTGAGAAAATGCAAACGGGCTTTAATATGCCGTCGACGTAAAGCTGGCTTATGTACACGCCTCTTTGCTGTCAATCCTAACTCCTTGAGCCGTCGTCTAACGGTGGTCTCAGAAACAGCCGCTGGTATGAGCTGGTTGGCTCTGACGGTGGCCTCAACTGCAGACTTGAGTGTACCTCGTTTCATGTTCACCTTAAGATACTGCATGATACCTCTAGGTACTTTCCTTGGTCGACCGCCTTTATTGACTGGCATGTACTCCTTATTATGTGCATAGATCCTGGTGGCCGTCGCTATTGATATACCAACACTAGCAGCAGTTTCTCTAGTAGACATGCCTCCCATCATTAACCTCCTGGCTTCGTTGACTTTCCTTTGTGGAGTGGGTCTCATATTCTGTGAAGGTATAGTTAAGAGAGACTGAAGCAAGTGTTCATAAAGGAAAGAGAGAAAAGTCCTTTTTTTACTGGCATTAAATGACGTCCAAAAGTTGTCATGGGCAACATATTAGACCACATGTGAAACTGATTCAATGACCTGCATGAACAAAAAAGTCCTTAGCTATTCAAATGAGACAAGCTAATGTCACAACGCATCACTATGACGTAGAAGAAGACGGGAGCTTTATTAAACCAAAGTATGAGTGGTGTATGCATATACGGTTTCTAGGAATGAAAAAAAAGAAATGCACATGGGAATGAATTATTGAATCAGTTTTGCATGATAGTGAGGGAAGGCCTCTATTCATTTTAATTCAATAAATATATTTAAACTTTATTTTGCTTACATTCATTATTCTGATTCAATTCCTTCATTCCTTCATTCATCTGCTGATTCTCTCTCAATAAATGACGATATTCATTAAATAGCTCCAACTGCCTTTGCACAGCGACCCAGCGCTCCATCAGATGAGGGTTATCGATTTCATGTCGAGCATTCATAAACTCTAAATAGTTTTCCATCGATTCCTCTTCATTTATCTCTTGATAATCATGTATGGTTGGACTTGAAGGAGGGGATTCAAGCACATCCTCGATACATTTTTCAGAGTGCGCGGAGTCTTGGGAACTCGAGTCAGAAAGACTGAGATTATAGTCGACATCATCCTCATCGTCTTTCTCTACCTCATCGCCTTCGTAAATGATATCATCTTCCACGTGGGGAATGAAGCGGTGTCTGTACTTTTCGAGAGCCATTATCTTGTGGACAACATCACTATTTAGCTCAGAAGGTCCTTCACAATAGTTCATGATAAGATAGTTAAGCACATTAATGTCCTTTTGTTTGGTGACCTCCTCTTTGTCTCCACCATATTGATTAACAAGCTTGTCTTGAAGTTTGAAGATATGATCTGCTTTTGACTCAATTCCAAGTCAATGCAAATGACTCCTTTGTTCGAAGGTCAAGATGGGAACCTCAGCAAAGCAGTTGCGGATGCAGCCTGGAGTCACTGATTCCCAAGCTCTAGCGATACATGACCAAAATATCGCGTTGGATGGCAAAGCAATAGCTGATTTTTTCTTTGCCCTTACACGCGCCACGGCCTCAAGCATACTACTACTATAAAGGGCTTTGAACGATCTTATAACGCCTGCATCTAGAGGCTGTGTCATTGCCGTCGTGTTCGGAGGAAGCCGAATGACCGTGATGCTCTTGAGCTCAATTGCCTCACAGTCCTTGTGTGCTGGTGCGCTATCAATTAAGAGAGCAATGCGGCGGCCCTGTTCCTGCATGTCATCATCCAGTTGCCTCAACCACTTAATGAACATTGGTTGTCGCATGTAACCTTTACCTGAAAAGTCTGCGTCAATCGTCTTGAAGATGGCCTTGCCTAGACCCACTGGACGGTGCATGGCAAGCACCAAAGGCTTGCGCTTGTCAGACCCCGTCGAATTACTGCAGAATAGAATTGAGACTCTAGCTGACCGAACGATCTTCTTTCCACGAATAGGCCCGGTCTCATGCGTTCTTTTGGACATAGCTGTGAGGAAGAGACCTGTCTCATCACAATTATAGATATCATCAAGCTTGAAATCGGTAAGTTTGGCTTTTATAGCCTCGATGCGATCCTTCACAACCTCCAGGTCCACTGATCCACTTTCGCCATGCCCAATAAAAGATTTAAGGCCATTCCTATTTTTAAAGCGGTGAAGCCATCCTTTCGAAAAATAGCACTGTTTGGGTGCTTGACCTGGAAGAAAAAAGGGCTTCATCTCAGTCCAAATTGCCACTGCTGTCCCTCGTAGACGGTTATCAGTGACATTGAGATCGAGCTCCCTCTCCGCAGCATACCATTCCAGCAGAGCATCCTCTATAGGCTCCATGTTTCGATTAGTTTTGCGCTTCACTGCTTGACTAGCCAGGAGGGGGAGGGAATTCACATCTTGAACATACTCTTCCCTTCGACGATATATCTCTCGTGCCGTGCTGGGACTCATGCCAAAACCTGCTCCAATAGCGGCAATGGAGGCTTTAAACCCTTTTGCTCGTAATCCATCAACAGTCGCAATGAAATCCGCTTTATCGACTAAGGAAAATGATTTTTGTAACCCGTTATGCTTGAGAGATGGTTTCCTTAAGGATTTTCGCTTCAACAGAGGCAAGCACTTGTCAACAGCAGTTTGCTTTCTGACTAAATCGTTAAGCTTCGATTGTGAAGATTGCTTTTTAGACATTGTCTTGTTATTTACTCAAGTATGTTGATGAATAGTGGATAAAAAGTGGTGAAGAAAGAGAGAAAGAATGACTGCACTCTTACACAAAAAATTTCGTCAAATAAAGTTTAAATATATTTATTGAATTAAAATGAATAGAGGCCTTCCCTCACTAACCCGTCGAAAATCAACGGGTTAGTGAGGGAAAACTGTATGTTGTTGAAATGGCTTAGTGTGTTGTGAGGCATGGATAAAGTGGCAACTACTCTCTCTCGATTGCAACAGGCTCAGATGCCAGCAGTCCCCCTACTTGGACGGTGGTCATGGGGACCGAGAACGCACCAACCTCTGCTAGTACCATGACTCCTCGAACCTTGACAATGTGACGGTAGATGGTACCAGAGTCAGCGATGACCTGCACCAATGGTACGACCTCGCCTCCCTGGTTCAGAACAGCTGTCCCAAATCTTGAGAGTCTGTACAGGTCCCAGCCATTCTTCTTCTGATCGTTCTTTTGGCTTGGGCCAGTGACTTCGCCAAAGGCCACCTCTTTCTTCCCAATCACAACCTTGAAGTCCGGGCGATCTGGTTTCACTCCTTGTCGGGTTTGACTTTGTGAATTCGTATTAGGACTGAGTGAAGTGAAGTTATTTAAAAAAAGGTTAGTATCCATCCATCCATTTCAACTAAATCTATTTCCATTGTAATATCTCTGATGCTTACAAATGGGAAAAGATCTCAAGAACTGGGTCATGGGTGAACGCCCTGAGGATAGGGGACACATGATTTGCGACAAGGGTCTCCTCCGAGAGCTCTCTTTGTTCTCTTGCTGGTAGCTCCTCTTTCCTAAATGCAGCAATAAAAGATTTTAATTTTATATAACAAGCGCTACATTCATTTGCGAGAGGTACTGATCGCTTTCCATCCACGTACATTTGTTGAAATAGCCGACGTAGTTTCATGTCTGTTACTCCGTTGAGGGCCACAACAGCCTTTTCGATGTCATTGTCGGCTCGATGCTAAAAAAAAAAAAAAAAAAAAAAAAAAAATTAGCGTTAGATTTAAAACGAATCTTGAATGAACGCCACAGCTCCATGACAACTTACACGAATAGAATGGAGAATCGAAATGTCGGCGTCCAGGTTTTCGATCGGCTCCATATTCGTCGATAGAGAGTCTCGTATCTTCTGCAGGCACTTCTTGCTGAAGATCTTTCCCATCATGGTGGTGGGGTGCCAAGGAGCGAACGTGCCTGCCAGGATCCTAATTGATAGCAAAAGAGCAGCTACTATTGTGAACAGAATCAAATCGCTGGCCACATTAATTTTCTAGATTATTATATTGGTATCCTTACATGACATCTGCTGGCTCGGACTTTTTAAGCTCTTTCGCTCGTAACGCTTGGATGGACAGCTCCTTATATTTGTCGGTCATGCAGGCCACACAGCATCCATCAAGGACCCACTAATCGATAGGATAGATATATGCAGAAGATAAAAGAATGAGACTCAGCCAGCTAAATTGGGCGATGCATTCGAAATATCAAAGGCTGCTTACAAGACTGCAATCTCTGTGCTTGACAGAATTAATCATCGCTACCAACGCATCGGTCTCACCCAAATCAAGACTGTCATCTCTGTGTACTGAATCAGAAGACTGGAATAGATACTCGTAGTTAACCACTGTGGTCATTTGAGCAAACACACGTCATTGCGGACAAAGTATGCTCTGGTATCAATGAAATAAACATACGTATGCTTGCAGGTGGTGAGCCTTCGAACGACTCTCGATCTCGTTTTCGGCTAGTTGTTGGTGAGCATTCGTTTGCCAGTGTGCTCGGTTTGGAAAGAGATGGGTGGTTGTCCCCGAGTACGAGCTTTCTTGCCTTTGGGACACTTCCTACAACTATATCTGAAGCAATCTGTGTGGTGGCTTCCAATGCTGCCCAGAACTGATCGCCCTCGTTCCGTTTCCATATATCATAGTCGCTCCGCAAGGTGTGCCTTGTTGTTTTGCGGAGAGAGCTCTTTGAAATGAGATGTGAAAAGAGCAGGTCTGCATCCTGTCTGTTGGATAGTTTGAACTTTTCGGCGAACTGAGGCATTGTCGCGCTTCCATATTGATCAATTCTCTTCCGCAGCCAATATGACATTTCCATCGATGCTTGGACATTGTCCATGGCGCAAGTATCCTAGATAATCAGACAGATTGTAACAATACATGTAAGAAACTTGCATCCGAAGCTGACTCAATTGAATTAAAATAAGAAACGAAAGGAATGAATTAAATTGCATTGGACTCCCCGACCATCCTACCGCGTGCTGACATAGGACCCGCTAAAGGAGCGACCAGAAACAGAGAATCACCAAGTACACACAATCACACTCTGACGACCCGACCATCCTACCGCGTGCTGACATAGGACCCGCTAAAGTCAGTCTTGATGTGATTGCTCGAGATTCATCTGCCACCTTAATGCAATTTTTCGGGATATGTATGAATCGTACGTCACCTTAGCAGTGGAAGATCGCATGCGGGAACGACAATGATCGAGGGAGGGAGTATTTGCGAATAATGTGGAGCGGATGAGAGACAGAAAAATAATAAAACGAGCGCTAGTGCAAAGACACGCGCTTTGTTCAGAAGACACAGAAAGATACGTCATCATAAACGTCATTCTTTATTTCCAATACAGTAAGGAAATACGGCATTTGCCACTATGCAGACCCTAACTATGTATAAAAACATATAAAAAATACAGTCACTAGCTCTGTCCCTTGCATATACGGAAGAACATTCCCTCAAGTGCATTATTTATTTCCTTTTTGAGCTACCAGCTAATAAGCGAAGATTTTTTCCCAGCCCCTAGGCTAGGCTCGTCACCAGCCTGAGGACGAAGCGCATGTGTGTTTACACGTGCTGCAAGGCAAGCGTGCCTAAAAAGGCAACTGGTGGCTTGCTCTTGCAGATGCTTCTCTCTCAGGCTGGAATCAAAAGTCGACTATTAGCTGGCGACTTAAATTTTTTGAATTTTTTTTTTTTCAAAGTCAAAAATCATATGGAAGAGCGTACAAAACACATGCAACTCACATTCATGCTTATATGGAGTCAATCTGGCATATATAGATCGGATACACATATACTTTTCAACATTAACTTTTATCTTTCTTTCTCTCTCTTACCTTTCTTCTCCCTCTCCCTCTCCCTCTTCCTCTCTCTCTCCCTCACCACCTCACTCTTCCCCTCGCCTTCACCCCTTCTCTCACTCTCATTGCGCTCCCATTGCAATCTCATTACACACCTGCTACACACTCATTACCGACCTGTAGTTTTCTCTAACATTTGCAAAAAAAAATTAATAAAATATTTTGCAACATTAACAAATGTCAGCTACTGGTACTCCAGCAAACCCAGCAAGCGAATATTCCATCCTTCCTGATGATGTTGGTCAGTGATGCTATGATACCTTCAAGTTTTACCCAAGAAAGGAGCAACTTGAAGTTGAGGAGACAATTGGACGCCATCAAGATTGTATTTTGATTGCTGGTACAAGGTGGGGCAAGACGTTGGTGTATTTTCTTCCACTAGTTCTGTGGCCGAAAGAAATTATAGTCATTATCACGCCGCTGAGAGCGCTAGGAGATGAACAGTCGGAAAAACTCGACTTATCTGGTATCCCAAACATCCATCTGAAGAAAGGAACAGAGTTTTCAGTCAGTGATCTGGTTAAGGGAAAGTACCGCGCTGTGTTTATGTCGCCTGAGATAATTTTTCAGAACCCTCGTGTGAGCTCACTTTGGAGCATCCCTGAATGGAAGAACCGATTAAGAGCGGTGGTGGTGGATGAGGCCCATTGTATTGGGACTTGGGGAGGACAATTTAGAACTGACTATGCGAAGCTCGGGCACTTACGCGCAAAAGTGTCTCCTTCAACCTGCTTTGTGGCCGTCTCCGCCACATTGCCCCCAGTGCTTCTCTCTGAAGTTTTGAAGACGCTTCATTTTAGTAATCCTGTTATATTTAACTATGGTAACGATCGGACTAATATCCAGCTTCATGTAAAGCAACTACGATACAAAGCGTCCTCCTACCAAGATCTCGAATTTCTGAAAGATGGCATCAAGACAATTGTCTATTTTGATGAAATTCGACAGGCGGAAGCAGCAGCTCGACACGTTGGTGAGCTCATAGGCTGTCGTCAAGTCGCAGTATATCACTCGATGAAGTCAGATCCCCTAAAGAAGATAAGAATGTCTGATTTTAAAACAACGAAATACAAGTCCTCATGTCCACAGAGGCCGCTGGCATGGGTTGCGACGTGAATGATGTTATCAGAGTCATTCAGTACGGATATCCTAAAAATCTGTCAACCCTGATTCAGAGACTTGGTCGTGCAGCACGCAACCCTGATCTAGAAGGGGATGGCATCCTTCTTGTCCCGGCATCCAATAGTAAATCTATAGGTAATGTGGATAAAGATATTGTTGAATATGTCAAAACTACAGGTTGTCGCCGCGAGCTCCTTAATAACTTTTTCGGGAACCAACATAAAGTTATTTCAAGGTGTTGTGACATCTGTAATCCTTCTCTTCCATCAACAGAGGAATCTTTACATGGATTAGTTGCGGCAGATACAAGCGACTCTGGTAGTATACTTCCGAAAGTATCATTCACTGAAGCGGAGCGGAAGGTGATAGTAAAGGCAATTGAAACATGGCGGTATAACATTTTCAAGGAGCAATACGAAGGTCGTTCTCTCTTTGTAAGCCTCGAATGTATCATGTCAAACAAAATGATCAAAACACTTGCTGGAAAAGTCGCGAGGATAAAACCGTCTGAGTCAGTTCAATCTGTCATTCCATGGCACTCCATTAAGCAGGATCATATAAAAACTCTGGATGACATGATTGTTGATCTGAAGACGGACATCATGGCAAGGAGAACACAATCAAGAGCAGCGAGTCGTCCATCAGTACAAGATGCGGAGGCAAAGCCAATACAGCAAGTGCATCATTTGCTTGAGCATCAGCAGGAAAGACAATATGGGCAATTTAGCACAATTCAAGGACTGGAGGCGCTACTCAAGTCGCAAAAAGTCCATCATCTAATACGACAACCACCGCTGAAGCAGTTAATACCATGGGATGCATTAGGGCCTCTACAGCACCAAGAATGCCATTGTTGCAAGCTATAGTGCGTGCCAAAACTGATGCAATAAATTGCATTTTTCAACATTCATTCCTCATTCTCCTTCTTCCTCTTTATGATCTTCCCTGCCACCACCGTTTCTCATTCTCATTTGTCTCACCTCCATGGAGTCTCATCGTCATCGCCATCAGTGGCCTAATTAGCATTTAATTGCAATTTGCTTTCAGCATCTCATTGCATCTATTATGGCAATTAACAACTTCTTGTTTTTATTTATTCCTGTTACTTCTCCTTTCCCCTAACGATGTTCCCTCCTTTAGCCTTATATAACTCCCTCATCCTCTTCGGCATACCGCAGTATAGTTTGTGTAAGAATTCAGGAGGGATATGTGTCCATACGTCTTGGACTCTCTCCCAGAGATCCTCCATATTCTTTGCCTTGTCTGGATAATGATCCAACTGCACCTTCATGTATGCCCATATGTTTTCTATTGGGTTGATGTCAGGAGAGTTTGCTGGCCATTCCATGAGAGGTATCTTAGACTTTTGGATATAGGTCATTGCTATTCTTCCGGTATGAATCCTAGCATTGTCCTGCTGAAATATAAATTTGTCCTTATCCATCAAGTAGTAATCCCTGGACTTAAAGATATAATCCTTGAGAACGTCGACGTATGTTACCGAATCCACCTTCTCTTGGAGCCAGCAGCCATCGCCTGGTCCGTAGTAAGTTATACAACCCCAGAACATCATTTTGCCTCCACCGCCTTGCCTTGTCTTTTTGATATGATGTGCTCGTAGAGTTTTATCCCATCGATGCTTGTAGTAGTACTTTCTTCCGCAGGACCCAACTCTGCTAAAGATGGTCTCATCTGAGAACATGACGTTCTTCCAGTCTTCTAGAGTCCAGTCCAATTGATCCTTTGCAAAATTATATCGAGCATAGATTTGCTTCTTCGTCAGATCAGGCTGCTTCTGTTTTACATATGCCCCCATATCATCCTGCATAAGGAACCTCCTGATGCTCGATTTACTAACCTGCACTCCTTCCCTCAATTGAACAAGTTGTTGGCCATCTTTTAGGGTCTCCAATACACCCATGTCAAAAAATCTTGATAAAAGCTGTTTCGTTTTCTTAGTAACTTTGCAGGGTCGGCCCCCTCTCAGCACTGGAATACTTTCTTTGCCTCTTTTCCTAATCCTTTGAGCTGAGGTAACAGATATCCCTAAACTCTTTGACACTTCTCTGGAAGACTTTCCCTGATGAAGTAGAGCAGTTACATTTTGGATAGTTGATTTGGATAATGATTTCATGTTATGATAAAGATATGGCAGATATGTAGAGTGTCGCTTGGTGTATCAGTGGTGATGGTGCTATAAAGAAAGAATAAAGAATAAGAAAGAAGTAAGGGATGGACAAACCTGACATGTACTTTTTACCAAAACTGATGCAATGAGACATGACTATACAAATGGCGATTATTCGCTAATTGCGTCATTGATGAGAACAGCGATGACAATCCACGAAGGTGAGACAAATGAGGATGAGAAGCGGTGATGGTAGGGAAGATCATTAGAAAGGAAAAGGAGAATGAGGAATGAATGTTAAAAAATGCAAATTATTGCATCAGTTTTGGCACGCACCATATCAGAGTTGCAACAACCACTGGAACAACAGCAACTACTTTTGCAACAGATATTGCAAGCAATTTTGAGTAATCCACCAACGCAGCAACTGCTGTTACAGCCGCCGCTGAATCAGTTGCTGCTCAGACAACCACTGCAATGTCAACAACCATTGCAAGAAGGACTACAAGAGCACGAGCCACCGCAGGAACAACCGCAGGAGCACCCTAGAAAAGAGAAACTGACATCTCGGTCTTCACGAAAGCGCAAAGAGCTAAGTAGTCCAACAACATCACAAAATAATATAAAATTTATATCTTGGGAACCATGAAGATTTTTATCATTCAATAAACAAATTAAGCAAACAGAATCTCTTTGGTTTATTGTTCACAGGTCGCATGGACGTAATCAGTAATATCAAAACCAACAATATCGTCCTGCATATCTTCCTCCTCGTCTTCAATCTCCGTCTCATTATCTACATTCATATCATTGTCAACGCTCAAATCCCCACCCTGCTTCCGGACACAGACTGAATTGACGAATGATTGGATGCGCTTGCCTTCATTCATTTTTATTATGCCTTCTATGAGGAGATTAGCCACTGATGTGGCGTTTCCAAAGTTTGGATGATTCCTCTTCTCCTGAGGTATGTTGTCAAAGATATAATACTCTACTAATGACTTGTGGATTGCTGAGATGTCATCGCTCATCGACATATTTTCATGTTTAGTGCCTGTGTATGGAATATTAAAATCAATCTCCATTTGGTCCGATAGATCACCGGGAGTCTGAACATTGACAGAAAGTGTCTCTTCCTCCATTTCCCAGTGGTCACAGGTTCGTTTCGCTTTAAATAAATTCTTGATCAATAAATTGTTGTGCTCTTGGTAAAGGTCTGCTGGTATCCAACGGTTTGGTTGGCCAGTGGTATTGACTAGCCATGAAGATCTAACGGCATCCTTTGTTTGCTTGGACCAGGAGTAAGCAAAGCCGCAATGTAGATGCAGAAGTTCATTTGCATAGTTTTTTGTTGATCCGGCTTGAAACATTATTGTGATCCATTTTAGAATCTCTTCAATGCGCCCATGATCACCTGCTTTGATCGCAGACGATAGCTCCAAGTAAAAAAGCATGTCACGGAGAAACAAGGCGGAATTCCTAGATGTGGTCCCATCGAGGATTTCTAAGGAGCCAGTCAGAAGAAATCTATCAATTAATGTGTCCACTTTCGCCATGAGTTCAATTTTAAGTACTTCATCGGAGACACCTTCCGCAAATTCTTCCAAGTTTGTACTTAGTAGAGTAAGCTCCCATGCCCGTTGTACTAGTGCATCAAATGACTCGCGGAGAAGCTCATTTGTGGCATGAAAATCAGGCTTCTCTAGGGAAACCCTCTTTCGTTCAAGCAACGATACATTGAACGCAATTGAACCAGGTGTTGAAGCAGTGCCATAATGGGTACGCAAAATTGTTGAGGCCAGAAGCATTTGAAGATGGAATAACTGAATGACAGGTATGACCCAGTCAAGGCGGTGGTATGATGAGATATCGTCTGCACGTAATTCCTTCAATGAACGGAGCCTACTGACCGTCAGCTGGTCACCAGCAATGAGTATTCTTCGTCCCTCAAACCATTCATGCGGGAGTTCCAGCGCAGCTTCCGTTATAAATTCCAAGACTTCCAAGTTACCGCGAATCGTTCCTTGGTCAATACGCATTGATGGAAGCGGAAAAGTTTTCGTCTTTTCGAGCGTCAGTAAGTGCTTTGTAGGTGCTGGCATTGATTGCCCATCAAATCTTTTAAAATTTCGGAGTAGAACTCCGACCAAGTGGTATTGAAAAACTTTTCGAAGATGAGCTTCATTGTCATCAGTAGGCATCAAGTCCTGTAGGCGAAGGGATTGTGTGGGCTTGAAGTTTATCTCCTCCTCGGCTGCAACATTTGAGACGATTGCAGTTGCTGTAGTTCCACTTACAAATATGTCCCTGTTTCCAAGTCGTTGATGGTGCTTGTGAGACGCCATATTTATATTATCGTATACGATATACCAAGGCACTTCTCTTACTGTAGCCTGGATACGATCGCGTGAGTCCGTACTTAATGCCTTTAGACCCCTCATGATTGTGGGATGAGAAACTGAAAGTCCTGCCTTTGAGAAAAGATTGACAAGCTTGACAGGCGCACCTTTACCAAACATATATAATCCAGTCATCATTTGAAGATAATTGCATCTGTTGCTGTATAAGAAGCCAAAGATACTTGCAATGACAGGAACTACTGTTGTAGCATCCCTGGAACTTGATTTATTCGCTCTGGTAAGGCCATTCAGGAGCGAATAAACGGTAGGAGCAATGGATTGAAATCTGTTGGCAATATTTTGAAGTGAAAACTTATCGGTTCTCTCCTTACAAACACCATTAGATGGAAGTCGCAACGTGTTATCTGCTGTAACCTCCCTGAGCTCATCCTTTGCAGAATGGAGAACAAATTCAATAGCACCAGAAAGAGCACTCTTCATATGCTCCGGGTCCGTAATGCCTCGCTGCCACAGGTCGATAATTTCTGCAGGACCATCATTTGCATAGAAAAAATTAACCTTACGCTTAATATTAGAGTCTTGCGACACTAACGAGGCTTTCAAAAAAGCCCTCAGCGAAAGCCTATGCTTTGCCATCACGTTATAAACGGCTCTCAAAGAAGTGGCACGTTTCGTCTGTTTCTTGCTTTTTGGCATGTTGCAAAATATTTTATTAATTTTTTTTTGCAAATGTTAGAGAAAACTACAGGTCGGTAATGAGTGTGTAGCAGGTGTGTAATGAGATTGCAATGGGAGCGCAATGAGAGTGAGAGAAGGGGTGAAGGCGAGGGGAAGAGTGAGGTGGTGAGGGAGAGAGAGAGGAAGAGGGAGAGGGAGAGGGAGAAGAAAGGTAAGAGAGAGAAAGAAAGATAAAAGTTAATGTTGAAAAGTATATGTGTATCCGATCTATATATGCCAGATTGACTCCATATAAGCATGAATGTGAGTTGCATGTGTTTTGTACGCTCTTCCATATGATTTTTGACTTTGAAAAAAAAAAAATTCAAAAAATTTAAGTCGCCAGCTAATAGTCGACTTTTGATTCCAGCCTGAGAGAGAAGCATCTGCAAGAGCAAGCCACCAGTTGCCTTTTTAGGCACGCTTGCCTTGCAGCACGTGTAAACACACATGCGCTTCGTCCTCAGGCTGGTGACGAGCCTACCCCTAGGCTCGTTCCCATCCCTCTTCACTTTATAAAGGTGACAGGAAATCCATTTCCTTTTTGAGTCACCTAAAGTGAAGGGGCTGGGAAAAAGAATAAAGGAAAAATGGACCCCCCCGTCAACATTTTTATTGCTGCAAATTCTCACGCCCCCGCCAACATTTAGGGCTCTTTTTTTTTTTTTTTTTTTTTACAGATGATTATTCTGCGGGGTCTACATATCTTTCTTTTAGAGAGGTTCATCACTGACACTATTAGAATGAAGACATGATCGTGGAAATGAATTTTTTTTTTTTTTTTTTTTCAGAAAAAAGTCACATGGCTACATGGATTATACTGGTCTTGCTTTTAGAGAGGTCTTTGCCAATTATACATCTATTGTTTAATATACTTCTTGTATTTGATGGATATTTAACTAACAAACGGCAGCGTTACAAAGCTTTATCTGATTACTTGATTTGGAGTGAGAGGCAAAAAAAAAAAAAAAAAAAAAAAAACAGATTAAAATGTTGAGGGGGGTGAGGATTTAAACAATTAAATGTGGATGACGGGGGGGTAACAATTCTGAATAAAGGGGGTGAAAACGGGGGGGGGTATGGGAATTCTCAGCCGGGGGGCATTTTTCAATTTGACGGGGGGCGCATTATTCCTTAGTCCTTTTGAAAATCTTTACGGGGGGTGTACCGGAATTCTGACGGGGGGACAGGGGTAAGAATTCCGAAAAAATGAATGTTGACGGGGGGTCAAGGGAATTCTCAACCGGGGCTCAGAATTTTATTCTGACGGGGGGGTGCATTTTTCCTTAGTCCTTTTCCCAGCCCCTTCACTTTAGGTGACCCAAAAAGGAAATGGAATTTCCTGTCACCTTTATAAAGTGAAGAGGGATGGGAACGAGCCCACTTTTATTTTTTTTTTTTTATTTTTTTTTTCTCTCACTTCACACCACTTCACATCATGGCTTCCTCATTCACACCATTCACACCATGACTTCCTCATTCACACCATGACTTCCTCATTCACACCATGACTCTCATTCACATCATAACCTTCTTTACTTGCTGTCTGTCTTCTTTTTCTACTATCTCTCTCTCTCTCTCTCTTTTTTTTTTTTTTTTTTTTTTTTTGGATCCGCCTGCTCTTTTTTTTCAGTTCACACCACTTCACCATTTATTTTTTTCAGTTCACACCCCCCACTTGCTCTCTTTTTTTCTTTTTCACTTTGTTCCCCCCCCCCCCCCCCCCACTCGCTCATTTTTTTTCTTTTTCATTTTGTTCCCTTCAAATGGCCGATCCCCAATTATTTGGGTGTTATAGATCGCCCAACGTTTGTGCGAGACCGTTTTGAGGAAGAGATGATTCAACATTTAACTAGCCTTGAAAGCTTGATGATGGAAGAGGAGGATGAGGAAGAGATCGAACAGATGCTGCTTCAGGCAGCAATGAGTAAGAGGAAGAAGAATGGCGCTTTCTTGGATGATAATAAAGACGAAGGTGGAAAGGATGAGGAGGATGGAACCATGATCAGTCTGGAATCCCTCCACGCTTTCGCTCTTATAGAGGGCCAACAGTACCACCAACATCAACATCAACTGCAACAGTAACGCCTCAGTCAGGTCTAGGTACACCTCCCCCTCACCATCCCAATGGCCAAAGCCAGTAACGGATGATGTGTTGACGATAGATCCGCTTGAGGCTTCGTCATCTTAGTCGTTTACAGATCAGAGCCGCTGTGCGATAGCAGGAACAAGCAGTGGACTTGAATTCGATCATTGACCAAGGCATTTTACCTTTACAAGGATTAGTTTGCTGATTTGTGCCAGGACAGGATTGTGAGGAAATAAAATTTAAACTTTTGCATGCAAAGCAATAAAACTGCTTATCAAGTATTTTCCAATAGAATAAAAAAAGTTAATAGAGATGCAGGATTCATTTTAGTTTAAAAAAAAAAAATTACAAATTTGCACTTCCAGAACCCGCGTGGTGAGTTGTCGACTCCAAGTCAGCGGAGCAGAGTCAAAAAAAAAAAAAAAAAAAAAATAGAAAAATATGTACAAATCCAAAATCATGTCCCCAAAATGGACTTGAACCCAATCAGGAACTCAGCGCTGTCAATCCAATCCAGGACCTTGCACGACCATGGCACGAAAAACAAAAAACAAAAAAAATTTTATCCATCCTCTTTTCTTTTTTTTTTTTTTTTTTTTTTCCTCACCTTCCACCTTAACTCCCGTCAATTGCCGCCATTCCTTTTCCTGTTCTCGCACTTACTGATTATCTCCTCTGTTCTCCACCTTCCCTCCTCTTCTCAAAAATATCAGTGAACCTTGAGACTAAGGTTAATGAAAACTGAATCCGAAGATTCTGGCTCTCTCTACGATCATGATCGTGCTGTCCTTGAAAAACTAGGCTACAAGCAGGTTAGTAATCTGTTCATAATATTTTTTATCTGTACCTTACTCTTCGTTTTTCTTCTCTCCTTTCCATCTTTTTATCTCTTGCGACGTTCACAACATTCACGACGGATCAGATCACATATTGGTTTACTCCAATTCTTGCGCACTATCTAACCGCCTTACGGGAGAGCCAGAAATGGGTGAATTCTGAATCGAATCAAGGGAAGAAAGGAATGCTTTGTAGAAAAAGAAAAAGAGCACAAGACACAAAGATTACAACAAATAACATCATCAGCGTTATTAAAAATGTCGAATTTAGCGAATCAATGTTCCTCTCAGCATTTTTTACTTGCTTTTATCTTTTGTTTCTTTACATAACAGGAAACCTTATGGAAAGATAACTCACTAATGATCACTTAACAATGCTGACTAAATCACACTTTTTAGTCGCTTGATCGGTCATTGAGTGCATTTAGCACATTCGGTATCACCTTCTCTTGTCTGTCTATCCTCTCAGGTCTCACACCACTCTATGGCGATGCTCTGCAATCAGGAGGACCCGTTACAGTCATTTGGGGTATGGTGCAACTAAAGCAAATGTCATTAATAGCAATTACAGCAATTACAACTATCATCACAACACCAGAATTCAATGAAAGCGGTTGAAAGGGGTTCAATTAATCCTCTCCCCTTCTTTTTTTTTTTTTTTTTTTTTTTTTTTTTTTTTTTTTTTTCCTTTGGTCCTTTGGAACTGTGCTGCTCCCTTGATATAGATCACACCACTTCTAAAAAAAAAAAAAAAAAAAAAAAAAAAAAAAATACCTAATCGGCTATTATTTCCATTTTCTCATTAGGATGGTTGGTGGTCAGTATGTTCACATTACTGGTTGGCTTATCATTGGCCGAGATCTGCTCTGCATATCCAACAACAGGTGGACTATACTTTTGGACGATCAAGATTCTGGAAGGTCGAGTAATCAATGGTGTGAAGGTCGGTAGTCCCGATTGGGTGCCCCTGGCATCTTGGATCGTTGGATATACCAATTGGTTAGGATTGGTAAGCCACGCAGCAACAGGAAATGAAAAGAAATGGAAAAGAAAAAAGAAAGCATTTATTGACTTTTTCCCTTTTTTTTTATGACTATTCCTCACTATTCCTTGGTTCTGGTCGCAGTGTGGTATGTCCTTTGTCTGTTATATACTTGTAAACATATAAAAAGAAAGATCAAAAGCTAATCTTTTCTTTTTCTTTCTTGTGAAAACAAAAGTGGCAATTGCTAGTACAGACTTAGCCATGGCTCAGTTCTTGGCCTCAATGATCTCAATGACATCGGGGTACGATGCCAATACCTATGTGATTTTTGCTATCTATGTCGGTATCATCATCCTTCACGGTATTGTCAATTCTTCGGCAGTTCGATTGAATGGTCTTTTTAACATTGTCTCCGGTAAGGGATAAACAAAAAGGAGAGATGGAGAAGTCAGAAGCTCTTATTCAGATGAAATTACCGCATACGATTATTGGCACATCTTCTGCTCCTGATTTTATGATTCTAAAAAGCTTTTTTTTTTTTTTTTTTTTTCTTATATATCCCGCATCTAGTCTGGTGGCATGTGTTTGGCACAATGTTGATTGTGGTTGTCTTGTTGGTGACGACGAGTGAGAAACAATCTGCAGAGTTTGTGTTTACATCATGGCAAAACAACACGGGTTGGTCCTCTGGATTTTACGTCTTCATGTTGGGTCTGTTACAGTCTCAATATACACTCTCAGGATACGATAGCGCGGCTCATATGAGTGAAGAGACCAAGAATGCTCAACAAGGTGGGCCTTGGGGAATCATTCGTGCTATTTTGACGGCTTCTGCTGTCGGATGGTTCTTTTTAGTTGGCGTCACTTTCTGTATCACTAGCTTTGAGAACCAAATCGTGAATCCAGCTGTGGGCGTCGCGCTGAGCCAAATCTTCTTGGACTCTGCGGGGAAAACTTGGGCCATTGTCCTAATTTTGGTCATTTTAGGCGCTCAATTCTTTTGTGGATCTGCTCTCACGCTTTCGTCCTCTCGAATGGTCTATGCATTTGCACGCGATGGGGCTTTACCGTTGTCTGAATACTTGCATCGACTCAATAAGGAGAAAAGTCCTGTGGCAGCTGTTTGGTTCAACATTCTCTTCTGTTTTGTGTTGGGTCTGCCCTATATCTGGTCTGAGACTGCGTATTCGGCTATTGTCTCAGTCAACACAATCGCTTCCTCGATTTCATACCTGATCCCTATCCTCTGTCGTATCGTCTTGGCCAGGCACACGTTTGTACCTGGACCATTTAACCTGGGGAAGTTCTCAGTCCCTGTTGGAATTGTGTCAACGTTGTGGATTGTGATTACTTCTGTATTGTTCTTGTGCCCGACACTTGCTCCTGTCACGGCTGAAAACATGAACTATGCAGCCGTACCCTTTGTACTCGTCATCGGCCTCTGTGCACTGTACTATGCTCTCTGGGGCAGGAAATGGTTCAAACCTGGAGGAACTCGCTTTCAGGAGGATAATTCGGATTTGGAGGAGGCCCAGGCAGTACCGCATACTTCGCAGATGCAGGAAGTAGATGAAAAATCAATAACAGCCTCACAAGAAGAGTATGTGGGCCATCCGGCGGATGAATATCGTTAGAAACAACGATGTCCAATGCACATGATCTATAGATGTAGCATCGTAATAAAATGAAGCCTGGATGCAAGTGATCAACGTTGTTCTTGCTCGATAATATCCATTTACTAATGGATTGTTGCTAATTAAGCAAGACTGTCAGGTGCCTTGAGTGAAATATTGATCTATCAACGTCAATTCAGTACTGTAGTGCCATGTGAGGCATAAAAAGCATGAAATTCGATGTTGCTACTTTTTCCTTCTTTAAGACTAACATCTGATCAGAGATAAAATAAAATAAATAGTCTGATACAGAGGCCTATTCTCTGCCAACGCGGGTCTAGGGTGAGCAGGGATGCAATGTCATGATGGGACCCAGTTAGTAGGGCTTATTAACTGTTTTTATTCTAGCAAGCATCCGAATAAATAATTCGAATAGCTACCAAAAAAAATAAAATAAAATAAAGATCCCAGATACTTTTTTTATCTTAATGACATACCCTATTGTTCAGTAGTTTTTCGTCACTCTTCAATATGTTATTTTGGCGTTACTGCTTCTTCCCTGCCTTCTTTTTATTCTACGTAATCCCCTATCTCGTCAGTCTTTTTTTTTTTTTTTTTTTTTTTTTTTTACCCATCCACATTTTCAATCCAACCATACACTTTCATTGGCCAATTGACTGAGGTTGGACGCGCTTTCCTCGCACAGACAGTCTTAATTTCCTATGGCGCGTAATGGCGACAGTGCGAGTCGTATCACTACATAAAAACCGATATAGATTTTCCCTTTTCCCCATTTACTTTATAAATTTTGTTTTATTTTTATTTTTATTACCTTCCTGCACTTAACGACTTGGCTACAATATCAGCGCTAAATACCTTAAATATCACACGTGCTTTTTTTAAAAAGTATCTTTATTTAATAAATATATGCGTATCATCCAATGAAGCCCTTAACAGCAGCATTGGGTGCTCTAACCGTCGTTTCTAGTAATCACTTCATCCTATTAGCAGAAGCCACCTTTATCAAGTAAGAAAATTCACATCTCACTAATCCTACTTTTTTTTTTTTTTTTTTTTTTTTTTTTCTCGCATTGATATTTTAACTAATACTATTACCATTAACGTTTTCTTTGTTAGGATCCCCATCCGCAAAAATGTGCATTTTCTTCAAAATACCCGCAGACACCATGCAAAGACAATGAGGAAGTATGGACTTCATAATCGACTCAGTCCCAGAGATTTTGGCCGCCAACCTGTCATAAGTGTAGAAAATGACATTGAAGTAATGAATTACACACTTTATAAGATATATAATATAATATACATACTGTTATTACTACTGCTACTGCTACTGCTACTGCTATACTGCTAGACTATAACTATTCGCATTTAAATTAATTACTTTTTTTTTTTTTTTTTTTTTTTTTTTTGGTAGTATTATGGCATTGTAGGCATAGGAACTCCGCCTCAAATGTTTAAACTCGATATGGATACAGGCTCTTCCGATTTATGGATCCCCTCCATCCAATGTGAACAGTATAACATCAAATGCGCCAACCATGCTCGGTTCGATCCTTCACTCTCTTCATCTATTATCGAACTCAAAGCTCCTTGGAAAATCAGATATGGTGATGGCTCCTCTGCCAGTGGTCGGCTCGCGATTGATCGGCTTGAGTTTTCGAATATCACGATCCATAATCAACTCTTCGGATTAGCTGATCGAGAGTCTGTTGGCTTCCTAGATGATGTCGTCGATGGTGTCTTTGGTCTTGGATTCCCAACCTTATCTACGTTCCATATCGATCATCAACAAAAACTTGAAATTCAAACTAATTTAACCAACAGACAAAACGGATCCGGATTAATCAGCAACACTGTTTTGGAGGGCCTAATGGCTCATGAGCTAATTGCTGCACCCGTCTTTGGAGTTTGGCTAGCAGACAACGACTATAGTAGCTCTTCTTCTTCTTCCATTACTTCCTCTGACGCTGAACATCGACAATCAAAACAACAACAACAACAACAAGATCCTGCTATTAAAGGGCTGAATAATACTGATAACGACGGCGAATTCATCTTTGGATCCATCGACACGGATCGTTTCATCGGGAACCTCACTTACTTGCCCGTTACCCATTCAAAGCATTGGCAGGTCAAGGTGGATAGTATCAGTGTCCACCATGACCGTGGCGACAATGCTAACAATGTTGCTCATGGGCTAGACCTTGATATTCATGGCGAGGCAATCATCGATACTGGCACCACTCTCTTGGTTTTCCCCATCCCATATGCCAAAGAAATCAACAGGGCTATTGGTGCAACCTCCGATCCTCAGGAAGGTTGGATCTTACCTTGTGAGGATGTCAAAAAACAAACCTTGGGTTCACTCGACTTTACCATGGGTGGTACCACGTTCTCTGTCAGAAGAAAAGACTTGATCAGAGAATCTGTTATGCGCAAACCTGGATGGTGCTATAGCGCTGTCACTACCACTCCCGGAGATGTCATGATCTTTGGCGACGTCTTTATCCGCAATAATTACTGTGTCTTTGACTTTGAACGGCTCTCCATCGGCATCGCTCCCGCCAAGAGACGTTAGAATGATTATGATTAACGAAGTTATGTGGTCGAACCCACGTAAGGCACTAGTCTAAAAAAAAAAAAAAAAAAAAAAAAAAAGATACTTCCTGCGTCGCTCATGAAGATTATGCCCTTTTTCTTTTTTATATTTCCATTCCAGAGAGTCAATGAGCGCGTGTCAATGCTCTCTCTTTATATCCCTGATATCTACTTTATTTAATTATTTTACTTATTTATTTTAATTATTATTTTAATTAACATGCAATCAGCAGAATGAAATTTACAAATAATTTATTCAATATTCGTATCACAATAATTTCAAATAGAGCTTTGAATTCCATTACTTTTTTTTAATTTTTATTTTTTCACAGCATTTATTAGCATTGTTATTATTTTTTTTCTCTTTTGAGTGTCATGAATAATGATTAATAAATATAATAAATAGAAAAAAATAAAATAAAAAATAAAATAAAGTCATGTATGAAAGAAAGAAAAAAAGAAAAGAAACAGTTGCAGAACAAAAATTTGACATTAATGGGAATTAGGACAGAAACATAAGAAAGGTATAGAAAAAAGACCCAGATATTTTTTTTTTTTTTTTTTTTTTTTCTGCGGGAATATGAATTGGCGAGCTTTTGGTCATGTATATAAGGCTGCAATATTTGATGATACTGCTAGTAGATATTGTTCTCTACTGGGCTTGCACGACCTTCAAATTGTCAGGAAGTGTAGGGATATAGCCCCCCTTGCTATTGAGATCAAGGGTGTTGAGGACGGCATGATAGAGGAACTTGTAGGCCCATAGGTTGCCCTTCATACGACGGATATCTACGCAGTAGATACCTGGCAGGTTCTTGATCCTGCAGACTTCGATCGAGAATCGCACTTCTTCACCCGAGTCGATCGACTCTTCACCATATAAAGGTTCTGGTCCAACATTGGCAGCCATTGTCGTGGCAATGGTTGAGCTACTAGGAAGAGATGCAATTCCGCCCTCTTGTGATGCTGTCGTTGCTGCTGCTATCGTTGTCATTGGTGTAGCTGGTGTAGATGCTTGTTGATGACTGCCGTTGCTGTTACCGTTGACAGCCGTTGCAGTTATGCCCAGTCCAGTAGGCGTACCTGAACTGACCCATACACCATGATCTGAGTCAATCTCCTTGGTTGCTGTAGAACCAGTAACAGGGGGTGAGGATAGGCCCTGTGTAGACCCATTCATCACCTGAGGCAGAGCACGAGGGGATGAAGGCAGGGGTGGAACAGGAGGTGGAGGAGATGAAGGTAAGCTCAAAGATGTAGTGTTACGCCAGAGCAGCGTTCTAATACCTCCCTTCTTCTTGCCGCCGATAACAGATCCACCTGCGCCTCTAGCCGATGTCCATGCCTCACCAGCAGACATATTGCTGGACATGACGCTCACATTGTCGTCTGGAACATGCGTCGTGCCGTAAAGTGAAGATGAATGGTGATGTGTCTTACTATCTGATGTATTATCCGCATTTCTCCTTCTTCGCACGCACTTGATTTTGAAGTCCGAGTCAACTCTAAATTCCATTCCAAGGCGAAGAATGACATTTTTGATTTCAAACATAATCTCAACAGGATGACGCGATGAGAGTGCAGAAATCTCAACGGCTCCAGAGTGCCATTTCAGCTTGGAATCGGTCCAGTTGGAAGGCAATCTATGAAGAAGGGCCTCCAATGCAGGATCTCTTCCACCCTCAACTGCTGTAGAAGCATTGCCAATAACTGCGTTGGTACCAGATTGTGACATACGACCAGATAACAATGTTCCTGACTGAAGCATGCCTGCCATTTCCAACTCCTGAGGCGATACAGATCCAGCACGAGATATGCGATTGGTCTGCGTTGGTATTGATGAAGGTGACGAGCCATTGATATGGGGCAACTGTTGCTCCAGCCCGTCGAACTGAGGTCTATCAGATTTGGCTATAAGTATTATAATAGAGGAACTTGTTAACTCAAGCTAATTCATCTTGATGCAAATTATGCAGCTATAAATTGTGTGAAAAGAAGAAGTGTTATAGTATTTCGCATATCATACCAAATGACTTGCGTCGTAGCCATCCCATAATTCTCTGGGCGGTGTTTGAGCTCGAGGAGGCAGCCATAATGCCGAGCCCCTCCGCTGAAGGCATGGGCGGTCGAGTACCGCCATGGATCTGTTGAAGATGATGCTCATCCGCGCCTCCCACAAGACTGAGCGTCTTGCGTCTTTTACCCTTTTGACTCGCCTTTTCCTGTTGATGATGTTGATAGCGACCAAAGACCTGGTTAATGGAGCCTGGCTTCTTAGAAGACGGAGAAGTGGCAGGAGTGCTCGAATTTGGAGAGTCGCCATTCATGGTTGCCTCTTGAGTAATCTTGGGCGACGACACAGTATTGGTGTTTGATTCTCCATGTTTCTTGGAGAGATTGCCCAAAAAGCCGAAGAGGCGTCCAGGAGACGATGTTCCTTTCCGCTGAACTTTGTCCGGAACAGGAGATACTGGTACAGGTGGTGGTGGCATACTAGATGAATGTGTTACAGGCTTCGACTCTGGTTGACCGGGTACAGGTACAGGTACAGGTGGGATATTTGTAGAGTCAACAGGTGGCTGCAATAAGGAAGATGACTGTTGGTAATGTGATTGATGAAAAGCTTTGGGCGGAGTGAGGAAAGCATTTTCCTGTGATGGTTTCGAACGAGGTTTGGGAGTGGGGAGAGGCTCATGATATTTGGATGAAGCTGATGTAGGATAATTATAACTTTGTGTCATGGGCTCTCCATGGATGGTGGTAGGTCGAATTCTAGAGTGTTGGCCAGTACGACGCGAAAAAGTGGCCGTGGGTGACATGTCAACAGTACTTTCGATGCTAGGCTTCGCCTTCATCTCTGCAACTCTCTCTGGTGTCTTGGGGCGCTCTGCAACCTCAAGTTTCATGGCAATCTCCTCGCGGTTTTGAGCAGCGATGTTATCAGATACAGAAGACTTCGCAATCAGCGACGCAGCTGTTGAAGGCGATGGTATCATCTCACTGCTGGTCTGATGGTCATCATTGCTATGCATAGAAACGGGCGATCCAGTCGATGGTTCAGACGTGATGTTAAGTTGATGATCACTGTCCATCATAGTATTTCTGTCCATTCCATGGTCCTGAGGTAGCTCTGGTGTTGGATCGATATCGATGGGCTCGCTGGGTTGCTGGACATACTCCATTGTCTCGTCCTGCTGAGGCACATCCACCACTGGCTCTTGAACAACTACCTCTCTATCGATATCCATAGCTGTCTCTGAATGAGTAGGGATAGGTTGTCGTGGTGGTTCTTCTTCTGGTTTGAGTAGCGGACGACCTGTCTCCCAAGTCGGCGCATCCGGAACAGACTCGATCCAAATAGTATGACGCCTTGGCATGATTTCGTCTGCAGATGGTCTTGGAGGACCAGCATTGGCTAGCTGCAATTTTGCTGTTGCTGCTGCTTCGACAGCACAAGCCTGTCGTGGTGGGATCCAGACCGTGCCATTGAGCCTGGCAATGGCTTGTGCCTGTTCAGATGTCAGACGAATTAATTAGACGGATGAATACGATCTCTACAAAAATTATCTTTGAAAAAGTCAATTTGCTTTACCTCTAGATCTTCAATACTGTATTGGAACATTTGGGCATATGGGCGTAGCCAACGGTGGCTCATAATCCTCCTCATGTTGCAGCGCTTAGCTGGATCAGGCACTAGCATCATCCTCAACAAATCACGGGCATCTGACGAAATATATTCTGGAAACACAAGCGTTGTGGCCAAGATATAGTTATAAAGCTGATTGATGTTGTCACCATCAGGATTGGAAGGATCGTCATCAAAAGGGAGGTATCCTGCCAGCATCGCATACAAGATGACACCACAGCTCCAAATATCAACACCAGTACCCACATAAAGACCATCACTAATAACGAGCTCAGGCGCCGCATAGCACGGCGATCCACACGATGTTGACATAAGATCTCTAGTTGAGCCGTCAAATTGATTTGCAAATCCAAAGTCTGTGATCATGATATTGCGGTTTCTGTCAAGAAGCAAGTTTTCCTATGACAGCGAGCGTATAAAGTAGGCGGAGACACATCAGCACCTAAAAACTTTATAAAATAAAAAAACAAAGCCTTATATTTCCACGGCACACGAAGTAACAATATTTCATACCAGTTTGAGATCACGATGCACAATTTGCTTAGAATGAAGATAGTGAACGCCGCTCATCAGCTGTGCAAACAATCGACATGCATCTCGTTCCTTTAAATATCGGTGGGCAAGGATATGGTCAAACAACTCTCCACCTAGTTTTGTTATATAGCAATGCGTCGATTATAAATCCTCCATCCATTTTGAAAATCAAGATGAGATCATGAGCTGTATCCACATGCGGCTATGCAACGCTACCTGAAGCATATTCGATGACAATGCCAATGTAGCGCTCAGTCTCGATCACATCAAACAGTGAGATAATGTTAGGATGCCGAATAGTCTAAAAAGAGAGTGATGACGGATAAAGATACCACATAAGAATGAATGCGAGTCTTTGCAAAGAAAAACATTACACACATCATTTTAAAACGTCTAGTGTCACGGCTGTGTTGATGCTTACTCGAAGAACAGAAATCTCTCGTCCAATTTTGTTGATGCGTGGTGTATTATCGACGGACTGTCTCCTGATCAGCTTAATGGCGACCTGAAAGATGTAGAAGAAAAAAAAAAAAAAAAAAAAAAAAAAGAGTGAAAGAGAGAGGCCGTGCGTTTGTTAGTGCACTGTGTCTGTGTCTGACATCCGAGATCGCATTTTCATATTTGAATATTAAAAGAGTAAGGGGGTCTCCTGTGTGCCATCATCTATCTCCCCTCTCTTTCTTAATAGGCTATGAGTTAAGAGTTTTGTCCGTCTACTCGTGGAGCACTAAGGAATATGGCGCTGTGCCAATCCATTGATAGAGCATCCGCCAAAGTAAAAAAAAAAAAAAAAAAAAAAAAAAGCTCCCTCTCTTCTCTTCGCTTTATTCACATACGCGGTTGATAAGTCTTCTCAAAGAGAAGCAGACAGGCTCAGACTTAAAATGAGAGTCATAACAACAATTAAGAAGGTCGCAAGAGAAAAAATAAAAAGAGCGAGCACAACACATTCAAAGCACAACTGATTATGCTGTTACATGCAGATACATCAACACGAAATAACGCGATGCTCAAGGGGGGCTAGACTGCTAGAACATGAAAAAGAGAAATGACGACCCGGCTGCCACAGACAACAACAGCATCAACAACAGGCCAATCAGGCGGCACAAACAATACCAACAGGAACGAGCCAAAGATGTAGGAGTGTTCATTTTCTCCTGAGATACTGCAAGATTATACTTCTCTCACAAACATTCAACAGGAGATTACAATAAGCGAAAATGCTTATGAGGCGCAACACAACATTTCCAAAACAAAAACACGCCATGCCCATGCATACATACACATACACAAATAAACGACTCCCAAACAAAGGATTCGCATGAATATGCGCACCTCCTGCCTGCGTTCTGTCTTGTTTACTCAACAGGGCAAAAAGGATAGACAGCAGAATGTGGAGCAGAGCTGTTGCAGTTATTGGACGAGCCAACTGGGCTACCTCAAGGGGGTCAACATTCAAGAGAACCAAGGAAAAGGGTCTGCATATACATATTTACGACTCCATGCGCCTACACAGGGATTAGAGAAAAACAAAAACGAAGAGCCAGCCTATTCACTCACCCCTTCTTTTCTTTCTTTTCCCTTCTGATCATTCAAATGGTATCCTCATTTGTTGTTCATTTGACTTCAAGGTGCTTTTTTTTTTTTAAAAAAAAAAAAAAAAAAAAAAAAAAAAAAAAAAGAATAAAGAATGCAATACAAACGCCTCCTTTTTCATAATCGATGCATTCTGCAGTTGAAGATAGAATATAGTAACAGTAGGATCTGGAGGAACAACGTGCTCCTCAAGCATGTCCAGCAACTGAGCATTGGCATAAACAAATAAACAAAAAAGCAAGCATGAGGACAGTCTGGATTTTCATTTGCAAACAGTGAGTGCTCCTGTGACCTGATGCTTCCAATCCTCCAAATGAAAAGACGCTCCATGGGAGTGCACAGAAATGATAAAAAAATAAAAAATAAAAAATAAACGCGTCCCACGCCTGGAAGGTATCGCGCCTGCAGTATGGCTCCCGCTTGTCTTATCGGATTTTTTTTTTTTTCTCTAGATCCCCGCTCCCGTCTCCACTTCCTTTATTCTCATACCCCTTCCCTATTCCTAGCTTCATTTCACCCCTTTCGTCAACATCTTTACATGCTTAACAAGAGTGTAGCCTTAGAAGATCATCCACATATCGGCAACTTTTTTTTTTTTTTTTTTTTTTTTTTTTTTTTTGCTTGTCCCTGTTATCGAGCTGATCGATCGAGTTTCACTGACTCGCTGGAAGGGAGAGTAGCGAGGGAGTGGAGAGGAATGGTTTATTTGAATGAAAAGAATGTGCTTACCTCTTCTCCTGAATCAGCATGCATGCCTAGTTTGACCTTTGCGAATTCACCTTCTCCTAGAGTTTGAAGGAGAAGGTAAGGCCCAAACATATTGCCTCGCCGTGTTGTCGGTGGCATATTGTTGTGTCAGGTTTTTTTTGTTTTATTTTGTTTTGTGTTTGCACGAGAGTGCGGGAGTTGTGTCGTGAGTTAGTGTCGTATAGAGTTTGGGTGAGATGGGTAGACAGAGGGTTGAAGGTACGGAAGGGAGGGGGAAGGGAAGGGAAGGAAGGGAAGAAGGAGAGGAGGAAGAGAGAGTGATTGGGTCAAGATAGGACAACGTTTTCCTTCTGCCAACGAAATGAAATGATAAAAAAAAAAAAAAAAGATAAGGGAGATCAAAGAAGTTGGAGAAAAAAAAAAAAAAAAAAAAAAAAAAATGGCGGGATAATATTAATGACAATCAGTCAATTGGTTGTGTGTGCGTGCGTATAGAGTGCAGGCTTAGGGAAACATGATAAAAAGAGGAAAAGAGAAAGTGGCCAGAGGGAACGTGTGAGGTAGGGGTGGCCAAGCAAGTGGTAGGAAAGAATGGTAGAAATGTGTTTAATGAAGAAGGTTTTTTTTATTTTTATTTTTTAGAAACGGTATGTGAATCGACAAAAGGGGTGACACATGGAGAAAGATAAATGAGGAAATAAAAAAACAAAAAAAGAAAAGAATGAGGATAAGGATGAGAATGAGAAGAGGAAGAAAAGAGGAATTGGAGCACAAGTCAAGCGGGATGTCTGTCCATTTGCTCATTCATCATCATCCTCTTTCATCTTGGACCATGTTCAATACTTTCGCATATTTGAATAACAAACATTTATATCTTAATGAACACACTAGCCTTGAATGTATTGAACCATGTCTAGTCAATACTCAATAATCTAAGCTTGTCTTTTTCCTGTCCCTTTTTTCCCGAGCCACTTTTTTTTTTTTGCAGACCTAATGGCTCTGAACAGAATTGAATAAAATAAATAAAAGGGCTCTCGCCGTAGTTCTATTTTGGATCCATTCTGTTGTAAAAAAAAAAAAAAAAAAAAAAAAAGAGGCCGAGTTTGCAAAGTATATACATGACATGTCCACACAAAAGCAAAAAAAAGAGACTTTCTTTTTTTTTTTCACATTCATACACTCTTTGTAAAGTAATAGCATAGCAAAGTGTATTAGATGGCATAGCATAGCATAGCATAGCATAACATTGCATTATATTGAAATCAAATAGAGCCAATTCGAGTGAATGAATAAATGGGACTCGGAAGAAAGAGTTTCTGGGCAGAACTGTGGGCCATGATGATCATGATCTCGGTCCACGATCAACGATCAACACTTTTTAGTTCCTGCAGTGTTTTGATCCCGGATGGAATGGGCTCGTGATGGTCTAATAATCGATTTAACATTCCCCCTCTTTTTTTTTTTTGTATCGACCACCGGAGCAATTATGATAATGATGATAATTATAGGATCAACTAGGGCCAAGCAAGAGGAGCCAAAATTAAAAAAAAAAAAAAAAAAAAAGGAGGACGGAGCAGAATGATGGAGCAAAATGGAGCAGGAGGATGGATGGAGCAGGGGCCGGAAACAATAAAGCACACGATGTCATGAATGGAAAATGACATCCCAACACACTTTGCTCTCTCTCTTTCTTTCCTCTCTCTCAATCTGCATCATTTTTATACTTGCTCACTATCCATCCCTTGTTTGCTCCAGTGACTGAGTGGGCATGCTTATGGCAGCTCCTGCAAGGATAGACTTCTTCACCTATGAACACTATTATATATTTGTACAGACTTTGCTCTTCTTTCACGACTGCGTCTATCATTGCAGCAACTGCATGTCATCTCCTTTTTTTAATCTATCCATCTTTGTAGCCCACCTCCCCTCCACTTCTTTCTTCCTCCTCCACAAACGTCACATTTCAATATGTTGTGAATGAATGTTACATTTCTATATCCGTAGGATAAATAACTGTCGTTCCTTCTTTGAAGAAAGTCTCTATCCACACAGAGAACCAAGGCTATCTTAGATTTAGATCCTACTCTTTTTTTTTTTTTTTTTTTTTTTTACCTCATTCCAGATATTACAAGGTTCGGGAAGTCCCAGCTTCATAGAGTTGTAATAAGACCTGTGTGTTCCTGAATCAATTTGACTTTGCCTTCATATAAAAAAACTTACTTTTCTCATCCTTTATACAGTACATGTACTTGGCCCTTTTGGCACAGCGTGGGCTCATCATACAAAAGTGTGAATAAAAAAGATCGAGTTGGAAAGACCAGCAGATACATGATTCGAACTTCAGGAGTCCTGGTGCAGCACAAGATTCTCTATGAACCATTGCCAGTAATAGAGCCTTTTAATTTCTAGCCTTGTCTCACAACAAAACGAAATGTATGTTGCTCCGCTTCCTTTGCAAAGCTTTGCAACGCTTCTCAATACGAATGCGATTGACAGAACCAGGTTTTTATCAATCTCGAAGATGATCCTAACAAGTTTGGGACTGCCTTCAAGATTTATATCCAACTTATTCCATCCTACCCTCATTCAGTCAGCAACAATAGATCCTGTCATCCATGGGTAGAATACACACAACAAGAGCAAGAGAAAAGGCGTCAGCTCAAAAGCTGGATGCTGTAAACAGATGTAGCAGAGGACATGAAAGTGCACAATGCATCCACTATAATCTTATTCACTCTAAGGTATTAAGCAAGACTTTCATGTTATGCTATTGAAAGTCCTGAGTCTTCCTTAGAAATGAAAGCCTGCAGTGTTTTTCTGTTTTGGTCATGAGAGACCAACAGATAATCACAAAGGAAGTTTGGAAGAAAAGACTTTATCAGAACAAGCTTTCTAAGCCAAGATTAACGCTCGCAAGAGTAGCAATAGCAAGCATCCAATGCCACTTTCCCGACATGGGCCAATTTTCTTGTACCGAAATATTGTGTACTCTCAACTGAAGACGAATCATGATAATGCTGTTGAAGACAAGGAACAAGGGCTTTTCTCTTTTCCTTATTAAAGACTTCAATAATCATGATCTTAACAACAATAATAATACTGGATTTTCGTATAAAATCCTCGCCGAGAACTACGGTGAGCTTGATGAACCTGCATCCTACCGCTGTAATAGCTACATTCCTATCCTTTTCAACTTGAACACACATGAGTTCAATTTAAGAAAACAGAAGCGGGGAGATAAGATCAAGTTCATGAAGTTCCCCCACATCCCATTAGATATCCGCATCAGTTAACCTACACATCCCGGAAGACCCAAAAAAAACGGGAAAACTCATTAAAGATGACTCAAAACCGAGATGTCGGTGTTAAAGAGTTTCTGCTACAATAAAAGAGGCCAGCCTCGCACAAGCTCAATGGAAAGATGGGGCTCTGGTGGTTTTTACGCAAATATTCTGAAATCGGAATATTTAGGCGAGATTTACAACAACCGGAAGACGACACAAAGGGAAGCATCCTCAAAGCAAAAATCGGTCTCTTTACTGCTCCTTGTTCATCGCTACAATACACTGCGTTTCTATACAAAATACAAGTAAGGTCGGAAATGGATGGGTTCCGTGCTAGATGCATTCTAACGTTGATTTTTTTTTTTTTTTTTTTTTTTTAAAAAAAAAAAAAAAAAAAGACCAGTACCGAAGTGATTGTTTGAAACTCGATATCTCGAATGTACTTTGAAATTGACACACAAGGAACCTACAGCTTGGGACAGGTTGAGTGCCAGAGGATCGGAAGCTCTCGGATTCTCAAAGAGTAAGGACACGTAACATCGTATCGATGGATAACGAGCATCCAACATCTTAATCGTTTGTATTTTGGCCTGGTTAATTGTAGCTATCATGAGTCCATCAGTCAAGACAAAAAATATCGTTGAAGGGTGTTCCAACTCCAAATGCGAAGCTTCCGGATACACACGAGCACTCAACAATAATGGCGACCATAAGGAAGTTGTATCTGTTGACCGTCACTCTTTGATCGTCATGTTTCTCGAGGAAAATATCTGATCTAAAAACATTCATTGTATTGAAAAACATCATCGCCCTCTTCACCGATGGTGGTGTCATGGAGAACCTTTGGATGACAATTTTATAACGTGTGTAGCTTGGAGTGGCTTGTGAGTTGACAATCCACCCCTTTTTTGTAGTTTCCAGCGTTCAAGTCATTGCTCTTGTAATGCTTAGGCATTTGTAATGACAATGAACAATCGGCCATTGACAATTACCAATTGCCGATTGACGTTCATTACTTGAGACAGAAGCATTGTAGTTTCGAAATCAAGGACTTACTTTTAAGCCAAGATGACTACTATTTCAGTATGCATGTGTGTGAATAAGTGGGGTAGAATGGAGTGGAGTGAAGTGGAGTTTAGTGTGTGTTTTGAGTGTGTCATTGTTCTCCTCCTTTCCCTTCCCCCCTTTTTTCTTTTTTTTTTTTTTTTTTTTCTCATAGTGTGCGCTGGACTGCACCTCTTCCCAGCAAAGGTCCTTTTTGTTTTTTTTTTTTTTTTTTTTCTTTTTTTTTTCTTTGTCTGCTCTTCCCTCTTTCAACTCTTCTCCTCTCTATTCTCTATTCTCTATTCTTTTGTTTTCTTTTCTTAATCCAAGAGCACTAACGACACCACCTCTCTTCTTCGATACTCATCCTTACTCCACACTCGTCGCTGCTCCTGCTCCTGTTGTTCTGCTCTGCTCTATTCTCGTGCTTCAATCTTTATTCCTACCCCTGCTGCATTCTGCCTATCGTTCTCTTGTTGCACTTTTACCTCTTTTTGTATTGTTTCCTCTACCTCCATCTTTTATATACATTTTTTTCCTCTTTTTACCTTGTACAGCACTCCCTCATTCAATGGCAAAGAGAAAGACCGCTGTAAGGAAGACAAGGCACTCTGCCGGAGGTGACAGTCATCCCTATCGTGGAGGGAACAGTAGCAAGCATGCTTCTGCTTCCCCTTCCCTCGCCTCGTCACCGTCTCCACAACCACAAGATCTTGTTCAACGGCGACGCAAGGGCACGCCCTTTCGTTCTCCTTCTCATGGAGACACCTCCAAAGGCATCGTCTTTGCTTTTCGCATCAAGAAGGACGCCGATCTCTCCATGGCCGTTGACATTCTGAGTTATGACCAAGTTCCAGAAGAGGGTTCGGCCACAAAAACAGCCGCCAGTAACAGCAACGACAACGACGCAGAGGCAGTAACATCAATGGCAATGGTAGCAGTATCTTCGGAATCATGTGGACTCCATGAGAACCACACCAACAATGTCAGGACAGAATCCACTATGACCTCAACTCATCTCAGAGTAGCAGGAGAGCAATGGTCAAGCGATCCAACATCGTACCCCAGCAATAATGTCATGGACCTGACTCGCAATATGTTGATTCTTCACTCTCGAAAACCTCATGACTTTACCTCCTCACCCTTGGCTTCCTCGCCATCCTCACCTTTATTTCATCCATACCGCCGTTCCTCCACGGCGTCTAGGTCGTCGTCCTCATCGCAGCCATCGACTCCACCATTAAGCGATTCAGGGTCTTCATCGTCTGCTTCAAGCTCCCCAAGCTCTCCCAGCTTATGTAGTGAACCTCTCAATAGCAGCATCGGTAGTGAAAAGGACCTTTGCGTGCTCGATGCATTTCCTCCATCACCCTTTGATGCCATGAGGTCACAGCCGGCTCGCATGCTCAGCGTCCGAGGTCTTGGGGCAGGAACGAGGAGGATGCAGGTGTATTTAGTATAATGGGAGGCTGGCTGGGTTGTAATTTTTTTTAGTTTTTTTTTTTAACTCTTGGTTGCATTGTCAGGTTATCATGGTTTCCTTTTTGTTATTGTTTGTTTTTGGTTTTGATTTTTTGGTTGAATAAAGATTGCTTGTTTGCTCATGGCATAACAGGCCGATAGTAGGATACAAATTGACTATGTGGAGCTGGTACACAAAGAGTCAAACGCCGTATATACGCACAGAGAATTTTTTCAGAAACAACTTCGTTTGCAACCATGTACGTATTTGTTTGGGCTTCTAAAGATGCAGAATCTCACGCTTGCTTGAATGGAGAGCTTTTTTCGAAAGAATGGCAGCAATCATTTTGTCATTTCGCTCACATTACATTTTAATATTGCACTGCTATGAGCATGTGGGCATATTTATATTCAATCAAAGTATAAAGCATTGTTGAGCTAAAAAAAAAACATAAAAAAAAAAAAAAGGTGATCTTACACCAATTCTCCTTTTCCTTTTTCCTAATCTTTCTCCTTTCCAAACACATCAATGATCTTGCCATGCATGATCGCACTAATTCTTTCATAATGCCTCCATTATAACCCAGTCCTTCCTGTGCAATCGTTGCAAATTTAGAGGACAGGGTTCGTTCTTCCATTGTTCTCACTTCAATAAGCTCGCCCCTCTGGATTACTATAGGACCATTTTTCTGGACCTACAAATGGTTGGAAACCATTCGAATCCAGCCTGATGTGTCCGCATCAATATAACTTTCCAGCTTGTGCTTCCTTACTTCTTCAGTCAGATCATCAGACTTACGCAGACAATGTTTCAAGGTTTCAAGTCCGGTGTGACTGGCTCATGTGCGGCTATAACCATTGGACTTACAGCTTAAAGACATAATATGTTTGCAAGACCTAATGTATATGGAACACATCAAACATATTACCTAAAAAAGTTCACTGATACAAGTACGAAGCATTGGAATGGTATGATTGGAATTATGTAGGGTAGACTTATCAGTTGTATTGAGCAAGAGTATGAAGAAAAGAGAGGAATGCTGATAATTGTTGCCCATCCAGAACCATGTCAGTTACTCATGATTAAATTGGCGAGTTATTGACTTCACGTCGAAGTTAAGGGTAGTATGTTTAGTCTGTTTAATGCTGTGTAACAACTCCCTTAAACTCTAAAAATAGGCTATCACACGGGATATTTGTTTTGTTCAAATAAAGTACCCATCAACACACACATCTGGCCAAAAGTAATCATTGTTGCTAGCAGAAGACCGTTCTTTTCGGTTAGTCCTTCTCAATTACAAGAACTTTGCTAAGTAAACCATTTATACTTGAAGGGGCTTAATCAAAAAGAGCGACAAGGTCGACACTCTGGTTGCTAGACGGACGCTTTACATTTGGCCCTACCATAGCCGCCACTAAATATTTTGATCTTAGAAGCGCCTCTGGATGCATCCCTCAGCCCTAGTACGTGATAAGCATTGGCATATTCCTCTCTAGAACCCACCTATGTCTTTATACACTATTTGGTCTTCTTTCCAACAATATCGAAAAAGTGATGGGATTTGAAGATAGAAAGAAAAAAGTATCAAAAGTAGGGAGTGATGGTGTATAGGACTTCCAAGGAATAAATTGCAAGCTATTGATACCTATCGCAATTTTAAATTACAGACTAATAATTGGATCTTGGTTTCTACGTGTAAGTTACCCATCTATTCTACTCAGTAATACGGTATTTCATTAGAGTACCAAAACTTCTACAGATCTGTGGGGGCAACAGACCACCCAAGTTTTTGTGGGAGCGTAGAGCGAAAACGGTCAAGAACGCGTGACATAGAGGCTAATAATCTTCAGTGTCATGCTCTAGATGTGCCTCCGCAGGCCTATATAAATATGGGTAATGGGGATGATTTTGATACCTGACGTAAAAAGCTTGACGAGCACGGTCATGTTGCAGAGGTCATGTCCACTTACCAATGACCACCATCCCAAAGACACGCGCCAACTCGAAGAAAATTTTCCGAGATCCAACTGAACAACAAGCCCTTAGGCAGCCTTCTTGACCCCGATGGTAGAGAGGTAGCGCTGGCGACCGGATGGTGTGGCACGAACAAGAAAACCTTGATGCTGGCTACGAAGGTCAGGATCCATCTTTCCATGTTCTCTCATCGCTTGCGGGAGGAAAGGCGATGTCCCTTTTTTTTTTTGTAAAAAAAAAAACCCCCCATCGAACTCTCAGCTCAATAACTTAGTCACAGTTTTATCCTGCCACTTACGTCGCAACCATTTGTGTTGCTCTCTTAAATTTTGGTATTGACTACTCCTTATTATGGGCAAAATGACATTACCCCGCCGCTTGCACAGCGCACGTTCGCTGGTATTGTATGGAGAGCAGCATTCTAAACGCGACGTGCGGTTTTTTCCACGTCAGTTATATCGTCAATTACCTAATACTTTACGCTGCTGAACTTTTTGCCACCCCTTTGCTTTCTTCCTTTTTCCAGGCGCTATGGTTGCCTGGACGGATGGTGATATTGAGCTAGGCTATTAGAGATTGAGTACACGAAACGTATCTGCAATAGGAAGCGAAAGGTTATTTTAATTGGGATGTCCAGGCACATAAATAAAGAAGGGGCTCGCGTAAGGCTTCTCTGATCCGCTCTCATCCATTACTAAATATAAATCATATGGGACATCAACTTACAGCGACCAGGGAAGCTAGAGTCCATACATAAAGTTACTGCAGTCCTTGGCGCTCATTAGGTTTGCCCTTGATCCAATATACACCGTCCCGCTTCATTAAAGAGATCTTTCTCAGCTGTCCATAAGAAATCACCAAAGATGTGGTGGTGTCTGTTGGCGATAAGAGTGAAAGTTTTCATAGTTTATTAACGTTTTTTTTTTTTTTTTTGTTGATAATATTGTTGTCACTCTATCGATTTTTCTCATGCGAGCATGCCTTTGGTTGGTTTCTGTGTATCCACTCATATCTGTTTTCGCTAATGAATGTTCCTGGTTTCAAGGCACTGGGAGTTGATGAGATGTGGGCGTTGCTTCACAAGGATATCACACACTGTATGCAATAAAGGGGCGAAGCGGAAGGATATCCGAGGTCATGTAGAATTTATCATATTCCAAGGAGGCTCGTAAATATAGCGGAAGAAAAAGAGAAACACAGTTATAGTGGAGTGTTGCCACCATTTTAGATAATGCAATTTATTTTTTACCCGTGTAGGAAGCTAATAACTACTGTGGCTGCTAAATCAAGAGGTTGTCGAAAAGACTCGATATGCGTATATCACGTGATTATTATTTTAGACCCAAAAAAAAAAAAAAAAAAAAAAAAAAAACTTCCATTGGAATGTGCAATAATAAATATCCATGCTCTCAACCATTCCTCTTCCCCATTCACAACACATAGAACTGTCAGCCCTATCATGAGCAATTCGGTTAATCTTGTTTTCCCCACCCCTAATCTTGAAGAAGATTTGTAAAATGAAATGCCATTTGCGCCCCCATGTAGCTGTATTGCTTCGAATATTAAAAAAAAGCATAGCCTCCGCACCTTTTTTTTTTATCTTTTTCTCATGCCCCAACATTGCCGCACATAGAAGCATAAATTTACCTTTATCATGCATAGTCAAACCATTCATTGGTGATGCATTATTTCCTGTTTCCTCAGTTGATTAAAGCCATTATCTAACCACACACAATAAACGTTTAACAAAGAGAGCTTTGTCACACTTGGTCAAAAAAAGTCCTCGGATCCAATGCAAAGTCTATTCAGTCTTGACTTAAAGTGACATGTGAATAAAAAAAATATCAAAAAGAAAAGGAGAGAGGGAGGGAAAGACTAAGGCATTAAAAAAAAAAGATCTAGGAGAACCATGCTTAGCATAACATGTATGCAAGACAAAAAGTCAGGGCTAGACAAGGGTGAGACAAAGGGAAAGAAATAGGGAACGATGGTCAATGTTACCAAATCGCTTTCACATTGAGGAACAGACCTTTCTTTTGCCTGTGCTCATTGGATTGTGCACAATTAGACCTTCGTTCTGCGCATGTAGGAAATGGCCATGCACGCCACGTAAATATATCGATCGCTGTTCTTGTTGAAATGATATAAATACCCCTCACTTTATTTTGATCTTGCGATAGATAATTTTATTCTCCCCTCTCCCCAAATCATTACCCATATATCTATGACTTCTGGAGAAACTTCCACTGTTGCTAATGGCCAAGAGCCTTCCACCTCAACTATCACAGGCCATGCGCACCTACAAGGACACGGACACCAACACACAAAAGTCCATGGTGTCCTCCCCATCGATCAATATCTTGCTCAATATCCACTTCTGAGCAAGGTATTGAAACAGGACCAAAGGAGGAAGGCTGCTCCAGAGAAGCTATCGATTACCACTCGTCATCTGGATGAATTCACTGCTCCTCACGGTCCAGAGCGATCACAAGCTCGAACACAATCAATTCCTCTACCCACGCAAGCCGAGGGTCCTACTAAGCCTGGTGGAGGCATTTTGCCTATTCCCCATTCTATGCGCACTTCAATGTTCCAAAAGAAGAAAACAACACGTGATCAACCACTGAAGAAACCATTGTCGATCCGACCAACAGAGTTTATCAATTACATGATGGATGGGACAGCACAGTATGTACACTATCTGTTACACCCAAGTCAGATTCCGGGACGAGATCTGATCAGTAGGGTCTACGCGATGGGATTCCTGCCCGTTGCGCTTCTTGGCTTATTCATCGTCCAGATGGGTATTGGATTGTTGGTCATTCTTGTCAATCATACACGAATTGGGGCATTTTACTATAAAAAACTTTTTGATGATCAGATCGCACTTTTCGACGAAACAGGCAAGGAAAGAAGGAAAACGGAAATGTTGGGAGTTTTTTTTTTTTTTACTTAGGCTCCGATTATAATCATATGCTAATTTTCGCATCTGTTACTCAATTACTCAACCAGATTTTGTTGATCCAGACGGAAATGACGAAGCAGTGCGACAGTTGGCTGAGCAGACACCGAGGGACAAACCTTATTTTAGCTACCATATAGCCAACTTGCTATTGATCATGTCTAGCATGGTCTACCAACGGGACGATAAGCTCGTGGCTCAAGCATCAAAAATCCTGCTCAATGTTCGAAACCAGGAGGAACGTGATAGGGCTGCAGAGTTACTGTTGGAGAGTGAACGGGTCATCGATGAGAACTCGACCTGCGAATTCGGAATGCGCTTCTCAGGCATCAGTGAGCTCAAGACCTTGGGAGGACCATTCGCAGGTCTTTTCTATAACGATGAATCCATCGTCTTGGTCTTCAAAGGCACTTCTATTTTGGCCTTCAGTAAGTATAAAGGAGTCAAGTCTTTTTTCCTTTTTTAAAAATACTGTTTAAATAATTTATAATCATTGACTTTTTTTTTTTTTTTTTTTAAAGACGAATATCTCTTGGATATGACGCTCCAGCGTGTTGACGCGAGCGAATATTTATATGGCGAGGTCCACAAGGGCTTTTATGAGTCTCTTTTCCCTGATCCTGCCCCTTTGAACTGGTATGAGAGGATGACGCTCGATAAAACCCATCCATTCAATACGATAATGGAGACTATATTTGAAACTGCCAAAGTAGGCAAGGCGAAGACTGGCAAGCCCGTCAACCTTTGGTTCGCGGGCCATTCACTAGGCGGATCCCTTGCGTCGATAGTGATGGGCCGTCTTCAAATGATCGTTCGTGATACTGATCCTCTGATTCAAGAGGAAAAAGAAGAAAGTACGACCACGGCTTCCCATCCTCATCCAAGTGGAACTAGGACGGTTTTGCAAGAGATGTTGGCCAGATTTAGTAGCGATCCAGATCTGTTAGTCCTGCGTGATTGTTATAGTGTGGCGGCACCGAATATTGGGGATTCAACATTTGCTGAAGAATTTGGACGTAACGAGCTTCGTTATTGTCAAGGAAGTCCCTATAAGCCGGCATACTGGCGTATTGTCGCAGATAAAGATATTGGTAAGCCATAAGATGAAAAAATACATGTGTATACACTGTTCTCAGAAGCTGCAGGGACGACTCAAAAGTATTAACTCTTATATGTCAATAGTGCCATGGTGTCCCCCGAGTCTCAACTTGGACCCAAATGAACCCTGTCGCAAATTAAAACCATCCCATAAGCGCTCGAAGGGAAAAGAGGGTACATGGCTTGAAGCTGAAAAAGAGGAGGATCGTCAGGCGAAGGCCGAAAATAGGACAGAGCCCAAACATATGCATTCTTTGTTGGATTACCAAAATATAGGACAGCATATCGTTATTTGTCATGCAACTCACAAACCTCCCACAATCAAGCCTTCATTGTATGATCCTGATTTTACTGATGGAGTCTTGAGATCAAGAGAAGAGGTGCAGAAGCTCCTTGGAAGGCTGGCTCAGATTGCAAATGCATGGAAGGTACAGGCTCTTTCACAAGTGGAGGCGGAGGATGGTGGTAGTAGCAGTTCTGACGACAGTAGCAGTTCGATTCAGGGCGATGATAGCTCCTCTGGTGCTATCGCCACGCCCCCTACATCCTCCTCTACTTCTTTCTCTTCTACTACATTGGTAGGATCCGATGACTATGGAAAGTTGAAACTATCACGCGCTCAACAACTTGAAGAAGACATCGCTAGAGCTCAAGAGCTATATGCCATCGATGAAGTGAGCCGCCTTCGTCAACCGGGTTATTTGGAAAGCATCCTTCTAAAAATCCCAAGTTTGCTTTCCCATGCACCCGCTGCTTATCAACGTAACCTTGTCCAGGCTCGGTTCTACTTCAAGAGCTTCCCAGGAGCTGCATTTGAGGAGCGAATGGAAAAATGGTTTGAAGGAGACAAGTTTGAAATCCAGGCAGACTTGGATGTGAGTACGGATGTAGATGTAGATGTTCGGGCTGGTGTGAAGCTAAGCAATGAGGAGTGAAAACCTGTTGAGAAAGTGAAAAAAAAAAAAAAAAAAAAAATAAGGATATCACATATATTTGCCATACCGATAACAAAAAATATTTGGAAATAAAGATGAATACGTTTTTAAGGCACACGTTCTTTTCTTTGATTTCTTTTTTTATTGAATGTGTCAATGATGTTCGTAATAATACAATGATGACATGATATACTTGTACAATTGTCATGAGAAAAAAAAGTCGTTAAAAGTCATTAAAAAAAGGTCATTAAAAGGAGTCATTAAAAAGGTCATTACTTTTTTTTTTTTTTTTTTTTTTTTTTTCACTTCTTCATCAAGAAGCTAAATATCGAAAAAGCAGAGCATAACTTCCGCTCCTTTTTGATTTTCTCAGGCTTGATTTCATCAACTTTGTCATTTTCAAAGCTCTTCTTCGTCTTGTTCTTCCTCTTGTTCTGCAAAGCTTTGATGAACGTGGTCGAGCCGTTGTGATTCTTCGTCTGGCTAAGGTCAATATCCTCAACCACTGGATCCTTCAAGCCATAGCCTAATCTATAGCGGCTTACATCTGTCTCAGTACTGCTCCTGTCGTTCGACTCGTATGAGGATCGAGTCATAGGATGATCGTAATGATCAACTCCTTTCATATATAACGCTGACGGCAAGGTAGTGGCGACAACAGTGGGAGCGACTCCATGACCTCTCGTGGTATCATCCGAGCATCGGCGCTTCTCCAGTTCAAGACATCCTCCAAAAGTCAATGGAGAATAAGGAGACTTAATACTGGTCGAACGTGAGAGTGACGATGAGCTTTGGGGTGAGTTCAATGTAGAAAGCGAAGGTAACGAATTAGAGGCCAGTGATGAAGGTGTAGCAACGGAAATAGAAACAGGTGGGACGGGAGGCATGTCCTTGAATCGTGCTGGAGCTACACCTCGAGAACGGACAGGGGCTGAAGATAAGAATGCAGCGCGTTCAGCAGTGGAGGGCCGACGCTCTCGTGTTGATGGAATCTGTGCAAGTAAAAGAGGCTTGTCACAGCTTGGAGAAGTAGAGGGTGATGGTGGTGATGGTGACGACCTAGGAGAAGCATTATTGCCGCTGCGCGTCATCGATCGATGATCTAAACTTCCAGAAAAGCTGACAGAGCTGCTCACGCTGCTGCACCGACTTAATGAACGTGGTGAGGAAGTGGATGAGGACGAGTAAACGGACGAGCTTGATGTAGAAGGCGAACGTTTGAGATAAACTGGACCCGGTGCGGGGATTGGAGAAAGGGCCGAGGCAGGGCTGGTGGGCCTGGACGATAACGATGGACGTGGGGAAAGAGAAGATGAAGGAGCTTGTGTTACAGTGGAAATGGAGAGGGAGGGTGCAGACAAAGGAATCCAGATGGGATCTGTAGAGCCAGAACCAGAGTTGGGGCTACATAGCGTTTTAGAGCTGCTCTGATAGGTGGGAATGGATGGAATCACATCAACAGGCACAGGTGCCGATCGCTGTTCCTTTTCCTGTGGTGATGATGGCGATGGCAATGAGGTTGTCGCTGTGATGGTGGGAGTAGTGGAGGTGGCAGTGTTAGCTTTAGCCTCTGCTAATTTTATAGCTGCAACTCCCGCTTTAATGGATTCCATGGACGCTGGGCTATGCATGACAGCCAGCGACGTTGAGACAATTTTCGGTGATGAATCTTTAGAAAAAGTAGTCCTGACTGGAGTGAGTGAAGCGGAAGAAGAAGAAGCGGAAGGAGGGAATCGAGGGGATGTTGGCGATGGGAAAGAGTCGCTAAAAATGGAAGGTGAAGTTGGGGAAGGGGGCAAGGCATTGAATAATGGTGGTTGCTGATCGGACTCCTGATATCCAAAGGTATATCGAACACATTGCCTTCCCTCTTCAGGAGATTGAAGAAGTTGTAGTTGCTTCTGTGAAGGTTGTCGTGGGGAAAGCATAACGGAAGATGTGGTGGACATTTTTTTTCTTTGCTTGTGAATCGTAATTGTCGTTAAGTGAAAGGGAGAGTGTGAAGAAGAAAAAATTTACAAATGCAAGGGCGGGAATGAAATATGTTACGTGAGAAATGCGCGTTAGGAATGTCAACAGCAAAAGGACATTAAAACTGTGAATGTACTCAAGTCAAAGGCATAAAAGTTTTGAAAAAGGAAAAAAAAAAAACAAAACAAAAATAAAAAAAAAAAAAAAAAAAAAAAAAAAAGTAAAAAAAATGGAGGGAAGAGCATCTCTTTTTATTTGAAATGTGGGTCAGGGGAAGTTCCAAATGATTGGGCAACGTTTATTAAGTCAACTGCAACTGACTTTGCTAATGTTAATTAATTTTGTTATTTATTTATATGTTTGTAAATTATATGACTGACCCCTCTTTTTTAGAGTGATGATCAAAGAGATTCAGGCGCACGGTAGAATACCAGAAGCAGACCATGAATAGAGAGCAAGAGCAAAGACATAGGCCATGAACAGGTACAGGGAAAAGAACAAGGACAGGAGTTGGAGTTGGAGCGGAAGGAGAGGAGAGGAGAGGAGAAAAAGGGTGGGGGCTCTTTTCCTATAGTCCGTTCTCTATCCTCTAGTATGGATAGTATCCAAGTCAACTATTCAACCATTCATTTATTCACCCTTACTGCAACAATATGTACATTGTCTATTGCGTTTCCTTCTCATACTAACCTGAGCAACCGTCCGTCGTGGTATTTCTAACCTTTGGCTGTAGTCAATCAGCCCGATCAAGGCAGGCTTGCTTTGACTCCTTCTTTTCTTTATTCCTTGTCCTTTATCCTTGTCTGTACCATGCACAAATCCTACATCTTTTTTAGGCAGTAATTAGTTCTGAGCAAACACGAGCCACATCAATAGAATTAAAAAAAAAAAAAAAAAAAAAAAAAATTCTACAATTGCCCCTTTCAACAGTTTTTTTTTTTTTTTGTCTGTTGGCATGGCCTGTTCTTGGCTCAAAAGTCGGTCTCGGCCCATTTTTCCTCGGGATCTAAAATAGACCGCCAAAAAATACAACAGCGTACACCGTTTATTCATAGCAATTTTTGGCTTACTAAATATGCCAAAAGCTACTCTATACTTCTTACTTTCTTTCTAGCCTTGCATCGATCAATCGATCTTCATTTGACCTTTTTTTTTTTTTTTTTTTTTGCTTCTCTTCACCCACATCTCACTCACACTTCATGTTTGCATTGATTTTATGAAAAAAAAAGATGCATGTGCATATTTGTTTTGCACAGGTGTTGTCCGTGCTGTGACCAAACAAAAGAAGAAAAAAAAAATTGTTTCAGGGACAGGGGAATTGGGAGCAGATTGTCAAGCGACGATTTTTAGTCGTCAACCTGGGGATCAGAAAAAAAAAAAAAAAAAAAAAAAAAAAAAAGATGAACAGTAATCTAAGTAAGCTATCCTCTACAAATCAAATTAAATAGATTTATTTTATTTTTAAATTGCAATGAATCCAATGAATAAAGAACTCAACGACTAGCAAACTTCAATAAACACCACGAGACATTTATAATTTATGAGGAATAAAATATAGAAAGACGGCGCGGAATGGACAGAAAAGGGGAAGGGGGCACCGAAAGGAAATGTTGGAAATATAGGAAATGATTAACATGGACTGATTACGCGGGACACCATTCAATACTCTATTCAAAAATAGCAATATAAAGAAAAAAGAAAAATGCGCTAGGAGACTTTTGAATTATAACATCAGCAAGCATAAAATAGTTCTTTGGAAATCGGAATAAAAAAAAAAAAAAAAAAAAAAAAAAAAACTGCTTTTCAGTTCTCATTTCATTCTAATATATACCAAGTAACAATAAAAGCACAATTACGGAGAAATATGGACTTTATTTTTATTACCTTCGTTCATTTGTGGGAGTGAGAATGAACAGAGAAAAAAAAAAAAAAAGCCAGCCCTCTCTTCCTATTTTCTTGAATATATTTCAACTGAACATGAAAGGCTTTATGAATGAGAACAAAAGATGAGAGGACTAACACCTTCAAACATAGATGGCTATGGCTCTCAGTCAATATCGATGCTGCGTTTTTCTATTACATTTCCAAAGAGTTGGGCTTAGCTAAAGGTGTAAGATAATCATCGATCACTCATTAAATCTTTTATTATTTATTATTTATTATTTCTATTTTTTTTTTTTTTTTTTCATCTGACCGCTACAATTCGTGTAGGCCGCGGAGAGAATGAAGGAAAAATGTAAAAGTGTGAAAGTGAATAATTGTTCTTCGTTCTTTTTCCCAGAAATCATTCCTTGCCTCATGAATATAGTTCAAAGACTCTAATTATTAAAGTAAAAAAGAACAATGACAAAACATACTTTGCCAGAGCTCAGCCTTTTTCACATTCAAAAAATAAACTCCAAACGAATAAGGCCCTGGCCTCCCCCCCCCCCCCTGACTTGCGTGTGTAAGCATAAGCAAGAAAAGAAATTGTGCCTTAAATGGACTAGTCACTTTCTCTAATGTATCTTTAACGGATGTTTTTTACTCCATGAAATATCAATCATCCGAGAGTGAACATGACATGCCAAGTCTGTTATTTGTAGCAACCGCCTTGTGTGTTGTGATCGAGGAAAAATGCGAATATTCAGCCGTGCATCCGCCACGGCTCTCATGTTTTGTTTGTTCATAACAGTCAAAGGATTGTATCGGTGGTTACAACTGAGAATAATGGTTATTTTTATCTCTTGAGAATGTGGCGGCAGATCGTTTCTTTGTTCCTCCGCGGGAGAGAATTTACAATGATGTGTCCGTGTGCATATGATGCTGCATGTAAGCAATGGAGATTAGAAATTGATGGTTGAATGGACCAGTTTGGTCCATCGTTGGCTCAATTGTGGGCCATTGAATGGACGTGCCTGCTGGTTTAATCATCAAACAACCACTGTTTGTATGACAAATCATGTTAACGGTCAACGGTCAACCTTGCCTCAAAGCTACATTACATTGCATGTTGCACAGTGCTACACATTACACACACACACACATATATATATATATATACATACAAAAGTTGCCACTAATGCATCATTTATTACTTTATATTTTCAATAATAATCTGACGGTCTCAAGCACCCTACAAATTGTACAAAGGTAAATATCAACTGACTTTTCAACCCCAACTAAACCGGATCAAGTTTATCACTATCACTACAATAACAGCAATAGCAACAACAACATTAATAGATACATCTAGCATACGCGCCCAATTGTGAAACTACACTTTGATTCAATGTTTCTTTGCAGGAACCGTCTTCTTCCCCAATTAGGATCAGAAGCGCCCAATTTAATTAAGCCCAGTACAGTGGCATTCATGCTCGATGACCGAATCTGCGTCATCTAGCTTTCAAGCCAAAAAGGAAAAAAATAAAAATAAAAAGTTGACCACAACAGCTCAAAATTGATGCTGCGCAAACTTGCCTTCTGATCCGTAACTTAATACGTTCTTTAATACTTCTAGTACTCAACCTGTGCTTCATTATCACTACCTGTCCAGCTATCGTGCTTGATCGATTGATCATGGCTTTCTTTTTTTTTTTTTTTTTTTTTTTTTTTTTTGGGGGGGGGAGGGGAACAGGGTATTGAGTTCTTCCGTTGTAGCCCCTCGATGACATGCGCACAACTGTTTGTCTCCAGTCACTTTAATTACAGATTACAGAGCAAAAGCGGCCAAATGTCACGTGGATATTTTTTCTTGATCCTCGCCTCGTGTTCAAAAAGGCTGTGGATTAAAGGACGAAATTTGTTACAAACTCATAGCCTAGAGATATGAATCATTTCTATACTTCTGATCCAAAGGAAATGTCTGATTCTGAATACGCTCTCAAAGGCATTACGGGATACCTGTATCCTGAAAAGTTCGCGGATACCATTACTATAAACCACGACGACCTCTTATATCATGAGTCTTCTTCCGCTCCTTCATCAAACGAATATGATTACAAGGGCATTGCTGGCTATATCTATCGGAATCCGCTTAGAGAAGCAACTCCTTTGCTTCGTTGGTGGCCAAATGAAAATGTTGTTCACTTTTATTGCACTGATCCAAGGGATGAAATTGCTCCAATAAGTGGATACGTATTTGAAGGAATCGCTGGTTATTTACTCTTTAATCCAGTTGAGGTGACAATACAATTATTTCCTAAAACTAATATCATATTAACACCAAGATTGCATTCTCTAATTAATGCTTTTTTTTTTTTTTTTTTTTTTTTTTTTTTTAAGTAAAGAGTCGATTTGGTTACATTTAAGACAAGGAGGATGAGAAAGAGAGAGTGATTGACAATACAAATAAATTCAGCCAGCTAAAGGTCGAATTGCTAGGTGGATAATTATCAAGCATCTAAAAGAAGTAATGGCAATGTAAAGCAAAGTTGGATGTTTTTATTCTACATGCTACTGGCGGTTTAATAACCTCGCGCCTAGTCTTCCACTGCATACTTGAAGATGGGAAGGAACCCGGGCACCATAATGCAAGAAAGCACTGGCAGATCTATATATTCTTCATAGTGCGGTCAAATCATGTCAATGAATAAGCAAACTTTCTCTGATTGCTCATTCACTTGATCTTGCTCTTTGCGCATTTGACATGCTAACTGATACTGGACATCTAATTTCTTTGGTTCTTTCTTCATAATCTTGAAAGATTGACTAGTTCCTTTTGAGGAGTCAGCACAAAATACTTCAATCAGAACATAACCTCATGGAAAGAACTTTCCTTATTTCAAATCCAAGGATAGAAGACTAGAGGGGAGCCTTCAGTGGCAATCTGGAAAATAAGATGCGTGCGCTTGAGCGTAGGTTGTTTTTATTATTATTGCTCGTTGGTTAGGTAGGAGTTGTACACCATTAGATCGAGTCGGCGGATTTAATTCGCACTTGGAAGTGCTTTCCGGATCATTTGATCCGGCGATAGACCGAGCCCGTCCATCCATCATATTCTTCTCAAAACAAGCTTACTCTGGTAGGTTGTAGGTAAATTCTTCATCTTTTTTTTTTTTTTTTTTTTTTTTTTTTGAATTGCTTTAATTACACTAGTGAATATGAATATAATGCAGAGAGCAAGGTGCCCTTGAAATAAATAAAATAAGAGATGAGGAACGTGTATTGGCAAATTGTAGAAGAAAGCCTGATATTTATATGGGTCCTCTCCTCGAACCTCCTCGTCGGTTGGAGAGAGGGAAAAGAAAAAAAGAAAAAAAAAAAAAAAAAAAGAAAAAAAAAGAGAAAGAAAGAAAATGACGTTATTGATTTATACCCCAGTGCTGTAGGGTTGGCGCTGATGGTATTGTGGTTGCTGTTGAATTTTCTGTTGTTGCTGCTGCTGTTGCTGGTATAGTTCTTCTTGCTTGAGTTGCTGCCTATGGTGCTGGGCCTGATATGAGGTGGCTGAATGGTTGTCAGTGCTTCCATTGTTACCATTGGTGTTGTTATTGTTGTCACCGTTTTGTTGGCCCCTGCTCTGGTCTTCATTAGCACGTTCCTTTTCCTGCATAGCGGCAATTTCAGCTGCTGTAAGGAACCGTCCTCCAGGACCACGTGGGCGTCTCATGGCATGGTTATGACGGGACAAATGGAGGAACTTTTTGTTATAAAAAATAAAAAAAAATCAGGTTAAGGTAATTGAAATTTCATTTTTGCAAAAAATGTTCAGTAGGGAACCACCATTAATCTCTGTGGAGATATTTTAATACCTTGCGGCCACGCTGTTGCAATCGGTTCTCGGCCTCGAGACTAGCTCGAGCGGCTCTTCGTTTCAGGATACGATGATACTAAAAAAAAAAAGAAGAAAGTATTAGTATATTTTCCAAGTATATATCGCCATGATATCGAAAAAGTAAAATATTAAGAGAAAAAAAAAAAGAAAAAGAGGAAACAAAAGGAACAGGGCAATGAGAGAAGAGATAGAAGAAAAGAAGAGGAGGATATTGAGTATATTTGTCCCTATGCCTATTCTTTTTGCCACTCGTGTCCACATTCTACCATGACCCTATCCTTTTTGTCTGCTCTAATGAAAGTGAAGGAAAACCAACGATGATAGGCTGGACCATGCAAGCCAATCATTTCGCTGTAGTTTTCGGTCGCGTCCTTTGAGGACAAAGCAGGACCAAACAAAAAAAAAAAAAAAAAAAAAAAAAAAAAAAATGCTAGGAAAAAAAAAACCAGAAAGCGCGAGAAAAAAGAACACCCTCATATAATACTTGGAAACAACATAGTCAAAAAGGAAGGTATCTGAGAATGTTTTTCCGCCAGACCGGCCAGGAAGAGCCTTTGTTCGCTGGAAACAATGTGCGTTTCAATCAAAATGAATGGAGACATGGAATGCAACGAAATCACCGTTGTAATAAAAAAAAAGACTTTTACCTGCTTTGCATTGACATAGAGTGGTTCCTCTGGCTCTTCGACTCGAGGAGGAGCTACTTGACTGAGAACATATCCTGGAGGCATCATATGCTATGAGAGCCAAATAAAACAGGTTTCTCCTTGAGTACATCAATGAAGTGCATGTGTTGTGATTTGAATTTACTTGACAAATCGCTTACAGGATCGACAACTAGAACACCACCCATGGCTCCAGCATATTGAGCAGGCATGTGTTCAAAGTGATGAGAAGCGCCTCCATCGGAGGGTTGAGGAGATGAAGACGATGCGGGTGGGGCAGGGGAAGGAGAGGGTTGGTCCCGTGCACGGGGTGACGATGGCCCTGTTGCCTGAGTCATTGTCCCTTCTTATTTTATAGAAGTATAAACAAATAGATTGTCTGCTTGACTTGAGTGGTAGTGATGGCAATGAAGAGCAAGGGCAGCAAGGACAAAATAAAAGTCGATCAACTGATGGCGATAGTTGCTTAAAAAAAGAAAAAGAAAACAAAGTATATTTGCGGTAGTGCAGTACAGAAGGAAAGGTGAGGAAGAAAATGTCATGAGAAAAATCTTTTTTTTTTTTTCCTTTTTTCTTTGATAGGGATCAATCTCCTACTTGCTCATGGATGGCGTGGGTTTGAAGCAACTCTCACCATCATCATCATCAGCATCATCACCCCGCTCCCATCAACAGATGTTTGCATAACTGTTGTCCGTAATCTTTAGCCTATAGTCTATAGTTTGCTCATTGAGTCAAGGTGCAAGAACCTTGCCATTCATCTGAATCTGAATCCTTGGTCAAGTCGAAAGGAGCCAGAATCTTGGTGAAACAACTCTTCGGTTCTTTAGACATTTTCAAACAAGGCATATCAGACAAAGCCAAAAAGAGAAAAAAGACCTGCACACATGGCTTTCCGTTTCAGCGAGAACTTTAAAAAATTGACACAAAAGAGAGAGCTGATTTGCTGCGCTGGACGTTGTAGTCGAGGCGCACATTCTGCAGACAACCTTTAAAAAGAGACGCAAGTCGCTATGAAATAAGGATGTGTGATGCAATCAAGACTACGCTGTAATCATTGTAGGCACGAGAGAGACAGGCATGTCTTGTTTGTCTCCACCGTTTGATCAGTACTTCAGAGTTTGGGGATATAGTCCTCCATCAGGACAATCATGATATCTCTGAGCAGGAACAAGCTGTACAGTACAGTATGCTGCATCAAATGACTCAACAAATTGCCATTTCATTTATCAGACGATTGCCAACCCAGCATGGGCAACGCAAAAGGATTTAGGACACACATTGCGGGGGCACAACTATTCCTCGTCATTGCGCTTTATATTAAAACCATCATTAACGGTCTGTGGTTCCCGACCACATGAGGAAATGCAATAAAGAATGATAGTTCCAGGATACTTTGGTAAATCAATTAACTGTAGTATATAGCAATTTAGCTGCACATGAATATGTTATATGTGTAAATATATATATATAAATATACATATAAATATACTTTTATATATTTACGATGTTCCCACTCCTGTTATTGTTGGTTGCTCATATCCAGCATCCAGCCACCTGGTGAAATAACCGAATTTGAATGTTTAGTTTGAAATGTTGAAATACAACCACAATTCTTCCACATTTCATGTGAGGAAAGGGTTCTTGCATGAATAATCTTTTTTATCTACTCCGAGCACAAAGTAGTTCCCACCATAACTACTTGTAAACATGGGAAACGAGGCTCGGATCTAGCTCCCAGGTAACAATGATGAAAAAGTCTACTAAGAAAAACGTGAATATGCAAAATCCCAAGTTTGCTAATAAAAAAAAAAAAAAAAAAAAAAAAAACTGCTTAAATGCGTTATAGATGGTAATCCTTCTCATTTTTCGAACTGAGGTGTCTTTCGCAATAAATGAACCAATTTGGGAGAAATGCGCGCTAATGCGTAGGATATCCCGGCGCGTGACAAGGTCCAGCTCTAGAAAGTGTATCTTTTGGAATAAGAGTGGAAGGGCATTGGTGCAGGGTACGAGTGGAATCAAATATCCACACCCCGGGTCACCATTTCATCTTTCCCCCCCCTTTTTTTTTTTTTTCTCCTTTCTTTTCCTTATCACTTTCAGCATCCTTTCATTTGACTTTTTATTTTTTATTTTTTTGGCTTAGGGAAGCAGGATTGATCCATCGATTTTTCCCCATGCAAACCTAATAAGTTTTTATATTTATTTCGTTGCACAAAAGAAATTGTACTCTTGTACGATTGAGATACAGGGAGAGAGTGAGGCGAAGATGACAAAAAATATTGCGCTTGTACATCTACAGTATAGACTACACATTCTGTGGGGGTAATGTCAGCGATGTTAAAGCATGACATGACAAGACAAGACAGCGATCGAGCACTCGAAGGTAAACAAGATGGACTTTTTTGTTTATTTTATATTTCGATGAAAGCCCATTGTCCCGTGTTGCCCTTGCTTATTGTTTGTTTCTTTGTTTTTTTAGACTTAGTCTTCACATTTAAACAAAAGTATAGAAAAATACACATTCGGTACACAGCCCAAAGGAACAAAGAAAAGGAATAAAATAACGTTGGTTCTTTCTGGCTTTCAAGCTTTCTGCCTCGGAGTAAAAAAAAAAGGCGTAGCAATCATTTTGGATAAAATATAGATTCATTATTCATTTATTTATTACCGCATGGATTGTGATTGCAATAAATAAACGTTTAATTGAATCAAATTGTCAGTCCAAGTTTCCTTTACTTCCATTGATTCTTGGAGTAGAGTGTACAGAGAGAGACCAGTTGCTGTACACTTTCCATGATAATGCAGACGGTATAATTTTATGCTGAGCTGAGAATCAAAGCGAATTTATCCAAAATAGAGCCAAAGAATTAAAATCCAATCCGATTCATTCCCAGAATGAAAAAGCAATGTGAATTCATTCAGCTGAGAATCCGCAACTACAAAACTATCTCTGCATGATCAATATAGCCGGGGGGGGGGAAATATCCTGGTCCCTTCCTGCATCCCTGTCCTTGTTGTAGTCCTGTCTTCAGCTGCAAAATGAATAAATGAAGACCTGCGTGCATTTATGCATGCGTCCTGCCTATTAACAGCTGAAAGAAAAAAAAGAAAAAAAAAAAAAAAAAGTCAAAGAGAGTCATTGTTCATGCTGTATTTTTAAAATGGCAGAGCAATGGAGATTTGTATTTGTATATTTCTGGATCTTAAGAATGAACAATACATATTCCCATGCGAACAAGGCAAACCATGACAAAAAGGCCCAGGCGGGAAAACACATGTCTTTTCTTCCTTCTTTAACTCCTTCTTTAACTCCTTTTTTTTTTTCTTCCCCTTTTTCTTCACATTGGAAATAAAAAACAGCATCGAAACCATTACCCAATCATCGCATGGCTTGCTGAGACCTTTTTTACGCTGCTACAACGGTCAAACCACACACTTCAACCATTGTCCTGATCCCCTATTTCTGACAGTCCATTCGTCCCACACTCTCTCTTCTCTTTCTTTTGTATTTTTTTTTTTTTTTTTTTTTTTTTTTTGGCTTCCCTGTCCAATGGAAACACCCATTGTCTCATTTCACTTCTTACTTCTCACTTACACTTGCTGATCTCTTTGTACCATCACTTTTTTTTTTTTTTTTCTTTTTTTTTTTTGCATTACAGATCTCATCAATCCTTGTCATTTTTATTACATGTACAAATTTACTTGTGTGAATACCATTGTACTTTTAAGCATAATATAAACCCTACCACCTTACCTGCACATATACCATCTTCAGCATTGGCCATCCAAACACATAAACTTTTTTTCTTTTTTTTTTAAACTCATGGCTGCCGTGTCAGAATTCTCGAGCATGGTGTCAAGACATGTCTCGCAGAGATTCCAATCACCGATCGCACCTCTCACGGAGGCTAACTTGTACAGACATACCATCACAGTAAGTCATGCGAACCAGCTCAACTCAATGGACTATAAAACAAAAATAAAAAAAAAAAATAAAGAAATGAGATGGCCTTTCTTTTCCCTTTTTTTTTTTTTTTTTTTTTTTTTTTATGGAAGACGATCGTCTCTTTGTTGTGGACTGACCATGTGCTATAGTACGACCTTGTTTGATTTGTGGATTTTTTTTTGCATGATTGTTTGCATTTTTGGCATTGTCTCCACCTTTTTTTATCTTTCTTTTCCATTGCCACGACATGCATGGGCAAAAAAAAAAAAAAAAAAAAAAAAAAAGACACGGTTGGCCAAGGCTGGCATAGTCTATCTTTTATGTCATTTCTCATTATCGTTCATGTCAATATCATGTGTCACACATTGTCCCTGTGTCTCCATTTTTAATTTGGCTGAGTGTGGTAACAGTAATAAAAAGCAAGGGACAAACATGAAAGGGGAGGAAGATGGGAGAAAACAGATCAAGTCGCACTGGTCGCCTAATTTAAAAAAGAAATGAATGTCATTTGGCCTATTTTACATGCTCTGCAAAACAAATCGATGGGGCGTGGGATGTGCAGGTCCCTCCGCTGTTCCTTTAGGACCTCATCACGTTGATGTAAAGATTCCTGAACCAGTGCTCTGGTTATTATGTATTTAATCGTATAAAAGAACCAAACAAGCGCAAGGGTCTCCAATTCGCGCATCATTAGACTTTGTGATCATATTCTTATCATTAACCTATTATTTTTTCCTTTTCCCCCGTCCATTGCCTTGTTTCTTTTTATTCCCCCCCCTCCCTTCCCCTCTTCCCGTCCTAATCAGCAGATTCCACAGTCGAGGGACGCAAAGTTAAAGCATATCGTCGCCTATGTTGAGATGCAACGAGGACTCATTGCCGGGGAAGAAGAAGTGTACCGCAGCGTAGCCGAGAAAGGTTGGCGTAGCTCGATCAGTGACAACAACAACAATAGATCTGACCTCGCCCTTGAGTTACACAGCTCTCAAGTTTCCTCTCCACATGTCCGTCAACACCCATATCGACAATTCGAACCTGCCACACAACCACATTATCAACAACAACAACAACAAGAACGACAAGTAACACAATCAAAACAAGACAGCTTTGAAGAATACCAAACTCGCTCCCCAAATTACCGTCCTCAACAAAGAACCCCTCCAAAGTCATCTGTACTATACCAGCATCATCTTCCTTCATCACGGCGTCAATCTAATTGTATCCCTGATGGCCTTGATCCCAGCATGGCCTTACCAAGGGCACTCCCTCGAAGTATGACCCATCATGATCAAACGCTCTATCGCGACTCCATTTTTTCAGGTATGGGTCATGAAAATGATTGGCAACAATTGGAGGAGCTAGATCCAGACAGTTTAGCAGGTATCCACCTCTATGGAGATACCACTGATCTTCAGCACCTCCGGCGGAATCCTTCCTCCCCAATATCTCCATCTTTACCTGTCAACAAATATCCTACCTATGAATATATGCCCGTCATCCAGAACACTGAGTGGCATCAAGAACGCCATCTTTCAAAAGTACAACAACAAAGAACCTTTCGACAACTGCAGTATCCTGATAATGACAGTGACGATGCTGAGGAAGATGAATTTAAAGCCGAACTCATAGCGCGACATCGTTATCAGCAATTGACGCCTGCTCAACAGTATCAGCAACAATATCAGCTTTTACAACAACAACGACAACTAGTATCACCACCCCCTACATTTGTTGAGAAAGAAAAGAAATCCACTCGATTCTCTTCCAGATTTTCGTTCCTGACTCGTCGTCAAGGCCATCAGAGACACGATAGTATGCCTGTTGTAGGCAAACAAGCCAAATCATCAGAACCTAATCGACCGGGCCATACTAGGTTCAACTCCTTGAATGTTCGTTCTGGAAACCGAGGAACACCTATCTTTGATATTCTGGAGGAACAAGAGGCACTACGTGGGCGTGAATATGCACGTACTGACACGCCTGCGAGTAAACCTAGGAGCAGCATCAAAGGTAATAGTCGCATGAAACAGATTCTGAAAGGCGTGTTCGGTATCTCCAAGAAGAAGGATATGCCCTCGCCCGAGTCGCCTTTCCGCGATATCTCTTTACCATCAACGCACATCCGCTCTGCCCTCACACCATCTCCCATGCAATATAATCAGCATTTTCAGCAACAACAAATGTATGCTGACCCAATTATCCATAATCAATACCATTATTCCGCTGCGGTGATTCAGCGGAAAGGATTGGTCACACCTGTCTCTAGATCAGGTACTGCACAATCTAACGATAACAAGGACAACGACAACAGCAATAGCAATAGTAACAACAATAAAAACAGTGGTGGACGAAACCCACGTGAAAGCCTTGTAGACCCCATTCAGCCACAACAGTTGGGATTCCGCAAGATGACACTTCAAGATGATAAGGATGATGACGATTATTTTGGCCAAGACCCAATGTTTTCGCCCTTCGGACAAACGTCATTAACGCCACCTCCTGCCTCATCTGTTCTCCGGCACTCCACATCTACAAACCGGATATTCAACAACAGCTATAACAACAACACCATCAATTATCATGGCAGTAACGCCAATTCTAAAATTGCCTCTGCGTTTGTTGCCCCAGTTCCTGCTGCTGCCGTCATCGATGATGATGATGATGATGATGATATTGATGGAGACTTTGAACCGCTTTTAGTGTCTTCATCAGTAACAGTAACTGAACAGCCATTGGGCAATGACGTAGTCGGTAGCCGCCACAGGGCTAGACGATCTTCTCAGTTAATGCCTATCCCGAAGGATTTAGTAGATAGCGGTTGCGACTCCATGGGTGGTAACGAGCCCTATGCAACAGCATCCAATGCAACGACGCTAAATCATAATAGTAACATTAATAACAACAACAACCAGAGCCAATTCTATGGCAGCCATCAGCAAAGCTTGAGCCAAAGTCTGCTCCAGCTCTCGTCCCAGTCGCCGTCTCAATGGCAGTCGCAGATGTTGCAACAGCAACAGCAGCAGCAGTCACTGGGTTCGCCAGCCGGATACGATTGTGCTCTGTCCGTATCGACCTATGACAATGGCCCGACTATCGTGTCCATTGCTGAAGTCCAGAAAGTGGATCTTGAGGGTCTTCGACAAAGCCATCATCATCATTTACCTCCTTCCCATTCGCATCATCTGAGCATGGTTACCATGGAAGCCCCATTGGTTTAAAAAAAAAAATAGATAATCAATTTTGTTTATTTTTTGTGTCTATAATAATAAAAGAACTATCACAACAATTAGCCTTAACAAAGAAAGTACTGTTATTGCAGGTTTAAAAGGTAGAACGTTCAAATATGGTGGTAATTCATGGTCATTTCTTCATAAACATATAGACAAAACTATCAATGAACTTAAAATAGTATGTCTGGAAGAATCTTGCGCGCGCCTTCATTTGTCTCTTGATTTGCTTGAGCTGGTTGACATCTGCAACAATGATCTCAAAAAAAGACAACAAACATCAAGAGAGGAGGACACGAGCGTTATTTCGCAAGAGCTTCCCTTCGCTGGATTGATGGTCACGAGTAGAAAGTCCGGACTTAACCAAAGAACACCAATCTCGAGTTTAAAACAGAACCGAACTCGGTTGACTTGATCTTCCTCTCAGGCTTCATATTTTTTTTTTTCTTTCTTTACTTTGTAAAGCAATATCTCCAAAAAAAAAAAAAAAAAAAAAAAAAAGTTTCTAGAAATAGGTTAATAAAGAGGAGAATGACAGTTATATATTATGCATTGGGATGAAAAGTAAAAAAGTTTAAGGAGCAAGAGAGGAAGTGCAAAGAGCAATACTCCGAGCAACTAGAAGGAAAAAAAATAGAAACAAAAAACTAATGAAAGGGGGGAAAAAGCCTTGAGAACAAAAGACAGGGGAAAAAAAAAAAAAAAAAAAAAAAAAAAAGACTACAAACAGGTGGTGCAACGTCCAGCTCAACTGTTCCAAAACAACAACATACTCATGGACAACCAAGCAGGCCTCTCTTTTCTTTGCTTGGCAGTTCTGTAATTCAGATAGAAAAAAAGGATTTTTTTTTTTTTTTTTTTTTTTTTTTTTAGCCCATGCCCTGTGTCCCCATATTTCTCGTCTTGGAATAGCTTTTCCTCTTTCTCCAGGCAGCACCTGCTTGTGAGTGCTTTTCGGTTGTTATGGCCATCCTTTATTTTTTTTCGCTCCTGCTCCAGACTGCCCAGAATCCCTTCGGTGAAGCGGAGTAAATATGACTTCTTCTCTTAATTTTGGCATGATTTTAAAACCAAAATGTCCCACATTTCAATGTCGCATATTTTGGACTTCATTCAAAAATTCACAGTCCCAGGGGAGTATAAAAAGACACTGTCCCCCGGGCCCTATTAAGCTCCTTACATTCATCAATAGGACAACTATATCTGTATGAAGACCCTACGGGGCTTCAAACATTTATTTCAATGATGACAGTTCTTTGTATTATTCAACTGAATGATTATAAAAAGGCTCCTGATACCTTAATATCCTATTGCTCAGATGAATGGTTTCTTAATTCTCCTTGTCACCCATTGACAAGTGGTTCAGCTTTATTATTATTAATCTTCAAAGTAATCAAGTCAATAAGAACAATCAGTGATTGCGCACCACATCATCAACCGCTTGTGCAAAGTACTTAACATTGGAGCTGTTGAGTCCTGCCATAGAGATACGTCCATTATCTGTCAAATAAACATGATATTTTTCTTTCAACACCTTCACTTGTGGTGTGGTAAGACCTGTAAACGAGAACATGCCAATCTGGTCTACAATATGGTTCCACTTGCCAGGTGTCCCTAGCCGTACCAACTCATCATATAGGGCCTTGCGCATGTCAATAATCCGGTTCGCCATTGTCGCCAGATTCTTCTCCCATTCTGCATATAACTTTTCGTCACTCAAAACAGTGCTTACGATTCGAGATCCAAACGCAGGTGGGTTTGAGATGACAGCTCGTTGGGCCTTGGCGATCTGTGACTCAATTTTGGTTTTGATCTCGGGTGTCTTGCTCACGATTACCAAATTACCAGCCCGTTCAGAATAAAGACCAAAGTTTTTGGAGTATGATTGTGCAACAAAGAGCTCGAATCCACGCTCGACAAAATACCGAACAGAATAAGCATCCTTGTCCAGGTTACCGGATGCGAAGCCCTGGTACGCACAATCAAAGAACGTGAAATGGCCCTTGGCTTCCATCACATCTGCAATTTGTTTCCATTGTTCAGGTGTGGGATCCACTCCTGTGGGATTATGAGCACATGGATGAATCAAGAAAATAGAACCATTGGGTGCTGTTTGCATTGTGTTGAGCATCCCTTTCAGATCAAGGCCCTTAGTCACAGGATCCCAATAAGGGTATTCGAGCACGGGGATTCCGACACCCTCGAAAATTGCACGATGATTTGCTAGTTGTTTTCATGGTTGAGTAAACAAGAAGATTAGTCCACATTGTGTCTGCACATGCTGTATAGGCCAAAGAGACAGAAATGAATATTGGTTTATAAGAATATCTGAGAGCAACAGGACGGATCGGACCTTAGTGTAAAGTGTAAAAAAAAAAAAAAAAAAAAAAAAAAAAAAAAGAGGGAGAATTCTGAAGCATATGACTAAATGTTCTAAATGTTTTTTGTCCTTGAAACTAAACGTACCCCAGGTTGGTTTTGAGATGTAGCATGCTGCATCTTTGATAGGATAGTGTTTCGATAGGAAGCTTGCTCCGGTGTAAACAGCTCCAGTCCCGGAGATGCACTGAGCAGAACCGACCCGGCCTTCCATAATTGCCTTGGAATTGGCTCCAAGGATCAATTTAGCAGAAGCCTTACGGAAGGACTCTGATCCGAGGATGGGTAGGTACTCGTGGTCCAGGTTGTCATCGTTGACTAAAATGTGTTCCGCCTAGTGAAGATAATATCACCATGGTTATTCAGTCAATCGAGCTTATATTTTCTTCTTTTTTCCCTCGTAGCAGATAACTAAAACAATGGTTGTACGAGCTTTTTACCTTCTTCACTACAGGAAGGACCCATGGTTTGCCTTCCTCTGTACGGTAGGCTCCTACACCAAGATTGACCTTCTTTGGATAGGTATCGGCCTTGTATGAGGAGGTCAATGCAAAGATGACATCGGCAGGCGCTGCATTGACGTTTTGGAAGACAGAGGCTAAGTTGTAGAAAGCTGGTTAGATGTATGTGTGATGCCTACGGCATTGTTGTTGTGAAATCCAAGTTGTTTTATACTATGAATCAAGGCAAAGCCCATCCTTACATGTATTGGCATTGTTGGAGATATGGTTGCTGATCTGCTGCAGGCGAAGAGCAGGAGGGTTAAGAGAGGATGTCATTGTGAATGGCTGAAATGAACAAAAGAAATGAATGAGACGACAAAAAAAAAAGTGCAACCACGCGCAGTTGCTTTATGCGAGCCGGAAAATCCCAAGAACACGTTCGGAGAGGCGCATGGACCGCAATTTTATCGAGTGTGGCATATGAATGTCTGGAACATTTACTCTATTGACCCTTTAATTTTTTTTATCAATTAACACATGGAATGGCATCGTCTTTACGCACCAATGGCTAATCTGATCAGCATATAATCAACTCATGATTTTAATAATACGTACTGTAAAGTAAGGTGATATTAGATTAACCCACCATGATGATTGGCTATTCATTTTTTCTCAGGGACATGGAGGGTGTGGGAACACTTGATTCTCTTTGATGATGTAACTTACCCAAGTCCTCTCGCAGTTGTGCCTTTCAATATTTCAATGTCAACGGCAACCTACGTAATGCATCTTTTTTTTTTTTTTTTTTTTTTTTTTTTCTTTCTTATTTAATGAAATGAAGTCTCCCTCAATCTACTCTTTTCTTATTTGCGGAAAATTCAAACAAAGATTCATTGACAATAACGACCTCGGCTCTAGTTGTCGTGTTTAACACCTATTTAATGAGCGGAGAGGGTAGGTTTCAACTCCCTGGCCTGGTTCGAATGTGACCGATGGAAGTTTATGTATGAACAGAGTTGAACCAATTGCCAAAGGAGACTGCAGGGTAGAAGTAACCAGCATTTGCTTTACAAACAATCTGGAGGTGATCACTTTGGCGCACAGCAGAAGTCTTGGAGACATCCCTTTTACGACTAAATGCATAAAAAAGGGTCCAAAAAAAAAAAAAAAAAAAAAAAAAAAAAAATTCAATGTTCTCGTCGATATCGAAATATATCCAGTATTCATTTCTGTTCTGGCACACTCTCGATCTCAGTCGGAGCTTTATATTCCTAGACATGACGGATCCACCAAGGAAGCTTATTATTGTGTAAGAAACCCTATTAACCGCAAGCATTGGTTTGGATGCTGTCATCATCATTATTTTGTCCTGCATGACGCTTTTTGACAGTGTAGATTGATCATGTCGAGAATCGTCTCTTCATGTATATAAAAATCCTCTCCACCCACCCTTCCTTCACCTTCACAATTCTTTCCTTTCTTTGGCTGTTTAATACTCCATTAGTACCATAATTTTCTCTTCATTCCTCCGTCTCTTTCCTGCTTATTTCGCCTTATTTACTTCCTTCCTTCTTTCCTTCGTTGTCATTCTTGTTCGTGGAACGTTATTTATTTTACTACCATGAGCGAGCAAAAACAAGAACAGCAGCAACAGTCTCTATACCAATATCAACACAGTAACGATGAACCACATTTTATGGCCTCACCACATGTGCCTCCACAAACCCATGTCCGCATTAGTCCTTCTCCCGGCTCTGACAGGAATTTAGCATCCCATGTCGCCACCGGCCTCTCCGAACAACAGCGGCAACGTGGTCGTACTGCCTTCTTTTCTCATCAAGACTACAATGGCCCTAAGTCCAAGTCCAATCCGAATTCCAGAGCCACGTCACGTTCCCGCCCAAAGCCCAGCTCCCGATCTAACTCTCATTCTCGTCCAGTATCATGGTTAGTTCATGCCAACTCGGAATACACATCTATGTATGATAATTATGGAGGATCTCGTTCTCGTCGAACTTCGTCGGTGGCTGTAGATGAAGATATTTCTTCAGCCGTGGAAAAGGGTCGACTCTCCTGCCAGCCATCCCATGCTAAGAATATTAGTGGTGGCAATATAATTGATGGACGCCCATATCTGGATAAGAATGAGGAGCGATCACCTTCAGGATCATTAACACCATTATCACAACCAGCAGATGGAGTGTTGATCCGTGCGCATAGCGGTAGGATGGATGAACAAGATGTACCTCGAGGAACTGTATCAGCCACAAAAGCTAGTTTGCTGCTTGGAAAGGCATTTGTTGGTACTGGAGTGCTCTTCTTGCCTAGAGCATTCATGAATGGAGGTAGGAAAGGAAAAAATACAAGGTCTTTGAGGAAGAAGAAAGGGTAACTAACGCTTCTTGTTTACTTTTTTTTTTTTTTTTTTTTATTTTTATTTTTATTTTTTTTTTTTTAGGTATCCTGTTTTCTTGCTTCATGATGATAGCAGTAGCTTTCATCTGCTGCATTGCCTTCCTGTTGTTGGTGAGAGTTCGATTGATAGTTCGTGAGAATTTTCAGAATATGGGATTGGTGCTATTTGGCAAGTACATGCGGTTAGCAGTGCTGTTGTCCGTGGCCATCTCTCAGATTGGGTTCGTCTGTGCATACCTGATCTTCATCTCTCAAAACCTATTTGCAGTGGTACAGACATTTTCGAAGTGTCAAGCCGATCATATCGTTCAAGAGAAGTATTACGTTCTCTTCCCCTTGGTTGCCTTGATTCCTTTGGTCCTGATCCGTCGTATGGCCGTCCTGTCATTGCCTAGCATGTTCGCCAATGTGTTTATCATTTTTGGTATCATATACTTGTGGTATTACTCGATCAACGAGTTGGTCCATAATGGCGCAGGGCCTAATGTCGCACTGTTCAATCAAAATGATTTTGCGCTGCTTATTGGAACTGCTGTCTTTTCTTTTGAGGGGATTGGCTTAAGTAAGTAATTCTGTGATGGTTTTTTTTTTTTTTTTTTTTTTTTTTTTAGATCTAATAGAGAAGGATACTTGTCCTTATCGACTTTTTATCTTTATTTTTTACAACTATTACAAAGTTATCCCTATCACTGAATCCATGGCGGAGCCTGAAAAATTCCCTCGGGTTCTTGCGATGACCATGACAGTAGTAGCCTTGATCTTTGGAAGTGTAGGTGCACTCTGCTATGCGGCCTTTGGAAGTAACGTCCAGACGGTTGTCCTGTTAAACTTACCAATTCAAGGTGGGATGACTATTACTGTCGAGATCCTATATTCACTCGCCATCATTTTATCTGTGCCTTTGATGTTAACACCTGCGTCCAAGATCATTGAATTTGGCATCTTTGGGGAAAAGTCTGGTGCCGAGTTCTTTAAGGTCAAAATGTACAAGAATGCGCTCCGGACTGTGCTGATCTGTATATGCGCTGTGATCTCGTTGGTAATCGGTAGTTCCAACTTGGACAAGTTTGTAGCGTTTATCGGAAGTGTGGCATGTATGCCCCTTTGCTTCATCTTTCCCGCCTTGTTCCACTACAAAGCTTGTGCAAAGACTATGAAGGAAAAAGCAATTGATATTGCATTAGGAATCTTTGGAGTAGCAGCTATGATCTTTACATTGTTTATCACCATTCGTAGTTGGGTCGTTGTTGGTGCACCCGAGGCCCATTTAGATCGTTGCTCTGCCTTCCGCTAGGAACAGTGATTTTCACCACTTATTTTAAAAAAAGCGTGTTTAGGGTCCCTTATTTAAGAATACAATAGCATAATTTGTTTATTTGATCCTTGTATCACCACAGAAAACGCGTGCGAGTCTACAATTGAAAAGTTTAGGGTAGGATTCGATCTTAAGCCACTTAGATCGCTCATAAAGAACTTCAACAGAAACAGATCAAGTCTTATTCATTCTGCATCGGCTCAACTACAGGAAAAAAAAAAAACTCATCAACATCAATCATGTTTGCATCCAGGAATACAATTGTCCGTAGTGTTTTGTCTGCTAATTTCAGGAGAACTGTCGTTGCTCATCAGCAACAGCAGTTTAATGCTACTGTTAGGAGTAATACTCGCTCGTTTGTTTTACTAGTCAGGAAAGGCAGCAGTATTACCACAAGCATGAACACAATCCACAGAAAGGATCACCAGGATAGGAAAGGATTTGCTACTTCATTATCATTCTCAGATTTTTCAAAAACTGGTGATCCCTCTTTGGATAAGGCTCAACAATACATGGAAGAAGGCGTCGAGTTCCAAAGTAACAACATGCTTCCACTTGCCATGAGTTCATTTCAGAAGAGTATCAATGAACATCCCACAGGTTGGTAACAATGAAAAGGAGCCGTTTTTTTTGTATGCAATACAGATCGGACAAACATTAATTTTTTATTTTATTTTTTATTTTTTTGCTACTACGTTAGCGGGAGCATATTACAATATGGGTGTTTGCTATTTCCAACTGGGGGATTTCCAATCTTCAATCAATTCATTCCAAGAATCCTTGAAGCTCGCACCTCATCACGCGGATGTCCATACTAATATTGCAACCGCTCATATCAAGCTTAATGGAAATATGAAGGAGGCTTTGAACCATCTCAAGGCCGCTGCTAATATTACACCTCAGGATGCGGAAATCCAGGTTAGAATTTTTTTTTTTACCACATCGTTAAAAAGAACAAGGTGTCAGCTTTTTTTCAACTTTCAACTTGTTACTGATTTTTTTTTTTTTTTTTTTTTTTTGATGACAAAAATTAGTTCAATCTAGCGGTTATCAGTGAGAACACTGGTGATTTAGATACTGCAATTAGCGCATATCAAGCTGCTGTCAATAATGGCCTAGAGACAGCTCAGATGAATTTGCGGAATGCAAAGACAAAAAAATTTGCAAAGTTGGCTAAAGAGGCAGAGTTTAAGGACAGTAAAAGTGAATAAGGTCATTAGTTTTATATCATCATAAAGAAGCAGTGGATACATTACCATTCTTCCACCCTTGCATAGCTTGTGAATACAAATCTTTATAGAAATAAATAAAAAATAAATTATAATAATAACAAAAAAAAAGGAAAATTTATTTTACTTTTTACATGAATAGCTATTTCAATTTTTACCGGATCTTACTGAGAGTATTGGACATTGTTCAAATTGACCTTGATAATTATTAGTACAGTTGCCTCTTCTTCCTCGCGCTATGTCGACTTGTTGCCCTATTCTGCTAGATCAATCAAAGATCTCTCTAGGCTTACTTGGCCCCAGGCTCAAAGCTTATGAGCTCTGGTTTCTTTACATCTTCATCCCCTTCATTCTCTTTCTTCATCGTAGTTGGCGCTTATGGGCTTCATGCCTAGCACTTGCTAGGCTATATCCATTCATAGATTCTCTTCCTGTACTATCAGGGTCCAAATAAGTTGCTAGTCGGTCTTGGATCCTTGGAGATGTTCTGAACGAATCCGTAATGGCTCCATACACATCATACCCGTTCCTGTTGAAACAACTGGCAGCTCCACCGTGTAATTGACCTACAATTCGCCCGTTAGCATCAAATAAAGGGGAACCACTTGACCCCGGCTCCGTTGTGCCCAAGCTCCATTTAGGGATCTGCCAATGGTATTGTTTCTTATCATCAAGGTCACACTCAGACCAACAGGCTTTAGGAAGTGTTCCATTAAAGAAGAAGGATATTTTTTTGGAATCGCCTGAAGGGTGGTGGATACCAACGATGGGCAACCGCTCCAATGAGGGGTCTCCCGGCTCTGAGGTTGATGTTGGCATGGGTCTGGATCCAAGAACAGTATCATTCCGGCGATCCCCTATGCAACCTTTATGATTAGCCCTGAGGTGATTGCGGGGGTTTCTCCAAGGGGATTTTAGTGGAGCAGAGGAAAGATGATCGCGCGGACGGGCTGAGGGAGCCTCTGGAAGCGCAGACCATCCTGCAAGGTACAAGTCGTACGCATCAGGGATGTGTTCGACAATTTCGTACAAGATATAATCACTTGGAGCATAGTTTCCGAGCTTGACAAGACCCGTGGCAGTGTCGTGCTCATTCACGACTTCTGGCCCTCCTCCACAATGGACTTTTTGATGATTGAACATGACCAGATGAGCAGAGGTATTAGAAAACCCGGCGCAGTGGTTAGCCTAAATGATGAGAAAAACAGCAGTAAGAAGAGACAAAAATAAGAAATGATATACTCTTGATCTTAACTTTTTTTTTGCTTTCTTCTTCTTTCGCTTACAGTCAGAAAGAGCTGTCGACCATCTTGACGAACGTTGTTAATCAGGGCGCCTGTGCAGTACTTTTGATTGTAGTCGGTCACTATGACACCTACGCTACGACTCTGATTGTAATACTCATCTAAATGGCATGCTATATCGATATTACACTTGCCAGACATGGCCTGAATTGGTGGCATTTCTTCATCATCATTAATGTTGTTGATGAGTGAAGACTTGAAGGCTTGCTTCATCATCGTCTCTATCGTTAATGAAGAAGACTGGTCTTTGAACCCTTTCCTTTTTATATCACCAGCAACTCCATCCATCTCTTTGATGCGACGACTCATTTGATATCTCGAAAGGATAGATCCATCCCTCTGTCGGAAGCCCTTGGAGGTCATATCGGAAGACGAGGCTAGGAGTGTGTACTTGTATCCGTGGACCACATGGCTTAACTGAATCTGTGGTACCATATTCTTTTGCATCAGAAGATGCTTCGGTGTGTAGTATTCTAGTAATAATTTGTCGCCTGCGACCGGCGCGGTCGCAAACACCCCGTCAGGCTTGTTGTTAACCTCGGCTGTGAATGCCCCCAGGATATGTTTCTTGCCGGAGACATAGAATTCAGTACCAGATGGTAAGCGGAACTCGGAGAAGATCAAATTCAATGACAATGCGGATTTCGAATGAATCTCGAGTTGCCAGACGATCACATCGTCATAGTTACCACCTTCATGGTCATGGTTTTGTGACCACGGAGGCTCGGGTGACGATGAAAACTGCTGTTGTTGTTTAAGTACCTTGAGCGGAATCCAGCGGCCTTTAGATAGTGTTGATTCTGTATCGAAGGATTCGACCGCAATTGCTTTTCCGAATTGGTATGCACCATCAGAGTCGCGGCCTTGATCGATTAGTTGTTGCTTGGCTGCTTCTTCATCGCTTAAGAGTTGTGCATTGTCCAAATGGGGTAACTGCAGCACCGGAGGTGCGCCTTGAACCTTCTGATGGTCTACAAATTTGGGGTATTTGGCCATCAAATATGGGAGATGAAAGAGATTTTTACTATAGGCAGAGCCGGCATAATTTGCATGGAACCTCCCAGGGACTGACACTTGAGCATCCACTACCGCCACAGACCCAGTATGTTGCTTTGAGGATGTTGCAATCAAGAAAAGGGCTGTAGACAGCGCCAGAGTTGGTGATAAATGCATTTTTTTCCTTCTGGTGAGAAATCTGGTACAAAAAAAAAAAAATGAACCGATATATGCCCAAAAGAGGGAAGTTGGTGAGAAATCCTTGCAATGAAAGGAGAAAAGGGGAAAAAGGAAAAGCCCACTGGTAGGTAGATAAATGGCTCTTTTAAAAGGTATCGGGAGCTAGAAGAATGAAAAAAGGAAGACTACCAAAGACCAGGATACATGTATACAAAAAAGATAACAAGCTCGCCCCTTGCCAGAGAGAATAGACAAGCTTACAAAGAACTTGGTTATACAGTAACCATTAAATTTGTAAAAATATTCTGCTCTCCTTACTTCGTTCTCTTGCTGCATGCTCAAAACGGACCAGATCGAGATAAAAAATCGTATGAACATAGCTATCTTAATACTAAACAGTATCCCCAGCCCTAGAATCGATATCGTCACTCTTGGCTTCAACATGATGATTTATTGATATCAGTTCACTTTTATAACTATGAAGGTACTTCCTGGAAATGCCAGAACTTCCTCTCTATGGTCAGTTTCTTCATAAAATACCAAAGTTTCTGTGTTTTTATTATTATTATCACTGTTCTATCCCCTGAACGCTCATTCACACGAATATGAAGCCAGTTGCTCGACCCAAGGCCAGAGAAGCTAATGCTCTCCTCAAGCAAGGCCTTTTCCCCTGACAGGTTGGCGAAAGACTCGGGATCTCTCATACTTCTGTGGCAAATATCCGTCTAAACGTGGCGGAAGATATCGTAAAAAAGCCAGTGGACCGTCCAAGGAAGGTTGGAGACGAGATAGCTCAGCATCTTAAGCTAAGGCTCAAGTGTGGTCTTTTCGGGTCTTCTATTGACGCTCAAAAGGAAGCGAACAAGTTACTTCCAAGCCCTGTATCAAGTCCCACCATCAGGAGGTGCCTTAGGAGGATTGGTATGAAGGCAAGGAAGGCTGTCAAGAGGCCTTTCCTCAAGAAGCAACACATAAGAAAGCGCCTCCAGTTCGCTCACATATACCAAGAATGAACTGTAGAGGACTGGAAGACTATCGTTTGGTCCGATGGGCCCAAAATGAATCGTATTTGCTCGGATGGGATAGACTGGGCATAGGATGACCAAAAAGAAGCCATCGGTGAGCGAACTGTTTGCGGAACAGTGAAGTTTGGTGACGGAGGGGATATGGGCTGTATGAATTGGACGGACCCGGCCGAAAATGTAGGATTGAGGAAACCATGAACTCAGAGAAGTACATCGGCATCCTAAGGAAAGATCTCCAGCGGTCTGTTCAAGATTGGGCATTGCAGAGGACGGGTTTGTCTTCCAACATGACAACGATCGTAAGCACATTGCGAAGGCTACCCAGGCATATTTGCGGTCAGTGGGCCTGACAGAAGAAAATAAATGATCATATTGAAGCCAAGAGTGACGATATCGATTCTAGGACTGGGGATACTGTTTAGCATTAAGATAGCTATGTTCATGCGGTTTCTTATCTCGATCCGGTCCGTTTTGAGCATGCAGTAAGAGAACGAAGTAAGGAGAGCAGAATATTTTTACAAATTTGAAGCGGTCTTGTGGTTTGTTTATAACAGATCGTAACCGAAATGCCAAATAGTGTTAGCCCTTGTCACTCCTCTTCCTCCTTACTTGCTTTATCTTACTTACTTTACTTCCTATTCTCCTCCTTGTAAAGACAGAAAAAAGAAAGTAAAGAAGAATGTGACCTAGCATGTTTATATTATTGTTTTTTTTTTTTTTTTTTTTTTTTTTTGAGTCTTTTTGGTGGGGAAAGAGCAATTACTGAAAGAGGATCGATTGGTAGTTCTTAGTCATCTGCGAGCAAAGTCAAAAGGAGAGTTGAAGGGGGATGACCAGAAGGAAAATAATACGGAAAAGAAAAAAAAAAAAAAAGGACTAAATTAGGAATCCGTTTGTCGACATAGCAATCTCTACACATGTATTCAGTTCATGTAACAAGTCCTTCGTATACTCGTGGAGAGATATCGCACAACGCCGATGGGTATAGATTACAAAGAGAGGCAACCAGTCCATGACAGAACCATCATATTACTGTTGGTCCAGTTTTTTTTGTTTGGACCTTTAATTCCACATCCTCTCTCTGGTAACGTATAGCAAGAAATCACTGTCTCTTGTCATCCCCAAAAATGTCCCTTAACCTTTTGACCTTTCAGATGACCTTTTTTTGGCACAGACCCATCCGAGACAAGTGCTTGTGTATAAATCTGCTTCATTCCTTACTCTGTTTCCTTTGGCCATTTGCAATGTGATTTTTGAAACCTTTGCACCTTTACGCCAATTTTTTTTCTCAACATCATAGTATGCATGAAAAGGGAGTGAGCTCTAAATCATTTATTGAGGTGGTGGAAAGTGAAAAGTAGGAGATAGGGTATAAGTGTTGGTCTTGCTTTGTGCTTGAGGTCTATGAATATTATGGAAATCTACAAGTATGGCTTTTCAAAACGTCATCTGCGCAGATCGCGCCTTGCCCATGGGATAAACCACCAACGCTGACGCAAAGAGCCCGACGCTTATGGCAATAGCAGTAATGACCATCTGCAGAGCAAAATTAACACCTCCTGCCATATCATCTGTGAACCAGGCCATGGCGCCCTTCAAACCCATGCTTCCGGGAACCAGGAAGAAGACTGCACAAACGACTGCTTGGAATGTCAGTTGGTGGGTGATTCGTTGATAGACATTGCCCATAAATCCAATCGAAAATGCTGCTAATGCGGACGAAACTTCTGTCTTTGCTCCGGCCCATGTTGATGTCGAGTATGAGACCATGTATCCAATAATCGAAAATACTGTCGCCAAGATCCATTGGCGAGGGTGAGCCTTCAGCCAAACGTTAAGTGACAGTGCAAATACTGGAACAAACAATATATTCCATTTGGGATCCAAAGACTCGGGACATGTTCCTGTCACTGCGGCAGGCACACTCCTGGGGTCGATCAAATTCCAGAGTGAACCTCCAATCGTCAGACCATATCCCAGGAGTAATGAGAAGATGATGGCATAGAACAGACGCACAGATCCGGAAATCATTTGACGTGAACAGAGTTCCAGAATCGAGCACGTGATGGTATATCCCGGCAGCAACATCACAATCCCTGCCATCTTGACAGCGCTTCTACATACTTGATCATGCAGAGCCTCAGCTATAAAGGCGACTAGAACAGACATAGTAACTTCACAGATGTGAGAGTAACTGGGAACTTTCTCTGAGAGCCAGCTCATTAATCCTACAAGACCCCCAATCAAAAACGCTACTCCGGCGTCTATCCAGTTTCCTTTGAAAAACATCGATGCCGCGCAAAAGGACGCCAAAGCGTAGGACAAAATATTGGCCCATCTTGGCCAAATATCCGGCTCTGCATTGATCGCATCCAGCTTCATGATAGCTTCTTCAACAGGTATGGATGAGTGAGCCACCAACTTAAGAACCTGATGAACCTGCGCAAATTTGTACATATCAAGCCCTGCAGAGGTTTTGAGCAGATGTGTTTCGGAGGTGTGAGTCTCGAAATCCGTAAAGGCGATAATCATCAAATTGGGCATATAGATGCATTGCAAGTTAAGCTCCAGTGTCCTAGCAGTATGATCAATGGCACTCTCGAGTCGGTGTGACGGCGCTCCAAATCGAATCATGGCCTTCGCTAACCGAAGGACATAATCCTGACGCTGCAAGATATCTGCCATAGCGAAGGTAATGCGCATCTTTTCCTCATCGGATAAAGAGTGGATAGTTGTACCGACAGCCGTGTTATCGTATGAGAATGAATCACGAGGCGAGTCGTTGGGAGAGTGAATGGGAGAGTGGCCTTGAGCAAAGGCTGCTGCAATCGCGTTTTCCAGTTGGGAAGAGCTGCGTCTCATAGCTGAAATATTATTATTGTGGCCATTACGATTGTTGACTGCTCCAAGGTTGGCTAGACCTATCGCGCTTGCGGTTACAGGTAAAGGTGGGTATGTACCAAATATATTCTTGTGGGCAAGTGAGGTAACAGAAGCATTGGCGGAACGTGAGTATAGCGTGCGTTTCTTTTTTTCTTTGTGTTGTTTGGGCGGAGTGGATACTCGATAGTGCTATGAAAAACGGAAGTTTTGTTAATGCAATTATGACGATTAGTGACATGATTGACAGAATTATAGACTAAATAAATTTTTCGGCACAGGAACACCCGAGAAATTCGACGATCTCTATTTTTGTAATCAGTTTTTCCATTTTCCCATCACAGCCATTTGTTACCTTGTGTTGACGACTACCGCTTTGCAGCCTGAGAAGATTGCTCAAAACACCTGTCTTGGAAGGCTGGATTGATGAAGGAGCAGGTTGACGGGAAGTAAAATACTCCTCTGGAACAGCTGTTGTTGCTGTTGGCTCACGATAAAAAAATCTAGAGATTCTGTGACTTTTGCGTTTGTCCTTTTCTTTATCCTTGTCTTTGAGCTGCTTCTTTTCCTTTTCCGGCAATCCTGGATCACTCAAGGTGAGGTCTGATTCAACAGTCCTTTCAGGCTCAAGTCGATTGGCAAGGACCTTCGGTGTAAGTAGCACGCCATCCTTCTTTCCCTTAGACACAGTGCTGGGAGCTGAAGTCGATTTCGATTTTGAAGAGCTCTTCATCATGATCGGACCATCTGTTTCATCATCGTCTTCTTCCTCATCATCGTTTTCTACAGATGCTCTGCCCTCTTTCTCAATCAGGTTGTTGAGGGCATCTTCCAGTGTCTTAACATGCTCCTCTGTCGCTTTGGAACCACCAGGAGTGGTTACTGTGATCTCAGGTTCATCTGTGCTGAGATGACCTGCAGAATATGATCGCCGTGCAACGGTCGCCTGTGGAATGGAGATATTGCTATTCTGAGGGGGCACAAGGATGGAAAGATTGGGCCGTTGCAAATTGGTGGCTGATCCAGAGTAAGCTCCAGGTCCATAGTAACGGTTATGTGATCGATGAAGAGCTGCACTCAAATAGTAATCTCGCAGACCATTAGGTGGAGTTCCTGGAGGCGAACTTGAAGCACTGCTAGTTCCAAGACGACGTCCCGTGAGGTTGGGGGCGAGGTTTCCATGGTGGATGTTGTTATTAGAATAAGTACCGCTCATCCTTTGAGGTACTGGGGGGTTGTATCGATTGTTGTTTCGCTGAGGCTGGGCATTAGCATTATTGTTGGTCATCGAGGATGGAGGATTGACGGCAGCAGCAGGCGGACCAGGATTCTGACTACCATTAGTAGGAATAGCTAATGTAGTCGACTGGAGCCTTGGGGGAGTGCCAGTGGGTGAAGTATGGGTGCTCATGACGAATATGTATGATTGTATGAAGTGAAAAAGGTATAAAATTGATTATTGTCTGTTCTATGTGTATTGCTTGTTAATTGAAGATGAACCGTGGGAGAGGGATAGAGTGAGAATCTTTTGCTTGTTAATTGAGGGATATTCAGGGCTTTGGTTTTGGTTTTTTGGTTACTGAATGTTTGTGTACAAGAAAAGAAAAGAAAAAAGTACAAAATCAAACAAATAAGAAAAGAGAGAAGGATGAAGAAAAGAGATGGATCAGAGGCTGCTTATTTATTTTATATGCCCGCTTTTGGTTTTTGTAAGCAGCCAGTCTGGCGTGGGGCGAAGGGGCGAATGGCAATTGAATGGAAAAATTATTCTAAACGATAAGTTGTCTCAGGATATTCAATTCCCACTCGTCATGAATGGCTGATAAAAAAAAATATAAATTAGAGCACACTCTTAGTGTTTTCTTTTTTTTATTATTTATTTATTTCCTCTTTCATTTTCACAGGAAACCATAATGCGACACAGTCCTTCTAGCAGGGCAACCTTACAAAAATAAAAAGGACAGCCGAGACTATCCGAGTGACGGCAGATAGCCATGATTGTCATCATCATCACCGCATTAAAAACAGCCTAGTGACAAAGAAAGGTGGGGGTTATAATCAGATCGCACACTTATAGTGTCTTGATAGTATACGACCCCGCGCCTGTAGACATGCAGCGTAAAATGTTTACACACGGCCACTTGTCTGCTTAATCTATAATCAGTAAGCTTACATCAAAGCGAGCAAGAAAGCAATAGGGCACCATTTGTCCTACCTGTTCATGTTCCGCCGATTTATAACCTACATGTGCGATGAGCTGTATCGTTAAATGGGCTTGCAAACTGATCTTTTGAAAGAGTGAAGATGTGTGTGGAGAGAAGAGGAGATCGAAATTTATTATTGAGTCTTTGCATTCCTTTATGAATAAGCCCTTTTTTTACTCTCAACACATTGGACTCCCGACACCATCTCCCTATTCCAGCTCACGGACGTGTCCTATAACTATCATTTTTAGACTCATGCTTTCGTATACACAGCAACGATCATTCTATTCAACAGTTGGACCAATCATGACTTCGGCGAAGCGGAGGTAAGAAAGAACTTGCGGATTGCTTACCGCTCAGCATTTATTTCTCAACTCTTTTTCGACCATCGCATGTGAGGAAAAAGTGTTAAAGGAAATAGAAATATATAGGGTAGCCAAAGGTGACTGACCTTTCTCAAGATTATCAAACACTTTTTTTTATGACAAAAAATGATGGCGAACTGTGTCTTGTGTACGTGAATAACCACCAATTTTCAAAAGTCGTCAAACTAGGTGAATATCATACGGTGACTATTTAAAAAAAAAAAAAAAAAAAAAACTGCACATACATAAAAGAATACTCCTGGCTCATGTCTACGTTGAATTAGTTCATTACCTTATCATCTTCCACTGTTAATTTTCCATATGCAATCTTCCGCATCATGACAAGAAAAGGCCCGTCTAAATCATGATCATCCGAACATCCTTTTATTTCTCAAGGGAAAAGTTAGTTACGTGTTACGCCATGATAAAGCTAAGATAACACAAGAAAAGCAGAAAGAAGGACGACTACGAAGAACAATATCCTTTTTTCTATTTTTTTTTAATCGATAGTTTGATTGGGTGTTTTAAAGTCTGAAGGCCCTTGACAAACCATTTAGTGCCTGTTTCAATAAAAATTATTATTCAAAGACAAAAATGGTAATTGAGAACTCGTTTATTCTGGCCACGCTTCTTTGGGAATAGTACGAGCCATCCAGGCCCGGGCCATAGAAGGTTATCAACCGATACAAGCATTGTATTAGACGAGCATGATCTCTGTCCACGGGCCGCAAGGAGACATCCATTTCAACAAACGTTATCCGGCCTTGGGTAACGCAGTACTTCGCCCAATTCATATGAACAATACCAGGGACAGCCACAGGATCCAATTGAAGGCATATCTAGTGGAAGTGTTGTGAATGATTCATGACCATGTCGATTCATGCCTCGGAATCGGCCATGAAGGAGCTGTATTTCCTTAATAAAAAACTGTAAAGAGAAATAAAGGATGCGATACGAAATTCAAGGAAAAATTGAGGTGATTAAGCGACGGAGTATCGAGTATTCTATTCCAAAGTAGGTCATGTCTGATGCTATTGCTCTGTCTTGTTTTCTTGCCTTTTCTTTTTTTGACTTGGTCACTTTGTCTATGCAATACAAAGAAAGAGAGTTAGTAATCCATTCCCATCCCTACCTATTGTGAACATATTTAAAAGAATGAGAGGACGTGTTTTTCCTTATTCTCTATACTTTCATAATTCATAATCAATAATCTGCTTCTAGCGTGTCCATTCATAATAACTTGGTCCAGCTCTTATAAAATATCAAGCACTCAAAATAAAGGATAGAATGCGTTTCATTCTCTCAACCCATCTGATGCTCAACATGGCCAACAAGCCGTGCTTGGCCTCGAACCTCGCATATCCACTAACAAAATCACAGCCGCAATGTTGTTCACAGACACCACCACAAGAGTTCTGCTTCCAGGAAGCAGTTTCGATTTGCTACAGCAGAACGCAGGCGTTCCAGTCTTGAGGGCCGATGTGATTGCCTCTGTAAATGTAAATATAGGCAACAAGGCTGACCTGAAGGTGGTCTTGCATCGTAAGATCTTTTCTCAGCACTACGACAATAGGGGTCATAGCCATCACAAGAAGCCTGCATTAAGGGCGAAGGCAAAGGTAAGGGCAAAGGCACCTATTCATTACAAAGTGAGCAAGCGCGCGCTTGAGCTTCATCCCAAGGGCCACCCTCACCACCACCGAAATATATTCAAAAACTATAGGAAGTGTGAGATTGCGGAAGAGGCCGCCAAGGACAAAAAGGCTGAAGCTGAGACTGAGTTGACCTACCACCGTATAATCAGTCGCCGCCACAAGGCCAGAAAGTTAGAAAAGAAGAGTGGTAGCAATAGTAACAATAAGAACTTTTGTACTCAGGGCATCAAGGGGTCTTTACAAAAACGGCAGGATCAAGCAGGTGCACCGGTAAATTTCATCCACTTCAAGCCACAGAGCAATTGTTCGATTCTGGCAGCGTGTTGCTTAAAATTTTTGGGTGTACTGAACCAATGTACGTTCTCTCTTCTAAAGTCTAGTCTTTTCAAAAAATGGCTGTATGTGACGGCGATATATAGCATTCAACATCCATTATCTATCATAGTCTATACAGACAGGACATAGTATCCATCCATCGATCTATCTATCCATCAACAGCATTTGAAGGAGAATTAGTAGGATCCTATTGTCCTTTGGAAGATTGACATCCACAGGAACATCATGGGGTGTTTTTTTTTGACAGGATTAATGATTTCAATCTTATTTAATGTGGAACTTTAAAAAAAAGCAGATGGGTGCGTTAATTAACAGGATCAGGATCGTCGGAAGCATTGGATAAGGCCTTATTTTCTTTTGTATGGACTGGACGGATCTTGTCAATGGCAAGAGACAACTTGAGAACTTAATGGACAGATTTCAAAACGTTAATCGATCTCATTATGAAACTTACGAATTGGAGAAGGCAGCCATTACACACTTTAAACAACCAGCAAAAGTCATTCTACTCCATTCTTACTACTGGGAAAGGGCTTTTCGCCTTTAGTAAATGTTCGGCAAACAAGGTTGACCTAATAGATCTACTTTCATCTCGTTTATTCGTCAATAGCGCACTCCTACCTTCCAGCGTGTCGTTGAAATCGGCCGTGTTGTCATGATCAACTATGGTCCCGATGCCGGCAAGCTCGCCGTTATCGTCGACATTATTGACCACAACCGCGTACGTTTTTTTCCTTAAAAAAAAAATCAGTATTTCTCCCATGATAAGAAGCAGGACGAATCCAAAGGCATTGTGTGGATAATGAAGATATTGAGGATCTATGTTATATTACGCAGAACCGACAGGGTTTGCTTCGAATAAGATTCAGTTTGGCTTCCATATAGCAATCTGATGGCATTCATCTCTGGATGGCTCCATTTATGGAGGAATGATTTCAATACGCTGAATCAATAATCAGCAAATCGACTCTTGGATTCAGTTCATGCCATCCTCAGTCTACTGGGGGATGTTATGCTTTTCTATGGGTAACTCAGCCAGCTACCTTGTTATCTTCAATAGCCATCAACAAATTAACAATAGCGGAAGTTGGACCTATGCGGTGATAGTCGAGCATCATAAGCATTTGATTCAACCTCAATGGAACAAAAATGAAAGCAACTACTTTGACAGGCTACAATACAAAGCACTAAACTGAAGCTGGGATAGGCGAAGAGGAGAGTGCATTTAATCACAAACTTTGGGCAACAGCGCTATTCTTTTTAACACGTTGAATTCTTATTTTTATCCTTAATCTTAGGCTCTCATTGAAGGCCCCACCACCGGCATTCCTCGCTCTGCCCATGCCTTCCGTCGCTTGACCTTGACCCCCTTGGTCATCAAGGTCCCCCGCAACGCTGGCCAGGCTGTCCTCAAGGCTGCCATCCAAAAGCAGGACCTTGCTGGTAACTGGGCTAAGACCTCTTGGGCCAAGAAGATCGCTTCTCGTGCCAAGCGTGCTAGCAACAGCGACTTTGACCGCTTCAAGCTTCAAAAGTACAAGAAGCTCGTAAGTTTTGTTTTAGTTTATTTTTGACTCTAATCCACTCTCATATTCGTGATATTCCAATATCTCTTCACCGATATCTTGCTGCTATATGTTAATAGAGACTAACATTGGTTTTTACTTTTGACTGGATTTTCTCAAATGTTAGCGTCGCGAGATCGTCAACAAGGCTGTCAAGACCACCAAGGCTTAAATATCTTGATGGGTTTGAGTCAGGTTGTCATCAAAGAAATAAAAAGAAAAGCACTGCGATCCATATTGTACTTTTCTGCTCAAACAATAACTAATGCCGATGTTTAACCAGACTATCAAAGTGACTTTATTTCAGGATTTTTGAAAAAGAAAAAAAAAAAGAAAAAAAAAAAAAGAAAAAAAACTATTATAAGATGTTGGTATGGCCTTATTGCTGTAGAATTTCTTTCTTTTTCAATTGGCATCTATATCTCGGATCTTGTGCTACCAAAAAGAGAAAGGGATGATTTTTCATATGCTGTCTACCCGTCCATCTTTTGTGTTTAAAGATCTCTGTCCGGAACAAATAGTTAATCTCATTTTTAATGATACTTAAATACTTGAAGGGATGAAAGAGGACAAGTGTTGATTCAATGCTGAATCAATACCAAGACAAAAAAATGAAAAAAAAAAAAAAAAAGGCATGATTCGAACCCCTTTACCTCTCTCGCTCCTACCACCTACCCTATCCTTCCATTTATTCGCAATTAAGATCAACTTTTCATTATTTTCATTTTCATTTTCAATTCTTTTTTTTTTTTTTTTTATTCATTCATTCTGTTGCTCTCTTTTATTAATTCTTGTGTTGTACATATTTTATTTCAAAATTGATCTGTTATTAGTTTAAACCTCCACGGTATTTTTCTTTTTTACTCCAATGCCCAAGAAACGAGACGAGCGTACAAAAACTGTTCTCTCCTCGAGACAGAAGCAGCGACCACGGGGCGAGCCAACTCCTGATGAGGATCTAATGCGTCCTTCCTCTGCCTCCATTTCTATTTCTTCTGGAGGAGGCGTGATTGTCAATATGGAGCCACCAACACCCTCTTCCCCTACCGTACCTCTGTCTTCATCCATACAAGCATCCATTCCCGTTGAGGCCGGAGGGCTTGTTTCATCTCCTGAGCTAATGCAATACAGCGAAGAACCAAGTGGGTGCTCTACACCTCATGTGCATGAAGTTGCAAAACCCACGATCGGTGAACGCTTCGGACGTCGCCATGGACAGGATTGGCCAAGTAGCAGTCGATGTGCATCCTGTCCAGGGGTGGCCCGTGCTCGTACAGAGTCTAGGTCCAAGTCTCGAGGAGAGATGAGACGTACATCAGGTGTGTATTACAAAGTAATCCCTTCACGACCTGTTCTAGGACCTGAGGTCTTCCAGGCCGCACGGAAGTCTGAATCCGAGATTAAGGCAATCAAGGGTAAACACATTCAGGAATACTACCGATCTTTAGTATGTCACTCTTTTCCTTGAATCGTATTAGTTATGTCATCGTCATTAAGGAATTGTCGTGTATTTTTTTTTATATTTGTTTATTTTACTGAGCGTGTATTTCAAAGAATGAGGTTTGTGAATCTTAAGTTGTTGTATTAACCATATTTTATCATGCATTACGTTAGAATCTCCTTCTTGATTCATTCTCTGAGGCTGAGGCTATTTTAAAGGAGCATCGCGAAGATGAGGCGGCCAAATGTGAGGAGCTGCCTAAATTACCTCAAGCGCGCACTTATGACTCACTATTTACTCCAGTAGTAACTGATAGCAAGTTATTATCAACAACTGCGAATATCAGTAGTCAAGGAAGCATTAAACCGAATTATAGATCAACATCTGGAGCAAGCTCTGCTGCAGCGCAGTTCTCATCCAGGGATGCAAATAAAACGACTGCTTATGAAGAAGCCAGCGGATATCGAGCAGACAACGATGATACTAATCTTGAGGAAGGAACGCCATTGATAGAGTACAAAAAACGGATAAGGACCTCCCCTAGACAAGGTAAACTGCTTACATTTTACAACCAAATGGTTGCGTTTTTTTTTTTTTTTTTTTTTGAAGTCTTTCCTAACATGAGTCTACTCTCTTCATCGTCTTTAGTGGGCTTGGCCATTAATGTCAGTTTTCTTGCTAATGTTTTCTTGGTAATTGTCAAGATCTGGTTAGTTCTTTTTTCAGATTCTCTGGCAGTGTTAGCTTCCATGATTGATTCTCTAATGGACCTCCTGAGTGGGGCCATCATCTGGTATTCTGCTCGACTTCGCAACAATACCTCGGATGGACATCGCTATCCAGTAGGCAAAGCTCGTATGGAGCCTCTAGGGGTCATTGTTTTTGCGTCAGTCATGGTCACATCCTTCTTACAGGTCATACTTCAGTCATTCCAACGTCTAGTGGAGGGCTCATCAGAACCTGTAAATCTCAGTGTTGTAATTCTCTCGCTTTTGGGCCTCAATATCTTAGTCAAATTTTTACTTTGGGCTTGGTGTAGAACCATGAAGGACAGCTCGAGTGTTCAGGCCTTGGCGCAGGATCATCTAAACGATGTAATCTTTAACATCTTCTCGACCTTTTTCCCAGTCGCAGGACAGTATTTGGGGCTCTGGTGGCTTGACGCTTTTGGAGCCATTGTACTCTCCATCTATATCATAGCTGAATGGACCGGCACTTGTTTGTATAACATACGTCGGTTGACCGGTCAGGCAGCAACCGCAGCAGATATTCAGCAATTGACATACATGACCTACCGATTCTCTAATCTGATTCAGCTGATTGATACTGTTCGTGCATATTATGTTGGCGAAGGACTCTTCGCTGAAATCGACATTGTTCTACCTCCTGACACCCCTCTATCACAGGCGCACGATCTGGGCGAATCTTTGCAAAGTGCGCTGGAGAGGTTAGACACCGTCGAGAGAGCATTTGTACATGTTGACTATAATGCTGTGCATGCTATCGAGCATCGCCATATATAATTCGGATGATACCATTTATTACCCGAGATTTTGACATTTAGTAGAATAAAATAAAATGATAATAATGATAGTTACATTTTATTCAAGCTTTTTCTGAATGTATTCTTTTTTTTTTTTTTATTTTTTTTTATTTTTTTTTTTATCCATGCAATGCTCTATGACCGTGTCCTACCTACAAAGTATAAAAGAATAGAAATAAAAGTGCTTTTCTTCCTCTCTTCTTCTCTTTACACATCAGCATCCGATGCTGAGTCATCATCATCTCCAGAGACTTCTGCATTCTCCTTGTCAATTCTTGCCAACAATTGATCGAGTTCCATATCATCGGCTTCAGTAACTGCCTTGGGCTATAAGTACGATTCAAAGCGAAAAGATATAAAAATAAGGAAGTGAACAGGACGAGATGATAAAACAAGATTTAAATCAACCTATAATTACAGCAACACCAAAAAAAAAAAAAAAAAAAAAAAAAAGTACGTACACTCATCTTGGTGACCATGTTTCCATTAGATTTCCTGATACTTTCCTCGAGGACGACAATCGCCTTCTCCATTGTATCGATTCCAAGCTGTTTATCCAAAGCATTGGTGATCATGACATAAAGTGGGGGGGCCACCAACTTGACACGAATAGGAACATCGGGCAATGAAACTGCCTCCGCCTCCTTGAATGCAGCTTTGATAGCATCAATACCCTCGTAATCAAAGCAAGTCACCTCGATATCTGCACGGATTTTGATCGGTTGAGGGGTCAGTCGACGTCTAATATTGTTTAACAACTCTTCTCTCGTGCTCTCTGCAATCTCCAACCCTTCGAAAACCTTTTCATGCTCGCTAAAAAAAGGTTTAAATGGTCAGAAGGGTATATATCATTAGCATTTTTTTTTTTTTTTTTTTTTCCGAAATGATATGAAAAGATCAACTTACTTGAGAGCAGCCTTGAAAGCATCATAAGCATGGCCATACTTGGCATACAAAGGCCAGGCCAACTGTTCATAAAGAGTCTCCAAGTCCTTATTTTCCTTCTTGGCAACTGTTGACATGATCGAGTGCACAGCTTTGGACTTGTTGTAACGTTCCTCACATTTGATAATGTCCGTAGCTGAGACACGACGCTTTGAAAGATCGATATATCCTAAAAATCAAGGTACATGACAGCAAACGAATCCAATGTAAATCAGCTCAATGAAATTAATTTTCCCCGCATGGCGGTGCTTTGCTCTTTTATTTTGTCGATTTGCCGCAGTCAAGATAACGTGTCCATGTGTCAGAGTGTGTCAAAGATTGGTCCATCCTGCATTCATATCCTGAGTCATCGTGTCCAAAAAGTGAATATAAAAGCACTCGTTGTTAAAACTGCTTTGACATCTAAGGTAAAGAGAGCTGAGAGAAAGAAAGAGGAAGAAGGGGAAAATCAATAAGGGAGGGGTTTTTTTTTGGTGGTAAAGTCCTTACCCTTTTCTTTATCAACTCTGAGGACGACGACGACTTCGTTCTTGCCAACACGAATGAGCTTTTGGATAGAGCGAATACGACGTCTAGACAATTCACTGAGCAAGATCATTCCTTCAATGTTGTCATACTCTAGTAACTGAACATACGCTCCCATTTCGGCGATCTGGCGAACGTTGACCATGACCAAGTCATCCACTGTATTTTGTAGAAAAAATAAAAAGATTTAGGTCAAGTTGAGAAGGAATATGCAATGTATTGCCATTGTGCTAGAAACAATGCGCACCTTCAGGGAACTTGTTGGCGTACATGCGGCATTGCAATCTTCCTGACATGTTGAATATGAAGTACTCTGTGTGGTATTTGAGAGTTGAGAGAAAGATAAGAGAATGAGAATAACTGATTTTTTTTTACTTTAGCGTTTGCTTGTCTTGAACTCAAACAGCTTTTGTAATACTGTTTTGATCCCATCTTCGTCTCGATAAGCCACCGAAATGTCTGTGCTCCAATGAACTTGCTGGACTTCAACAGACTTTGAATATCCTGAAAGATTGACTGCGGTAGCAAGGTCCTCAGCTAGGTAACTGGGTATATCTAAACTATAATACGTCCTTGCAACCCTGTAGCTTATACCGGGCCAAGATATAGTCTTATCTGTCGCCTTCAAGGCATTCAAGCGCATCGATCCCAATAACACATTTCCGTAATTCAGGGAGAGAGTGCTCCAAAAGCAAATTAGAATATCACACAAACCTCAACGCTTAGTTTGGAGAGAGAGCTGTTGAATGATCAGGGTGGAATAGATTCTTTTTAATTAATAGAGATCTCCGTCGCCCTTTCCGACTTTGAAAATATTGAAGCTCGCTCTTTAACAGCAAGGCCTCGTCAACGTTATAATAGAACCAGTGAAGGAAAGAACTCCCAGATGGAGGATTGTATTTTTTGTGTCAAGTATGCTCAGTAGTCATTGCCAGTGGATTTGCCAACTTTATTAACTCTCATTCATTAAAAAAAATAAAAAAATCAAGCAACCCAAAAGTTCATTAAAGAAAAAACTCATCGTTAAGATATACGAAGAGAAAAGGATAGTAGTCTCTTTTACAGAGATATTAGCAACGAAACGAATATTACGAAGGATAAAAAGGAGGAAGGAATGGTATTTTTTTTTTTTTTAAGCCAGGTATCTTGGGAGTGCATCTGTGAAATCGCGAATGGGTCGGGATCGCTCCAGGTCTAAAGCATACCAGAGACACTCCTTGGCGCGAGCCAACCTATCAGAGGCTTCAAAGACCTTTCCGAGATAGAACCATGCCTCTGCATAGTTCCAACCTCGAGACTTTGTGGTTGTTTCCAACATACTCTCAGCCATCTCTACACTGCCTGTCTCCAAGTATGATCGACCTACACGGGTCAAACATGCAGGATGGTAGGGTGCTAAAGCAAGAGCTTTGGAATACGAGACTGATGCTGTCTCTTGCTTACCCTGCGCAGCATACAGTAGACCCAGCTAATGAACGCATTTTACATATTGGAAACAGACATCGAATGAGTAGATGCTAAAAAAAAAAAGAAAAAAAGCCGAGCCATTCGCCCACATATAAACTGTGAACTATACCTGGTACCAAACGTCGGGATTGGAAGCATTGACCCGTTCAGCCTCTTCAATCGCTTTGAGAGCTTCCTCCATTCTATCCAATCGTCTAAACACGGAGGCAGACATGAGCCAGAGCGTAGCCAGAACGTGATTAGCTCGAGCTGTGCGAAGTACGGATTTCATTATTGGCCGTTGGATAGCTTGAGGAGCGGCGGTCTTTCCTGCTGCTGCATTAGCTGCCGCATTAGCGGCGGCAGCAGCAGCAGCAGCAGCGGCAGCAGGCGGAATCGTTTTGCTCTTTTTCTTGGACCCAGCAGAGCCAATGGAGGTGATTGAGGAGGCGTAGTTCGTCTTGGGGATGTCTGTTTTACGGTTAGCATTGAGATGATTGATTAGAACACTAGAATGAATGAAATAATAAAAATAAAAAAAATAAAAAAGATATAGAGCAAACATCTTACCGAGGGTGCTGCCATTGTTAGGGCCAGTATTTTGCCCATGATCAGAAGCGCCACTCTTGCTCCTAACACTGAGGATGCTGTTCGCACGAGGACGCCCTACAATGGTTGATCCAGGCTCTGCATCATTCTGACCTCGACGACGAATATTCTGAATGTCATATAGACTCTCGCCTACTGAACCCGGCTCGGGTGCAAAAACTTTAGTGTAGAGAACAAAGAGTGCTTCCTGCGGTTCCAACGCTGACTCCGGGCCATAAAGTTGATCTTGCAGAGCCGCCTGTGTGATGCGAAGAGCAAGATAATCTTCTCCTTCCAACTGAGACGCTGACAACCCATCCGTCTGTGGCAAATCCCAGTCAGACTCCTTCAACGCTACAGAACAGATGTTCAATGCACGCTCGTAGTCTTTTTGTGCAGATAGCAACAGCGCAAGAAGATGCCATGAAGGAATATGTGATGCATTGAGAGCCACGCTCTGCTTGACCGCAGCAATGGCTTTGGAGACCTCTCTCATCTCTGCCAATTGAAGAGCAAGGTAGTAATGACCCTCAAAGGCTTCTGGTGAGACCTCGATAGCCTTTTCAAACGACTCAATTGCATTGGTATATAATGAAGGACGTTTTTCAGGCTCGTGTGCTATGATAATTTTTTTTAAAAAAAAAAAATATAAAAAAAAAAGTTAATATTGAATTGTATCAGTTGGTCGTACTTTGACATGAATGCTGTATACACAAATGGATGATACAAAACGAACCATCGGAAGCCAGGAGAGAATGTGCAACGCCCTGATTAATATATGCATTGAAAAGCAGCTCGTGTGTATCCTCCTTTTGTAAGTTCTGTTGAATGTTGGCAAGAGCACGCTCCACACATGAGAGTGCCTCAGTAGGTTTTCCGAGTTCCTTGCCATAAAGTCGTGAACCCTCCACCATAACAACTGCAATGTCGTAATCTGATTCAGTATCTTGGCGAATGCGTTGTTCGTGTGTAAGGGGTTGATCATCAACAATCCCTGCTCCTGACTTGACCTTGAGGTTGATTTCTACCTGATCCAAATACGCCTTCAATGCTAGCTCTGCTTCATCGTACTGACCCAACTCAACGAGTGCAAAGAACAAGAAGCGCAGGATGCGAGGAGATTGAAAGGTCTTTTGGGAAGCTCGATATATGGTCTATTATATTAAAATACAGGATATCTGTGTTAATTTTTTTTTTTTAAAAAAAAAAAAAGAAAAAAAGAAAAAAAGTAACTGTGTTTGTTTCGTATACCTCAACAAGAGCACGCTTGTCGGCATCGTTGCCTGATCCAAGGATTTTCCTATCTTCCACAATCTGCTCAATCATGACGAGGACACGCCAGTTCTTCTCATCAGCCTTGGGGAAGGAGAGAACAGCGTAGA